TGCTTGCTATTTTTTTCAGCTGAAATTTGATTTTTTTTTTCAGCCGAATTCTTCGAAAATTCAATTTCTGACAAAATCGAAGAATTTGGAATTCTGATTTTCTGACGTTATCAGAGGCTGCGTAATGTCGCGGCTGCGAAATGTCCGGGAGCCTTAACAAATCTTTCATTCAGTTCAAATTCCTGAACAAACCTGATCTTCACATTATTTTATTATCTCTATTCACATCACTTTACTCTCTGATCTCAACACGATTTTCGGAAGACGTCATTTTTTGGGAACTTCCCACTCTGGGTATTTCATTCGCCCATGGTCTTCGGAATCTTTAAAAGGTCTAAACCCGAGTCCAAGTTCAAAAATTAAACCCTTCTATTTTTTAAACTGGTATGGAAGAAATACGTTCCATGGTTACTGGAAATTCTGTGAATTTAGCATTGCCATTGATTTCAAAGATTGCAATGATTCATATCAATGAGACCATGCGTCCCTCACCATCTTTAAAAATCGTTCTCTTTTTTTTCGGAAGATCATAAGATCTACATTCGATTTTTCTTCATGGTTCCTTTGTTCTTCTTCTTCTTCTTTTCTGCCTTCTCTTCTTCTCCTAACGTGATCTTTGTAGACTCTACCATTTTACTGTAAAATCAAAACCGATGTTCTATCGTTCTCGATAAAATAACAAATTAAGCGAAAGGGTTAGATAGCATCTTTAAAAATCTGTCTTTATGGTATTTTTCTCAAGAGTATCAGATTGGAACAACTTTGAAAATCAACTTCCTTCTTCTTCTCATTTTTCGATACTGATCTTCTCACTTACCAGTACAAAACAATGTAAAATGAGCTATTGAGTAAATGAAAAAAAGAAAGAACTCGATGCATATTTTTAGAATCCTTATCTTATATTTTCACACCTCAAAACATCGACTCATCAGCTGTCTTCTTCCAAAATTTTCTGTCTGCATTGTCTCTTCCATCTGTAGCATTCAGCTTTTTTTTGATAGCGCACTCTAATATTTTTGGCAATCAATCAAGCCACACTCACTGCTTAGAAGTAACTGTTTACCCAATCGAATAAGCTTCACTCCTCCTATAAAAATTGAGTTTCTGCACTTTTCTGCACTAAAATATGGATCTGTGCTATCGTCACCATAGATACTCAACTACTTCACCATCGGATATTTGGTATACTGTGGAAAGTGAAAAAGTAGGATTCGAATTCTAATTCTCTCTAAATACTTTCCCAATTTAACAACAACTGCACTAATCAGTTTCATTCTCTGGTTCAATTCGATATATTTCCAGCTGGGAGTCACTCGTTATCTTCAACCAAAAGGTGGAGATCAGGCGACTCCTACCACGTCATCAGCATTTGGTGGAAGAAGAGCCGAAGAAGGAAATGTGGGACTCACAACGGCACAGACACAGGATCAGACGATGAATTCTGGAAGTAATGGACAGCTACCGGTAGCTTCTGGAGATGTCTCTGTGACTGCGAACAGTGGTCAACTAGTACTACCCATACCGCTTTTCAGTCAAATGAGGTTCACTGATTCCAATATGGTGAGTGTCAAGAATTTGAAAAGTTTTTGTATCCAATTCACTGATGTTGCAGTCTTTGAACCGCCATAATTGGATCAAGGATACATTTACGAGAAGAGAATGCTCTCGATTTATTCCATCGAGTCGGGATCTCAGAAAGTGTGGATGTGGAAGATCGAATGAAGCTCATCGAAATATTCCTGATCTTACTTCCGAATTCCTAAGGCAAAAACGATCGTTAGCAACATAGAGCAACAAAGATCAATCAGTACTTTCGATAATGATGACATTCAAGCACAGAACACTACTTATACCGTAAGTTGAATGGTTTTCGTAGTATTTCAAAAGTCAAAATTTGCAGAGACGTGGTGCCAATGAGAAATGGAGCCTTCGTAGACATACAGTATCCCTCGCAACAAATGCATTCGGACAAGTCGAATTTCAAGGTTGCAGTTTGAGAGTTTTGTTTTTCATCCAAATTTTCAATTTTAGGTGGTCCCCATCCATACAAAGCACAGTATGTCAGAATGAATTTTGATACTGAACCAGCATATATCATGTCTCTATTTGAACATGTCTGGCAAATTGCTCCTCCTCGTCTCATCATTACAGTGCACGGTGGCACAAGCAATTTCGAGTTGGTTTTCATTAAATTCCGAACTAAATCATATTATCTTTTATCAGTCTTCAACCGAAACTTGCCCGAGTCTTCCGCAAAGGTCTTCTAAAAGCTGCATCAACAACTGGAGCCTGGATCATAACGAGTGGATGTGATACTGGAGTGGTGAAACACGTGGCAGCTGCATTAGAAGGTGCTCAGTCTGCGGTACGAAACAAAATTGTGTGCATTGGAATTGCTCCATGGGGACTGTTGAAGAAGCGAGAGGAGTTCATTGGACAGGATAAGACGGTTCCATACTTTCCGAGTTCATCGAAAGGAAGATTCATTGGATTGAACAACAGACATTCATACTTTTTGCTCGTGGACAACGGAACTGTTGGAAGATACGGAGCAGAAGTGATCCTTCGAAAGAGGCTCGAAATGTACATCTCGCAAAAGCAGAAAATATTTGGAGGCACTCGGAGTGTTCCAGTCGTTTGTGTTGTTCTTGAAGGTGGAAGTTGCACAATTCGATCGGTTCTCGACTATGTCACAAATGTTCCACGTGTTCCCGTAGTGGTTTGTGATGGAAGTGGCAGAGCAGCAGATCTTCTTGCTTTTGCGCATCAGAATGTCACTGAGGATGGGTCAGTAGTTACAATCTAAAGATTCATTTAGGATTTATTCGTTTCAGACTTCTTCCCGATGACATCCGTCGACAAGTACTTGCTCTTGTTGAAACAACATTTGGGTGCAGCGAGGCTGCAGCTCATCGTCTCCTTAACGAACTCATCGTATGCGCCCAACATAATAATCTACTAACAATCTTCCGACTCGGAGAAAAAGGAGAACACGATGTGGACCATGCTATTCTCACGGCTCTTCTCAAAGGACAAAATCTCTCGGCATCGGACCAATTGGCACTTGCGCTTGCATGGAATCGTGTAGATATTGCGAGATCGGATGTTTTTGCAATGGGACATGTAAGTAGATTTTGAAATGAAAATAAGCCAATAACTTGGTTTAGGAATGGCCACAAGCTGCTCTTCACAATGCAATGATGGAAGCACTGATTCATGATCGCGTTGATTTTGTACGTCTACTTCTTGAACAGGGAATAAACATGCAAAAGTTTCTCACCATATCTCGGCTCGATGAGCTCTACAATACCGACAAAGGACCACCAAATACCTTATTTTACATCGTCAGAGATGTGGTTAGAGTGCGTCCTGGATACCGTTATAAGTAAGTAAGACCAGAACAGTCGACATTATTTCTATATTTTTCAGATTGCCGGATATTGGGTTGGTTATTGAAAAGCTGATGGGAAACTCCTATAAATGCTCTTACACTACTTCGTCATTCCGAGATAAATACAAACAAAGGATGAAGAAATTAAAGAATCTCCAGAAAAAAGCTATGGGTGCTTTTCTCAACAGAACATCTTGTGGTGGTTCTGGACTTGCGTCGAGACAGTCCACAGAAGGATTGGGTGGGCTCGGAGGTGGACCTGTTGCTAGCGTTTTCGGAAACTCGTTTGGAAATCAGGAACCCATGTTCGATGCTGGAAATCGATCAGCTCTAAGTGGATCACGGGCATTGAGCAATCACATATTATGGAGGAGTGCATACCGCGGAAATGTGAGTTTGAAGGAGAAACATGACTAATTTTTTTAAAATTCAGTTCCCAACCCTCCCAATGCGACCTCCTAATCTTGGCTGCGACTCCCGCGATGGTACATCTGAATTTGAGGAAGAACTATCTTTGACATCAGCCTCCGATGGTTCACAAACAGAATCCGATTTCCGATACCCATACAGCGAGTTGATGATATGGGCGGTTCTTACAAAAAGACAAGATATGGCAATGTGCATGTGGCAACACGGAGAAGAGGCGATGGCGAAGGCTCTTATTGCATGTCGATTGTACAAAAGTATGTCAACGGAAGCCGCAGAAGATTACTTGGAAGTGGAGATCTGTGATGAGCTCAAAAAATATGCAGAGTGAGTTCATAGTAAGGCTAAAGAATATTTGGAGCTATGAATATATTTCCAGAGAGTTCCGTCAGCTATCTCTCGAATTATTAGATCATTGCTACCACGTCGATGATGCACAAACTCTCCAATTGCTAACTTACGAGCTATCCAATTGGAGCAATGAAACCTGTCTCGCACTGGCCGTCATCGTTAACAACAAACACTTCCTTGCTCATCCATGCTGCCAGATTCTCCTTGCCGACCTTTGGCATGGAGGTCTTCGAATTAGAACACATTCCAATATCAAAGTTGTCTGCGGACTAATATGTCCTCCATTCGTTACGATGCTTGAATTCAAAACACGTGAAGAGTTGTTGAATCAACCACAGACTGCAGCTGAACATCAGAATGAAATGAACTATTGTAGTTCTTCTTCAAGCTCATCCTCATCGAGTTCTAGCTCAAGTTCAAGCGATTCTAGTACTTTCGAAGATGACGATGACGAGCATAATCATGATCAGAAGAGAACTCGCAAGAACTCTCAAGGAAGCGTCCAATCAATGACAATAGCTAATCTATTCCAAAGCAGAAGACGAAAGGCTAAAAAGACCGAGAAATGTGATAGAGAGACAGACGCAAGTGCTGGAGAAATTGGACACAAACAAACTCAGAATGGAGGTTTGACGGCAGAGTACGGTACCTTTGGAGATCAAAATGGCATATCACCAAATCGTGCTAATGGTCGTTCTCGTTATATCAGTAATCATCGATCCGATCTGAGCAAACCAACAACCGATGTCTATGGATCTGATCGTAAGCAAGCTTTGTCTGGAGTTGAATTTTTTATCCAGTTCTCTTTCAGCGAATCTCACAAAACTACAAAAATCGAATCTCACTTCGACGGATCGTCCAAATCTAATGGAACAATTTCAAGGAACCGTAAGTTGTGCATATAATTTATTCAAATCTTATGATGACTTACTCATTCTAGCGTAAAATAAAAATGCGTCGTCGGTTCTACGAATTCTACTCAGCTCCAATCACTACTTTCTGGTCATGGACTATCTCATATGCACTTTTTATCATCCTCTTCACCTACACTCTTTTAGTTAGAACGGAACCAGAACCCACTGTGATTGAATACATTCTGATTGCATATGTTGGGGTTTTTGGGTTGGAGCAGCTGAGAAAAGTGAGCATTTTTGTGACCCTGACCAATACCTGATTGCTGAATTATAGATAGTGATGTCAGATGCGAAACCGTACTATGAAAAAGTTCGAACGTATGTGTGCAATTTTTGGAATTGTATTACTATTCTTGCAATCACTTTGTACATTATTGGTTTTCTGATACGATGCTTTGAGTAAGTTGAATTTGGGATTTTGCGATTTTTAATTTTTTTTTTATTACAGAGACATTAAATATCGTCAGTACGGAAGAGTTGTTCTGGCATGCGACTCCGTGTTGTGGACTATGAAAATATTGGACTATCTGAGTGTTCATCCGAAATTGGGACCTTATGTGACGATGGCTGGAAAAATGATTCAGAATATGTCATACATAATTGTGATGTTATGTGTGACTCTTCTATCATTTGGATTAGCTCGCCAAAGTATCACTTACCCAGATGAAGAGTGGCATTGGATTCTGGTTCGAAACATCTTCCTAAAACCATATTTCATGTTGTACGGAGAAGTCTATGCTGATGAAATCGACACTTGTGGTGATGAAGGTAAGGACTGAATATCATTAAATCCTAATGCTTGATTTCATTTAGCCTGGGATCAACATTTGGAAAATAATGAACCTGTGATCCTTGGAAACGGAACATCTGGGCTCTCATGTGTTCCTGGCTACTGGATTCCGCCTCTTCTCATGACCTTCTTTTTGCTCATTGCTAATATTCTGCTAATGAGTATGCTAATTGCCATTTTCAAGTGAGATATCAACCTAATTTCTTTAAGATCATAGAAAATAATCTCCGTTTTACAGTCACATTTTCGATGCCACCGATGAAATGTCGCAGCAGATTTGGTTGTTCCAACGATACAGACAGGTATGTTGATCACTTGATTCTTCAGTCCCGGTTATAATTTAAAAAATGTTCAGGTAATGGAATACGAATCAACACCATTTTTACCGCCTCCACTGACTCCTATTTATTATTTTTATATGGCTATACAATTGTTGCGATATAAGTGTAGCAGTGAAAAAGTGCTATGGGAGAACCCGATGTTCGACTTTTCATTAAGTATGAAATTTTCATTTGTGACATAATATATTTGAATTTCTTTCCAGAATTATTCTTGAATGGCGATCAAATCGAAAAACTGCACGATTTCGAAGAGGACTGTATGGAGGATTTGGCACGACAAAAAATGAACGAAAAGAATACGAGTAACGAGCAGAGGATACTGAGAGCGGATATTCGGTTAGTCCAGAGTCCTAAGTGACCTTCTGCAATCAGAATATTTTTCCAGAACTGACCAAATCCTCAATAGGCTAGTTGACCTACAAGCTAAAGAAACGATGGGACGAGATGCTATCAATGACGTTGAAGCTCGTCTGGCTTCTGTTGAGAAGACACAAAATGAAATTTTGGAATGTGTTCGTGCTCTTCTCAACCAGCACACTATGCCGACGATGGGTCGTTGTATGTCTCCCTCACCAGAATCGGTCTCTGGAACACCTGGTCCGATGCTTCTGAAATTACCGGGAAGTAATCCTATAATAGAGGAACAGGATAACGAATCAGCTGACAACAACAGCAGCCTTCCACCTGGACCAATCAGAAGGAACAGAACGGCTACAATTTGTGGAGGATACGTTAGTGAGGAGAGAAATGCGATGCTTTTGTCTCCGAAACCATCTGAAGTATCTGGAATTCCACAACAACGACTTCTGTCAGTGGCATCTATGGATCCATTGCCTGCACCGCATGCAAAGTTGTCCACAATGTCGATTCGTCGTCGTCACGAGGAATACACATCGATCACCGATTCGATCGCAGTCCGACATCCCGAACGTCGGCTACGGAATAATCGTTCGAACAGTAGTGGTCATGATGATTCACCAGTTGATTCTGATGGTGGAGATAATATGATCCCGTCGCCAAGAAAGCGATCTACTAGAGATCTTCGTATCAATCCTACGTTACATGCCGATGAGTCTCCCAGCAGAGAACAGATTTATGAAAGTGTAAGTGATATTCTGATGGAAGAGCATTTTAATTATTTGTTTTCAGGATCGACAAGATGGGGGAGAAGAAGAAGACGAAGCTCAAGCGGATTGTGAGTTGACAGATGTGATAACTGAAGAAGAGGACGAAGAAGACGATGAGCTGGACGGAGAGGATGATGAAGAGGATCCCCAACATCACCATCATCACCACCACCATCATTCTCATCTCATGCAACATCCAAAAACATCATCTACTCGAAACCGACCAATATCTAATACTCTAGAAACCGATTTATCTGATGGAGAGCAGATTGAGGTTGAAATGAAAAATGTAAGTTTGATGAATTGAGAATAACTCTTCATTTCTGATATCTTTCAGCCTGTCATCCATCAAATTGTTAACGAAGAAGAAGAAGCAACAGCAGCACCTCACTCAACTCCTGTTCTTGTTTCTCCTTCCACTTCAAGGGCTACGCTTTCTACGGAGAAGAAACCGAGCACTTCATGATTTTTACGCATTTTTACTATCGTACTCTTCTTTTTTTCCCATATTCAGATTTCTGTGTATCACTTTTCCCCCTTTTTTCTCTGACTTGCAATCCCGTTTCTATACTTTCGATTATTTTTTATTTTTCATTGCGGTTATTCTTTTTTTTTTCTTTGCGAGCATCCATACCACAAGAATTCTGTCCTCGTGCCCATTTTACCAATTCTAAGTCATTTGCTTTATGTTTTGTGATTTCCTTCCGATTCGCAGCGGGTTGCTCCCACTTCTCACTTTTTTCTGTTTTCTGAAACTGTTTTATCCCGGAATTCCCCATGCTTTCTCAATATATCTTTTTTCTAGAGTCAATTTTATTCTTTTTTTGTTTCCCTACTTTGTTTCATTTGTCTTTTTCATAATTCTAGCTCGGTTTAGTTGTCATTTATATAAAATTAAGATTTTTGGAATTCCACCTTCAAAAAATACCAGACATCAACACACATCCACCGACGCATTCACCTTTCATGTTATTACTTTCGTCGAAACTTCAAATTTGACTCACATTGATGAGAAAACGAGTCAATAATTCATGCAGTTGCTCGATGATTTGAAGAACCGCCCATTCGGAAAAAGTCAACAATAAAAAAGGGGCAGTAGTAGAAGAAAAAGAGGTCGTGATATCTTTTTCCTAGACTGAACTAGACCACTTTTCTTTGAATAAGTGACTAGTTTGGTTGCTCTGTGGACATCATACATGAATTCTGAATTCTGCACGGATTTGTCAGTTTCTTCACGTTTCTTCTAGTTTTTTTGCAGATGATTCCAAAACCGAAATCTAGGTAATATATTCCAGAACCAAATCACGAACACTTTTAAAAAATTGGTTTTTTTTTCTGGCACAGTAATCTCCTTTCAGACATGTTCCGGAAGTTTGATCTTTTTGAATTTCTTTTCGGCTTCTTTCCTTTCTTTTCAAAATTTCCGCCCAAAAATTGGGAACTATTCCCAAAAATGTGTTTTCTTTCCAATTAGAGTCTTGTGACCGAATGCGGAATTTTTTTAGTTTTCGCAAAAGTTTTCTAAATTGGACAAACTGCTGAAATAAGCTTTTCTTCTTGGGTTAACAAAAATTTTTGACCAAAGATTATTCTAACTTTTCTTTTTCACTCATTCTTCCCCTTTCGCACTATTCCAACTACCGTACAACCTGTAAAAGAAGGGCCGCTAACTGATAAATTTGAGCAAATCTATCTCGGTTCCTGCGAGAGGTATAAAAATTGTCAACTGATAAATTGTTTATCATAATATCAGAAGTGTTTCGTCGGTTGACATATTTTTGATATCTAGCAATGGAATCTAGATAATTAAGCTTGAACTTAACCGTATGGGGGTCCTTCTATTACAGGTTCTACGGTAATCAGATTCAAACGAAATTCAAAAAAGTTCCCGAACGACTAGTAAAAAACCAAGAAAAAACGATAGAATGTGATAGAGAGAAAGAGAGAGGACTTGCGTGGAATGTTGAATGAGTCTCTTTGAGGAAACTTCATTCCACTCCATGTTCGTACCACCTATTTACCTTCTTCTTATAGAATAAAAACACACTTTCAATTTACCTATTAATTTAAGTGAATTCAGTTTAATATCATTGGAAAGTTTTTTTGTTTTTTGAATTTAAGAATCGATTCAGTGTGAGCAACGGCGCAATGTACTTTTATTGCAGCCAGACTTCAGAATGATGTCATAAATTCTGAAATCTGGGTTCCTGGTCATGCTTAAGTCAGATGAAACTCATAAAAATTTCAGTATTGAGAGCAGGGGTCTCATGCAAAAGTGTATCTCGTTTTGTGAAAAGATTGTATGAAGCAAACTTTTATGTTTGGATAATGCTTTAGAAGACTATCCTCAATGTTTTTAATTCATATCCCAGTATTGGACTAAATTTTGTAAATGAAACTTTTGTCATCTGAAAATCTGTTGACATTTTATATCATCAAGGAAATAAGTTGCTAAATACTGCTGTCTTCTCTCGATGCTGCATATTGAGGCAAATAATTCGGAGGGTACATCGAGGCGAACCGATTCAGGAGTACAAAATACCTGAAAAATCCGAATTTCGTACCCCCGAATAGTAGGTCTTGTACCCCGCCGTACCCTCGAATTTTCGTACCCTCCGAATTATTTGCCAAAAACTGATCACTAAAAACAGTTGAGATAATTTACATATTTTCGAGGGTTTTATAACTTTCCGAGGGTAATTTCAGATGATAATTCAGATGATTTGCGAATTCGAAATTTTTGATTTGGAAATTACCAACGTTACTTAGCAAGCTATTTTAAACGGAAACAGCTTTTGAACATGTTTTGAATAAACATGTTTTGACCACACTTTTTTCTCTGTCCCCAAACTATAGAAACTGAGTCTTTCATAGTTTGCAAAATTGAATTTTCAAAAGTCTGTAGACCTGAAAGCATGGATTTCTACTAATTCAATTGTCTTGATTTGCTTCCATTTCTTTTTTGTGGTTCTTTTCACGTATTCAGCTCATTCTCCAGTTACTTCAATTAACTGCTGTTACAATTAACTGATTTTTAGATTCCCTTTTCCTATTCCCTCTCTTTTCTTCATGACCTCAATTGATCTTTCTTCTCTACACTTTAGTTTTTATTTTGTCCAACTGAAAACATTGATAGAATTTGAAATTGTTGACATCCGTTCGTGTTTAATCCCTAAAAGAGAAGCATCTAGATTCATTGAATTCCACGAAAACCGCTTTCTGTTCTTGGGGAGACAGACATCGGAATATGAAAACATAGACACCCTCATCTCGAGAGAGGAATTATGACTTTTTGCTGAAATATTTCCGGCAAAAAACATGTGATAGAAGAAGACGAACGAACATCTCTTGTTGATTAGAAAAAGAGGTTCCGGATGGAATTTCAATGAAGTGACTAAGAAATTTGGGTTGTGACGTAGTTTGTAGACTTGTTAAGAGGGATTGGGGGTCAGGGACATAAAACGTTGGTGTTTTTAAATCAGTTTTTAACAAAAAAACGAAAATATATTGCTTTTTTTCAATGACCCAATATGGATAATTTGGGATTTCATTTCAGTTCAAAATAGAAACGCATTTTTGGTGCCAGAAAAAATAGTTTTGAGTAACACACTAGAAATAAAAAAGTCGAATCTTCCTTTAAGGATCCTAATAGTTTTGTGTCTTGTTTTTCTTAATTTTTGATTGAACTTATTATCAAAGATGGAGATGCCATTTTTAGAATTTCCAGAATGTTTTTAGTTGAAAAAGTGATTTGAGAATTAGAAAAAAAAAAAACTAAAAAAAAAAAAAAACTTTTTCATACAGTTTTCAAAACGAACTTCAGGCAAAATGTGTCCTCCGGTTTCAATAAACAGTAGACAAATTTTGGCGCAAATTGCAAAACGGACTCTCGAGTTATCATGCTCGGTTCAAAAATGGTATGGTTCGGCTCAAGAACCATAAGTCGGTTGAATTAAAATTTGGACCTTCATAACTTTACTATTACTTTACTTTACTATTAACATTTATGACCTGTGCATATTTTTTTAAATATTGGTGAAAAATTGTTTTGTTCTGTATTGGAAATATTATGTAAACAAATTCTCAAAAAGTTCATGAATATTTTTCAGCCAAGTTATGGCTCGTGAGCCGCACCATACATTTTTGCTCCGAGCATCGTGAACAAAGAAAAAAGCCAACCAAAATTTTTGCTGGTGTTTTTTGGGGCCGGACACATATTATCAAAAAATTTGTCGTGAGGGAAAACGGTTTTTTTTCTAATTACTGATAAAGAGAAATTCAAAAATAAAAATAAGAATCAAACTCCGTAGCTAGTTGTTTAAAAAACTCCTGGAATATCTGTATTTTGTGGTAGATGAAAACCAAATATTGAAAGTATAGCTGATTTGGTATTGCCATTAGTGTTATCTAGAAGTATGATTCTGAATCTCCTCATCTGAATCACAAATCACATGTTTTTAAGTTGTACGCAGTTCTTGTCACGTCAGCTCTCATGTTGATTAAACCGGAAATTCAAATGCATATCAGCGATTCGACTCCTTCACTCTCTTCATCCATTTTTGCTCTTTATCATCACTCTCAATCATCCTTCTCATATATTTCACACCCTCATCCATTGCTCCGTTCTAGATTTTTTTTTTCGATTTTTCGAGAAGGAATACAGCAAACATTCTAACATAAGGCCACCCAATACTTACACTTACTGTTAGAGCTTAATTATCTCAATTTCACAGCAAAAGTATGTCAACTGATGAAATGTTGCTTATATTATTAAGAACATTTTGCCAGTTGACAGATTTTGGTTACCTCTTCTAAAAATTGGGATAATTAGGCTCGAAATGCAAGCAATGGACTCTCATAAGAGTGTTTCAGCTTTACAGAAACGACGTCTTCACCTTTCCTGAAATGGGATTTCGGAAGATATTAATATCAGAAATTAAGTTTTTGGTAGAAAATTCTCTATAGAAATAGTTAAAAAATAACATACTCGAATTAGGCTAAAATTTTTTTCAAATGGTCAAAATGACTCTTCTGAAAGATTTCCAATTCTTAAAGAAGCAGGTTCAAAATTGATGAAAAACATACTTTCTTTTTAAACTCATTTACCTTTCTGCGTTTTTTGAAATTAGACGATTTCCGCTCTTAATTGGAATATGTGTCGTCTTGTACTATCACGAAAGAGATGTTTCCTCAGGTAACCTAATGTAATAGATTGATGAATTGGTACTTTTTCCCTATCAAAACCGCTTCATACTCTCCTAAATCCTACAATTTCACCCAATTCTCTCTTTTTCCAAAACAATAATTATTCAGATTCAAACTGTCGAAACAATCAATTTCCGTGTTTACTATCACCGGCAACGGCGCCACCATGACGAGAGTTCGGCCGGCAACGACAGAGATTCCAGATGCGACGACCTCGAAATTCCATACGAAAGGAATTGAGGCACTGGTCACAATGGCTGCAAAAGTGAGCCTAACGAACATTGACTCTTCGACGTAGTTTTCAATTCTCATCCAAAATGTATTAAATCTCAAAGATCTTCAAAAATATCTCCAAAATGGATTTCTCGTCTTTGAACCTTTCCAACCTATTTTGGTACTTTTAGAATTACTTATTTATGAAGGTCATCATATGTTTTTTTAAAAGTTAGCTAAATTTCGGAAACATTGAACTTGGTTTAGCTTATATTTCAGCTGTTTGGAGCAGTCTCTCGTAAATTGGAACGTCGTCAATCCACGAGTTCCAGCGATGAAAGCATTGAATCTGGAATAGCTCCGAATGTTCATGTGAGTATCCACCTATCGTTCTTCTCTTAAATATTAATTCTCTTCTTATTTCAGTTACCCGCTTATACACAGAGTTCAACGAGAAAGTGAGTTTTTTTTTCTGAGAACAAAAAGGTGTTTGTTGTTTTTACCACTGAAGATATTGGTAGACGTTGGTGACGTCTTTGTTTTTGCATCGAGATACATAAAGATTTGTGCTCGGATTTCGTAGAACCCAAGATTATAAAAGTGTTAGAAGAACTTCAAAAAGAAAGGAACTATGAAACATGAAAAAGGAACAAGGCTAAAGTAATCGAAATATTGTCTCTAGAGAATCGGCGGGTATTGACCAGTTTCTGGTCGGAACTTGCCCAACAACGGCTGCGGGCCATGATCAGATTTTGGTTGGAAGTTGAAAGTTGAAATACTACCGCGGTATAAGTTTGTTGCAGTTTGGTTAGTTTAGTACTTATCCGGAATCAGAACAACCTCCGACCATTTCAACTTTCAACTTCAGACCAAAATCTGACCATGGTCCGCCATAGAGCCGTTTTTGGGAAAGCTCCGAGCAAAAATCCCAGTTTCCCTGTTCATTTTTTAAATAATTTTTTAACATTTTCATAATTGTTTTTTGGTTCTACGAAACCCCGAACACAAATCTTTAACCGGAACATTTTTCAATACAAAACCAGAAACCGAAAGTTGTCTTCTTCCCAAAACCAGCCTCTAACTTTACAGATTGGCGTTTGGTACAGCAGCCACAGAAGAGCACAAACCGTTGGACGACTTTTACAACAATTCAACACTCACAAACATTTCCAAATTGTTCTGTGCAATAGTTCTTCTGACTGCTTTCTTTCTGGTCATGTCCAGAAGTCTTCAATTTGCATACGAAGCTCAACAGGCAGCAGCGGCAGCAGCTCGTGCAGCAAATCCTTCCTCCATATCGAATTCGACAACTTTAAGTTCACTTTTTGAGATTCCAGTTAACATATAATTTGTTTGTTTTCTTGTTTTTCGAGAGAAAAAAATGTAGTGGAAAAATGGAAGCGTCAGAATTCGAAAAGATTTAGCTCTCCCTGACCTACGGGTAAGTTTGATGACTCCGATTAAAACACCTAGAATCTTTTCTTTTTTTCAATTTTCTTTTCGTATTCTATTATAGAGCTCTTCCCATAAAATCGTCTGTGTCCAAATTATATCAGCGGGTGTTTTTTGTCATTTAATGATTTGTGAAAAAGTTGTTTTCGTTTTGTTTTTTGGCTGATCGAGTAAATGAACTTTTTGCATTTTAATGGCTGTTTACTGATTTCTGAGATTATGTGGGCTGCTTTAAAGGTTACATGAAATAACAGGAAATTAATAACATGCTAATTTTTTTTGAATTTTTGCGATTTTATTCACTCGAATTGTTGAATTCGTCAACTCAAAGATTAAAGAAATCTAAGTTTTTTTGAGAACCTTCATTTTCAAATTCAGATTTCGATCGAGATAAATAAAAGATGTTGTTACTTTGTAAAAAAACAGATCATATTATTCTGGTATAAAAATTCGGAGCTGTGGAAGAGAAACTTCAGTAGGCGTGGTCGAAGGTCCCACAACAACAACTACAGTAACCCAAAAACATTTTAATTTTCCGGATCCGATTGTTTAAAAGAATAACAACTTTTTTCTAGATGTATTTTCAACTTTTTTATAGGTGTTTTCAATTTCTTATTGTTAGTTTCATTGGAAACTTCCGAAACAGAGCGAAATTTAAATAACCTCTACTGAACAAGAAAAAAACAAAAACAGCTGTGGTTTCTTGAAAATCTGCGTCTCTCGGAATGTCAACTTATTCAAAAACTTCCAATTATAATTCTAATTTTGCTGCCTGCCAACCAACTCTCTACTCCTTAGAGCTCTCGAATTTTCTCCTTCTCATTCATTTCTTTTCTTTTTTTTCACGTCTTCCCTGAACATTTTTTCCCGTTTTTTAAACAAAATAATATTACATGGAATAGAAGCTGAGCATCTAAAAAACAATTACTCAAGTAGTGAAAATTACGTCAGTAGACCATATTAGTTCATAATTTTTCAGGTTTTCTGTCAGACACCATGATTAATGACTGATCATAAATTTCCAAGGAAAAGGACAGATCATGAATTTGTATTTTTTTTCTGAAGTAAAGTGTAGTTTCTGAAGTGGAGACCGACTGATTTCAGTAAATCGGGCCCTGATTTTATAAAGTATGGTTCCGATTCCAGTCTCTGTTATTCTAATGAATGTGGTGACTTTTCATTTAAAGTACACCAATCTAAATATAATTCCTTGTTGATTTCTGCACGAACTGGGGCGTGGGAAAATATTCACCAAATTCCTATTCTTTTTTGGTCGAGTCCCGAGTTCTAGGTTATAGAAGTTTCAGATGAAAGATCAAAACTTTCCATTTAATTTTGATTTTCCCACGATGAATTGTATGTGGAGGCGGCTAGGAAAAAGATCTGGAAACCTAAAACAAAATTGGTAGATATTATTTGAAAACAAATATCTCTCACTCCACCGTCTGGTTGTGGTTCCTTTTTCACTTCTTATCATCGACAGACAAAAAGTGAGAGACACGTTCAATTATTAAGACATATCTCTCCTGTCTGTCTCTGATTTGCCTCTGTTCTGTTGCCCATGGAAACCAACGAACATTGAGAAGAAAATATAAGTTTTTTAGCGAGATAAGTGTACAGAAACCGAGGGAACACAGAGAATGTGAATCCCGTTTCTTTTGATTACTGCCGTTTCTCAAATCGTATCCTGGAATCGTAGTTCTCATTGTTCTCTCTTTTTATTATAGCAAATGTTCTTATATGAACGCTTGTCTGATTTCTGAATGCTCACCGGAAAAACCCTCTTCACCTGGAATTCTGATGAATCATTTTTTTGGGTGGAATTTTCAATCGTGTTCTTTGTCAAGTTTTCATCTATAGAACTCACTATGAGATTATAGGTTTTAAAATTTTTCTTCAGTTTTCCATCAGATTGAATTTGATCTAACTAATTTGATATTAAACCTGCTTCAAAAAATATGTCAATCTGAATCCCTTTCTACCTCATTGTTTTATTTTGAAGTTATCGCGCACCTCTCCCTTACTTCAAAGCCACTTAATTTCAAAACGGTATATCTCAAAAACGAAAATAATTGGTGAAAATTTGTCAATTGCAAAATGTAGCTCATGAACATTTCTACATGTTATGTTGTTTTCAGCACTTTGTAAGGCTCCTAGTTTTGGAGATATGCGCCTTTAAAGTTAAGGTCGATAGAGTCATCTACCTCATCCTCCAGTTTTCAGACAATGATAAGTAACTTTCAGTCAGATTTCATTAGTTTCGTTTTCGTCTAGACCATATCCCCTGAAACTTCAACACTTCCTAGGTTTTTTAATGTCCAATTCGTCATTTCTTCTCGGGTTTCAAAGTAATATTTTGATTCATTTCTTTGATTTTCCAAAATGTATTTCAGATTGGCAATTCCATTTTCAGAGCTAAAAAGATAAAGTTTTTGCTATTTCTAAATGTCTTTTTTCTAGAAGCTATATCAGTTAACATTTGGGAGTTAGCGAAGTGTGAGAATTTATAGGACACTGGTACTTTTTTTCAGTTCCTAAAAACAAAAACGAAAAATATTACTTTTAGAGCATAATGGAACTCGGTTTTCCGGATCAATAGTTTGGAAGGTGAAACATGAGTGTTAAAAACTGGAAAACATTTTATTTCCATCTGAAAAAGAGCAACCGTTATGCTTCAATGCCTTCCTTATGCCACGTCACATAACTCTTCTATATCACATGTTATCTCCTTTTCCTCCTTCTTCTATTTCTTTGTCGTCTTTCCCTTTTCAAACTTAATGATTCTAATAATTTTTGCTCCAATGCTCCAAAGAGCACAACCACCGAGACCCAACAAATATCAGATTTATGTTGAGAAGAAAGAAAAAGAAAAAGAAGAAGAAAGCAGGTGCAATTCTTTTTTTTTCTACACAGAATTACGGCTAGTTCACTCAGTTTCCCCAATATTTGATCATCTCCAAAATTAGCTTTCTAGTGCGAGATGATTTGATTTTCTGGAATACTTTAGAGTCTTTTTTGAGCTGACAAAAGATTCTTTGAATTTTTTGAACATTGTCTTTCTTTTTATATTCATCTCTCTCATTCCAAGTTCGTCGATCTATATATATTTTTCCTGCAATACATTTTTGAAAATCTTGTTTGCACGTTTTTTTTTGTGGGGGCATAGCTCAGGGGTAGAGCGCTCGCTTCGCATGCGAGAAGTCCGGGGTTCAATTCCCCGTGCCTCCAAACGCTTTTTTGATACCTTCTGAAATTTACATTTTACAGATGCATTGAGTTAAGCAATCAGATAAATGGGATCGACGTGTTCATCGCCGGAGAGCAAAGAGCAAAACAGGATAAACTCAATCATCGACAAACAGATACGAAAAGATGAAGACAATGAGATTGGAAACCAGAAATTGTTACTTCTTGGAACTGGAGAGTGTGGGAAATCGACCATTTTAAAACAGATCAAGTGAGTTACAGCTCTAAAAGTATAATTACGATCAGTTAATTTCAGCATTCTTCATAGTAGCGGGTATACTAAAACGGATCTGAAAAACGTGGCGGGTACGGTGTATAGCAACATTATTCAAGGAATGGCAACACTTATAAAAGCAAAAGATCAGTTTTATCATGAAGTAACCAGTCCTGAGTTGGATGTAAGTTTCTCAAAATTTTAACTGAAGTACTTGAACTGTTTAACTCTAGACACAGGTAAGGGGGGGGGTTGTCGAAAAGCGTACGAACAGCGGCTGAAATTTTGAGGATTGGCTATAACTTGCCTCTTTAAGCGAATGGGGAAATTTTTTGACAAAAAGCATGGAAAGCAAGCATAAAAAAGAAAACATCAGTAATCAGACCATAATGAATAAAAGTTTTTTTTTCTGAAAATATAGGAAAACATTTTTTTTTCAATCATATGTGTTTTTGAAAGAATATTCTACAAAAAACATAGTTTTTTGCTTACAGTCCGGTTACTAATGTTTGCCTTTCATACTTGTTGACGAAAATTTCCCCGTTATCTTAAATAAGACAATTAAAATCGACTCTCATAACTTCAGTCGCCGTTTGTACGCTTTTCGCCCTACTTGTGGAATTATATAAGTTTGAATGAAGTCGAGCTCTCTGATGGAATCAAAATGTTGCATAATTATAGGCTTGAGCATTGACAAGCATGACGTTGTCTCCCTGGGCTCATTCAATTTCATTCTAAACCAATGAGTTCTTTAGAAATTACTGGAGCTGCTCTATACTTGCACTTTGAGCTATACTTGCACTTTGAGCTCAATTATCTCAATTTCTATAAGAGATAACAAAAACTTGTCGAGTGATAAATTTTTTGTCATAATATCACCAACATTTCATCAGTTGAAACATTTTTTATATCTTTCATAGAAATGGAGATAGTTGAGCTCAGAGTGCAAGTATAGGGTGACCTTCTATTAAAGTGCTTACGGTAGCTCTGATAACAGTCAAAACCGTTCATTTCAATTCCAAATCAGAGGTTCATATTCATTTCCAAATCTCAGGCCGATGCTCAACACATTCTCGCTTTGGCTGAAAGCAGCAAGGATGCAATGCCATTTATTCCACTAACATTCAATTCAATAAAACGATTATGGCATGATCCTACGGTCCAGAAGACGTTCGAACGTAGAGCTGAATTTCAGATGATGGATACTTTGGTTTAGTGAGTTTTCAACTGAAATCCTCGAATCCAAGTTTTGATATTTTCAGTTTCATGAATGAGATAGATCGGATAAATGATCCAGAATACATTCCAACTGTAGATGATATGCTCCGGATTCGGATACCAACTATGGGAGTAGTTCAACAAGTTATTGAAATCAAAGGGACCAAATTCAGGTTAGTTTTACTGTTTTTATTGTGGATTGGAACTGATTTTAACAGGATATTTGATGTTGGAGGTCAACGATCGGAGCGAAGGAAATGGATCCATTTGTTTGACAATGTAAATGCAACAATTTTTATTTCTGCCATCAATGAATACAATCAAAAACTGAATGAAGATGGAAATGCGGTAAAAGTTATAAAAATTTGATTTCAAAAAACTATTTTTTCAGAACCGGATGAAAGAATCCATCAAACTATTTGAGACAATTTGTAATTCTAGATGGTTTGTGCAAGCAGCGATGATATTATTCTTGAACAAACGGGATTTGTTTGAACAAAAATTGAAGACAACTAGCATAAATGTGCTATTCTCCACTTATTTAGGTATAATTCCTGACTCACAAATGTTTAGAATAGAAGACCATGTTTCTAAATATCATCTTTAAAAACCGGGTCTTGCTATAGTTTTTTTAAGAATCAGACTTTTCGTACCAACCAAATTAGATATGATAGAACTCGACGAGTTCTACAAAATGATAGTATTTGAATAACTGTGTCTTGTTTATGAACACATTTAAAAACGAGACGGCAAAAACCGACAGGGCCTGGCTTGGCACAGATCGACACAGTTTTCCAAATACTACGTTGATATCTAATTTAGTTGCTCGAAAAATATTGATTCCAAAAGTAACTATGGCAGACCCGGTTTACAAATATGCTAAATATTGATTCTAAATTCAGGATCGAATGATTACGCAGAATGTGTTGCTTATATTCAATTGCGTTTCGAAAGACTCAACAAGTATGCTGATGTGAAGAAAATCTACACCCATGTCACATGTGCAACTGATACGAATCAGATTCAACTGGTCATTGATAGTGTTGTTGATATGGTTATTGGGAGGAATTTAAGAGGAACTGGCATGGAATAGTTTCTTTTAAAATGATCTCTTGAAATGTTAGTTGGCGCTACCCCAAACTGACTGAGAAAATATGCTCTGCCTACAAACGCTGAAGCTGGATGAATGAGAAGAAAGAAGACCAGAGAATTTGATTCTCTGCAACTTTGGACAGCAACGGAATTTCCGAAACTTAATGACAAGTTTTTCTTTGGGATCGCACACTTTTTCCTCACATTTTACTGGTGAAGTTTGAATATTACTCATTCATTTGCAATATACAATTACTCTTTTTTTATACTCTTTGTTTTTTCTCCCATATCTCTGATTTTTACAATAAAGAGTTGAGATACGGCATTTTAAGAGATATTCAGATTCTAAGATTTTGGAATTCTGAGGTTCTGAGATCATGAGATTATAAAATGTATTGTTTGAGTTGCAAAGATTATTGCAGTTTTCGAATCTCAATCACTGTAGTTTTTCACTCACCATCCGATCACTGTAGTTTTTGAATTTCAAAGATTACGGTAGTTTTTGGATTTAAAAAAATTACTATAGTTATTGAACTCCAAAGATTACTGTAGTATTAGGTTGGCGGGAAAGTCTTTGTCACTCTGTTTGTTTAATCACTGTTCTCGTATATGGAGGCTGTGTATGATATCGACTCTAGTGAATAACAAGGTGATAAGAACCTTCCATATAAACAAGTCCCCATCTCCTTCCCTGCTCCTCATCTGTAATTGAAACGATATGTTTGTTCCCACTGCTATTCACATCAGACATGTTTTGATTTACCTCTTCCTATCTCACACCACGATGAAGGATTCGGAAACTTTCTTGAAGAATGTGTACAACACACATGCCCCTCACTACAATACTATTCGCAATTGGTTCCATCGTTTCGAAAAAGATGACTTCTCGCTCGATGAAAAGGATCGCTCTGGGAGACCCCGTGAGTTGGATTTGGACAAGCTGAAGCACGCATTGCAATCGGATCCATTTCAATCTAGCCGTGAACTAGCTGTCACATTCGGAGTTCACCATAGCACAGTCCTTGAAGGTTTGAAGTCTCTTGGAATGAGAAAACTTTTTGGTCGATTCATACCTCATCACCTGACTCAAGCCAACCTTGACCGCCGAGTCGACGATTCGATTACTCTTCTCACTCTCCACGCGGGCGATCGATGGCTGGACCGGCTAATAACCGGAGATGAGAAGTGGGTCTTCTACGATAATCACCACAGGAAATCCCAGCGGGTTGGAGAAGGAGAGAGCCCACAGGATGTCCCAAAACCCGACCTTCATCCGAAAAAAGTTATGCTCTCTGTGTGGTGGGGAGTGGACGGCCCCATCTACTGGGAACTTCTGCCCGAGGGCAAAACAATAACTGGAGACCTCTACACTACTCAACTACGAAACCTCAAGAAAGCAGTCGACCGTTCGGCCCTGAAAGACAAGAAAGTGTACTACAACATGATAACGCTCGCCCACATGTTTCGAAACAAGTGAAGCAGGAGCTGATGGGATATGGATGGAATGTTCTCCCTCACCCCCCGTATTCTCCTGATCTTGCTCCTTCCGACTATTGGTTATTTGGCGATATGACACGTGCCTTCGAAGGAAGAAGCTTCAATTCCCGTGGAGCGGTCGAAGCGGCACTCAAACAATACTTTGCCTCACGCCCGGCTGGATTCTACCGCAATGGAATCCATAAATTGAGGGAACGTTGGAGACATGTTGTTGATAATGATGGACAATATAATTAATTATTCGGTTATTTTTTCTTTGAGAAATAAACTATTGAAAAAGTGACAAAGACTTTCCCGCCAACCTAATAAATACGGTATTTTCACCGCACTTAAAATGCTTGTACAGATTTATTTCAACTTTTTTTTTCAGGCCTATAACGTTTTGACCATATTCATGGCCCTTTCAATAAATTCATAGCTTTATCAAATTTGTTCACGAGTTCAAGCTTATGTGCGGGTCACTTCTCAAAAATCCTATTTGCCAGATGTAAGTTTCAGAAGCCAAAGCAAACAGAGATTCTCCACAACAGCCTCGAAAACCTCGAGGTCTACAAGGTACGTCTGAGAAGCGATTACGGAAGACAGGGAACAAACTCGAAGATCCACGGACTGACACATTTTTTTTTTTGGACAACGGACAGTCAAAAATGACCGGACAGCTGACTACGGACAACGGATTCTGAGATTTTGAAATTCTTAGATTCCGAGATTCTGAGGTTCTGAAATACTGAAATCCTGGAATACTGAGATTCTAAGATTCTGAGGTTCTGAAATACTGGAATTCTGGGATTCTAAGATTCTGAAATTCTTAAATTATTTTTTTGTATGGGGCAACGGACAACATACAACATTTTTCACGAAAATTCCAGAAATTTTAATTACAAACTTTCTGGTAAACTGACGGAAAACAACTTTTTCCTCGGACAACTGACAACACAGAAGAAGAAACACGAAAGCAAAGCGAAAGAAAAGAAACAACAAAAAAATCGAGTTCACAAAGTTCTAATATCCAGAAGGCGTCCAGTTTTGTGATTGATCCGTAGCCTCCTCCCTCTGAAAAACATTGAAAAATTTTTAAACAATATTTCATTAACTTTACCTCGTCAGATTTTTTGCAAATATTTTTCAGAGCGATGTCCGTTACCGGCGTTGTTGCTGATGGGAGTCCCACATTCATAGATTCTCTGGTTTCGGAAATTTCATAACTTTTGAAATTTTCCTATCTAGCATAAAAATTTTAACTGAACCCCTAGAATTTTTTAGTCTCGCTTTTTCCTTATAATGGGGCACCCAAAAACATTTTTAAGAAGTTAAAAAAATTTTTTAAGTTTTTTTTTTTAATTTTGCCCCTAATCTCTCCAAACTATGTAGAAGTTCTACAGTAGAACTTTTTCCTCACGTCCAATTTTCTTTTCCTTTTTTTGGAAGATTTATAATTACACGTCTTTTTCACTTTTTTTGTCGTCTATTTTTTTGAGCCAAAAACACTTTCGTGGAAATAAATAACAACGAATTCGAATATTTCCTATCACCGAAAAACCCCAAAACTATCAAAAAATCATTATTTCACAAAACTTTTACAGTTTGGTTTTACGTATTTTTTCCTACTTGAAGTTTCAAATGCATCGGCTAAGTATGTTTATTGGGGGCTTAGAAAATGCTTCCTCTTCCACCATTTAGTTTCAGTACGTAAAAAGAACAAACAATTGGGAACGACTCCTAGAAAAAGTAAAGAGAAAGATAATAAGCCGCCGCCACAGGACCCATTGGAAAGAAGTAAAAAAACGAGATCGGAGAAAGAAGTGGCTCAGCCGAGTCAAGCGATGACTGATGAGCAGACGAATCGAGAGAAGAATATCAAAAGGAAACAGGTGGGTGCCCGTTATTTTGAGCCAATTTATCTTCGTTCCTATAAAAGATATAAAAAAAGTTGTTAACTAATGTAATGTTTTTGAGGTTTTGATGAATATTTTATTAGTTGACAATTTTTTTCATCTTTCACAGGAGCGCAGAGAAATGGGCGTAAAGTTTCAAAGCTTTCTTATAAGATTGGCGTCCTATTCCCCCCGCACCCATGCGTCCTCGGTTCCTTTGGAAAAACGTATCTTGGTTGATGTGGAAGTTATTAAAAAATTGTTAACTAATAAAAGTTTTTGAATTTTTGATAAATATTTTATCAGTTAACAACTTTTTGATATCTTTTACAGGAACCGAGATAATTAGCGTCAAAGTAAACAAGCTTTCGTGTCTCTTCCTCTTGCTCGCAGGCGTCCTTGGTTACTTCGAAGGAAGTTATCTCAGTTTTTGTTGAAGATAGCAAAAATTTATCAACTAATAAAACATTATTGAGATTCTGATCAACATTTCATTAGTTAACAAACTGTTGCTATCTCTTACAGAGGCTGAGACAATTTGCGTTCAAGTTGTTTAGTGCCCTATCAGTGGATTAATTGGTTCTTTAAAAATGCTGAATTTTTGTTCAACAGGAATTAATTGAAATGAATTTCCAGCTCGTCAAATTTGTCAAGCACGTTCTCGAAAAGGGTCCTTCCGGCTTACAAAAAGAGTTTTCTTCCATGAAGCGATTCAACGATTTCGAGAAAATGAAGGCATTCAAACAAGCTCAGGAACGTGGCAAAAATCGATACAAAGATGTGGGATGTCTGGATAATAATCGTGTGAAGCTTGCACCTCCATGGCCATACGACTACATTCATGGGAACTATGTGGCAACTCCAAACAATGCTAAACGATTCATTTGTACACAGGCACCACTAGAAAAGACTTGCGCAGATTTTTGGTTCATGTGTTTGCAGGTGATCTCAGAATTTAGGGAATTTTTCATTCCTTGGGTTTTCAGGACAAGGTTGAAGCGATTTTTATGCTGTGCAACCTGATGGAGAAAGGTGCCAAAAAGTGTTTTGAGTACTATCCATCCAAGGATAAAACGTTGGAATTTGAAGAGAAGGGACACAAGATTACGGTCAAATTTTAGTCGAGCAACAAGGTAGATATCCAAAAGTACTGAAATTCTGAAATTCTCAAATGTTCCAGATGAAATTCTCGAAGAGCGAGGCAAAGGTGATGGAGACTGTACTGACAGTTGAGGGTCAAGGAGCAACACTAAAAACCACTCACTATCATTGGGTTGATTGGCCGGATCGTGGAGTTCCTGCGGCTGATATGGCACTTTGTGAATTGCTAGCGAAAGCAAGATTATCAAAGTTAGATTGCCCAAAATTTTTTGAACGAAAAATCATTTTCGAAATTCTTCCAGGGCACCGATCGTAGTCCATTGCTCTGCTGGAATCGGTCGAACCGGGTCTGTAGTAATGATTGAGTACATGATGGATCAACTGTTATCCGGGCAGGTTATCGAGGACAGTGATAAGATTCTACAGAAGATTCGAGAACAACGAAATAACTCTATCCAAGTACAGTAATCTTCAGATACAAAGTTTGAATTTTCCAAAATATTCAGACCGAGCACCAGTATCTCTTCGTTCATCAAGTCATGATGAACTACTTTATGGAGAAGAAAATGTTCGATGAAAATGCGAAACTGGCACATTTGGATTTCACGGAGAAGTATCACAAAGCTGTTCATTAGAAAACTTCCGATTCCCTTTTTAAGTGTAATTGTGTGTAGAATAAATAATTTTGTATTATTTCTTGACTTGGCGGATCACAGCGGTTTCGGGCCGGGTCAAAAAATTCTTCCGGCCCGGCTCGGCCCGGATACTGATTTTTTGAAAAATTTCGGAAAAATGTGTTGAATTCCATTCTGAGATTCTGAAATTCTGAGATTCTGAGATTCTGAGATTTTGAGATTCTGAAACACTAGAATCCTGGAATACTAATATTTTGAAATTCTGAGATTCTAGGATTCTGAAATTCTAAGGTTATGAGATTCTGAAATTCTAATATTCTGAAATTCTGATATTCTGAAACTCTGAAATTCTGAAATTCTGAAATTCTGAAATTCTGAAATCCTGAAATTCTGAAATTCTTAGTTTCTGAGATTCTGAGTTTCTGAGATTCTGAGATTCTGAGATTCAGAGATTCTGGGATTCTGAAATTCTGAGATTCTGGGATTCTGAGTTTCTGAGTTTCTGAGATTCTGAGATTTTGAGATTCTGAAACACTAGAATCCTGAAATACTGATATTTTGAAATTCTGAGATTCTAGGATTCTGAAATTCTAAGGTTATGAGATTCTGAAATTCTAGTATTCTGAAGTTCTAATATTCTGAAATTCTGTTATTCTGAAATTCTGAAATTCTGAAATTCTGAAATTCTGAAATTCTGAAATCCTGAAATCTGAAATTCTGAGTTTCTGATATTCTGAGATTCTGAGATTCTGAGATTCTGAAATTCTGAGATTCTGAGATTCTGGGATTCTGAAATTCTGAGATTCTGAGTTTCTGAGATTCTGAGATTCTGAGTTTCTGAGATTCTGAGATTTCTTATTTGACAATCAAATGGACGTATTATCCAGATCTGTATTATTTAACAAACACTTATTATCCAGATCTGTATTATTTAACAAAATTTATTATCAGCAGGCTCGAACGTTTTTTTGTAGTCGCTTTCTTCACTGATTTTCCTGTAAGCATCAGAAAAAGAAAAACGTACTACAGTACATTTAAAGGCGCAACAATATATTTTGTAAAAGTCTCCCGAAACGATCGACTGCCGATGAATATAGTATACTGTTTCGTTTCTTCCTTCACCTTTTTTCAAGTATTTGTTTCGAACAATGGATTTCGTTCATTGCAATCACTGTTTTCAACGAAATAGTAAAGAAGGATATATCTTATCATCATGTTTTCACATATTTTGTCACAAATGCGTCAAAAAAGGTAGACCATAGCCGCTGAATAGCCGATCCTATTCATTTTTTTCAGATGCGACCAGTTGTCCATTATGCAACAAAAAAATTCGACTCGTTCTGCTAGATGGAAATATTAGCTCTGGAGTTAAAGCATATTTTGCTGATCCTCTGAAACTGATCACCGATAATTTGACGAAATTACAACGGAAATTTGAATTTCAAGAAAATATGCGAGTTCGTCTTCTTAAGCATTTAATAAAAGAGGTTAGTCGATCTGAGAAATTAATGAAATTTGTCTATTTTTGAAGAAAGAGAAAAAACGACAAATGGAATTGTACTTCCGCAAAAAAGGACAAGAATTCGAATCACAGAAGAAAAAACTGGCAGAGGCGACCGCATGGATTCAAGCTGCTGAGAGAAGGCTTCAAGCAAGCGAAGAGGAAAAATTGAAAGCACAAAAAGAGATGGAGGAAATGCGGGCTAAACTAAAGTGATGAGAAACCTATCCACTTATCAATTTGTGAAATATTCCAGATTATTGTCGAATGCCACGAGTCAACAGCACCATGCAAGCACGTCTTCATATTCATTCGTTCCACCTGATTCGCCAAAACCAGGGATGGCAGCTTCAATGATTGAATCATCTCCCAACTCCACTTTCAATTTAGTATCACCGCTAGTTCATTCTCCAGCTCTATCAAACAATTCGGTTAATTATCATGGATTTTTCGCAAATGGAGAAGTTCAATCCACTGGAACAGAAGGGTTCAATGATGAGCTGATGTTTAACACCATCGTTGGAAATATACGTATCGTATTTTCGAAAAATTTTATTATTACAGAGTAGTGGTCAGTCAGCACAAGCAAACGTATCGAATAGTTCAGCATTCAGTGCAGCTTTTAATAATGTATGGTTTTAAATAGAAATTAGAATCATCTGAAGTTCATTTTTCCAGCTGTTTACACCTAATCGAAATCTGAATGCTACAAGTCACTCGATGGCAAACCAAACAGTTTTAAACCAGACAGCGTTGAACAAAACGAGTATTTCATTAGATAACTGGAGGCAAAGTGAATCGGATTCCTTTGGAAAGCACGATATGTATTCAAGATGAATTTAATGCTTTAAATCAGTGTAAAACTTTTTCAAGGTCCAAAAAAGATTCATCCCTGCCATTGAAAAACTGTGTTACATCGTCAGCCAGACATCATCAATATACTCATGAAAAAGTCCGCAATGCTCCACCTCCTTCTCAGCATCGTCGAAGTATGGGTATGGATCGTCAGCAGCTACGAGATATGCGTCGAATCTCCTCTCAACCCGGTCTGTCTTTTCACTCTTTTCATCTTCTGTTTTTCAATTTCTCCTCCAGTCTAACACTCTCTCGTCTCACTCCTTCTCTCGCATTTCCTCACTTTTTCGCGCCCTTTCCGCTCTTCGTATTCCACTGCTTTCGATTTTTGCTTGCCACATGTACTAAACTAGGTGCTTTCAGGATACCTCGCCCGAAAAAAGTCCATCAATAACAGGAGCAATTATATGGAACATGAAAATTAGAATTTTATCTTCAGATGTTTGAATTTTTCTCGATCTATACTGCATACATGTACTATCAACTTTGTTTTTGTTTTTTTTTCATAAATTTTCACAAAACATTTCGATTTCTAAATATATAATACCGGCTCTCTGTTTTCCTTCGGTGTATCGCTTATTATTTTTGATTACCTCAATACGAGTAAACATTACAAAATTCAATGTTTCAGATGGCCAGTCCACGAACACGCCGGGTCCTCAAAGAACTGAGACCTCTAGATGATAATAATGTAAGTTTAACAAAAATCAGACCTCGAAATGTAATCTCCAATTTCAGTTTTGCTTCGAATGCGAAGCCAACAATCCGCAGTGGGTATCTGTGTCCTATGGAATATGGATCTGTCTTGAGTGCTCTGGTATTCACCGTAGTTTGGGTGTTCATTTGAGGCAAGTGTTTCATTGCATTTGATTTATAAAATCAATTTTCTTTCCAGTTTTGTTCGCTCAGTGACTATGGACAAGTGGAAGGACATCGAATTGGCCAAAATGAAAGCCGGAGGCAATCGAAAATTTGCCGAGTTTTTGCAGTCTCAGCCGGATTATAAGGAGAAGTGGACTATTCAGGAGAAATACAATTCAAGAGCAGCTGCTCTCTTCCGAGATAAGGTTAGTACTTGCTTTCATTTTTAACTCAAAAACAAAAACACATAAATCTATGTCAGGTTGCGTGCGAAGCTGAAGGGCGTGAATGGTCTCAGTCTACATCTCCGGCTAACAATTACGTTGTTCCTACTCTCGGAGGAATGGGTGCTCGTTCAAACTCCTCGACCAATAAATCTTCTGGAAATTCATCTCTTGGTTCTTACTATGGAGGGAATTCTAGTTACTCCCAATCCACAGGAGATGGATCTTACTCTTCTCAAGATTCGTGAGTTCTCAATCACTAAACTTTCAACGTCAATCGTTTTTAGAGGAAGCAAGTACCAAGGTTTCGGAAATACTGGATATGTTCCCAACCAGTCGAATAATGGTGGAGATGACCTTCTAGCTGGAGCAATGTCAGGTCTTTCTATGGTAGGACTCGAAATGTTTTAAGGTTTTGATATTTATTGAGTTTTCAGGGTTGGTCGATGTTATCAAAAGGAGCTTCTCAAGCGGCTGCCATGGCGAAGGACGTTGGAATGCAAGCACAGCAGAAAGCTTCGCAATTGAGTGAAAATGTGGTAAGGGAATATAATTTCAACTAGATTGACTCATTTGTGTAATGTTTCAGTCTCAAAACAACTCTATCTTCGGTGGTGTTGCTAGTAAAGCATCCGAAGTTGGAACCAAATCATGGGATGGTTTTTCTCAATTTGTGAAGTCACCATCCCTTAACGCATTTTCGGGTATTCTCTCTAAAACGTAAGTTCGTCTATTAGTTTCTAGAAATACATTCAGACATCAATTTCTTTCAGTGGATATGAAGATTTTGGAAACGGTGGAATGTCTGGTTCCTCATCTCAAAACGAGTTTAATGACTGGCTGAAGCAATCACAGCTGCCACGTGGAACGACAGAAGGCGCCACTCATTTGAGTAGTGAAGGTATTTTTGATTCGAATTCAAGAAATCAATTTTTCTGTTTATAGAAATGATGACGTCAGCAGAACCGGCTGAAGCTAGAAGAAAGAAAGAAAGGAGTCCGAAACCGGCACCCAAGAAAGAAAAAGGTATTAGAATACTGGTTTCCTTTACATGAACAAGCTAATTTTTTTTCAGTGATCGCTGATGTTGTGGAGGATGATTCATCTACCATCGCTCAATTTGAATCTTCTTTCAACAAGCCTAAAGCAACCGTTCCACGGACGGCTCCTGTAACCGCTGCTCCACCGAAGAAGCAAGAAAAGGAAAAAGGATGGGATGATGACGCTTGGGATCTGCTCAACCAATAGGCGTCAGGAGCACCTACTCTCTTCCGATTTTCTGTATTTTCTGTCCCAGTTTTATTTCTAACTTATTTCTGTTTTTCCCTTCTCTCACGCTTTCTCTTCCCGAGATTCCTTTCCTTTCTAGCTATCAGAATTGTTTCCTGTGATTTCTTTTTTCTTCCAATTTCTCTAAGTCCACCTAGAAAGTACCGGCAGAATATATATTTTTAACTGAATCTATCGAATTATGAATTTTTTCAAGTCCTTGTGTGTTTGTGAATAAAAAGAAACGAAAAGTTTAGTGTGAAGTTAAATATTCATAACCTGTGTGTTTTGTAATTATCGTGTATGGTAATTCAGTTGACATATTTTGTTCCTACTCTAATACGGACTAACTGCAACTAACTTGACAATTTTATCCCAAGTTTTTGTTTCAGATCTGTCAGTGATGTCGAGAAAAATAAAAGAAGGTAAGTGCAAAGACAAAAACTCGTTTGAAATTGAATAATCTTTGTACCTTGTAGCTAAAAAATATTTACGGAACGGCAAATTCACCGACGCGGTTGATAAATTCAACGAGGCAGGACATGAGCTGTACGATGCTGGAGAATCAGACCAAGCAATCGAAGTTTTAGAAGAAGGTTAGGCTTTTGGTATGCAGAAAAGTTGAGATGCGGATTCTTTTTTTTACTTTTATCGTTTTCCAAAGCCCTGAATGCCAAGTGGGCACAGAGTCTTAATTCGACACCTCCTTTCGCTCACACAGCGGAGCGCGTTTAAAAAACTTTTAGAGCTCGGATTTTTCTGCTTATTAGATACTTTTGAACACGCTGATTACAGAACTGAAGAGTTTTTTTTTCACTACTGTCTCTCTAAAAAAAGTTATGGGCTCGGAAAATACCGATTTTTCAGTTTTTTAGTGCATTTTTGAAAGGCTTAGTGAGAGTTTTTGGTGCTTTTATGATTTCAAACCGTACGGTTTGAAATCAACTACGTAGTTTTGAATATTTCTATACAATCTGGAGAAGTTCTTTTTCTGTTTTTTCAAAAAAAAATTTTGAAAAAAATTTCATGGGGTCCTTCCTTTGCTAAAAAACTTTTTGTGAGCAAAAGGAGGTGTCGAATTAATACCCTGTCAAGAGGGCGGGACGAGAGAATCAATGCAGATTGCTCCAAAGTAATTTGAACGCTAGATAAAGAATAGATTTTAATCATTTACTTGTTCTCCAAGCTTATTTGCTATCATTCATCCTGAGCAGCTATCAGATGCTCCGTAATCAAAATAGTGGCAAAAGTGGCACACTTGAAAAATAAGACCGAGATACATTTTTTCAGGCGCAAAAATAGCAAGAGAGTACAAAGTTCTGCTCGAAGGAAGCCTTTGCGAACGCAAGCTGAGTGAAATTCACGCAGCACTCGGAAATCGAGAAAGTTCTCTCCAACATCTGACTGCTTTCCGTAACTTGGCAACTCAATCTGGATGTCGTTCGCAAGAGCAAATATCACATCACGTTTACGCATGGTGTCTCCAACAACTATATACCAACGGTGTAGCTGGAAAGGGGGATATTGAAAGAGCCATTGAAATGACAAAGAAGTCGAGAGAACTCGTGGGAACCTACAAAAAGCTATTCAAACCCGGTGATCCAGGAGGACCACATCATATCAGATTAGCTCAGTTGGTAATAGGCAACTTAATTTTTAGGTTTTCAAATTATTTAATTTTCAGTTTACTCTTGAAGCACAGCTAGAAAATCAGCTAGGAAATAACGAGAAGGCTTTGCATCTGCTAGACAAGACGGATCGATTGCTCAGGTAACAATATTTTATCGCATTCTTTATCATGATTCATCTGATTTGATTTAGACCGAATGATAAATCAACTCGATTTGAAATGCTGCGAACGAAGTGCAGTATTGTGCCAGTCTCCAGAAGGGTGGATATAGCAGAACTCATGGATGACGATGCTCCAGAAGACAAAAAGGCTCAAACCCTATGTGAATTATCTCATGTTCGTTATCAGTGTCAATATATGATAAAGAGCTATCAGTTTTCAGCAATACATTCTCGCAAATCGTCTGGAAAAGGGATACAAATCACTTGCTCAGGCATACATTTTTCATGAAAAGCAACTTTCTCCAACGGAAAAAGAGGATACCACTAAACGGTTATGTATTAGTAAGGAAGCAATGTGTGGAGCATCGACAAAATTGTTTCATTTTTAAGTATACCGCCTTGTGAAATACTCTAGGATCCTCAAAAATACCAAGCTGGAGCCTAAACTTTCAATGTGCGAACTTCACGAAGCTGTCGGAGATTTGTACGATCAGTATTTCCGAACACTCATGGATAAGGAGAAAAAAGAGTACAGACAATACATCAGAGATAATATTCTTAGAAATTATGAAAAAATGCTTGAGTGAGTTCTATTTCTAGATCACCAATTCAATCAAATAAATTCAGATGCAAACGGAATGATGAAGATGAGCTTCGAGCTTTCCTTGGAATGGCTCTTGTCTATGAAGATTTGGATGAACATGCTAAATCGAAAAACATGTTTGAGAAGAGACTGGATCTATTGAAAAAGACGGGAGCAGCAGCAGAGAAGGTAACCAAGCATAGATTAATCAGCTTAATATTTTATCTTCCAATCCAGATTCTTGACACGAAAGTATCGATATTCGGTTGCATGTGCAAATTGAAATCATTCGGTCTGGAAAAAGTCTTCGATGATCTTTCAAAAGAAGTTGAAGAATTTGATATCACCAAACGAGAATTGTATGACACTTGGGCAAACTATTTGTTAGATAATGGAGATGATGAGAAATCCCAAAAGTGGAGGAAGGCTGCTGATGAAATACCAGATACTCTGATCAAGGACGAAGATGATGAGACAGACATTCTGTATGGAAGACTTCCCGATGAAGAGATTCTAGAAAGATGTCGCGAGGAAAACGAGCTGCTGAAGCTCGATAATTTGACAGAACATCAAAAGCATAAAACGAACGACAAGGGTGAAACTATCTTACATCAAGCTGCTCAGAAGTCGGACAATGAAGGTGTAGTTGAGAAACTGTGCAGAATGGTGAGAAACGTATTTTCGGTATATAAAGTTTTATAATTTTCAATTTGAAGGGTTGTAAAGTGGATGCGAGGGATTTCGGTGGTTGGACTCCACTGTCGGAAGCAGTTGCTCATGATCATCTGGAAAACGTGCGTGTTTTGATTCGATATGGAGCAGATGTAAATGCTAGAAGTGCAGAATCGTTTATATCAGAAGAATCCCAAAGTTCTTCTGATGATCTAAACCATTCGAAATTAACTCCCCTTATGGAAGCATGCACAAACGGTTTCATTGATATTGCAATGTTGTTGATTGATAATAAAGCGAGAGTTGATCTCAAAGATAGTGCTGGCTGGACAGCCTACCAACATTTGAGGTAAGTTTGGATTCGGAGTCCTCACTGATTTTAATATTTTTACAGACGCTATGTTAATGAGAATGGAGGTAACGAGAGAATGATGAAGTTTTGCGAATATCTCAAAAATCGAACATCTCAGTGCACCGATATTCCGGCTCTCACCATTCGAACTACGAACAGACATGAAGAGGTAGAATTACCAAACGATTTTTTGTTTGATTTCAAAATGTTCAGGCTCACTCTGATGATTCACCTCCGGATGAAATTGAAGATAATATCATTCTAGGGATGGCAGCTTCTCGAAAACGGAGAAACTCAAACAACTCGGATAATTTCAGTAACTCTTCAAAGCGAGTTCAGCGGAGAAGCGGCGAAAACACTAGGTGAATACATCTACTTTGAATTTTCGATTTTTAATTTTATCCTCTCAGACCTTCTCCACAACCGCCAGTTCCATCTCGTCCATTTAAAAAGCGCAGCACTCAGCCATCCATGCCATCCTACTGTCAGCCAAAACGATTAGATCATCGGAATTCATCGTCTTCATTAAATTCAATCCCACGAGGGTCGAATTCTCCACGGCGGTCTATATCACCAACTGCGACGATTCGTTCTGCTCCTTCTGTTTATGCAGACGATGATGATGTACAAGTTGTCAGAATGAGAAAAGTAAACGCCATGTAGGTTTTCTCCATTCTTTTATTTTCTTTTCTTTGTAAAATATAGAAATTCGAGAAAGTTTCTCTTGACTCATGGAATCATAGAACTGAAAAAAAACTTAATTCTAATACAATTTTGTTTTATTCAGCCCTCAAATAGCCCTTTCCAGTAAGACATCTCCATCTGTTCAACGGTTAATTCCATCGCCAAGAGCTCAAATCGATCCAAAAAGTACGGATATGATTGTCAAATGTTTCTTCCAACTCCCTCCTGGAAATGCGTCTGATGAGATTCGACCTGTCAAACTGCCAATGAGAAGGCAAGCTAAAAGGCTAAAATAAAAGTTTAATTCATTTTGAATTTCAGATCCCTCTCTATTGCAGAAGTGAAGAAAGCTGTGATGACCAGCGTTCCTACTGTTTCGCTATTCAAAATAAAAAGTGTTTTCAACAAAGAAGACGAAGACAAATGCAGTATTGATGAGCTTACGTTATCTCAAGTAGTTCATAAACCAGATCAAAGAGAAATCGGTCTTGTATTTGAATTGCGTGCTCCTCCCGCCCACGAAGTGTATGAGGAAATTTCCAAAAGTAAGGCTAACAAATTATTATTTAAAAAAATGTTTATTTGCTTCACAAATCACATGACAAGGCCAAAAAATCAAATCAGTATTTATCGTAGTAGTTTTGGTTGTTGTGGTAATCTGAAATTAAAATAGGTTTTCAAAAATGCTTTTGGAAATTTTCACAGCTCACCGTTATATTTGGGTTGTTCATTGTAGTAGGAGCTACCGTAGTATGGCTGATGGGATGGTTGGTAGGAATAGTAGTAGTCGTTTCCGTACTTCTGATCATGTCCTTCGTTGTACTTTGGCTGATAAGAGTCATGATAATAGGTTGGTTGGTAATGGGAATCTGTAAGTTTTGTTATCTTGATCTACACTTCATGGAGAAGATTATAATACCCTTGTGGTCGTCATACTTTCCATATGATTCGTACTTGGATCCATATGGGTTCAGGTAGACTGGTTTGAAAGGATGGGATCCATATTTCGGGCCATGATCTGAAAAATCGAATTTTGCTTTCAGACGGAAATCAGATATCACAACCAATGCAATCTGATTTATTTTTTTGTTTTCTATTTTCTAGCCAATTTGATCCCAGTCTTAAATTAGATTCAGTTAACATATTTCCTCTCATAGAAGGCCATTCAAACCGTCAATTTTGAGATAAATTAGACTCCTGTGAAAGATATCAAAATGTTATCAACTGATAAAATATTCATCATAATAGGAACAATGTTTTATCAGTTGACAAATTTTTGATATCTCTCGCAGGAATCGAGATAATTGAGCTCAAACTTGAAAGTTGGAGGCTCTTCTATTACTGGTTTTACGGTATAGGAAAGTTGATTCAAATTGCATAACTCACCAAACATGGCAAGAGCCATTGAAGCGAATACAACAGAAATCAAAAATGTTGAACGGAAGTACATCTTTCCTCAACCCAGTTGAATGCGTTGGTGACTTCAATAAACCTCTCCACGTAGCTTTTATACTTCCTTCGAATATCCAGAAAAAACAAGAAGACTCCGCCCACTTTCCCCTCCCTCCTCCGTTTTTTTCTTGAATGCTTTTTGTAGATACTAGTCATTGAGGCAACAAGAAGACAAGATTCTTTCTTCATATTCTCTCTCACACGTACACTAAATTACATAATGGTACGAAGGTTTTATTTGTTGAAGAGAATGGAGTGAGGTCCCCGGCAGGAGGAAAGGTGAAAAAGAGAGGAAGAAGACAAGTTGTAACGAGAAAGAAAATTAGACAGGAAGTGCCAAACGGACAGGGTGACTTTTTCAGATTTCTCCAATATTTTTCTCTATGCGGTAGTTTTTTTTACAATTCGTATTAGACAACGATCCATGAAAATGGACTAAAAAAAATTCAAAAACCTCAAATAATTGGTATCTTCTGAATGCACATGCAATTATGTTTGTCCCCCGCTCCTTTCCGTTTCTTTTCTGTTTTGTAAACCAATTTTCTGAAGTATCGAAAATGAAAAATAAACTGAAAATAGTGATATTTTCAAGTCTTGAATTCAAGACATCTCTGTCACCAAACGGATCTTACATGGCTATATTATGATCTTTGAAATGAAGGTTCGTAGATGCTTTCTAGAAGGGATGAATTGTGTTGAGAAAATTCTTGAAGTGATGTCAGAGCTAAAAGCACAAATGAAAGTGCGAAAATTAGTAGACTCCAAAAAAATGACGTTGTCTTTCTGGAGAACAGCAGAAAACCTTCAGAATGAAACTGGAATTACGAAAATCAGTCCCCAAGCGTCTTTGCATACAATTCCAATAAGTTCTGCGGTCTCTGCGGGATCCTGGACTACTCAGAATCCAAAATTTCAGAACTCAAAGTTTAGGAATCCGACGCTTCAGAAATGTTCTACTTTATGTCCAAATATCGAGTTCTGAAACGTCCAGGAGTACTATTTTATGATATTCCTTTAGCATTGCAAATTTTATAGTGTGTGCCGATATTTGTAAATTTCAGACATATATTGTAGTCATTGTAAGACCCGATACTTTCCGTACAATTTTTTCCATACTCACGAGATTGTTTTCAGAAAATATTTTTGAAGATTACGGTAGACTCCGATTTTCTCAAGACTTCCAAATAAAATGAGACCAGATCAGAAATCGACGAGCGCCTTAGTCCCCATTTCGCCCCTTATTAGGAATGGATGTCGTAGAGAATGTACTAATTATGGACACAACATTCTCAAAGCACGCAAATGTGGTTCATGAAATGTAAAAATGATGTGTTTCTCAGAAAGCCAGAATAAAAAATAGGAAACTTTATTCGGTAGGAAATGTTAAAAAATGCAAAAAGAGCAAATTGAGTGAGACATGAATTAGATCCGATGATTGCTTACTTGTGCATACCGAAGTGGTGGTCTCCGTCGTGGTAATCTGAAAATTAATCAGGATCATAAATAAATGAAGAATAAGAAAACGAACCATCGTGCTTCGGCTGCTCATAATAGTTTTGTTGATGGGATCCACCGTAGTATGGTGTGTATTGGTTGTACTTGGTGTAGTAGTCTTGATGTCCTCCATGGTACTTCGGCATGTACGAGTGATAATAAGAAGCAATTGGATTGTAGTAGGTTGGCTCGTAGTGAGAGTCTTTTCCATTGTTTCCATGCTCATCGTACTTTCCGTATGATTCCGTGTTGTAGTACTTTGATCCGTAGGTGTGGGTTTGGTACGGTTGGTAGTAGCTGGTAGAGTGTCCTCCCGGGTAATAGGAGTTGTGTTCTGAAAAAATTCTAATGAGAATCAAAGCTGGAAATATTCTTACCCATGACAGCGAGTGCGCCGACGGTGCAAACGGAGAGAACTAGGAGAGATGAATAAGAAGCCATTGCAGCTGCTGCTGATGATAATTCAATCCTCAACGTCTTCTTTTATACCATTTTCTGTCTCCTTCCGTCCGGTTGTTGTTAATAGTAGTTCATTGGTAGAAAAGAAAAGAAGAAGAGGGAGAGACAACAATACAGTAGAAGATACTTTTTGTACTTCTGTCAACGATTCTATGCACTTTCGATTCTATGCTTTCTTCTTCTATTCTTTTCTGATAGTTGGGTATGTCATCCGGATGAATTGTACGCAATCGGAGTGAAACGGGTACACGGGAGGACAGGACATGAACAATTGGGTTTTAGTCAAAATTCTAAACCCTTGATGAATTGATTTCGAAAAGGTAATGCGATAATCTTCAGATCCGAATCCGGAAATTATCAACGAACTGAAACAACTGTCGACTGCAAAACGTCTGGACCTCTCTTCTCTCTTTCTTAACAATCTGGAAATGTCAGAGGTGGCGAAGAGTTTGAGCAAATGTGAACGACCCCAGAATTCTTATTTGAATATCAGTTTCTGTGGTGTGATATTGAGAAAGTTCAAATAATAGTTCAATTTTTTTCCAGGTGTTTCCCAAGAAGATGAAGCAAATTTTCAAGATCTTATCGATGAATGTGGGATCTTGAAGATATCAAATTCTTATTCAAAATCTGGATTTTCGAGAATCTTTGAGGTTTTACTGATGATGACTACGAGTATCAAGCATTGATTATTTTTCAGAGAACTAAAAACAAACTAGAACATCTGGAGTTGTTCGGAATAGATTTCCGTGACGAGGGGCAGATTCTGAAGATTCTTAGCAACTGTTCGAATGTGAAATCGCTGAACCTCTCCGGATTAAATGTGGCTACACACTCGTACAACAACTCATTGATACCAGCTACCATCACTGGTGAGATTGGTTTTGAGTTCATCATAGAAACATTCGTTTTCAGCTTTTCCAAATCTTGTAAAACTGGATTTGAGCTTCAATTCTTCGTGGATTTCTGATCAAAATTGGGTTCAGATGCTAAAAGGACTGGAAAAGTTAGAAGAGCTGATTATAAACGAGACGAACACTAATGTGACATTCGAGGTAATTTAATAAGAATCGTATTCCATAAGATAATTCTTTTGCAGACTGATTGGCTTCCGAGTCTCTCTTCGTTTAGCTCGCGGGGATCTGATCTAAACTGGGATTCAATTTTCGAGATGCTCTCTATTTCTGAACAAATCTCACGAATCGATGTTCGATTTTCGACCTGTCCACCTATTCTACCGCAAGAGCTACGGATCGGAAATCACAGAATAACGGAAATCTTGTATTAGCTGATCTTCTCAATTTTTTTGTCAAATGGCCTCGCATTGCTTTAGAACTACATATTCTCAATTTCATTTTGATCTGAATCTGACAAATTTGTTAAATAAATAACCGTACATTTTTAACTTAAAACTGACAATCTCAAAATGGGTCAAATCAAGTGATGATCTTCTGGAGGCGGAGGGCACATCCTACAAATTGCTGTGATTCTATTTTGAAAAACTGGAAGAATATCATCGTCCTGGAAGAGCAATGTCCATTGATAGTGAGCCGAGCCGTCTTCACATGTTGATTTGAAGAAAAATCTGGAATTTAAAATTTGAATTTTGTAAAAAAAAAACTAATGAATATCAATACCTGCAATTATCAGAATAATGAAGTCCAAATAAATGTCGAAAATATCTGAGTGTGACAGATTGGTTTGCTGAGATCTTTGCCACCATTGGTACATCATTTTCATAGCGTAGTTCAACTGTCAGTTTTTGGATTTCTCCACTTCTTTTCTTTCTGAATTTCTTGGTTTTATTCAGAAATTTTCGACTCAAAAAACTAACGGTTGGAGTGTCGAAAACCCATTATTACTTCCCGGAAACAAACGATTCGGTCTTTCAAGTGTACCATGATTCGACTTTCCATAACCTGCAATTAAAAGTGGGGTTTTCAACCCAGTACCTTTTTTGACATGATTCAGAAATGTGTATATTACGATACCGAAAAATTTGGGGCTGCAGACAGGAATCTCTGGTGGCCGTGGCCGAATTCCACACAACGAAAACTACAGTAACCTAAAATTTCGGTGTTTTTTTCTCGATTACTATTGCTTCTCGACAACTTTGGTGTTGAAAACCCCCAAACAAGTCGAAATATAAAATTTTTCTAAATTTTGAAAAATTCCGGAAACTGGCGAAAACTGAGAAAAATATTTGAAATTAAATACCGTAACCACTGTTATCGAAGGCCAGCCCATACTCGAACTTTGAGTCAATTAATCTCGGTTCCTGGAGAAGTTATCAAAAAGAAGTCAACTGATAATATGTTTTCGACATTATAATAAACATTTTGTCAGTTTACCACTTTTTGATATCTCTTATAGGAAGTGAAATAATTGAGCTTAAATGGCAAGTATAGGATGGCCTTCTATTAGAGTGTTTACGGTACACTTGCTAGTTACGGTAGTTTGGCCGCGGCTGCGGTCACCAGATTTTCTCTCCCATGACTTCGATTTTTTTGTACCGATAGTTAAAAAGTGTTCTTCTTACGTTCAAAACTCCAAAAATCACTGGCATTACTACCGAATCCGCTGGAATCTGTGGTGGTGGTATTTTGCTGTCTTTTCTTTCTGAAAACCAAAAAACCATTATAGTCTCTTCTCCATGCTAACTTATAAAGTGACTCAAATCTTTTCGGAAGATTTCTCAACGTATGAGTTTGCGTGCTTTGTGGAGGTGGAGCAAATCCATCGGACCCATATGGATCCGCTGATCTCTCTTTCTTTTTCTCTTCTTCCGTTTCTGACGAATTTTTAGTTTCTCTGTAATAAGAATATTAATTTTTGCCTCTTATGAGATTTCTTACTGTAAGGAGTTGAGTCGAGTACAAACTGCATTGAAAAACGCAAACCTGTCGTCTTCCGACTCATGCGTTACGGTATTTTGAGAAATTTCGTGTCGAGATGATCGATCTATAGCGTCGTCATTGAACCTAGAATCAAAAACAGTGTTTGATTCGAAAAAAATAGAATACATACCAAATAGTGGCACCTTTATCAGAAGAATCAGTAGATGATGTGTCCTCCCACTGAAAAGTTTTAATTAGTGATAAAATTAATGAATAGCTTACTGTATTGCTAACATCTGCTGTAGTCGTGGAATATTCTGTGTGCATAGATCGTAAATGTTGGAACAATGGTTGTTTCAAAGGATCAAACAACTCGATGTAGGGGGATTTTCCATCAAGAACCTGAGGAGAAAACGACTTGAAGGATTTTGGGATACTGTAAAACCTGTAAAAGAAGGTTCCTCTCCCTCACTTTGGGCGGCCAATTTATCTCGGTCACTGTAAGAGATATCAAAAAGTTGTCGACTGTCAAAATTATTTTTACATTATAATGAACATTTTGTCAGTTGACCACTTTTTGATATCTTTGACAGTAACCGAGAAAAATCAGCTCAAAGGTAATAGGTAGAGTACCTTCTATTACTGGCTTAGTAATTTCATTCTGAAACTTTATTTTAAAAATTTACAAATGATTCTCTACCAAAATTACTCACAGTCTTAGTATCCTCTTCATATCGAGGCATTAAGTCTGCCCATTTTCTAGCCATTTAGCAAAATTAGAAAAAAGATAAGGGAGTTTAAAAAAAGAAAGAAGAAACGGATGTCTTATACGATTGTTGACCGACACTTTCCAGCCTAACGACGTGTCAACCTGTTCGATTGCACACAAAAGAATGTATGAAGAGTCCTTGTCTGTGTACTCAGAACACTTGACAGATACCGGGTGGAAAATGGAGAAACAGTTATTTTGTAGAAGAGAAAGACACACCTCATGAACTCTTTTGGACATTTCAGTCCGAGTTGAATCTTCAATGACGTTGCATGTTCCAGTATTCAAACTGACGTATTTTCGATGGATGTGTCGAGCCAATTTAAGAAGAGATAGTGATGGAGAACCGCTCTTGAATTTGGACTCGAATTCAAGAATCGACTTGTAGAGAGTTATCGAATCGGCGTTCCGCGATTCTTCCTGAACAGAATTGTAACATCAAAAACTATTTCAAACTCTGAGACACTATTATAAAATCTAAGTTCTGCGGAAAGATTTTCATCTTTTCAATATGGTTATTTTATTACTTAGAAAAAAAACCGAGCTTTGGAAGAGAAACACCGGTGGCCGAATTTCCTACAACGACAACTACCGCAACTAAAAATCATATTATTCAACTTTTCTGGAGTTTCGTACTTTTTTGTAAATTATTTCACTGTCAATAATTTCTATTTTCTGGCTTGTCTGGGGGGAAACAACAGAAAACTCGACAAAACAGAAAGTAAGTATAGTTTTAGGTTACTGTAGTTGCCGTTGTAGGACCTTCGGCCGCGACCACCGGCGTTTCTCTTCCGCAGCTCCGGGAAGATATCAATTCTTGAGTTGAATTTAATAAACTACAGTACTACTCCGTTTTTCACCTTTTGACACCACTTGAAAAATTCCGAATCATTGAGTATTCGATCACTGAAAGTTTTCGATCGCATTGTCATGGTAACTCCGTTTCATGCTGAAAACAATTTCAACCAAATAAAAACCAACAAAAAAGCTCGACAAGACAAGATTTTCAAAGTGTGGATCAAAAATGCGCGGAAACGACGCGAGAAAAGCTAGATCACAGGAAAAGAGATATTGTGTCAAATGGATTGAGATAGAGGAGAAAGAGCCAACCGTCTTGGCAAATATCATAGAAAGGAGAAAAAACGGCTAGTTTGTGTTCTCAGGGATGTGTTTCCGTGGTTTAAGTGATTGGCCTTACAACAGTTGTTGGACATGGATCAGATCTTTAACATAACGAACTGAAAATAGCTGTTTAAAGTAAGGCTGAAACAGTTTCCGATTTTTCTAATCTTCCATATTTCTTGGAAATTTGAAAACTACAAGTCTGAGCAAAAACGTCTGGGTTCGTAAAACAAGAACACTTCAACACGACTCACTGTAAACGTTCTGATAGAATCCCACCCAAACCGTCAACCTTGAGCCAATATACCTTGGTTCCTGTGAAAATTATCAAAAATATGAAATTCAGGGTACTTTGCTACAAAAAATGAGGCAACTACAAAAACAAAGCTTTATTAAGCTCTTATAAACCAAAAAGTTCAGATCAATTGAAAAAACTCTAATTGTGCACAATCCAATAAACAAAATAAAAACATTTGAATTTATTTAAAAGATTTGAATAAAGATAAAACTGACAAGTGTTCAAAGCCAATAAGAAAATTCATTAAAAGTTAGTTTTTTTCTGTCGTGTTTAAAAGTAAAATACCGTAAAACCTCTAATAGAACGACACCCGGATCGTCCACTTTGAGCCTATATATCTCATTTTCTGCAAAAGATATCAAAAAGTGGCTAACCAGTAAAATGTTGCTGATATCCTGATAAACATTTTACTAGTTAACCACTTTTTGATACCTTCCAACAGAACCGAAATATATAGGCTCAAAGTGGACGGTCCGGGTGGCCTTCTATTAGAGGTTTTACGGTAATCGTGTTTTCTCTAATAGATGTCCACCCAAACTGTCCACTTTGAGCTCAAATATATAGGTTCCGTCCGATGATATCAAAAAATAGTTAATTTATAAAATATCTTTGATATTATGATAAGCATTTTGTCAGTTGACCACCTCGTGATAGCTTTAACAGAAACCTAGATACATGAGCTCAAAGTTGACGGTTTGGGTGAGCTTCCATTAGAGAAAATACGGAACTCATTTTGAAACAGAATATAACGCAAGAATACCTAAAAACTCAAAAAGACATTTCAGCAGAGTTCCGTGATCCTCTCGTGAATACACACTCTTCACTTGGTTTCAAAATCATCCTGAATCTGATAGGAGTGTTGTGGCGCATTGACCTTCAAACTGATTTTACTCTTGACGACATCTCCTGACAGATGGACTGGCAGATGGCATGAATAAGTATCACATATATGTTTTGTTGACATGGTCGTTGTCGTTTTTGGTTTTTTGAAAATAAATTCGTTCATTACATGATGAAAAAACTTCTAAAATTATCTTCAACCCTCCATAAATCACCCTACAGTCCAATAGAGTACCAACCAAACTTTTAACTTTGAGCCAATTTATTTTTTGTTTACGGTAACTTTGGGATGTAATGGTGGTTCCTGTCTTCTGATCTTTTTTCCATGAATACCTCAAAACCCAAATTATTAAATCTTGTTCAACTAATTTGAATAAGCCAACCACTGTTTTTTTCGTTTTCAAACTGCAATTAAACTTAGAACCACCTTCTAACAATCTTCCGAATCAAAATGCAATGCGGTTTTCTATATTATTCTCTCCCATTTATTCTCCTTCTCACGACAACAGCCTTTTCTCTTTATAGCACAACACACCATGCACGTTTTGCTTTCTTTTTGGACTTTTTCTCTCTGTTTCTCTCCTCTTCTTGTGCTTTCGTCGTTGCGGGATTAGATAAGAGACCGAGGCTAATTATAGGCAGGTGCTGAGTGTCGAGAGACGGAGAGACTTACCTGAGATGGACGAATGAGGATTCCCAGGAGCATGTCGTACATCTATTGATTTTCCCATCCAAATTAATCTATACCATCTCTATACCATCTCCTGCGCTAGTCGAGAACAGCAACATGTCGTCGTTCTACGATGACATGGAGAAGATGAAAATCGAGGATTTCCTTGGCAGAATTCAACGTAAGTTCATTTATTGATTGATCACAAATCAGCTAACCTATAATTTGCAGACTTCAGAAGCTACAGCAAAGGAAGTGATTCTGGTGCACATTGCTCAGATTGCACCTGGACCTTATCCAAGTTGAATGTGATGTACAAAAAGACTGCAGAATACGCAAAAATGAGAACTACTGACGATGACGTCATCGAGTGGAATACACTGATTCTGGAGGCTCTTGATATGCCGGATGAGTCTCAAACAATCAAAGGTCCGTCGCCAGCAAAGAAGCCAAGAGTCGCCCCAACTACTTGTATTGCTACTGATACTCAGAAATTGCCGGATGCTGTGAGCAATAGAATCGATGCGATGATCAGAGAAATTCAAGGATATGGCGATGATCTTACCGAAGAAGATATTTTCGGTTCTCCGGACGAAGAGGATCAGGAGGAGGAGGAAGATGAAGATGAAGAGGAAGACGCCAGTGGGGTCGAAGTTGATGGAGAAGAAACTGTTGTCAAGGATTCGGAGCAGGGAGATGAGAACGACAACAAAAAAGAACTGGAGAAGGAAGAGAAATAAGAAATATTCGAAGTGTTTCAATTGTTCATTGTTGTATATACCACATCATCATCGCAAGGGTTAAATTTATGTACCTCTAATCTCTTGACTATGTACTGATACAGTAATCATGTTATTTGTGATCTCTTGTGATAATTAATTGATTGTCTTTCTGTGTAATATGAGCATCTTTAACTTTTCTATTGATAAATTTTTAAAGCATTTTTCTTTTTCCAGTTGCTAAATAATACAATTTAATGAATTCAGCATCGATCGTGCATGGCCTAGGAAAGGACATGTACAATTCAAACCCCCGCCATTGTGTGTGGCCGAGTTTCTTCGGGGACTAGCTTTCTCCGCTTTCGAAACGATTTACGGGGGAGCGTTTTTCTTTTCACGAACACGTGTCTTTATCGAGGTTTTGAATTAAAAAACAGTTGTTTTCGCATATTTCGGACTTATTTTTACAGATAAAAATGTTTGGTGGAGGTCAACAAAGACCACCGTCAATCGGAAACAGCGGAGTTCCTCCCTACTGTGTGAAAACGATAGGTTCCCGGCACATTTTGATTGGTGGCGGCGGAGGTGCGTCTAAAACTGGAGTAAAAAACGAAATCGAAGTGAGTATCGGAAAAATTGCTTCTGGAAATTCTTCCTTTGAATCGGAGCGACTTTTAGCTGTATTATTTCTATTCAGACTCGTCTTTTTACCACCGAAAATGCGAGCAGAGATGTTGGATTCCAGTCGCAGTGTGTTCACACCGTAAGCTTAAATTTCGAAAAGTTCGACACGTCAGAAATTTTCAGGTCGATACTGGTTCCATGGCCACTATGAACATGGACGTCGCATATTTAGTGGACGAAATTAATGCAAGATATGTCATAGTTGCTGGCCAAGACGATGTAAGAATTTAAAACCCAGTTTTTCAATAACTTTCCGTTTTTTCAGCAATGTGACTTATACATGACACGGGGATTCAAACTGAATGAGCTCGAAAATGACAGTTTATGCTTTGAAATCAAACAAGTTGGTCAAGTAAAAACCGACTTTCATCCAACCTTCTCCTATCAGGTTTTTTTTAAATTCAAAACATTTTTTTATCAACCAGCGTTCAGAAGTGCGTTCGATTTGATAAAAATTCTCGAGGGAAAATCTTTGCAACTGGTGGAGCAGATGGATTCATTCGAAAATGGGATGCTCAGATTGTTTCGCGGTCAGATGTAAGTTTCTCGCCATTTTTTATACCGTAAAACTTGTATAAGAACAGGCCATCTAGCAGAAGAGCCCTCTTCAAAATGTGAAAACTAGTTATTTTGGCGAAATTGATAAATTTTCATGCATTTTGAACGAAAATTCGCCTAATTTTTGAATAAAAAATTTCGGAAAAAATAGAAGCCCTCCTGTAATTGAAGGGCCCCTCTAATAGAAGGGCCCTCCGGAAGTACCTTGGAAGAATACAAGGGCCGGCCCTTCTTCTAATACAGGTTTTACGGTATGTAAAGTTAAGCTTTCAGGATGGAAATGCGCAGCCAATTTTTCAAGTACAAGCTTACGAATCCTCCGTGGATGACATTGATTTCTCTAATGATTCGAAGTTTATAATGTAAGGCTTTTTAAAAGCTTCTAGTCGCCTAGTCAACTTTTGTGCTTTCAGCTCGGTTGGCTCAGAAGGTACATTCATTTGGAGTGCGGAAACTGGAGAGAAACTTTATGATGTAAAATTTCCAATCGAAATTGCAAGGGGATTTAAGATGCGATCTGTTCGATGCACACCTCTTGGAAACGCTAATGGAAACATGGTTTTTGTAGCTGCATATAATTCCATTTCGAAAAAAGATAATGTTTGTTGTTGCTACTTATCATTGTGGACGTTCAACGGCGAGAGGAGAGTAGCTAGACCGATTGTCACAAAGTTGGTTGCTAAAAAAGAAGTAAGCTTAAAACAAAACGCTTGAGAAATTCAAAATGTAATGTTTTCAGTCCATTTCCACTCTGTCAGTATCCGATTGTGGAAATTTCACAGCTATTGGAACTATGACAGGAGGTGCTGGAGTGTTTGACACTCATGAATTTCGTCGAATGTATTTTGCTCCTAATTCTCATGAAGTGTTTATCACTGGAGTCGAATTTCTCTCCAAAAAATCGCCACAGATTTGTGAAAACTTTCCCAGAGAAACACCTGGAATCTCGTCTGGATTCCATTCTGCTATCGTAACGTTGGCTGCTGACAAAACGTTACAACTTCATCGTGTACCACACCCACAACCTCAGCCGTTCAGTGAATTTTTGCTTATCATATCACTTATGAGTTTTGTTTTTTCATGGTTTTCCTCTTATTTAATTGTTTCCTAAGAGACCCATTCATTTTTCTTTCTTATTCGTTTCTAAATATTTCTGTGATTTTCCGATCCCTAGACTCTTCTTTTTTTTCAAATTTTCCATTTGATGAGTCTGAAAGTAATGTAAATATTAAATATTCCACCACTCTTCGCTTCTTCGTTACCGCACACCTAATTACTATTGTTGATGGACGTTGAAAAGAGATGGAGATACTTATGTATTCAAAAATTGATGGCACACTACCAACGACACCTTTCCTCGCGCCTAGGGAAGGATATATGCTAATCGGTTCGCAAAAACGTCCGCGCAGCCCGTATTTCACATCCTTTTCTGTTTTTGAGATGAGAAATGGGAAATTGGAAGTGACAGAGAAGCTCAGAGAAGAAAATATTTAGGTCAGAGAAATTGAATTCAGATCCCCGAAAAAATCAAAAATATAATCTTTCGCCCATCTGTAAGGTCAATAGAAAACAAAAGGAAGCAGAAGATCATGTTGTTCAAATGACACCACCCGGAAATTGACTCCTTCTCCAGATTTTACTGTTTTGGTTCTTTTGTTTCGTGTGAGGCTCTTTCCTTCTTTATCCGCCTTCTTCTTCCTCTCAAATTCCATGCGGATACTCCAAAACAGATGTTAACACAATATTGAACATGTGGATGGAAGGTGATTCTGGAGATGGTCTGAGTCTTATCTAAAATAAAAAATTTTTGAATTTATGTGTTTCCGGAATTTTTTCTGAAAAAATTCGTTTAAAAATTTGGTAAGTTCTCGTTAGAAATTTATTAAAATTTATTAAATAATTTTACCAACATTCAAGTTTTTGAGCACCACGTGTTGTTGATTTGGAACAGTTATTTGTTCGAAAACGCCCAACTAGACCGTCAGCTTTGAGCTCAATTATCTCGATTCCTGTGAAAGATAATAAAAACTATTAACTGATAAATTATTTATCATTTTATCACCTATATTTTATCAGTTGCCAAAACTTTGATATCGTTCACAGGACTTGAGATAATTCAGCTCAAAGTTGACGGTCTGAGTGAGCTTCTATGAGAGGAAATACGGTATCCTGTGTCAGTTGAAAAAAGTGTATTTCCAGAAAATTTTTGTTTGATAATGTTTCATTTCGGAACTGCAAACTGAAAAAAAATAATTCTGATAATTTTTCAGCAATGAATATTTTACAAATCATTAGCAAGTCTGATAGTTCAATACCCCTTCATATGCTTACTTTTTCGCTCATGTATATCCTCTAACTCAATCTGTTGGACCTGATTACCCGTTTCTTCTTGTTTTGAATGTTTTGCTCCAAATACTACTTGTTCTAATTGATGGTGCTCCTTTTAAAAAGCGAGAAAACTGTTAGTTCTGTGTCACCCTCTGCTACATCGAGAGAGTGTTTGAGATGAAGAAACACAGACAACATTCCATCTGTTACTTCGAAAGAAGGGAACACTTTAAGGATTACCTTCCCACGAAGAAGCATTTTGTTCTCGTGTGACAGATTGCTCTTCCGATCTGATTCAGTTTTCGAACAAGATTAACAACTGGTTATGAAAACATTGAAGATGAGCATAGCAATTAAGTGAGCTCTCTCTGGCTGCCTGAATTGATATTCTCAACTAATTGAGACGTTTGTGAATACACCTTCGTAGAAGCAACAATATGCTAATTTAGGATGTTGCTTTAAATGTATGAGTTTCGAGAAATTTCTGAATTCTGAAATTTCAGAGTAAATTTGACTGAATAGTCTGGAATCCCAATATTAAAGTTCTATTCGAAAATTCGAAAAAAAAACATTTTCTATCGAAATTTATTTATTTCCGCGAAAATTATAGGCCATCTGGATTGGTGGCCTAGCATTCCCAACATGAATTTTCTGAGCTACCAAACTTTTTTTGCCTAGAAATGACTCAATATTCACCTGGTGTGTTTTCTAGGCCTAACTTTCACAAATTCTATTGTCTAGGCCATCATGACAAATCAGGTCTTTTCTTGTCTACAAAAGTTGGTGGCCTAGAAAACTAAATTTGCGAAAGTTGGGTCACAATGTTGAAATTACCTGCAAAACACACTTGTCTCGTAAAGTTAAAGGTACATAGATGCTTAAATATATGGATGAAGATAACAAAGTATCTTTAATCTCTCTTTTTTTTCCAATACCTGAATATTTCAGATTTTTGAAGTTTTGAAAACCGAAAAAACTTAAAATTTGCGTTGATTTCAATAGAAAATTTTCAGAAGAAATGTTTCATTAATTCAACACCCAATATCCTCGAAATGTTCTAAAATATGTCGTTGATACCACAAAACAAAATTAACTAGAAATTCTCGAATTTCAAAAGTGACTACACCAAATATTTATGACCTGTAAATGCAGAAAAATCAACGTAGTAAATTCACCACACTCATTCATGACCAGAATACAAATGATTTCTTCGTCTGTCAAATATTCCGAATTGCCGCCTAATCAAATTGAATCTCAATTGACTCCCGCCACCACTTCTGCACATGTCTTCTGCTCTTCGTTTTCTTTTTCTTCTCTCATCATCTTCTTCTTCCTTTCCTCTTATTCTTTCTCATTTCCTCTTCTGAATCTACCGTAATCCTCTTTCAAAACTTCGTTTCTTCTCTCTTTTACACAATGAATGTGGTCCTTGTCCCAACATAATTTCAAATTCGGGTTCTCCTTTTTCTGGAAGCCAAAGAGCCTCTTCACACTCTTAAATCCATCGGAATCAAATCCGTAATTGACCTCTCCTTTACCCCCAAAACGCCGCCCTATAGTTAAATGGTACTTGACAAGCCGGCTGGCGGTAAGAACAGTCGCAGTCTACGCGTCGAGACTATTCTAATCCTATCAACAAAATGGATTTATGGTTGTTTCGGATAGAATATAGGATGAAGGAAAGTTTCAGGCAAATTTTTAGATAAACAATCTCAAGTTTCAGAGAAACTTAAAAATTTTAAATTGAAGCTTTTACTTCTTTTACTATTTTGATTGTACTGTAGGTGACACTAGACTCTTCAAACTTCAATTTTTAAAACCAAATCAAATACCCCATTCAAAATAGTTCCTGATCACCTCTAATATGAAAGATTTACCCCTATTTTTGCAATATGACTTTTGAACGAGATTCAAATAAGTACATGCTAATTTGATATCAATTTACATGACACCTCATAATTATTCGAACGCTTCTGTGTGTGGTTAACAGTATTCAAACTGCCACCACCATCTACTTCCATCAATAGACTCCATGAGGAGCAAACGAATGTCAAGTGTGGGAGCCAGTGCCTGGTCGTGCGCAATCACATTTGAATTGAATAAGAAAGAGCATCAAGAAGAAGAGAAAGTTACTTTTTATGGGGTTGATTGATAAGACGAAAGCCGTACTCACTGGTGTCAGGAAACAGGGAGCAAATAGTTGATGGGATTAAGAAGCACACATGATAAAAAGTTAAGTTCTGAATTGAAACTGGTCAGAGGTATTGGAGTGGTCTCAAAAGGTCTTTAAAAATGCCAGATGGAATTTTTCTATTTTGATGAAGAATCCAAAATGTCAAAAACTTTTTATTTTTTAATGAAAAAATGCACAAACCCTTAATTGGAAAAAGTAATTCAAAAAAAAGAAAGTGGGAAAATCGAAACACTCGTATTTCGAAATTACCCCATTTTCTCTAAATGAAGGCCCCCAAATCGTCAAATTTGAGCCTATTTATCTCGGTTCCTGTAAAAGATATAAAAAATATGTCAACTGATAAATTATTTATCATAATATCACCTATATTTTATTAGTTGACACTTTTTTGATATTTTTTATAGGAATTGAGATAATTAAGCTCAAAATGAACGGTTTGAAGGCGCTCTATTTGAGTGTTCACGGTTTTCACAGATAATTTATTTGGAACCTATTCAACTCTCATTCAAAGTTACTTTAAATTGTAATAAGCGTTTATTGCAGAATTCAGAAAATTTCATTCACTGGAAAAATAGCAGACTCAGCCAAGACCTCGAAAATTTCTCAGCAGCATTAGATCCTGCTACAAATCTACTACTGAAGCACCCCCAACGAGATGTTCCTTAATCCGAATGAGATGTGTCGCAATATTAATAAACACCGTCTTTCTAACTTTTTCAAGTGTTTGGGTGGGAAAATGAACCTGGAAGGAACATCATGGGAATGCCAGGGTGTGGAACTAGAAGAAGAAGAGGATTACCTTTGTCGGGTACCCCTGTTCCACTCATTTATTCAAATTGAGTCGCCTATGGGAAAACGAGTTTTTTGGATAGTATAGATCTCTACAGATTCTATTATGCTGTTATGCAACATTCGGAGCTTTGGAAGCGAAAATCTGGTAGCCGTGAAGCTACCGTAGTTAGCAATTTTTCTTGTTTCCGGACATTTTTCAGATTCAAAACAGCTTCAATTGTCCGACTTATTTGGAGGTTTTCAACACCAAAAAAGGCCGAAAATTTCAGGTTACGGTGGTTTTCATCCCGGGTACCGTTACCCCCGCACACAGTTCCAACGTTTTTATACAAACATAACATGTAATTTTTTTCTCTTATCACTATAACATTTATTTTTTTATGCCCCAAAAACTTATGGTTAACTACCCATAAAGTTTGATGAGTGGTAGTGTGAAATTGTGCAAATAAATCCTTACTCGGAGCAGGTGTTGCCAATAAAGAAGGCGTTACGAGTGATTGGCAAGACATAAATGAGTACAAACAAATCATCAAATTATTAGGTAACAGAGTTGGATATGGCTTCTACTGTTAGTTCAACACACATACACAAAATATCACGAAAAAATCTCTAATAAAAGTCTCCCCATACCGTCAACTTTGAGCTAAATTTTCTCGGTTCCTATGCATTAAAAATGTGTCAACAGGCAAAACACTTTTGATATTAAGATTAACATTTTTTCTGTTGACAACTTTCGTGTATCTTTGACAGGAACCGAGAAAAATTGGCTCTTAAATTTTGGGGTCCTTTTGTCACAGGTTTTACAAAATTTTCACTATTTGAGACTACTAGGCTATTCTTGTAAACTTCATATCCTGAAATGCTTTTCTCTCTCTCTCTATCTCTCTATCTCTCTCTCTCTCTCTCTCTCTCTCTCTCTCTCTCTCTTTCTTTTCTCGAAAACTTGGGACCAGGAAAGACGCACCATAAGTCGGAAATTGGGAAGAGCTTTCTTCTTCTACCCCTCCGCCGCCAAGAAGACGAGAAATTCGAGATTTATTTAGTGGGAAAAGAAGATTCTGGTTTCTGGCCAATACGGGGGGAATTAGAACAGTTTCTAAAAGTTTCTAGGATTGAAAAAATATGGAAAACATGAGGTCGATTGAATACAAATAATGATGGAATCATCAGGAACATTGGACGACAGAAAAAAATGAATGGAAATGGTGGAAGAAGGGGGGAAGAGTTGAAATTCATTGCTCATGCAAATCTTATGCCGTGTGTCTCTGTATGTATTTGTATGTGTGAGAGTGCCTTCCAACCATTCTCATTCTTTCGTTTCCTTCCTTCCCCAAATCATCTTGTTCTGATCAATCTGCCCCAACATTTTAGTTTTTCTCCGCTTTTTCAAGCCTCATTTTGGTTTTTTTCGCCTGGAGTTTCAGTTTTTTGATTATAACCTATGTGCATGAATATGGCTAACTGTATCTAAATTTCAAAACCATTCCTGTACATAAATATGATTATGACTAATAGAAAAATCTTGAAGTACGAGAGTATTCAAAAATCGTAGAAAGGTTGAACCGTTTCCTCTAATAGAAGGGACACCCAAGCCGTTAACTTCAAGCCTATATATCTCATTTTCTGTAAACGACATCAAAAAGTGACCAACTGATAAAATTTTTATAATAATACCATTAATGTTTTGTCAGTTGACTACTTTTTGATATCTTTCATAGGAATCTAGATAATTGAGCTCAAATGGACAGGGGTTCTATTAGATGAAATACTTTATTTTTGAATTCTTACGAAATTTAATGTTTTCTTGAAGATCCGTATAGTTAGAAAAACATTCAACAATAATTGACTCATCCTCTTAAATCTCGACAAGGTTTAGGTTTTTGAAAGTTTACAACAATATCATAGTTCAAGTCAACTCCATTTTTTCGACGTCGCTTCTTTCATAATGTTTATATTCAACAACTTAGAGACTGGATCTCATGCTTCAAATCGGATCATGTATCTTTGTAACATTCAAAGTTTCAGAAGATCGTCTAATAATCTAGTTAGATCCCCCAGAAAGTATTCCACCTCTTCATTCTAAATTTTGAATAGGCTCTCATCCCAGCGATCCCAATAACTGTCCAATGGAATCCATCACCAACTGTCTTCTCCTCCTAATGAAGCATCAATTGTCTCATGAACCGTGGGCGTGGTCATCTATCCATATATATCAAAAGTGGGCGGAACATTCTATCAATTCTTCCGATTGGCCGTCAGGATACGGTGTCTTTTGAAGAGACGCAGAATCGGGCGTCAGAGGTGCCTCGTTTTCCTGCCAACCACATTCCAAGTGGCTCCTGTGCGACCCAAAAAAGGAGACGCAGAAGCGAGCGGGAATAAGGAGAAGAGACCGCCCCTCCCACCATCCCATCCACCTCGTTTCTCTTCTTCATTTTCAACACTACACACTCTTTTCCAACAGTAGTTGAGAGGCCACCAGTGCTCTTCCATCTGATGCTCATACCTTCCACGTCATCTTCCACGTCATCTTCTGCTCCATCCTCATCCTTATCAACGATTTCTGAATCGTCGTCTCTAGGTATTGGGGATCAGAACATTCTACCGCATTATCATCCTCTTCATCACCATCTAATTAACGAGAACGACATGGAAGCGGCCAATTATGCACAGGTTAGTTCCACGACCGCCCTTTTTTTTCCATTCCAGTGATTTGATTCTGATGAGACCTACATTATACAGCGAGTAGGCCCCAAAAAGGGACGTCGGCCGGGGGGCACACAGCATTTGAATTTCAATTTTATGCCAATAAGAATCAACCCACCCCAACACCGACTTGCATGTCTCCTCCCCATTCAGTTTACTTCTTTACTTCTTGTATACCAACTCTCTGATAGTTCTGAAGTTTTACTGATATTCTAGTTAAACATATATGACTAATCATAAGTTAGCGCATTCTCACCATGAGCCTATCCGTTCTGAAATCCTTTAAACGTTGTTTTAGTAAGTCTATGATTCTTTATTGGGTTTCCTATTCTCTAATTTTCTGGTTCTCTAATTATCATTCCTACCGTAATACCTGTAAAATAACGGTCCCCGTAGAGCTCTATTAACTCCATTCCTGTACGAGATATCAAAAATGTTTCAACTGAGAAAATATTTCTGATGCTATGATGAACAATTTATTAGTTGAAAACTTTTTTATAGCTTTTAATGAAACCGAGAAATATCTGCTCAAAGTAAGTGGCTCTATTACATGTTTTACGGTATCACTGCTATATTCATCCGGTAAGTCTTTTAGGATTCATTCTCTGAAATTAAAACCTTTCTTTGGCTTCAAAAACATTGAAGTTCTAAATTTTCTCAAAATGGACCTTCTGACATCCCATCTAGAATCCCAAACAGAGCATCATTCAACAACTGTTTCCTCATTTCTTTGCGCTACAATAATCCGCACTGTCCATTTCACGTCACCAGCTATCATTCCGTATATATCATGACTCTTCTTAATCCGATTATCACCTCTTTTTCGACATATTTTCCGTAACTTGAAGTTCTCTCACAACTAGCCGAGTTACAGTAACCCAATAACAGTCTCTCAATGATCGTTTCGTCTATTCCACGAGTGTGTCATATGTCCATTCATAAACACAAAAACCATGAAAAAAGTGTGGGAAAAATAAAAATGGGGTTGGGTTTTCATTTGAGAGTTAAGAAATGGGAGACACTAGGGTGTTGAAAACTGGGCAGATGTAGTCCCTATTTAGACAAAAAGGCGTTGAACATGGGTGGAAGAGGATTAAGATTGATTGGTCTCTTTTTGGAGGTCTCAGTTTTCCAAAAAAGAAAAAGAGAGTGTTCATCTGTTCTTTTTCTTCTTTGAGGTTAAAATAGGATCAAGTCACTGAGCTCTCTTTGGTTACGAAATTAAGAGGGACTATCCATTTGAAGTCGGCTCCGCTTCAGAGGGATTTGTGAGAAATTTAAAATACAGTAAACACTGAAAGGCACTCTATAAAAGTGGGCGTGTCATTCTATCAATCAAAGGTTTTGTCTATACTAGCACTTTGACCTCAATTATCTCAATTTCTATGAGAGATAAAAAAATCTGTCAACTGACAAAACGTTTGTCATAATATCTCCAACATGTTATCAGTTGACATATTTTCAATATCTCTTACAGAAATTGAGATAATTGAGCTCGAAATGGAAGTGTAGGGTGGCCTTCTTTGGAAGGCTTACACCATCTTTTTATTTGATACCAATCGTCTGTAAGTGTTCAACTGAACAGAATGTTTTTCATAATAACACAAGCACTTCCTTTTTAAAAAAAATTTTTTTATATATCTAGCATTATCCGAGATACAGTAAACACTCTAATAAAGTGCCACTCAACTTTAAGCCCATATATCTCGGTTTCTGTAAAAGATATCAATAATTTGTCAACTAATAAAATATTTGTAACATTACGATGAACATTTTGGCAGTTGACCACTTTTTGATATCTTTTACAGGAACCGAAACATATTTGCTCGACGGGCTGCATTGGATTAGAGCGTTTACAATAACTGACATTAAAATTTAGAGGTTCTGGATCTGTTAAATGTTGAAAATTCAATCTTCCTGCTTTGATTCATCATCTTTGTGCATTTCATCTACTTTTATATATCTTCGAGCATGTTAATTTCAGGTCATCAAACCAACATGCGAAGCTTTCCAAGATTGGTCCGTCTACCCCCAACCTCAAATTCATTTTATGCTACCACCACAACATGAATTGAATTGGGGACATGCTCATCTACCTCCATACTTTCCCCACCATCAATCCCTCACAGCTCCTTCATCCGCTGCCGTCACTGCTGCCACCATCGCTTCCCAATCTACAGTACTCCCGCAGACGTCAGTGGTCACAAGTACACCTTCATGTCCAGTGAAACAAGAAATCGAAAGGCCTGAAATTATTCAAAGGTTGATGCCTCCATGGACTCCATACCCTTTCTCTTGTGACGATAATGTTGGAGCAGGAGCGAATCAACAGCCACTTTCTGATATATCAGATGATAGTGAGCAAACGTGTCCGGATGATTTGGAGGGATTTGCGAAGCAGTTCAAACAGAGAAGGATTAAGTTAGGGTAGGTTTTGAACCCTGTAAATTAAAATTTTAATTGAAAACTTGCAGATACACTCAAGCAGACGTTGGTGTTGCTCTCGGAACCCTTTACGGTAACATCTTTTCCCAGACGACAATCTGTCGGTTTGAAGCGCTTCAACTCTCTTTCAAGGTTTGTTTACTTTTTTTGATTCTTTTTCGGTAAAATGTTTCTTCTCGCCGACAATCATGATCTTGAAGATGTCTTGTTTACTCAAATTAATCTTCTCATTATTCAGAACATGTGTAAGTTGAAACCACTTTTGTTTAAATGGCTCGAAGAAGCCGATTCAACCACTGGGTCTCCAAATTCGACATTCGAGAAAATGACAGGACAAGCTGGAAGGAAAAGAAAGAAGAGAACAAGCATTGAGGTAACTTTTGCGGGATATAAAACATGCAAATTTTGGATTTTTAGGTTAACGTAAAGTCTCGTCTCGAATTTCACTTTCAAGCCAATCAGAAGCCAAACGCGCAAGAGATTGCTCAGGTTGCTATGGAATTGCAGTTAGAGAAAGAGGTTAGGAAATTAGAATCAAAAATTTTCAAGCAGCTGGTCTAGAAGAATTCTCCCAATCCTGGGATTTGATTCAAAATGTTTTCATCCAAACTTTATCTTTTCAGGTTGTTCGTGTTTGGTTCTGCAATCGCCGTCAAAAAGAGAAGCGTATCGCTCCGAACCAATACGATGGTCCCCATCCGATGGCTCTGAACAACGGATATCCAATGACTGCTGACCTGTTTCCTTATCAGGCAGTTGTCAATCATTACGCCCAACAGAGTCCAGTATTGAGTCAACAGCAACAACAGCAACAGTGAAACAATGAACAACCGGTAAAGATGTACTCCTTCCAAACTTCTCCAGACCAAACCTTTTTTTTAATCTCCAAATTCTTTTATTTCTCTTTCTCTCACTCTCAAATCGTTTTGACATGGGTATTCCTTTTTTGTTTATTTAGATGAATTGTTTCGGATTTTTAATAGTATTTTTCCAATAAAAGAAAACTTTTGTCTCAAAACTATGTTTTTCCGGAACGTTTTTCAAACTATTTCTTCCCGCGCTTTTTTCCATTCAATTGAGATCTTCGCTTCGAGACCAACGCTATTATTACTGTAGTTTTACGGTTATTCGCATTAGAGCGCATTTTTAAGATAATTTCCTTTTTACGAGACCCCGCAAATTCCGGGGAAAAAAACGGGGAAAAAATCGAGGAAGAGTGGGCGGAGTCGGAGGCGGAGCCTAAAATGCAATCCTGGCACGGTTTTGCCGCACAGTTTTTCTGCACATTTGGAAACGGTAATGAGGGGGCGGAGCCTAAATTGCAACCCTGGCACGGTTTTGCCGCACGGTTTTTCTCGACTCCGCCCACTTTCGCCGGTTTTTTCCCCGGAATTTGCGGGGTCTCTTTTTTCTCACAAGTAGGTCAAATGAGCCAATTCTTCTTCCGGAAAATGATGATCTTCCACATTTTTCATTTCAAAAATCAATCATGGACACATGAAGTGACATATTTCATACCCTCCCCTGCACCTGCATTCTTTCACCCTGATCAACGCCTTCTATAGCCCCATCTGCTCATTTCTGTCATCACTCATTAGAAGACATCCGTGATCATTCCGGAACAGAAAAATAGGGGAAAAGAAGACGAGAAGCGGATTGAATAGGGGTGTTTAGAACAAAAAATCAGGAAAAAGTTGCAAAATTCTGAGGACGCACGCGCGAAATCAAACGTTGCGAGACGATGATCAATGAGGCAGATTGAGATGGAGGGTTTTGTGGGTTACGCAACATTTTCTGCCTGGGTTTTTGAGGGTTTTAGAATTTTTGCTGAAATATATTGATGTCTTTAAATAAATCACAGAGTTTGAACGGCTGTGGTATGCAGTTGCGCTTTATTGAGAAGGTGGCGTGGTGAAGTTTTAGGTCCGTGAAAATTAATTCTCAGGTGAAAAACCAAAAAAAATTGCGAGAAATTTGAATATTTTTAACGGCCTAANACTTCGTCAAGATCCTTCTCAATAAAGCGCAACTGCATACCACAGTAGCTCGAACCCCAGTGATGCGGCCTGAAAATTATTAGTTTGCGACGATGGAATCGTCCAGTTTTTTTCTCCACTCGTCGTTCGCATTTCTACAGTAATCCATTTTTCCATGAATGTTTGATCAGCCGATGAGTCTCTTGTCACACCTCTCTCTTCTCATTCTGCCACTAATTTATTCGCTAAAAAGAGAAGAAGCCCGCGCACCTTCGTAAACACAACACTCACTTCTCTTCTTCGCTCTACCGTAATCTTGTCGCCGAAACCCACCCACCCCAGGAGACCACATAAAATGGCAACATTCCCTTAAACCCCAAGAAAAAAGACATTACCATGTATTATATACATTTATCCCCCTCTTCTTCTAACAACACTTGCGCAACACTTTCCAAAAGCCGGTCGGAAGACGTTTGTCGGATAAAGCTGTTAAGGGAAAAAAGAAAAGGTACCATAGTAAAATGTCGATTCATTTGTTTCGACAATAGTCCGGGGAGGAGAAGACAAAAAACACAAAAGAAGACAGTTCAAAAGCACAAAAGGAAGATTACGAAACGAAAAAAGAGGATAATACAGAAAGCGAAGTGGAGGGGGAGACGATGAAAATATAAATAAAACAATGTGGATGGTAGTTAGAGAAGAAGCTTTAAAATCAAAAGAATCATAAATAAGTTGTATTATTGAAATACAGTTTTAGTAGTTTATCGGAGCAGAAGTGGTTGAAGCCGCATCATGAATCTCGATTTGTGACAACTTCCACTGCTTGTCTGAAAAAAGCAGTTTTCAGATGTTACAGTAATTACAGTAAACGTTCCCAAAACCTCAATCGTAAGACTGTCTTTCCAAAAATGTCATGGTAATAAATCAAAGCAGGTGTCAACAAGAAAACCCCCCACTAGCTGCTATTCTTTCCACAACGTGAGACTGTATTGTGCACATTCAATCAAGTGTCAATTTGAATGACAAAAAGAGAACAGTGGATGAGAACCCCTAATCCTCTCTTTTATGGTAAATTTTTAGAGTTACGATCCATTCTCAAAACACTATTCAGACGGGAAACATTCTGAGATAGCAAATACAAGTCGCGGGCCGGGTTTATGAAGGCGAAATTTTGATTTTTGTGGTTATTTTGTATAAAATTTCTTTGTTTTCATGGCTTTGTGAAAAGAGCTTTAGCTGAATTTCGTGAGACTCCGAAACTTCAAAATGATCATTTTAATGCAAACTTATCCAACATCAACAAAAAAGGCACCCGGCCCGGAAATTAGCAAGTATGCTCATAACTGAGTAAAAACATACTTGAAAGTTTTGAGTATGTTTTCTGAAGCTCCTTCTCTCGAACTTCCTGGGTTTGAACTTCTTGTTGAAGTCGTCCTACACGTTTGTTGATAGCCTTCAGTTCGTGCTCGCCAAGACGCCTGAAATATGTTTAGCTTGTCAGTGTAAATGAGAATCAACAACTCCTACTCAAACGTTGCCTTCTCGATTTTCGACAGTTCGATTTCGTTAGTAACTTCCTGGAACTTTTTGCAGAGCTTGTCATGGATCGCCTGTAAAATATCATTTTCAGGATCAAATCTCAAGGAGTCAAGTGGTGATTGATGGGATAAGTTCGCGCTCCGATCTACTTATATCAGTTCTATCCAGTTACTTTAATTTATTCGAAGCTTTTGCTTCCAAATGCGAAGACAACGAAGACTCAACGAGAAAAAGTGAAAAGAAATAACACACGCAAATGCCATAAATTACTGTAATGTCTTCCTTCTTTCTGACCTCTTACCCACTCTCCTTCTTCGTCGTAGTTGTCTTATCCGCTCTTCGAACCTTTTCAACATCACTCACCACTTGCCCATTTCAACACCGCAGGGGGGAGCTCGAGACGGAACGAGGGACGGGTATTTGAATGATCAGATGCGAGTGAGAGAAAAAGAATGAGACGGATCAGTTCAGAGAAAGGATGACCATAAAATAAACGACTTGTTGAATAAAGAAGACATTGCGGGACTTCGGATGAGTAAACGGAAGACTAAGAACGAAATAGAACATGGGAATTTTCCTCAAAAAAAACATGTGTTTCATTCGAAACATTGGAACCATCTATGACTAGAGAGGCAAGCTAGTTTAGACGACAGCTCCCCACTCGAGGTCCTTTCACTCACCTGATATCCTCCCAACTTCACTCGTAACTTTTTCTCAACTTTGGCAGCTCGCTTCGCTCGTTGATTCATCCATCCTCTGTACATTTGGAATTCGTCGTTCAATGCTTTCATTTGTTCTTCTCTTGGCAAAATAGCGATACGAGTGAACTTATCCTTGCTGAGAACCATCTCGGATGTACATTGTTCAACCACTTTCCACATCATAGCGTTCATCTCGGGACCAGCAGCGGCTTCTTGTTTGATGAGTTCAGCGGCTGCATCCAAATCATCACGGGAGTAAATCACCTCTGGGGCTTTGTTGTCCACATCCCAAGCGAGAAGTCTGCTCATTTCAAGCTTAATCAAATCATCAGCTTTTGGAAGGTCTCCTGAAGCATTGGTTGGACGCATAGCTAGCTCGTTGACCTTTGACGGCTTTGGTAGATCCCTCTGAACAACTTGCGATCTCATTTTAAGATTACGAATACGAATTGCAGCATTTCTCTTTGCATGCTTTTCAGCTCGCTCCGAGGCATCCTCAATCCATCCCTCTTCGTCTTTCTCATTATCATCATCTCCCACGGTTCCTTCAACTTCATCATCGTCTGGTCCAACAATTTCGAAATCGTTTTTCGGAGTAGGCAAACTAGCCAAAGCTCGTTTCAGATTGGCTTTTTGCTCCAAAGCCGAACCTCCGATTTCCTCATTAATGCGCATCTGATCTCGGAATGGTGTAGCAGCAACACTACCGGCTGGAGTAGCGAATCCAGGAGTACCTCCTATTTGGGATTGAGTTCCTGGTGTTGCTGCAATTGCATGAAGGACAGTATTTGGAGTCGCCACAATTTTCGGTGTTGGAAGAACGCCTTTCCCTAGCTCTGATTCGTGCAATGGAGTGTTTATTCCTCCCTTGAGAACTGATTCTGTGTTTTGAAGTGCAATTATATTCTCAATTTCCATCTGAATCGTGTCTTTAGGCATTGGTGTTCGCATAGTTCGGGCAGCCACAGCATTTGCTCTTGCCGATTCAGTGTAGTCCGTGAGAAGTCCACTTGTAGCAGTGTCATCGATGTATTGACGTACACTGTCTGATGCGTGTCCGATTTTAACGATTTGTTCGAGCTCGCGATCGGAAATTTGAGGCTCTGGCAACACCAACTTTGATCGTTTCTTTTCCTTGATATTGAAGACTGCGTCCGCTTCTCCTTGCTCCTTTCGCTTCTTCAACTTCTCCCGATCTTCGCGTCTCATCTCCATTTCAATTTCACGTCCGCGTGGTTTCTGATGGTCGTCAATAGCTCGCTGGTTAGCATCCTCCACGACATATTTGTCCTCCGATGGATCGTGAAATCCGGCCGGAACGTGTTTTTCGAACGGAATCTGGAACAAAGCTGTATGAAAGACGTCAATTAAGATACAAAGCAAAACCTCTTCACTGTAATCGATTTGGTTCCGTTTCGGTTTGAATTTGCGAGCAAAAGCCAAGCCTGCAGCTCGCATCTCTCGACGTTTCTGAAGAGAGGCCAAACGGCGAGCATCGGAAAGTTGACGTTCACGAGCCTTCCGTTTTGCTTTTTTTCCTTGAGTGTTCGCCAAGCGAGCACGAGCCTCAGACAGCATTTCAAGTTCTGAAAATATAACAAATTGGCATTTTAATGAGACAAAATACGAACCATCATCATCCATATCAATTGGGTCCGGACGAGCTGGTTTAGTTTCAGGAGTTGGATCAATTTCTCCTGGTTTCAGTTTTCTCGCTTCCGTTGCTTCCTCATCGAGACCTTCAGCTTTTCGCTGGGCTTCATCAAGCAAGTGCTCATAACGTTCGAGGCACTGGGCTGATGTTCGTCCAACAATCGGGGCAATAGTTCTCCATTGAGTAGGCATCAGTTTAGCAAGGTGGAGTAGTTTCTCATCTTCTTCACGAGACCATTCTGTTTTTTTGATTCCAGGATCGAGCCACTCGAACCAACGAGCCTAAAAACACTGAGATGAATTAAATTCCTGTTCTGTATAACTCACTTTGCATTGCTTTGCAGACTTTCTGTGTAACAAGGAAGCAATTCGACTCCATTGGTTTTTACCATACTTCATTATTGCAGCTTTGAGGATTTCATCCTAAAATAAAATACGAATTTTCATCATGAGTTTCGACATTTCAATCTAACCTCTGTGTTTTTCCAAACACCTCCTTTGATGATAACTCGCACCATTTTTGGTTGTAGTCACTGAAAATAAAATAATAATATAGATATATAACCGATCGGAAGTAGGAATCGAAAATGAAAATATGCATATAAATGAAAATACAAACTCATGTTTCGTTCAATTCATAATTTAGCATCAGAAATATTTAAATACACTACATTTTGGAAAGGAAATACTTTGAATCGCTAGCTGGATGTTCCGAAAAAAAAAGAGACTACGCAAAAACAGGAGAGTGGGGCGGTTGAAGAACGAAAACTGACGACCGTTTGCAGAGTCAATGCTGTGGCAGTTTAATCTGACTATTCAGGCAGAGTGTCATCGAAGAAACTCTGCCGAACATCATGTTTTCTGTTTGAAAAACGCTTCACTTTTCTATTTTTTGTGTGTTCTCGATAAAAGAATCAGAAAAAAAAACGCAGTAACGACGTCGTTTTCGAATTTTCGGTGCGGACGAGGAAAAAATCCTCGGCCACGGCCTTTTGCCCCAAAAATATTCATCGACTAAACTCGTATGAAAAGTTTCATTGAAAACTACTTTTTTAAATCTAAAATGACATAAATACAAATATTCACGTTTCAAACATCGATAGTAAAAATTATCCGAACATTTGAATAATTATAAAACGAACTTTATTAAAATCGATACGCACATGGGTGACGCAGGCAGATAAAGAGCAGATAGAGAATACCTAGGTGTACAACTAAGATGTGTGATCAAGAAATGAAACGTTAAATTGTAGTTTATAAATTTGCCAGAAAGGAGCTGGTATAGCTCAGAAAAACTTCTAAAGGCGGAAATCGTAGCGTTCACACAGTTCCTCCATGAAAGCGATCAAATGAGCCCACTCGGAGTTGCCTTGCAAAGATGCATGGACGGACCGAGCGAAATGAATCATATTTCCAACTGCTTCTCCGTCTTTTTTCTCTATTAACTTTGAAAACAATGCATATGCGTCGAGATTCCGTGGATTGAATGCCCGATCCATGGAAGGGACAAACTGTGCAATAGTTTGTCCAACGTTTGCTTCGGAGTTCAATCCATTCGATTCTGTATACGAGCCAGAATACCAAAGATATAGATGTTTTCACTTACGTCGAAACTGATCAGGCGATAGAGTAGCTTCACCAACATTATCCGGTTTGAATGTGGAAAATACCATATAACATCCTGAACCGTAACGATTGATTGTTTCTCGCGGTGACTTCGACAAGTGAGAAGAGTTGAAATCCGACGAAACAATTGCTCCACGGTTTTTCGCGATTTGGGAAAACCAATATAGCTCTCCGTTTTCTTCATATTCAAGAATCATATCGATGCTCAAGTTCTTCTGAAAGAATATTGCTTCACAAAAAACTTTGTAAAAGTAAGAACTGACCGAGTTGTCTTTAGGGATGAATCCAACGACGAATGTTTTTCGTTCCTCATCATCAAAGTTTTTGAAAACGATTTCCTGCTCGTCCAAAGTGAAACCAGCTGTCGCATACAATGTAGCGAAAATGACATTTGGGGCGTATCGACGAAAACTGGCCTTTTCTGGTAACTCGAAAAGGTTCGAAATTTGAACATCCACAATGTGTTGGTCACTGTGATCGGCAAGCAAAACCATCAAATCTCCGTCTTCTTGAGCTTTTCCAGTGACCAACACTCGATAGTAACGGACTACAGCGCCTTGTCGATAAACATAGACAGCTGCCATTCCGGGACGGACATTGAGTCGTTCAATTCCTTTGGCTGATTCAGACAATGCGCCGCACAGCAAGCCTTCGATTTTCTCCATATTGTTCTCGGTATTTAAATCTTCTTCTTCTGGGCTACTGAGCATCAACAGAAAACCACGAGGTGGCACAAACATGACCGGCTTGAAGTAGCGACGACCGCGTTTCACGGAATCGGTAAACTCCGACATCCAACGAAGATCGGCTTCCACAGGACAACGGAGGCTGTTTCCGTCTTTGACAGTCGATGCGTCCACAGTTGGGTCATCAAGAGCTACAAAAACTTCGCCAGGCTTCGTTGAGATTACTTTGAAGATGTCGCTATTGAAATTCACTAGGTTCTGATCTTCGAATGGAAGAGAGTCGAATTTCACACTTCCACGACTGGAAACATATTCCACAAGAAGTTTCATAGAGTTTTGAGGCACGATTGAACGACGAGGACCAAAAGGAACACTAACTGGACGCATCGACTGTACAGAAAGAGTTGACCGAGCAGCATCTGGAACAAACTGTTATAGAGGAGACATTCTATATGTTTACCTTCACTGCCGTTTGCTTGGCGGTTATTCAGTAAAAATGTTTCATTTGTAGATGGAGCTCTCAACGATACATTTCCCAAGCGTTGACCAGCGTCAGAAACTGTAGTTGAGTTTCGCGACGTTGGCCGCGATTGTTGCGTTCCTCCGAACCCTGGTCCAGATTCGAAGAGAGGATCATGTAGAGCTTCGGAAATAAGTTGCACCTGCAAAAACTTCCTTAGATGTCATGAAACAGATAGGACTGACCATTGAACCTTGTGAGCTGATGCTGCTGAATCCGTCGCTGTAAAAAACACATGTAGGAACTGATCTGCTCGCTAGAAAAAAATTTTTGGCAAATACTCATTAGCTTGATGATCTTTTGCCAAATGCTCACTTGCTAAATATGCTCATTTGCTAAAATAGTCTCACTTGCTAAATTTCATTTGCTAAATTTTGATCATTCGCTAAAAATGAAAAAGTGGAAATGTTGCTGTTATTTGCTAATTTCAGTACTTTTTGACTGATTTTTCTTACAGAATATTCCGGTTTTTGCTTTGAATTTCAGGCTTAGGCTTTAACACCTGTTTTCCGGTAAGGAGTTTCAGCCTAAGCCTTCAATTTGAACAAGTCCCCTATTTAGCAAATGATCAAAATTTAGCAAATGAAATTTAGCAAGTGAGAGTATTTTAGCAAATGAGCGAGTTTAGCTCATGACCATATTTAGCAAGCATTTAGCAAAAGATCATCAAGCTAATGAGTATTTGCCAGAATTTTTCAAAGCTACTAAACTTCTTTTACAACTCTTTGGAGTCTTAGTGAAATTATATTCCGAAACTAGCATAACTCCGCAACTTCTTTTTGTTCTGAAAGTCTTCACAACCCAGAAGTGAGAAATAAACGCTTATCCGAGTTACAAATTTCAACAACGTACAATGACTGGTCGGAATGAGGAGGAGAGTCGGCGTTTTCGTACGTCGGATCCGCGGCAACAGGCTCTGCAAAGTGGATATTGGTTGGTCAAAAGGTGAATTTCACTTGGATACTCTTTCCTTGACTATCCACAAATTTGTGAACAAATCGAAATTTGAAATAAGAACTGACAAAAGTATGCATAGAACTGGCATGAACATTTGAAAAATACACTTTCAGAACAAATATCACACAATTTATTCGTATATGTATTGAAAATGACTGATGATGTGCTTGATTCATACCATTCACTTCTTCCTTGTCGGCTCTCGGATCGGAAGGAGGGATTTCTTGTTGAGAGGGTGTGCTCTCTTCCGCGATGAATAACTGCTTCTCCGGTTCATCTTCTTCAACAAAGACATCTCCATCATCGCGTAGACGCCAAAACTTTAGGATTCCAGAGAACTCAGGAACGTTGATTTGTAAATAAAGATCACTGTAAAAATTAAATAGATGGACGGATTATCAAACGATGACGCCGCCCAGTTTGAGAAGCCTAGCAATAAGCTTGCCTACCTCTCTGACATGTTTTTTCCCCATGCTGGTAAACCATATACTTGTTTGAACTTTTCCATCAGAGCTCCCAATGTGACGATGATGCGATTTGGATGATCCGGATGCGATTTGCCGATTTCAGTGCGACATTCACGCAAAAGTTCAGCCATGTTCTTCAGACGGGCGACCGTTTTCGCGGGACCCAACTTGCTTCTTGCTTTATGTCTAAACAATCGTTGTTTTCAGAAAATTTAAACTAAGCAACATACTGATCAGGAGTGGTTTTTGTACTTTTTGTACTACTTTCATCCAAAACCTGTCCTAGGCTTTTGTATTGCCTGAAAGATGATCCGTGATTTCCAAACGCTTTTGATCTTCCACTGTTTAAAAATGATTTTGCCGTTCTCTTAGGCTGATGGCCTGTCGTTTGTTGCTGCACCATTTCCATGATATCCTGGTTTGCCTCACTGACTCTTGCACAGTAGACATGAACTCCATCTTGACGTCGTTTGTGGACTACTGTATCGGAACATGCTTGCAGTAGCTCGTCCATCGTTTTACAACCGTATTTCTTTGGGTCCATGGACTGACCGTATTCTTCCCTGAAATCGAACAGAAAATTGCACAAAACTTTTCTGAAAACCTCACATCATACGCTTTTCGATATCTTTTGCAGTGATAGGTTGTTTCTCTGCCACCAAAAGTCCTTGCAGTTCGACTTTGGGTTTTCGCAAAGGATCTGTTTTCTGCTCTTCAGTGACTGTTGCTCGTTTCGGTGTCATCTATTAAGAATAAATTTCAATTATTTGCCCAAAAAATTATGTCTTACTTTCGCCTTGATTCCAAAAATATCTTCCATGTCTGGATCATAATCTTCGAATAATTGATCCCCCGGCATTGTGTCTTTCGTCGTTCCACTGCCGAGTGCTGAGAAAGAGTCAAATTTAAGAAGTCATCCAAAAAACGTTTAAAAAACGGCAAGAGTATACAGTTCAAGACACAAAGAATTACTGAAATCAGGGCCGATCGGGCTCAATAGGTTGAGCTCGGACACGGTTTCAGCTGCTTTTCTGGCGAACTTATCGATGTGCAGCGTACACAAATTGACGAATCTCCTCTCGTTACGATTCACGTCCCAATTCGAAATTTGGATTTCAAATCTTGCCGATCGAGACAGCTTTCGCGGCAAAATTTCAAACGTTTCCTGTTGGGACCTTGCGAGCTCGCAAGGCTATTGCGCCTTTAAAGCGGATACGGTATTAGTTTTTTTTTGTTTTCAGAACATGAACTTTGTTTTAATACATCAATAATAAGTAGTTTTGAGTGTTCTAACCTTAAACATCAATAAAAATTCAATAATTAAGTTCCGAAGTTGTCGAGTTCGGATCCGGAGAAGAGCGGAACATGGATTGGGTTCAATGCAACAACTGTGGATCCAAGCCTAACCCCGTAAAGGTGTATCTGACAGCGTGTTTTCATATCCTTTGCCAGAGCTGTGTAGAAAAAGGTAGTTTCTCAGTTAATTGTTTTAAATTATTTCATTTTGTTCAGCCAAAGATGCTCAATGTCATGTGTGTAAAAAACCACTTCAAACGGACGAGATTTGCAAAACCTTACGCCCAGATCTGATGGTAACATATTCAAAACAAATCGAATTATAAATGTATATTCAGGAATTGTTCAAAGATCCTCGGCAACTCGCAGCAGACCTAGTAAATGAGTTAAAACAAATCGCAACATTTCAAGCAAAACAGAGAGAAATTTATATGAAGTTCAAAAATATTGAGGTGAGATATAATTCTGCAGTCAAACAATCAACAATTCCAATTGACAGATAAAAAAAGAAAATGAAAAGTTCAAGGTGATGCGGACCAAACAGTTAAAAATGGAGCAAGAAGTGGAGAAACGGAAAAAGGCGTTCGGAGAGAATAACGCAGTATTGAAAGCAGCAAAGGAAGAGAAAAAGAGATTGACTTTGAGGTTAACCCAGTTACGGTCTGAAATGCCGAATCCGCAATTGCAAGCAGTTCACTCTAAGACTCGAACAGAACCACTCGTCTCAAAATCGGCACGAGTAGCCCCTCCACTTGCGAATCGTAGAAGAAGTCATGAATTTCCTATGAACATACTGGATCAATCAACATCAAAGATTGCTACGAGTACCCCAATTTGTAATGTGAGTTGGGCTTTCCAAATATACAGTAACTTGTAATACCTGTTTCATACATTTTCGATCATGTTTTAATCATTCCTTCTTTCAGATCGATCATAACCGACGTGACTATATGACAAGAATGTTCGGTAACGGACTTGAACATCCTTCCCCTATTCCCCGACAATGAGCAGCTAATTTGACTTGTGTCCCATAGTTGTAATTTCTTTTTTTTTTCGTTTTATTATTCATCACCAAAGTTTTATTGCATTCCGTGAATATTGTTTCAAAACCTCATTTGTTTTCCTCCCCGTATTCTCACGCACTCTTTCGTCTTGTAATATCGCATTCAATGAACGAGATTTTATTGATTTTCTACTGTCTAATTGGCGCGCAGCACAAATTTTTATTGAGCGCGTCTCGTCGCCCCGCCTTCTGCGCAACTTTTCATCTGTCCGTCACTGTATTTATGTAACATCCGTTCACTGTTGCCGAAAATGTCGCTTTGTGAAACTCCAACACAATCCGTGTCGCCGTCACATCGTTTCAAACCATCTCTTGCTTGTATCGCAGAAGAAGAGCCGCGGATAGTTTCTGTCAGAAGAATCAATGTGCCTGGTGGAGCTACAAAATCTTTTCAAGTGGAGATTCCTGTGTACGACGTAAACATTTACCATCCAGAACCACCCAAGGAGAAAATGTCAGACAGTTGCCAGAGGTTGCTGATTCAAATGGAGAAGTATATTAAGGATCAAACAAATTCTGCAAAATACAAAGAAATGGTGAGCTATTTTATTTACGAAACACGAATGACGAGTTAATTCATTTTTTCAGGCTCAACACCTTCGTCACGAAATCGCTCTGAAACAAGCCGAATCCAGAAGACTTTCGGTAATTATTTAAAATCTAATATTCATAATCGTTAATTCTCTAACTAATTACATAAATCTCAATTGGTGAAGCGGCATTTTCTTGGCATTCCATATACATTTTAAAGCTTTTAAGCTTTTAAGAGTAATATATATTAATTCTTTGCAGAGACCAACTTTCACAAATCGAGATTGGTACTGGTACTCCGAAGAAACAAAAAATTTCGTAGATGAGCCGATTCGTAATAATTATAAACCGATGAAGGAGTGGTGCGCAAAACAGGAGTCAGAAGATGAGTCGACGATGTCATCCTCCTCTGAAAGCACAATGGACGAATTCGATTTGAATGCAGACTTCTGAATCAAACCCAACTACAATTTTACTATGATAATCTCTCACTTGTTATTCTCTTCTCTCCATCCGCTGGTTTTTAAAAGTGTCATAAATAAAACTACTTCAATTTTTTTCCTTAAACGTTCCGATCCTAGTACATAATGAAAGGTTGGGTGTTGAACCAACCGGAAACACAAAGCGACGGCTGGGACAAATGGACAAATAGGCAGGTGGACCCAAACTAAAAACTGCCATTATTTTCAAGTCCTTTGCCTTTTCTTTTCATTCTTGTTCATTCTCCAACTGATGCTTTCTCTATTCCTACAACAAGTTATATGGCTGTCGATAAGTTTGGTAGCTCAAGAAACAGGTGATGCCGATGGTTTTTTGGTAAGTGTGATTTCTTGGGATTGAGATGTGAACCAACGTTGCAGAACGAACCTTTACAATGCAATTATTGCGTACATTCAAGAAAGAACAAAGATGTTTCGGAAGGTGTGAAACATGAACCAGATTGTATGAACCACTTGAAGTTCCTATCAAGACCAGATTTGAGAAGAACATGTACTCCATCAGAAAAATACTGTGTGGTGAGGAGCATTTTTATTTTGGATTTTATTCTGGTACAAAAAAAAAGGTTCTTCGGAAGAGAAACGCCGGTGGCCGTGGGTGGAAGGCCCACCAACTACCGTAACCTAAAAATACCGTAAAAACTGTAATATAACGCCACCTGTATTAGAAGACCCCTCTAATATAACGCCACCCTCATGAGATGATTGGAGTTAGCAAAAAAAAGTTTTTATGTTTTATTAACAGAGTAGCAGTGAAATTTAGAAATTCGCACAATTATTTTCATTTTAGTACCCTGTTAATCATGTAATAAATCAATTTTTGTTACCTCGCATCATCTCAAAACATCCCTCCGAAAAATAGAACGCCATGGCGCTATATTACATGTTTTACGGTATGTTGATTTTCCAGATTAATTTTCACGTATGTCACCGTTTTTCCTCGAGTTTCCAGTTATTTTTCCGCAAACAACAAGGAAATTTTTTTGATAGTAAATAGACCACGGCCACCGGTGTTTCTCTTCCACAGCTCGATTTTTTGTACCAGAATAATAATTTTCTTTTCTTTTTGATATTCTAGATTTCAAACAAATATCTTATTGATTTCGATATCGAAAGATTCAAATTCTATTGTGCTTCATTTACATCAATTTCCAGACAACAGTAACTAATCTGAATGGTTTTTTCATTGAAGTCGAACGAGACTGTGCAGAAAGTTGTGAGCAAGGATGTGAGCAACACGGATACGGATTATTTCATACAGAATGCACTCGTTGTTGTCGAGAACCTTTATGTAACGAATTCGACGGAAAACACTTTTATGAACCGCTTGCAGCTTTTCGAAGTCAACAATTGTTTTTAATTATACTTGTTGTTGTAGTCTCGTTTTAAATGATTTCATAAAGAAAGTTCTACTAATTCGGGGTACAGTTGAAATCACACTTGTAAACCGGGCATTGTCATAGTTTGGACCAAATAAATTGAATAAGATAGAACTCGATGAGTACTACAAAATGATACTATTTGGAAAACTGTATCTTTTTCATGAAGAAATTTACAGACGAAACGAGCCAAAAAAAAACGAGCCCGGCCCGGACCGGATCAGCTACATTTTGGCTTATAACTTTGTTCATAGACAACATACAGTTTTTCAAATAGTATCATTTTGTGATACTCGCCAACTTTTGTCTCATCTGATTTAGAAGATTCAAAAATCCTATTGGTTCAGAAAAATATTCATTCAGATTATTACAGGGACAGCGAAGGCCCGCCCGGGTTTACAAGCATAGTTGGGATAGGATTATGATTTTTTCGAAAAATCAAAGTTCTTTTGTTTTTCCCTTTCCATGATATCATACCACATAAAAAAGTGTTGTGTGTCTATTCTTGAATTTATTGTTGTGAAACAGATCATAGTTGTCTTTTGAGGTCTTCATTTTTACGTTCATGCGATTGATATGTGTTTTGTTGTTTGAATATTCAAATTCCCCCAATAGTTCCCCTTTTTCGATTGCATTCAATACATGTTCCATAGAAAAATTCTATTCATTTTGAACATTTGTTTTTTTTTCGGAAAAAAGTGAGCCATAACAACAGATTCTCAAAAACAAAAGAGAGAATTCCGAGGCAAAAGACAGAGCCATCTATGGCCATAGTTTCAACGGACATCCTGTTGTCGCGTGTTGCCACGTCATTTAGCTATTCAGCCGACAGAAATGAAGGGCTGTACATTCCCAATTTGTTCTCATTTTTGCTTCTTCCAAAAAAGACTTTTTTGTGTCGTCAACGACCCCACGAAATATATTCGTCTTCTCTGCTCTTCCCCCTTCCTGGCCCATAAAATATTAACTGCAAAAATATAGTAGTTGAGAAAAAAAAACATAGAACAAGTAGAAAGAGTACAGAGAAAAAAGTACAATAAAAATTGGGTTAGAACAGAATGTGGTTAACAAGAATCTTATTCCTGGTAAAGTTAGTGTTGACGTAATTTTTTTACTCAAGTTGAAATAAAAAATATTTCACCTGGAAAAATTAATTTTAGAATTGCTAAATTAAGATCTAAATTTCTTATTTTTTGTGAATCTGCCTAGTTTTTCTGCTAGAGCGAAAAATATATTCAAAAACAATGTTTTTGTTTGTAATTCCTCACCGTGTGTGGTTTTAGTAATCGCTTAGATTCTTCCAGATTTGTCCGGGATTTGCCTTTCTCGTAGGATTTTCCCACACCAGTCTTTTCTCCACTGAATCAGCATTAAAAATTGTGTGTGTTCCATTCTTCATCTGAACCGATTTATCAATTCTTCATTTCACACATTTTTTCATAACCTCTATTTTCTAGAATACTGTATTTCATTATTCTCTAGCTCAAACCAAACACCAAAAGTAAGAAAAAAGAAAAGAAAATTAGTCCATATTCATGGTGTGGCTCAATGTCTTTTCTTTTACTAACAAGGAGTGCTTCGCATCAGGGAGAGCTCCTCTCCGAAAGTAATTTGATCTTCGTTTTCCTTCCCCTTTTTTCTCTTCTTCATACGCCTTCTTCTTCTTCGTTTTCAGGCGATTGGTTGGAGAAGAAAACGAAGAGAAAAGGCGAGAAATCATAGCCTAAAATCTCGATCCTTTTCTCACTTTCCCTTTATTTTCTCAACACTTTTTCTTCTTAAAACTATTCAGGGATTAGGCTCTGTTCGTTTAATTTTTGTCTTCATTTTTGAATAATGCGGGAAATCGAAATTTCATATTTAGATTTGGAATGTTCAGAAGCTGACCATGCCTTTGTAGCCAGCTGATTTAGCTGCTGAAAACGATACGAAAATAGTTCTAGGCATAAGAAACACAGAAAAATGAGAAGAATTTTTTTGACAGAAGCCGAAAGTGAGAGTGTCAGAGCTAATTGGTGCCGTCCTTCTTTCTCATTTTTCTCACTTTCTTACTTTTAGCCTTCCTAGCAGACATAACTTTTTTTTATATTTTCCGGACAAACTCATAAACTAAATATAAGTTCGGGAGAAGCTTAGTTTTTTTGCTTTTGCCAGACGAAAAAGAAGCGGCGGGCCGTCGACGGACCGTCGACGGACCATCGTCGGTACGCGATTCGACTGCCTAGATCTACTTTTCTCTTTTCGGTAGTCCCCCTCTACCTCTGTGGTATAACTCTAAAGTTAATAAGTTGTGAAACCTATTCATATTTAAAAAAAAACATTTCTCATAAAATAATCTAGATTTTAATATTTTTTTCATTGAATGTGTGATTATAGGAAACACCAAATAAACAAACGGGAAAACAACAAAAATGAAATAAGACGAGGGAAATGAGTAATTATAAAAGAGAAAGAGAGCTCTCATTCTCTCTCTCTCTCTCTCTCTCTCTCTCACTTACCAACAAACCTTTTTCGCTTTTCGTGAGAAATTTCTTCTAGTCACGAGAACTTTCATATTGGATATGAAAGTGAAAAAAATATGAAAGTGATCAAGAGAATAAGAATCCAAGAAACATTTTTGGGCCTCAAATGTATTTGTTATTAAGAATAGAGAAATGAGTATTTTGAGTTTATTTCTATATAGCCGGTTTTTTAAAGCATACCGTAAAACCAGTAATAGAAGGGTCACCAAACTTTTAACTTTTACCCCATTTTTATCGGCTCTTGTTAAAGATATCAAAAAGATGTCAACTGATGAATTGTTAATCATAATATCAAAAATTTTTTATAAGTTGACACATTTTTGATATCTTGCATAAGAATTGAGATAATTAAGTTCAAACTTGACAATGTGGGACCTTTCTAGTTTTCAGTTTCGTTAAAAATTCCGTTTCCATTCTGCAGCCCTTATATATATATATATAATTATAACCTTATTTTTTAAAGAATAATCCGAATGAATCGCAGTAAAAGTGTGGGTCGAAGAGATGCAAAGCCACGGGGTGAACGTCGACAAAACAAGGTTACTGTAGCTGTTCTGGGAGCTGAACGAGTCAGTTTCGTGCTTTCTAATCCCTATTTTACAATTATTTGAAGGTTGGCAAATCAGCAATGGTCTCTCAGTTTCTTTGGCACAAGTTTGTGGAAGATTATCGTCCGACTGTCGAGGAATTTAATTGGATTGAATATGAGATTGAAGAAGGACGAGTTCTCATGGTTCAGGTGATCCTTACAATCATTATATTTTTTCATCGCCTTGTTTAAATTCAGATAATTGATTCAAGTGGGTCTCGTGATTTTATTGGAATGAAAAACTTGTATATTGGAACAGCAGATGCTTTTCTGGTGAGTTATTTCCGTTTGTAGCGTAAATTACACATTGGGAATTGCAGGTGGTTTTTGCATCTGATGACGCATCTTCTCTAGATGAAGCGCTCACGACAGTCAACGATATACACGCAAGAAGAGGGAAAGATGTAATGATTTTGTATTAATCCATATATATATATATATATATATATATTCAACATCCCAATTTCAGGTTCCAATACTTCTTGTCGCCAACAAAACAGACCAACCATGTCTTTCTCGCCTAACCTCAAAATCAGATATGAAATGTTGTGCATTGAATGAAGAAGAAGTCAGAGCTTGCTTTCACGAAATATTACTCAGAACAAGACCCAATTTAAATATTCAAGGGTTTGAATTGAGAAAAAGACGGTTAGTTTTTAAAATTTATATAAAAAGAAATAAAAATCAAAGTTCCAGTCAATCGATGCCGTCGAGTCGTGGGTACAGTGGTGTAGAACCAAAGGATATCGAGAAAATCAAGACCGACCGAAAACATCAAAAAGATCATTGCATTATCAGTTAACTTGTATTTTTCAATGAACGTATTTTTTTTATAAACTGAAAATTTCGGACTTTTTATAAACGAATCATGATTGTCTGTTATCGGAACATTAACCGCGACTCATTAGTGCTTAGGGAAGGTTGAAAAATGGGGTTGGAGTTTCGGGTCGAGACCTATATCATTCGAAAGCTGAGAACACGTCCTTTCCTAATCCGTTTTCCAATTTTGCTGAGAAGGCATCAGTTTCGAGAAAAATAGGTTTCAAATTTATGTCAAAAAGGCTGAACATTTTCACGTGGCCTCTGGATTTTCAATTGATTTCTTCGATTCCAAAAGGAATTTTGGATCGCGTGAATACGAAATATATTGACCCAATTTAAAACAATAAAAAAGTCGATCGGATGGTTTAGTGGTTGATGGTGGGATTTTGATGAGAATGGTCTGGGGTTCGATTCCTTCTGCTCGAAATCATTTTTTGCTTTTTAAACCAGATTTTTAGGTACCCATTTTGAGCTCCAAAATGGTTTTTGGTCAGAATTTTAAAACTTTCGCCGGATTTTGAACTATGAGAAGGAGAAATCATCAATTTTTTCCGAACTTATTTTTTTTCGAAATTTTCGAAGTTTTTAGTGGTCAGTCCCATGCGAAATTTTCGATGAAAAATTTTTTGGTCGAAAATTTTCAATTTTTGTTTGAAATGAACTTCTGTGAGTTTTAATTATGATGGGTGTCTAAAAATCTATTATAACGGGTACCTAAAAATCTGGTTAAAAAAAACAAAAAATGATTTCGAGCAGAAGGAATCGAACCCCAGACCTTCCTCATCCCAATCCTACCATCAACCACTGAACAACCCGATCGACATTTTTTTATTGTTTCAAATTGGTTCATATACTTCGAGTTCACGCGATTCAAAATTCCTATTGAAATCGAAGAAATCAATTGAAAATCCAGAGGTCACGTGAAAATGTTCAGCCTTTTAAATTTGAGACCTATTTTTCTCGAAACTGATGCCTCCTCAGCAAAATTGGTAAACAGATTAGGAAAGGACGTGTTCTCAGCTTTCGTATGATATAGATCTCGACCCGAAACTCCAACCCCATTTTTCAACCTTCCCTAAAAAAGTACCAGTTAGAAAAAGTTAGAAAAGTTAGAAAAGTACCGTAAAACCTGTAATAGAGGTTTTACATCAAATTATTACTTTGGTACAAAAAAATTGGAAGTGTGGAAGTTAAAAGGCGCTGGATGTGCCGAAAATCTCACAACGACAACTACCGTAACCCAAAAATATGTTTTTTTTTGGATTTATCTTCTCCATTTTCGTGCGTTTTAGGCCCCCAATTTTTTCACTATCAAAAATTTTTATTTTCTCATTTGGACAAGAAAATAAATCCGGATAGAAAATATTTTTGGGTTAAGGTAGTTGTCATCGTTGGACCTTCGGCCTCAGGAGTTTCTCTTGTACAGCTCCGAGCACTTGTGGCAGAATAATACGTGACCTTTCCTAAAAATCTCGTGGAATCCTGATACCATCCATCACCTGCCGCCTCGCGACGCCTTCCAGCTAATCAAGTTTGATTTTTCAACTGAATAATGAAACTTGCCGGCTACTCCACATGTCTTCTCATCATCGCAATTTTTGCCTCAGCTCATTCTAAGGTAACACTCTAAAAAGCTTTTACGATTTTGAACTATTCGGATTAAGGATGTGGCATATGACTTGACCAACAAAAATCAATTCACCTTCTATTTTCGGGAGCAATGGAAGACGATGTTCAACACTCCACAACCAGTTGCTAATCCAGCAAAGTGGTTCTAGCAGTCTTTTCAAAACTGAAAATTCTCAATTTTCAGACAAAATATCATTGAACTTCTGGCAGATGAAGTCTACTTTCAACCTTGCTACACTGTTGCTCGTAGATCTGGAAGACGTTATTTCACGGATCGTTTATGGGGAATGATGCATGCATTGAATCAGTGTGACGTGGAATCTACAGTACTCCTTCCGGCTGACCCTACCAACAAAAGACCGGATGCTGTATTTGAGATGGAGTTCATTCAAACCGCCACTTATACCAGTTATACTAAAAAGCTCCATAAAATTTCGATGGAGATGAAAGCAAGACAAACTGATGCGAACTCTCCATTCCGCATTTATAGAATTACGGAAACATGTTCGAATCAGTAAACTTTTCTGTTGAACTACTTGTGTATAATAATTGGGTGAATGAAGTATTTTTTGTATGGTTATGTTTTTGAGAAGCATTTTTTAAATCTTTTTTAAATACAAAATAATTGCTTCGAGTGTTTTTGCTTAGTTTGGTATAGTCAGGAATTCGGACTTTCGACTTCTTCAAAAATTTCACTTTCTGACAACTCTGATAGTGACCGAAACCATTTTAACCTTTTTTTTTACCAAAGTCCTCAATTAGCTCAGATCGCCGTGCCCTTGAAACCTTCCAATTCCTGAAAAAATGTTCTTAATAAAAAGTTCCAACACTTGAACAATTCCTCATTGACAATGTGTGATGCAAGTCTTAACCACAGAATTTGGGGATGGCGAGCAATTGTATGAAATACACAGGTAAAATGCGAACGGATCCGTTACGGACGCTCAGCGTTCGCGCGCGGTTGAAATAGGAACCGCATACGGACCGCACGCGACCCGTTTTCAGAAAACCACAGCACATTATTTCGTATTTCTACATATTCTATCCGTTTGCGAACTCCGTATCCGATCCGATTGCGAATGATAAACAAACGGATCCGTTCGCGAACTTAAACTTTTGTCTGATTGGCGAACGGATCCGTTTGTCCATCATTCGCAATAGGATCGGATACGGAGTTCGCGAACGGACAGAATACGGAGGAATACGGAATAATGTGCTGTGGTTTTCTGAAAACGGGTCGCGTGCGGTCCGTATGCGGTTCCTATTTCAACCGCGCGCGAACGCTGAGCGTCCGTAACGGATTGTTCGCGAATCACCTGTGTAGTTATTTTCTTCTATGAGAAATAAAAAAGAAACTTCCAGAGTCATTTCTTCGCTGCTGCTGGTATTCGAGCTGGTCTAGCTTTCCTGTATCTGCTAGCTTTGTTTGATTAGTAAGTTTCTAGGTCACAGGTTTTCAAGTACATATTTTTTAACTTTCAGCGTTGGCCTTCCAGAAGAAGAGGCAGAAAAATGTCGAGAAACTTTTTGGGACGAATTCATGAATGGATTTTTGATTCATGTAGAATTCAAAACACTTTTCAGTTATCAATATTGCTTTTTAGTTCATTTTATCTGGATTCATTCTCTCTTGGATTCTTTGTCCCAGCCGATGTTGGTATGGATTTCTTTCCGCTGCACAGGTGTAGCAATTTGATGAATGTTTTGATAAGACAAAAACCAAAATTTCAGATACTCTACGCTATGTATTATATACCGGTGACTACAATAATATTCAAAGACTATATATCTGCTCAAGATGAAAATACTCATGAGTATTTCAAAAGTAATATCAACTATCAAGACAAATTTGAAATTCGATTTTTCAGTCGGAATGTTTGGATACTTCGCTCATAGATATTTATCCGCACTTTCATCATTTTACATTGGTTTCTTCTTGATGAGAATTAGGTTTATAAATCAATCTATCATTTAAAAGACATTTCGAGATTTCAGTTGCGTTTCTCCTCAAAAGCAAACGGACTTGTACGTCGTTCATGTTTCCCATGAAAAAACAGACGATGATTCTTCGAGTAGTTCGACCAAAAAAACCGAAGAATCGGAAAGCTCAAAGGAAAGCAATGCATGAAGTTTTTTTTGTTTTTTAACTCGATGTTCTTTTTAAATTCTTATAATATCAATGAATTGGGGTTTTAGAATTTTGTGGTTTTTTTTCAGTGGTCATAATTATAGTTTTGATATTTCGCCCTTCGTGACGTTATCAGTGATATCGCCCACGAAAAACCCCATCCATTTTCGCAGTACAAGCGAATGGTAAGATTAAAAAACCTATTTTGAAGGCTTCAAAACGAATCAATAGGGTTTTTTAATATAACACATTCTGAAAATTCTGAAAATACGAAACATTCTAAAATATAGTTTTTTTTTAAAATTAAGTTTTGGAATTTTTCGAATTTCAGAAAGTATTTTATCAGAAAAAAAAACATATTTGAACCTTCCAAAACTGTTCCATTCGTCTGTATTAAGTATCACAATGGCGAAAAGTTCCGGAGCCGTAGTTTCAGGTAAGAAATTAATTTTGTTCATCTATTTAAAATTTCTTCAATCAAATTATTGTCGAATTAAAAAAAGTGGGATCTGGAAAATTTCGCGGGCGGCTTCCCGGTCAATTTTCGAGGCCTTGCTTCAAAATCACTACAGTAGTAAACAAAACTTATTTCTTTGAATTCTGTGGGATTTTCTGTACGAAATTTAGATTTCTTGGTATGGAAATGATCGCTAGCATCTCTAGAATCTGATTTTCATAGAAAAACCAAACTTAATTGCGAAAGTAGCTCGAACGAGGCGAAACTCTGAAATATTACGTTTTTGCCGCACTTTTTCGTAGATCAAAGAAAGCTACGCCTTTCAAATTCTCAGATCCCACTTTTTTAATTCGACAATATATTATAACTTTGTTATCAAAAACATTTATTACGAGTTTTTCAAGTAAACGAAAATAAGAAAAAGTTCAACAAAAGATCCTAGTCTGCTCCTGTTCCAGTTCCAGTTTGATCTCCTGTTTCCGTAGTTTTCTTCATCTCTTCTTCATTATCATTTTTCTTTTTCTCACTTCCATCTGTCTTCTTAACTTCTTCCCTGTTTCCCTCTTTTTCATGTTCATCTGGTCCTGTTTCATCCACGTCTTCTTCAACATCTTCTCGTCGTTTTACTGAAAATCGACGGTGGACACGAGGAGCAGGCTCTGGAGACTTGTAAAGAAAACTGAAATGAAAGTAATGAAGTCTTCAACTCAATTAAAGGCTCAAATAATGACCTCAAGTTAGCAGAAACAAATGAGCAGTACAGAAGTGTGGAGACAACAGCAAGCATGCAAAATGTAACTGCACTGATTTGAACTGAAACTGTTTTAGTCAGAAAAATTTAAAGCTTGAAAAAAGTTTCCTATTTGAATTAGAAAACAAAGATATATTTAGAACTATCCAAATTACCTTTTGCGAAATATACAAGCACTTCTTCGTTAGTAAATGGAGATCCTGGTGGTAAAACTACCTGAACATCATTGAGTAGGAATGGAGGCCACACGTATTTCAGTTTCAAGTAGAACAGAACATAAGCATCGTAACAGAGAATTATGACAGCTAGACCAAACTGAAGTTTTTTACAAAATTGGGAAGTAAAAGAGCGGAAACCCACACTGAGAAGTGTAGATAAAGCATAGAATGGAGTATAATTGAAGCAAGACATAAACCCACTGATGAATGACAAGACAATGAACTAAAACTTTTGAATGTTATGTTTGAATCGTGCGAAAATCATACAGGAATAAGAGCGAAACCACCTAGCGCTTACATTATCAAATCTTCCTTCGTTTTCTTCACATCCTCGGGTGGAACAGGCATTCCGAATAGATCAGACGGACAAGTAAAACTACAAAAAAGGGCAATTGGTCAAGTAAAAACGATTTCAACTGACTATGTATAAACAGAGGCGATCGTAAGAGCGAAAGCCAGAAGAAAATGGAGATTGGAGATGATGAGGAAGTGTATCTGAAGTTAAATTAATTTAGGCCTGATACATAAAACTAAAAAAAAAAATTACGCTCGCTTTGAGACACAATACTTTAGTGGTTAGATCAACTTTCATGCCGATTTCGCGGTTTCTGTTTGATATCCGTCCAAACTGAATCAATGTTGTCATGATGACATTTGTCCTAGTGACTTGTATCTGACATGTCCTCGCGGACAATGCTGGGATGGTTCACCAAGTTCTACTTTTGTTCTGCGTCTGTCAACATGAAGCATGTTGACCTTCTAAGGTGTCTACGAAACATGGGGGAGCAGAAGTTTTCTTATCCGTTCGGAAGATTTTTCGATCGATGTTGGAAATCAAACATTCCACTTTCATGGGAGAAATAGAGTAGCCTTACTTTCTCAAAATAATTTTTGACCCCCGTAGTTGATCGTCCGGAAATGGTCTAACACACATCTGAATTGTTTTCAAGGCCATCAACTTTTATGACAAAAAAATAACCACCTGGTGTGTTTTCTAGACAATTTTAATATGGTGGCCTAGCTTTTGCAAGTTGAGTTTTTTCCCCCTAGTGTTGAACAAGGTGCGGAGATTTCTATAGATATATACGGGACTTCGTTTGTCTCTCTAGGCAAAACTTTTTCCGATCCTAAATTGGAGATTGGAGAAGACCCAGAAGAGTACAAAGACATAGAAAAAGAGGAAAATGTATCACAAAATGCTAAGTCGGAGAATATTAAACATCTAGAAAATCCTAAAACTCAGGAAATAATCGAAAAGGAAAAGGATTACTGTAGAGAAAAAATAATCGAAAATGAAAAGAATTACTGTAGAGAAAAATATTGGAAAATGGGAAGGATTAATGTAAAGAGAACTAATCAAACATGAAAAAGATTATTGTTGGGAAGGGGGTACGACGAATTCGAACGCTTCGAAAATCGAACAGACCTAAAATCGAACATGTGTCAAAACAGAACAAGAGCAGAATCGAACTGTGCGAAATTCGAACTGTGTCGGAGTCGAACTGTCCCTAATTGGAACGCTGTTAGCCATGGGGCGCACTTGCATTATTTTTGTTTTCTCATTTTTTCCCCGCAAATTTTTATTTTTTCCTTTAAAAAAATATTTTTGTTGTTTTTGTTTCCAATAAAACTGATTCGTATATATTTTTTAAGTTTTCTCAAGAAAAAAGTCAAATTTAATTTAAGGAAAAATGCAAGCGCGCCCCATGGCTAACAGCGTTCCAATTAGGGACAGTTCGACTCCGACACAGTTCGAATTTCGCGCAGTTCGATTCTGCTCTTGTTCTGTTTTGACACGTGTTCGATTTTAGGTCTGTTCGATTTTGGAAGCGTTCGAATTCGTCGTACCCCCGTTGGGAAACAAGATACCAAAACTGGAAGGGTTACTGTAAGGATAAAAAGTCGAAAATGAAAAGGATTACTGTAGAGAAAACTGTTTGGAAATGAAAAGGATTGCTGTAGGGGAAAATATTGGAAAATTAAAAGGATTACTGTAGGGAAAAAAATTTAAAAATGGAAAATTTTAGAGAGGACTAAGTGAATTCAGAAGGAATTGTAGAGTTTGTTGTGGTTCTCATTATTACTTGAATCCTATGATCTAACCTAAATGATAACAAAAATATATACATTAACTGTTTGGTTTAATAAATTGTTGATTTGTAATAAGAAAGAAACTTCAAAACCGGCACTCTTCTAGAATCACGGAACGAAAAAAAATCACGGAAAAAAAACCCGGAACAAAAAATCACGGAACGAAAAAAAATCACGGAACGGAAATTAAAATCACGGAACGAAAAATAAAATCACGGAACGAAAATTTTGGGTAATCCAAAAATTGCTAGGACCTTCATTCAAGTACTATCCTGAAATTTAACCTTGACATTACATTTTTTTGCTCAGTATCCAAAATGACAAATGTGGTATATTGAGTCCAAATGTGGTATATTGAGTCCTTAAGGTACACTAGTTGACAGTGTACATGATTAATAGGTTACACCTTTCCCAGATGTTCTGAGGATCATGGGACATATGAGAGTTAGGTTAGAGGCTGCAACGAGCAGAGTTATCAAACTTCCCGTCGTTTTTTGGGTGTCCAACATGAAGGAAACATGATGGTTCAGCCTAAGCCTATAATTGAGGAAATCTTTTCTAATTCAAAATTAGTCTTCTTGGAACAAAATATTGGTCCGGAATAAGAATAGTCTTGGGCCTAATTGAGTAGAAATCGTGGCATGAAATTTCTCGCCTCGGATTTCTCATTTTTCAAAAATTGGATGATATTTTTGGATTGAGGAAGCTTTCTTCAATCACAGGCTTAGGCTGAAACGCCATGTTTCTTTTATCTGGAACACCCTTAAATGTCAGCAAGCTCAATAACTGCTTGATGTAGCTTTAAACTAAATTTTCAGATGTTCTACAGGTCCTATGTAACCTGTTAACTAGCGTAGCTCGCGGAGCGATTGATTTTTCATAACTTTTCCAGAACTTATTTATTTGACACTGAAACGGATGTGATATGTTTTGTGTGATACTGGATGGTGTTTATCTCAAACTTCGTTTTATTTTAACTTTTGTAGTACTATAGATTATTTATTCTTAGTCATCGAGTGATATAAATTATTAGATCATTCAATACTGATTCGGCTTTCTGATATTATTTCATTATCATCGTCGTCGCTTTCAGCCTCAAAATCGTAAATATCACGACCGGCGCCAGCACGTTGACAACATCTGGAATCATATTGAAAATGATTTTAGAAAATGAGAATTCTTACCCCAAGCAGACAAGTAGAACAATGCAATAAATGGCACAGATGATGTAAACGGCAGTGTTCACAGGGACAATGTATAAGATATCTTAAAAATACATTTAACAGAAAATTATATTTGAAAATCCAAAATTTTTGAAACCGTACTCCATCATGCCTTTTCAGTTTTCGAAAACGGTACCATCGGTACCATCAAACTTCAAACAAGGCAGAAAAACTCACACAACTCAAAGGAATTGATGAAATCCAATGAATTTCCCGGTGTTATCGAATAAGACATATTTTTAAATTTCGATGCAATATGATGAGGCATATGCAGGCGCACCCGACGAGAGAACTGGCCAAGCGATACCAATCAAGAGTAGAAGTTTGGGATTGAATTTGATGATCGCGATCAAAAATAAGGCAGAAAGAAACTGAAAGTGAGCAGTTATCATATTTCAATCATATCAGAACCTGTTTATCCTTTTCGTGTACTTTTCTAAAAAAATAGAAACTGGAAAAAAATGTTGAGAAAAAACGGACTCAATGAATGGGATCCATTTATCGAGCTGCCAATATGTAACAGTCCAGCGAAAACAAGAGACGCGAGGAAGAAAATTATCCCGAGAACAATTGCATGAATCTGTTAAGACTTGTATGGTCCAGACCATTGATTTCAAGGAACTCACCTTCCCAGGACAGCACATCACTTTCTTATCCATGTCAGCTTTTTCACAAGCACCCATTTTTTCTGTTCGTTTTGAAGGATCACTTTTTTAAACTGATTCATAAACTGATTCGAGTTTTGGACAAGGTTATTGACCAATTGGAGAGAGTGTGGCTTTTTTTTTTCTGTTTACTTTTTTACGCCAATCACCTCAATATTTTTGATTTACTGTCCTAGTTTTTAATGGAGGAGGAGAAAAGATTTTCGGAGTTTTTTAAGAGTTAGTGTATGCATTCTGACGTAACGGTGTACAGTGTTTAGTGCTCACACTATTATCGTGCCACTTTTATAAGGTCTTTGGAGGGCCCTTTTATTACAGTGGCCTGTCTATTATTCCGGCCATTTTTGCCAAAACTCTTCATTGAAAAATTTGGTGAATCCCGTTCCAAATTCATGAAAGTTTATAAATTTCACCAAAATTGATCAAGTTTTGATTTTTTTTCATGACCCACTGCCCTTATCAACCATGGTGTCTTAATCTAAATGACGTGGGCATCATGTTTCCTTTCGAATTGCCAAAATCTTTAACTGGACAACAATATTTTCTTCAAGAGTAAATATGAAAACCTTACTAATCTTCTTTTCTATGCTTATCGTTACTATCTCTTACAATACACAAAATAGTTTGACAAGTAGAGAGAATGAGATTCGATTGGGCTCATGTGGAAATCCATCGGGTATGCTGAATTCTTTGGAAAATTCTGAAAAAGTTAAATTTTAGGAGAGTCGTTGTGGTTGGCTGCCGTTTATAAAAAAGACGGATACGATCAAGTGAATGCTGAGAGGGAGAGAAAAAAACCAATAAAGACTTCAAAGGCTACTGATTTAACAAAAACGACATTTGAAACAACGGAAATGACTACTGATATGACGACAGATTGGACGACGGATGTATCTTCGAATGAAACGAACATAACCGAAATCACTGAACCACTATCGAACATTGAGACGACATCTCCATTAACGACTGTCGCTGTGACACGTTAGTTCTCCAAAATGTTTTGTTTAAAAGTTAGGAACTACTGAATTTACATGAATTTATTTTTCAGCAGCACCGGACAAAACAAACGCAGTATTCGTGTCTCAAAAGCACCTATTATTGACATCTTCTTGGTTCCTTGAGTATAGGTGAGACAAGACTTGAAAAATGTGTTCTTTGTTACAATTGTACTTTTAAATCTGTTGGTATTTACCAGAGATGTCAGGAATGACTTGATGTGAGAAACATAATCCTAAAGACGGAATCTGGACGAACAAAAAGTTCACTGAATCCGGAAAACGGAGCACGCCGTCAGGAATTCGATCATCTTCAGTGTGTAGGAAAAGTCTAAAAGTACAGCTGGTGCTTTTATTGCATCGTTTGTAGCAAAACTAAAAGATGGAAATTATATTTTATTTTGAAAATTCGGGATAAAACATTTTGCATTAAACCCGGAATTCGGAATTCGGAACTTTCTTGAAATCCAGACAAAATTTTATTTCTCGGAATTCGAAATACGGAATCCGAAATGAAAAAAGCGCGGAATCACGAATCTGGACATCTGTGGTATTTACTGGGTTTAGGAGATGCTCAAATTGCAGATATAAATGATTTCTGACCCTTTTTGAAGATTTTTGAAAGTTTATGTAATTTTTAATAGCCAATAACACTAACGTCTAAAGTGAGTCTACACAGAATTTGTTTTATATTGTTATTCCAGGGATAAAGAAGCGAGCTGGTACTGGAAATACAATAAAACTCGAATAGACGACTCGTTTTGTAAAAAAGACAACAAAGCTAGTTTCCGTGCACCATCAGTCTATAATTATGTAATGGACTATCATAACGATTGGAGGAAAGTTAAAGAAGTAGAATTAAAGAAAAATGGAAAATAAATAGAAAATCGAGATTTTCAGATTATATTCCTCCGATTCTGCGAGTTCCGGAAAGATCCGAGGGGATTCCTTGCAATGGTCGTGGTTGAAAAATCTGGATTTCCGGTGCCGATAATTTGTTTTCCGAAAGGTTAGAGATAGGGAAATAAAAGAAAGGGAAAGGAAATTGAAATATTTTTCAGCATTGGACAAAAATCAAAACTCTCGGATGGATTTTTTCAAACAGACTGGAACGGAGATAGCGGAGAAAGTAGGCGATGTGAGTATTTGTTTACCTTCTTAAAAATAAAAAAGGCTTTCCAGACAATAAAATGTGATGCTGGTGGTATTGCGCATTTCTATTCACTTGGTACAGAATGTAGTTCAAAACGAAGAGGAGCTCCAATGGTGATTGTAGATTCGTTTAGAATTCAGAGATTGGTTGGAGTGGTTGCCAAAGGTACTGTAGATCCACATTCATAAAAATCTACGTTTATAAAAAAGATTTTCAGAAAACAAAGAAGAGCACCCGTATTATCATATTGTTCAAGAATACATGAATGAAATGTGTACTTTGATGGGACTATGTAGAAGAGAAACTGAACAAATTGTTCATGTGCCTGGAGAAAATGATGAAAACATCAGAAATATAATAGATGACGATTACGCGGAACAAGTCGAGGAGCCACTACCACTTGAATATAATGGACAGGCAGAACAAAATATGGTTCTTGGAATTTTCAGTTTCATCTTTATGTTTTCGTAATAAAGGAAGTTTTGAAATAGGAAAAGGGTTAATGTAGGAAAAAAATTATATAGTGGGAAATATTTGAATATGAGAAAGGTTACTATAGGGAAAAAACATTCGAAAATGGGAAGCGGAACTGTAGGGGAAAGTATTTTAAAATGAAAAGAATTAATGTAGTAAAAAACATCAGAAAATTGAAAGGAATACTATATGGGAAAAATATTCGAAAAGTTAAGGATTACAGTAGGGGAAAATTTTCAGAAATCAAAAAGATTACTGTAAGGGAAATAAATGTTGTATCTTTTTTAGAGCACGTCTAGTTTTTCTAAAATTTGAGAACCACATTCGTGACAAAATACTGATTTGATTTCGAGATTGGACAACACTCCGTTCCCCTGCTCGTTCTTATTTAAAAGAATTTTCGATGAAACTCCGGTTACATGTAGTTCTCGTTCTTCTGATTCATGGCTATTGGTATGAACTGAGTTACAAAGAAAATAGGAAAAGACTTGAAGAGTGTGGAAAGAATTTCCTTCGTGGGTTTCTCTTTAAATATAACTTCGAAAGTATACTTTTTTCAGCAAAGCCGGACAAAAAAGAAGCCGAAATATCACACAGCCTGAATGATTGGATCGTGAAAGTTCGAACAAAAAGTAGGTTGCATCAAATTGAACATGCTTAAAAAAACGCAGAGCAAAAAACAAAAATTCCTCCGACAACTGGCAGCTTCATTTCATCTAGGCATATCATAACATCTGCTCAATCCATTTTGACAAGTGGCAAAAAATGGCGTTATAATGGAGAAGATGCCTCTGGAAATTGTTCGCATCCGGAACTGTAAGCCTAGCTTGTATGTTAATGACTAGTTTCGTATTCTCAGAGATCTGGAAGTTCCGAAAGAAATCGTGAACCATATCGAAATTTTTCGGGGAGACTGTGAAAATGGATGGCAATGTGAGCCACCACTAAGAGCTCAAAAGGTTCGCTCACTTTTAAAAACAAATTCTGGCGAATCTGGTGAATTGTAGGCTGTCATTCTTAATTTTTGTGATCAAGACGACCAATTCGATCGAATGTTTCGAATAATGCTCATTGAAGTCAAAGAGTTCGAAACTTCAAGCTTCGCATGTATTTCAAATGGTTTTTTTTATTTCTTAAACCTAAAAGGAAATTCAATTATTTTCAGATACAACAAAACTCCAAATGAAGGAATTAGTAAATACTTATGGATTTGATGATGAACGACTTGTATACAGGCTACTTGAGGTATTTTTAGTATACCTGACAACAAATTTGAAAGTTATTTCTAGGTTACGAACATTGGAAAAGGTTACATCTTGACATCAAAATACTACGTGTATGGAGATCGAGGAGGACCAATGGTAGTAGACAGAAATGAAAGAGGAACCATTGTTGGAATCGGAGCATCTAGTCAGTTTTTTTAAGTGGTTCAATTCAGTCTCTGTTTTTTTTCAGCTGGATGGTCTGACAATAGTGGGAATACTTGGTTTTTTGAACTGAGCCACCATTTTGAAAATATTTGTAATGTTACTGGTATTTGTGAAGGAAATCCAGTCAATACTACAATGGATCCAGCCAATATTAAAACAACTGAAATGGAATCTACAGTATATTTTAAACGAAAATAAATATTAGATTTTTAATAAAATATTTTTTTAATATGATCAAGTATGATCTTTTAATGATTTTAAATTATTTCCAATCCATAGTTGGGTCATTGATTGTTAATATCAACTCGATGAACGAACCTCAGAAATTCTAGACGTGTTCTTATTGTTCTTAGGAGCTTCGCTTTTGGTTGTCCACATATTATTTCGGAAAAATCGCGTTTTCGATTCTTCGAAATTTCCGAATCAAGATGAGAATTCAATCGATCATTTTCCTCACAATCATAGCAATCTTTGGATACATTTCGTGTGAGGATGAGGAAACGTTGACATTGTATGATCATCCAGGGATTCCTTCCTGTCAGTTTTTAAAATCTTTATATTTAAAACATCCGTTTTTCAACTTTCAGCAGAATTCACGAAAAAGGAAGCAGAATACGCACAATTTAAGGCAAAGAAAAACTCCAAGAAGGAGAAAAATCGTACTGGAAGATCGGAGGAAGCGTTTAACGAGGACGAGTTTGAGGACTGTGATGAAGATGAGCTGGAAGCAGATGGAAAAGAATCAGAATACAACGAAGAAGAAGAAGAGGAAGAGCAAGATGATGGCGTTGATGATTGGGATGGCGGAGAAGACATTTATATAAGCAAGGATAAGGTTCGGACTAAGGAACTTTAATTTTTTTTGAATAAATGTTTTTTTTATGAAATTGAAAACTGCTACATATGAGAACTTGCTTAATGGGTCTAACACGTAGTTCAGAATCTAAGTTTTTTTGGAAAAATAGTTTGGAAGCGATCTCGTTCTTCTCAATCGTTCAAAATTTTCCAAAAAACATTTTTCACATGTTCTCAGGTAGTTTTTTGAGTTCTCATTCGTAGCAGAACTTATTCTGCCAGATTTTATTTCATGCGATTTCTTATTTGCAGAAATTCTCATTTTCCAAGTAATGATCCCTGGTACCACCTTTTTGCTGGAACTCGAAATATTAGCTTTTCTGCAGGGAATGAGCAATATTTGGATTCATCAGAAGTTTTGGAAGTGTGAAAAAACCAATAATGATGATCTGAAACAATCAAGTTGAAATACATGTATACCGTTTCCAAATAAATTCATTTAGAGTCATGAAATTCAATTTTGAATAAGTAAATTGTAACAAGTGCTGAAACATCTGGACCGAGCGCCAAAAAATGGTTTTGATGGTTGACAACTAGTCTCTTTTTCGAAGTGTATAGCAATCTGTCAAACATTTTATGAGCATAATTCCAACTATTTCCCCCTTCTACGCATATTCCTTTCTTATTTAGTTTCTCTTGAAAAGAAATAAAATCTTCGGAGGAGAATCATCTCATAAAGTGTATTGGGGGTGACAAAAAGGTCGTCCGAAAAAACAATGTTGGAAGAACAGCAATCCGAAGGCTGTTATTATGACACGCCAATTACAAACACCAGAGAAATGTGGTGGTTTGTCTCAAGGCAAGAAAAAATTACGAAGAAGAAAAAGATGATGTTCAAGAAGACAAGGAAGAAGCAGATTCGGGAACGAAGGTCAACGCAGATCATCTTCGTTTGGATACCTTCAATGACTTCTTCTCCTTTTGATCCGTCATTGTTTTGATTCTGAGATTTGAATCACTTTTTTCAGATTTTTCTCAATACATAAATATAGAATATGTGATTCATCATGATCGAAAATCCGCGATCTCCGGGTAGACAGTGTCCTTTTGTTTCCAAATAAAACAAAACGAGTCGTGATTGGAAATGCTTGAGAATATGACTTTTCGGGCGATGAGTCTCGGGGAGCCAGGAGCATATATGCATAGTTGCATAATAAGCGCCCCTCCCGCCTGTTTTCTTCTCCGAATGGAGCTTCTTCTTCTTCTTTTTCTTTTTTCCCCGTAGAGCAAAACCTTAAGAGGCAGACAGGGAGAAATGAAGAATTTGTTTGATTAGAAGAATGAGGTTGAGACACTTCTCCTTATTCAATTTTTCCATACCCATCCCGAACATTTTTGACCATTTTCGTCTCTTTTTTCAATTTCGGCAGGAGATGAAAGAGAACGTTGAGCTTCCTTCTTGTTTCACAATTTTGAAAGCTCGTTTGAACTCAAAATGTAAGTTGATACAAAAACTCTGGCACAATCGAGACCCAAGTTTAACAATCTTCAAAATTCTGACTGCGCCAGATGCTCAAGATTGAGTTTCCGAATACCGCAAAACCTCTAATACAAGGGCCCCCACACTGTCAAGTTTGAGCTCAATTATCTCAGCTCCTATAAGAGATATCAACAATGTGCCAACTGATAAAATGTTTTTGATATTATGACATACAATTTATAAGTTGACAACATTTTCATATCTTTCATAGGAACCGAGATAAATTGGCTTATAGTTAATAGTTAGGGGCCCTTCTATTAGTTTTTACGGTGGGTCAAATATCGAAATGAAAAATCTCTGGTGTTTAATTTATTTTATCTTTATTTTAAATCTAGTACCGGAAGTTTGACCAGGAATTCAAACAGTGTATACGCTTTTCAAATTTATAAAACTTCTTATAGCAGAAGTCCTGAAGATTTCCTTCCGTTCTACAGTAATCCCTTATTATTTTCTTCATTCTCTTCTTTCACCGAAAGTGCTATATTCCCCTATTTCTTACAAAGTTTCTTACTCTGCTATCAAAAGCATCTCTAGTCTAGCTTTTCACCTTACCAGTATAAATTCAATCAGGCTTACCGTAAAGCGTGTAATAGAAGAACCTTCCCACTCTCAAGTCTGTGCTCAATTATCTCAATTTCTATAAGAGATTTCAAAAATATGTGAACTAAAAAAACACTTATGTTGTTATGATAAAAATTTAGTCAGTTGATAACTTTTTCATATCTTTTACATGATATGAGATAATTGAGCTCAAACTTGACCATCTCGGGACCCTCCTTTTGCAGGTTTTACGGTATGGCGGTTTTACAGTAACCCTAGAATCCCTTCACGCGCATTCCTCTTACGCTTCTCTAGTACCCATCTTCAGTCAATTTTCCTTTTTTCCACGTAAATCCATGAGAGTATGTATGTCGTCATCAATGTCCACGTCAGTACAGTGCACCGACCACTTTCGTGTTTCGGGCCGACGCATGAGATCACGATTAAGGCAAACAAAGCTTCTCCTTCTCCAGCTGTGGCTCCCACCAAAGAAGAGGAGCCATCTCCTCCCGCTTCTCCTCATTACGGGAACGTCTCGGGAGCACACGGAAATAGTGTGCTACCTGGAGAGACACGACAGACATGACGTGGCACTTGCGAAAACACGCAAAAGCTGATGATCCGGAAATGGCAAAAAAATGAGGAAAAGGCACATCGCAACACTTCCCTATTTGCTAGGAAATACACGGTGGCTTAGGCCGAAGACAAGAAAAATTTTGTTGGTAATTTCGCCTAATCAAAGGAACACTAATTCTATGAACTACTAGGTAGATGCTACACCAGAAAAAATTTTTATATTGATTAATGTTAAACGTTTTTGGTCAAAATGCGAGTCCTCATTCTGATAATATTAATTTCAAGAACCAGTATGACTAGGTAGTTAAGTTTGTCACATTAGGGGCCAAGAAACTCAAAAATTATCTCGTGAGTGTCAGCTGTTTTCAAGAGAGCCCTTGAGCTCCGCCCCTTTTCTTTTTACTCTCTTCAACTACTTCTCTCTATCAGTGATTATCGAAGTATAAGACTTCAAACCCTTTTGTGTTTGTTGTCACCAAATTTCACAAAAAATAATTTTCACAACGATCTGTAACTGATCTGTTCAGTTACGGAAACCAATGGTTACCAGCATACTTGCAAAATTCCGGGCTGGGTCGGGCCCGACCCGGTATCAAAATCCTGTTTTTTTTTGGTTTTTGACTGTTTGATCGACAAAAAATCACATAAGGGTCCCTTATATGCTTTTTGTAATTTTCCAAATTTGTGAAATGACGGGCCGGGCTTCCAAAAATTCTTTAAAAACCCAGTCCGGCCCGGCCAGTTACAAGTACCAGCGGTAGCAAAATCTGTATAAGTCGATCACAACAATTAATAATTTTTAAGATCACTTCTGATCTCTATCTCCACTATATTCTCGTTTTACTGTTTCCCCTTTTTTCGGAAAAAGAGCCGACTTGTATTTTTTTTTGGATGTCACATGTGTACTGTTTGGGCTTCCACTTGTGAAGTTCCAGAGGCCACGTCCCATTTTTTGATAGAAAGAGCCAAACATAGATCTGAGTCACATGCCCATTATTACAGTAACTCTTCATTGCCCATGATTCATTTTCTCTCTCTTCATCATTCTTCTTCTTGTTTTAGCCTCCACCCACCCTATTTCGCCTTGCCTCCTATCTCGGGTGAGTCGCTGATTTTTTCCTCGAAAAAGTCAAAATCACTTGACTTCTCTATATGCACTACTACCATCTACCGGTTGGCTCCTGTCTTCTTCTTCCTCCTGCCAATTCCCTTTTCATTTACTTTCCCACTCTTCCTTTCGTTTCAATGAGCAAACAAAAGATGAAGAAGGAGAAGCCTAAAAGTTTCTTCGTTTTTTCTGCTCCAAAAAGTCTCTGTTTCCACACAAAGTCAATTTGGTAAAAAGGAGAGAGAAGATTCCATATGGTCTTTCTTTCCTTTCCATCCCTCTCACATATGGTTGGCTCCTCACTTTGGAACTGAGCACAACGATCGTTAAAAGCACATGTTGTGTTGGCCATAACTTTCAATTCCGTCTTCTTTCCATCTTCCTCATCCTCCCAGATTTTCCTTCAGCTTCTCGTTGCCCATATATACTTACAGTATCCCCCTCTCTCCCTGTCATTCACGGAAATGTGGGCGAATCTTTCTTGCCTCGTAATGGTTGGCGCCGCCGAAGCCCCGCCCACATTGCCATGTTTTGTTTTCTATGCCTCCATGAAGGCATGTTAGGATATGAACATTCTCTTTTCTTCTCTGATTGTTTGACTCATCAGTTTTTTCCTACAATTCTTCCCTCTCTCAAAGGTCATGACACCTCTTTTGGTTTCCCATACCTTCTGTTCCCTTTCTGTCATCCGATATTCTGTTAGTAATCATCCAAAATGGCCAACAGACATGTATCGTTTTGTAATGCTCCTAATAACCATATATCACACGTTACACTTCTGCTCGCCAGATCACCTTATTCGCTCGACGACGTCTGCTCGGTCGGGGGTATTGTAAAAGGAGAACTTTGCCGAGAGGCGAGAGAAGGGGGGCAACTGTCGGGGAAAGAGCATCGGAGATTCTCTTTGTAATAGAGTCGGTGAGCGGGGAAGTGCTGTGGTCCGCTATCTGACCGCATATTGCGCGGAACTTCTGATAAGTGCCGACAGTCGGCTCGACGTTCGGAGTTCTGAAAAGGAATCCGAATGGGCGGGTCGATTTCTATGCCTATATAAGATCCGAGCAGAATAATAAGATACTTTCATTTATAGGTCTGTTTTAAGATGATCTGAATTAGCTAGTGACAGATAGGTCTGTTTAGGTATCTATGAGTTTTTTTAAATTGCTTCAAGACATTCTTGATCAAACAAACTAGATTTTTTTCTGAAAATCGAAAAACGTTCATTTTACAAAAATTTCCATAACATGTTTCGAAGATTTCGAAAAATTCTTCCAACTCTATCCAAAACTTTTGTGTCTTCCTCGCTTTCGATTTTGTCTACAGTACTTACGTATAGTAGCTTCCACACTTCCGTAAAATAGAAGGGCTTCCTAACTTTCAAATTCGGGCCAACTTATCTCGGTTGCCGATAAAGATATTAACAATTTGTCAACTGATAAATTGTATGTCATAATATCAAAAACATTTTATCAGTTGGCACGTTGTTGATATCTCTTATAGGAGCTGAGATAATTGAGCTCAATCTTGACAGTGTAGGTGTCCTTGTATTACAGGTTTTACGGTATTCGGAAACTCAATCTTGCGCATCTGACGCAGTCAGAGTTTTGAAGATTTTTAAACTTGGATCTCATTTCTCTATTATCTTTCATAGAACCCTATCGTTGAACTGACAGCGGATCCTCTTTTTCGATTTTTTGTCGTACTGAAGCACTAGTTTTGCACTTTTCTGATATCCAAGAATTCATAAGTTAGCCTCTGCTAGCTAGATTCCTATTATCGATAACAATTCCTGTCTTAAATGAACTTTGTCCGACGGCGCTACCAGTTTTAGATGCAAACCGTCTAGAGATTTTATTTGGAATTCAATGTCGTCTACAAGTCTGAAAGCTTTTTGTTTCCATTTCCCTATCATCATTTCCCTTATTTTCGGTTTTTTTGGATGAGTCACAAGTTTTTCGAATATTGTGAAAGTTTACTACCATTCGAAGGAGACGAAGAAAAGGACCAAGCATGTGAGGGGGTTCAATGTAATTGTTTTTTGTGTTCTAGATCACAAGTAGGTCAACTCAATCGTCTTGCATTTAAATCCGAAACCCCATTACCGTAACCTTGTTCTTCTTCGTCTTCTCCATCAAATTTTCCCCATTACAACATCCACTCCCTGAACAGCCGCATACATCCATCCATCGCCATCCGGCTGCCGTTTGTGGGCGGGATCCCTCATATGTCATTCCTTCAGGGTCCTTCCATTCCCATCTTTACTTCTATCCATCCCCGCGGGTGCTGCTCATTCTCCCACTCCTTTCTTTCTTCGTCACTATTACACACCGTTTCGGATGCTTCCTTCTCCTTTGCTTCTTCTTCTTTTGCTGCTATCGTCGCCCATATTGCTCTTTTCACTTCTTTCGGGGGACCTAACATATGTGTCTGCCGTAATAAGAGAGAGAAAAAGAGAGAAAGGAGCACCAGACTCCAAATCAATCGATTCTTTTGTTTTCCAGAAATGTGAGTTGGAAGTCACATGGACTTGATCAGCCACAAGTCTATCAAATGGGGAGTGACTGACAAAAACTCCAACTAGAATCTCTATTCAGAATCAGAATCAGTATCAATTAACAGCCAATCCACCGTATACCCTTATTCCCATTTCTTTCTCCTCAAACGATTCTTCTTCTTTGTCGTCCCTGCCGTCCCCGTAAAAAGTTACCATACCAATACTGGTTTATTCTCTCTTCCCATCTTCTTCCCGAACGTCCTTCTTTTCTTCTCTGTCGATGATCATCATCATTATACTTTTCTTTTCAACCATCTTCTCCCAATCATTCTTTCATACCATTCCTTCTTCTGATTTCAGAATATAATGACAGACGTCGAAGACTTTGCTCAGCTCTTACAAAAGCTTCAGAATTCGAGCCCTGCACTTCCAGAAGGAACGTCTTCTACTCCGACGCCTTCTTCCTCAACTGGACTCCTTCCAAATGGAAAGAAGACCAAAGGGCGTGTTAAGATCAAGATGGAATACATCAATAACAAACTTCGCCGATACACTACTTTCAGCAAAAGGAAAACGGGAATTATGAAGAAAGTAAGTTGAAGACGTCCGGAGTAGGACCAGAATCGTTATTGATACTTCTTCAGGCTTTCGAATTATCAACACTCACGGGTACTCAAGTCATGCTTCTAGTCGCATCTGAAACTGGTCACGTCTACACATATGCAACCAAAAAACTCCAACCAATGATTTCATCTGAACCCGGAAAGGCTATGATCCAATCGTGTCTGAATGCTCCTGGCGACGAGGGATCCGATGTTCAACCCAGCCGAACGGAATTCACTTTCGATTCTGGTAACGGTGGAAATGGAATGCGTAAACGGAAGATGTTGAACGATGCGATGTCAGCCGAGTCGAGCAACAACAGCCCATCGGTGAGTTTAGGAAAACGAATCTTCCCTATTACAACGTGCGTCAGCCGACGGCCCGATAGAAGGAAAAGAAGAAGCAAATCGGCACTAAAATGGCCTCAAATATCCTTCGGGAGGGCCACGGGAAGGGGAAGATGGAGAGAAAGGGGCCATCGTTTTTAGTGTAATGTATTTCGTATTGGTGTGTACGACTTTGGTTACATCGCTTCACTAATGGACAGATTGAGAGAGAGTATGCTATCACTTATGACTAAACTGATTGCTCACTTTACATCACGGGGAGAATTAGGAGAAATGGGAAGAAACTGATAGTTTGAGAGGAAGGGGAAACAATGGGGAAGAGTTCTTTTTACTGACAACCGCTTGTCGGCACTGTTCTAGAATCACGGAACGAAAAAAAAATCACGGAACAAAAGTTTTGGCTAATCCACAAATTTCTACGATCTTTAATTTGATAAGTGGTGACCCGAATAGTACCTTAGCAATAATTTTACTTCGTCCAATATCCGAAAATATGTTAGAAAGGGGTATATCAAGTTCTTAAGATACGCTAGTTATGAGATTACATAGGACCTTAAGAACATCTGGGAGTTTAGTTCAAGGCTACATCGAGCAGTTATTGAGCTTTTCCCTATCTTTGGATGTTCCAGATGAAGGAAACATGACGTTTTAGCCTAAGCCTATAATTGAAAAAAGCTTCCCCAACCCAAATATATTATCAAATTTTCCGTAAAGTGAGAAATCCAAGGAAAACAGTTTTGTACCAAGATTCTCACTTACTCAGGCCGTGTCCATACTTCTTTGGCCCAAGACTATTCCAAGTTTTTGGACCATCAAGAGGGGAGACTAATTTTGGATTAGGAAAGATTTTTCAATTATAGGCTTAGGCTGAAACGCCATGTTTCCTTCATCTGGGACATTCGAAAAATGGTGGCAAGTTCAATAACTCTGGTCGATGTAGTCTGGAACCATACTCCAGAATGTACCCAAGAGGTCTTATATAACATATTAACTATTGAACCTTGAGAACTCAATCCATCTTTCAGATATACTTTCGAATACTGCTTGTCTACAGTAGTTCAAAGATTCCTTATTTTCAGATGGGTGGTTTCTCTCCATTCTTGCCATCAATGGCTCCGCTGTTCTCTTCATTCGGTGAGGACGACTACAATAATACCGAGAGTGGAGATGATTCGGATTCTGAGGAAGCTGCTAGTGATATCAAAGAGGAGGATCAGGGATCACCAACAATGATCAAGCAAGAAATGATTGAGACGGACAGTGTTACGGCTTCTCTTCAGCAGACGATAAAAGAGGCAATGAAACAAGCAGCCTCGAATAGACAGGCACTCAAAAAGACCAAGGTTTCATCTTCACCCACGAATCAAAAATTCATCAATCCGTTCCTTCTCCAAGGTAAAACATTATAACTAATTTTTCTCATATAAATATTTTATTTCCAGGCGGTGCCAATGCGGCAAACTTCCTCGCAGCTGCTGCCAAACAAGGCGATGATGCCACCAACCACTTTCTATCACAATTGAACTTTCAGCAACTGATCGAATCGGCTGGACTTGCCTCTTTAAGTGAATAATTATCCCTCCTTTTTTAGTATTGTTTAACTTCATGACACCCTTTCTTTCTTGTTCTCTTTAAACTCCTAAACAATTCCGTCTTGCAAAGACCACGATCTTGTCAACATCTGAAAATTTTTCCTCAACTTTTTTCTTTGTAGCTTTCAGCATAATCATTATCATTAACATTTCATCCAATCGTTTCTTGTCCCTGAATAAATGTAAAACAGAATATTTAAAAAAACAGTTCTACTTTTTTCAAAGGATTACATATTCATAAGGCTCCAAAAAGCCTGGTTAGAAATCACAGTCTTTTTGGAACCCTATAGAAGGAACGTAAAAACCATAGCCAGTATTCATTAAATTAATTCACATTCATTAATTAATCAAACATAAAAAATAGTCAATAGAATCAAAACTCCAGAATATGTAAAAAGAGGAGAAGAAGATTCCAAAACTGCAGTACCATCTTGTGAACCACGTCCGTTGCTTTCCGAACCTTGCCCTTCATAATCTTCTGGCTGCTGCACTAGCTTTTCTTTTTTGGGTTGCTCTTGTGTTCCATTATCTGGCTCATCATCTTCATTGGCACCATCTTTCTCAACGTCTTCTTTTCTATCATCTTCGCCATCGTAATCATCCTCATCCTCATTAATCACAGAACCATTTTCCGTAGTTGTTCTCTTTACAATTATATTCTCAGAGGTGGAGCTTTGAACCGTACTGTCTCTCAAAGTGGATTTCGCATTCTCCACAGTTGTCGTTCTTTCCGTTTTGGAGTGAATCGTCGTTTCTTGTTTTCTGTTATTCCCGGTCTGAGTATTTTGAATATGGGGCGCATCAGTTCTGATAGTGGTTGTAGTTGTTACCAGTGGAGTTGTTACTATCGGATTTAGTTTACCTGTTGGGTCTGGCTGATTGTTATTGGATTTTGAACTAACCGGCCTGAAATATAAGAAAATGTGAAATGTACATAACTTTTTTACTAACGTTTCATTACAAATTCCAGCATATACACAGAAAAAATCAGCCAAAACCTCAATCGATATCGCATCATTTTCCTTGCAGTCTGGTGAGTGATAATACATTATTCCGATCAGTTTCTGCTTTCCGTTTTCTTTTCTCAGAAGTCCTCCAGCAGAGTACTTCGAACAAGTAGGACGAGTGAAACATATCTTGTTATAATATTCTATAGTGTTATCACATTGTACGGTCTGAAAATATACTTTCTCCCCAAAAGATAAAATTATAAAAACCTGAGCTGGTCTTATACTCCTGACGTATCCTGTCTTGTTATCCACTCGGAGAGCGTGCAATTTGAGGTTGCTCTCTAGCTGAGGCATTCGTTTTTCTGAAACACTATTTTTAAAGGAAAGACTCCGGGCAAAAGGTTTTTTTTGTAATTGTTTGGCATCAAAATGTTCTTAAATGTATGCTTTTCCTAATGTTACTTCGAAATAGCTCGGAAAATATTCGAAATCTATGAAAACGCTGTAGAAAAGCTAGCACGCTCAGTTTTTGTTCAAGGCGGTCGTAGGAATCTCAATCCAAAGCCACTGTGTGCGCTATTTTTCACGAATTTTTTTTGCAGTTTCTGGTCGTTTTTCTTGTTAAAAAATTGAATTTTCAATCGAAAGCTTGATAAAGACAACAGAAAGACTCGTTGATATCTCACAAACGGCTGAAAAGCGAAAACAACTTGGACGAGAACTGAGCGCGCATGCATTTTCGACAACGTTTTCAGGGATTGCGGAATCCTCTTTTGTGAAAATCTTGGAGAATACGTTACCAGCAAGACAGCTGGGAATGACATTTGGAACGCCAGGCGGGGGGACATCTTCCGTCAACTCTAGAAGAATCACTCCAAATGCCATTTGATCAGGCTCACAAACTCCAAAGTAAACGGCCTGAATCATTAATAACTAGCCGTGTCAAATTAATGAAAAATTCACCGATTTCACAAAGCGATTGAACCCAGATGTACATTGAAACTTATCAGTGCATGGACTCATGAATACTTTTGTCTTTCTCATATACTCGACTGGTATCTCCATTACACTAAAATACAACTTGAACATAAATACCTTTTCCTATTTACTTACTTATTTTTACACTTTGACATGTCTACTTTTGTATCGTCTGGAACCCATCGAACAGTATTCCAGTCACCTTCTTTTCCATTCATTAACGCAAATGCTGCCACTACAACGTGCCGTTTTGAAATCAATGTTGAAGATGTCCAGATTTGACTGGTTGTATTCCCCGTGGGTGCGTTTTCCACTTTTAAGGTGACGGTCCATGGGCTCAACTCACTTTCCAGTTTAGAATCAGCTGAAAACAAATCATCCAGAACAATCATCGAAAATTATTTTTTACGATTAGATGGTATTCCACAAGTCTTTGCGTTTTCCTCATTTTCCTCAGAAGATAGTTTAATGAATTCACTTGACAACGTAATCGGTGTTGGGGGTGATTTTGATTTAGGAGTAAAGAGAGTCGATGTTCTAAAAATGAGATTGGGCAAGTAGATCAGATGAAAAACTAACTTTTTGCAAATTCCACTCAATTCACAAATTTTTTCCTTGTGCGACGCAACATAAGAGAACTTTTGTATTGTGCATTTATCTTGATAATAGCCCGAAAATGCAACCACCGTATTTCTGTCATTCGATTTTTTCAATAGACTAGCACCATACGCGTTCAAGCACATTTCCATATCTGCACATACAGTATTGCTGATTGAAGTGCTACAACGTTTAGAATGAATTGATGTATTGACCTGTAGAAGTAAACTTCCTATTTCTTGTAAAGGGAGACTGCGACAAAAAAAATTGTATAAGTTTTTGCATCAAAATGTTACCAAAGTTATGAATTTTACTGTTGTCACCTCATAAAAAAAACAGGACACAAATGGAAATTTTCAGTGGTCATTTTGGCAGAAATGACATATATCGAAAACCATCAAATTATTGGTCTCCATTAATTTCTTTATTCAAATGTTTCCGAAAATATAAAGGCCAAAAACCGCGAAAAGTTTTTTGAAAACTTCAGATTTTTTTTCGAACTTTTTCGTGGTAATCATGGAAATACATAACTTTGGTAGTATTTTAATGCAAAAATGACATGAAATTTTTTGGTCGACTTTTAATATTTTTCTCAAATTGGGTGTCCAATTGAACTACTTCTCGAAATTTGGAAGACCAAAAAATCAATCGTTGAACTCAGAATCTAAAAATATTTACCTTAGCGGACACAATTTTTATGACTGGCTTAAAATTTAAATGGGATGCTTGATGAGCCTGAAGATCTTCACCGTCATCGACCACGTCAGATGAATCTGGAATAGAGATACTAAAGATGCCTTCAACATCACAATAGTACCAGGGAGACAAACTGGGGTAAAATATGATGAATCATCGGGGATGTCTCTTCCCATTTCGATAAGAATGAGGCCACTGGAGAGTTTATCAGATTCGCATGATCCAATGTAACGCATCTATAATTAATGATTTTATCAACCAGCTGACTTATTTCATTCGCACCGATTTGACTGGAATTCCGGGCATCCAAGGGCATAGAAAATGGTTGCTGCATGCTTTTAAATCTACTGTGATTGAGTCAGTGGGAGCTTCCATCACTCTTCAAAAACTTATCGGATTGAAGAAACACAACTATTTGTCTTACCCATCCTTACAGGTTTTCAAATCAACTTCTGCTTCATCCATTTTCCATTTCCATGTTGCTCCATTGTCTTCTGTCTCCATTAAAGCCAATCCTGATGTCATTACGTGTCGCTTCGAAATCAAAGATGCAGAAACAAAAAATGGTTTGAGTTGTAAGCGAACACTCCATGGAGACAACTCGTCATTCGAAGGGCTTTTGGCTGAAAATGTTTCAGAAAATGTTTTTGTAATTTATTGTTTTAACTAACAGTCTATAGCTCTCCCACATTCCTTTGAACGTTCTTCGTCTTCTGTCTCACTCAATTTATCCGAAACGGAGAATGAGAGTAAACAAGAGAAAATTAAGATCGAGACCCTCATTCCATAGAAGTGAGAAAAAATCTTGAACTGAAAAAAAGAATCTGAATGACTGGACGTGGTTCATAAACCACGTTGCAGTCGAAAGCCAACAAGGTCCATCAGGAGTAATCGTATCTACACAACAGGGGGCACTTTTCACGCTGAGCTTTTTTAGGAAATTGTTTCACATAGCTTTGTTCCGTGACATTTCAAAGAAATAAAAGCCAATGATAAAATGAAAAACGTGGATCCACAGTATTCGCATGATGCGAATTATAGTGAATTTATTCCCATCAAAGGATAGAGAGAAAGTAGTCGAATCAGTATTAAATACAAAAAATAGCAACTTAAATCGGGATATACTAAAAACAAGGCCCCTAAAAAAAAGTAAAATCAGCCATTAAAAATTATTTTCAGCTTCTAAAATGTAGGCTTAGCCTTTAAAAAGCAGGCTTACGGTTAAAAAGCAGGCTTACCAATAATCGAAGGGCCCTCGTAATAGAAAGGCCCTCTGTGAATAATGACCCCTCTTCAAAATGTGTTTTGAAATCAAAAAATTCCGTAATTTTTCAATGGAAAATATTCCAGGAATTCCACAAGTCAATAGAAATTTGCTGAAATTCTATTTTTCGATGCAAATCTTGCTAAATTTTGGTTGGAATTGGCAGATTTTCATGAATTTTGAACGAAACTTCGTCGATTTTTTTGATGCAAAGTTTCGGAAAAAAACTAGCCAGAAAAATAGAAGGGCCCCTGTAATAGAAGGGCCCTCCGGAGGTACCTTGGAACAATAGAAGGGCCTGTTCTTCTAGTACCGGTTTTACGGAAATAAAAGTAGACTCAGTCCTTAAAAAGTAAGCTGAACCCTAAATTAATGTATGCGTAAAAACAAAGCTATATGAAAGTCAAATTAGAAGTTACTTCAGTTGTTAAAAACAAAACATCATATAAGTTTTTTGAAACTCAATCAATTTCGCGTCTCCTGAATCTTCACAGACGTGACGATGACACCCAGAAAAAAAACAATTTTTCCGTCAGAATTTTTTTGAAGATTGGCTTTGTGATGAAAAATGTTTGGTGTAGATTAAATATATACAGAAAAAAATTTGAAGCAGTTTGAAACACTTGCTCTTGAGATGTGCTCACTGGAGCATAAAAGGTATGGTTCTAGAGTTTCGCTATAAGTCGGCTCAAAATGATTGCAATTTGTTCAAATTTTGAGAGAATGTGTGTTTTTAATTGTTCTACAAATTACATACAAAACGTTGTATTTTGGGAACGAAAAATTTTGCTTGTTTGTTTTACTCGTTTTTGATACACAAAAATGAACAAATTGTAAAAATGTTTTTGTTGCCAAACAACAAAGTTTTTTATGTAGTTTGTAGAACAATTAAAGACACACATTCTCTCAAAATTTGAACAAATTGCAATCATTTTGAGCCGACTTATAGCCAAACTCTAGAACCATACCTTTTATGCTCCAGTGAGCACATCTCAAGAGCAAGTGTTCCAAACTGCTTCAAATTTTTTTCTGTATATATCTAATCTACACCAAACATTTTTCATCACAAAGCCAATCTTCAAAAAAATTCTGACGGAAAAATTGTTTTTTCTTCTGGAGTCATCGTCACGTCTTAGAAGATTCAGAAGACACAAAAAGTGATTGAGTTTCAAAAAACTTATATGACGTTTTGTTGGAAATACAGCTACAATTAACAAAAAAGTTTTCGATTATTGGACAAGTTTTAAAAAAGTTATGAACAAAAGTATAGAGGGACAATCACTAACGTTCGCCACTGTATGTTTTTTTCAGTTTAGAATATTCTAAAAACTATCCCAATAATTTTTTTTAATTTTCAAATTAGCCTTTAAAAGTATTAAAAAATCCCTATGAAATGCCTATTCAGAAAAAAAAAACAATTTCCCTTTTTTTCGAACATTTGGTGAACATTTGGTGATCGGAAACTCCAAAAACTACCCCAAGAATCATTTGAATTTACAATCAGAAATGCCGAAAAAAAAGAAAAAGTTAATTTTTAATTTTAAAAACGTGTAGTATATAACAACCATCGAAACTTCATCTAACGTGCTCCCGATTAGCCTAGTGGTTAACAGGGATGAATTTGAATCAACCATCGTTGGTTCGAGTTCTCCCCAGAGCCTAGTGGTTTTTGTCAGAGTACAGTAATCGGGGTTAATCGTGAACAAAATACGGGAAATGCCCCCTGGTGTGGGGATACGATCGCGTGTCCATCAGTAGAGCGCACAAACAGGCTAATTGGAATTATGTAAATTCGGTAATAGAAGCTCAGAAGTGCTCTAACTATATTTTAAAACCTTTTAGATTTTTAAAAAATTGAACGGAAGAACGGAAGCAACTGTGTCTGAAAACTTAATATTAACGAGCAACAATAACGAAAATAAAATGGACAATACTGTTGGAAAATGAGAAACAAAAATTCTAAGTTTGCTTCTATTGCGGCCAACATGTTAAGGTGAAATTCCTGGGTAATTATCAAATGTTGTGGAGCTGAATTAAAATTTGTGCCCAAATGTGTCGCAACTTTATTGATAAAATATTCAACACAGTGGTACGAAAAATACAGTTTACCCAGGAATTTCCTACCTCTAAATCACTTTAGGGGAACAAGTTCGAGGAAATTTGATGAAGAAATCGATTAAAGCTAATTTAAAATTTTGATAAAACTCAAAAATATCTTTAGAACCACAGTCAGTATTCATTAAATTAATTCACATTCATTAATTAATTCAACATAATATCGCCAATAGAATCAAAATAGCCAATAGAATTAAAACTCCAGAAAACATATACATCGAGAAAGACGGAGCAGCAGTACCATCTTGACCTTCTGAAAGCTGTACTAGCTTTTCCTTTTTGGGTTGCTCTTTTGTCGCCACTTTACAAATTCCAGCATAGACACAGAAAAGATCAGCCAAGACCTCAATTGATACCGCATTATTTTCCTTGCAGTCTGGTGAGTGATAATACATTATTCCGATCAGTTTCTGCTTTCCGTTTTCTTTTCTCAGAAGTCCTCCAGCAGAGTACTTCGAACAAGTAGGACGAGTGAAACATATCTTGTTGTAATATTTTCTAGTGTCATTACATTTTATGGTCTGAAAATATATTACCGTAAAACCTGTATTAGGAAACCCTTTCTACTGTTTAAAAGCTCCTCCGGAGGGCCCTACAATTAGAGGGGGCTTTTCTGTTTTTCTTCTTGTAAATGTTTATCAAAAAATTTGACGAATTCTCGTTCAATATTAAAAATCTATCAATTTTACCAACAAAAAAACTTTTTCAACAATTTTCTGTGGAAATATGAAATTTCCGGGATATTTTTCACCGAAAACGTACGGAAGTAATTATTTTGAATAAACAAATTTTGAGGAAAACCCTTTTATTACAGGGGGCCCTTTTATTTTTTTTTCCGTCCATTAAAGGTGCCCTTCTAATACAGGTTTCACGGTTTCTCCCCAAAAGATGAAATTATAAAAACCTGAGCTGGTCTTATACTCCTGACGTATCCTGTCTTGTTATCCACTCGGAGAGCGTGCAATTTGAGGTTGCTCTCTAGCTGAGGCATTCGTTTTTCTGAAACTTCTTTTTACTATCTTAAAATTCTGAAGATCTGAAATTTAAAAGTTTCGGAATTCAGAGATTCTGAGCTTCTAAAATTCTAAAGATCTGAAGTTCTCTAATGTCCAAATTCTGAAATTCAACATTCAGTCAATTCGAAATTCGAAGTCTCTGACATTCTCAGATTCAGAGATTCTTGGAATATGTTACCAGCAAGACAAATATGTTACCAGCAAGACAAATGGGAATGGTGTTTGGAAGACTACGCGGCGGGACATCTCCCCAAACTTCAAGAAGAATAACACCAAATGCCATTTGATCGGACTCACAAACTCCAAAATAGACGGCCTAAATTCCAATAATAACTATTTTAAAATAATGAAAAATTCACCGATTTCACAAAGCGATATAACCCAGTTGTACACTGATGCTGATCAATGCATGGACTCGTGAATACTTTTGTCTTTCTCATATACTCGACTGGTATCTCCATTACACTAAAATACAATTTATATTTTTTCATTATCTTTTCCCTGATTACTTACTTATTTCTACACTTTGACATGTCTACTTTTGTATCGTCTGGAACCCATCGAACAGTATTCCAGTCACCTTCTTTTCCATTCATTAACGCAAATGCTGCCACTACAACGTGCCGTTTTGAAATCAATGTTGAAGATGTCCAGATTTGACTGGTTGTATTCCCCGTGGGTGCGTTTTCCACTTTTAAGGTGACGGTCCATGGGCTCAACTCACTTTCCAGTTTAGAATCAGCTGAAAACAAATCATCCAGAACAATTATCAGGTTTCAATTTTTACGATTGGATGGTTTTCCACAAGTCTTTGCATTTTCCTCATTTTCCTCAGATGATAGTTTATTGAATTCATATGTCAACATGATCGGTGGGAATCTTGAATTAGGAGTGAACAGATCAGTCGATGTTCTAAAAATGAGATTGAACAAGTAGATCAGATGAAAAACTAACTTTTTGCAAATTCCACTCAATTCACATATTTTTTTCTTGTGCGTCGCAACAGGAATGAACGTTTGCCTGTTGCATTTATCCTCATAATACCCCGAAAATGCAACCACCGTATTTCTGTCATTCGATTTTTTCAGTAGGCCAGCGCCACGTGACGTCAAGCACACATCCAAATCTGCGCATATAATATTGCTAATTGAGGTGTTACAACTTTCAACACCGATCTTTTCCGAATTGATTGATGTATTGACCTGTAAAAATAAATTACTTCATTTATTGAACATTTTCCACAAATTGGATAGTTGAACTATTTAAGTAGAGAGGAGAGTTTTTAAGATGTCGACAAGTTTTTACGATTGGATGGTTTTCCACAAGTCTTTGCATTTTCCTCATTTTCCTCAGATGATAGTTTATTGAATTCATATGTCAACATGATCGGTGGGAATCTTGAATTAGGAGTGAACAGATCAGTCGATGTTCTAAAAATGAGATCTCCTCGAGGGAGCTTAAATGAACGAAATTTCGAAAAATTATTTTTCTCATGTTCCTTTCTTTGAACTTTGGAAGATTATAAAATCAATCATTGAAATCAGAATCTCAAAAACGTTACCTTAGCCGAGATTACGTTTATATCTGGTCAAATTTAAATTAGATGCTTGAGGAATTTGAAGATCTTCACCGTTATCGACCACATCAGATGAATCTGAAATCGAATTTTTAAAGATGTCTTCAAACATCATAAAACTACCAGCGAGACAAATTGGGGTGAAATGATATAAATCATCAGGGATATCTTTTTCCAATTCGATAAGAATGAGATCATTAATGAGTTCATAGAAAAATATGCATGATGATCCAATGAAATGAATCTATAATTAATGATTTTATCAATAAGTTGTTTTTTTTTCATTCGCACCGATTTGACTGGAATTCCAGGAATCCAAGGACACCGATAATGGATATTACATGCTTGAAAATCTACTTTGAGTGAGCCCTTGGGAACTTCCATCACTCTTTAAAAACTTATCGAATAGAGAGAAATAAAACACTTTTTCTTACCCATCCATACAGGTTTTAAAACTGACTTCTGATCTATCCGTTTCCCATGTATGTTCTCTCCATCGTCCTTTTATCAATTCTGTCTCTATTAGAGCCGGAAATGATGTCATTACGTGTCGCTTCGAAATCAAAGATGCAGAAACGAAGGATTGTTGGAGTCGTAAGCGAACAGTCCAAGGAGACAAATCGTCATTCAAATGGCCTTCGGCTGTAAATGTTTCAGAAGATTTTATTCAGCTTTTATTAAACTAACTGTCGAAAGCTCTGCCACATTCATTTGAACGTTCTTCGTCTTCTGTCTCACTCAATTTATCCGAAACGGAGAGGGATAAAAACAAGCAAGCGAGAATTAAGATTGAGATCCTCATTTCATACAAAGAGAGAAAAAATCTTGAACTGAAAAGAGAAATCGAATGACTCGATGTGGTTCATGAACCACGTTCCAGTCAAAAGCCAACATCGTCTATCGGTAGAGCGCACAAATAGGCTAGTTGACACTTTCGCAAATCCTGCTGTAACAGAAGCACAGAAATCCATAATTAGAAAAACTCGAAAAATATATTTAGAAGCATAGCCAGTATTCGTTAAGTTATTCACATTAATAAATAAATCAAACATTATAAATAGAAAATAGAATCAAAACTCCAGAATATGTAAAACGATAAGAAGAAAATAACCAGAAATTTTGTACCCTTGTATCATGGATTTTGTACTCCTAGATCACTTCAGGGAAAAATGCTCAAAAATGAAAAGGATTACTGTAGGATGAAATGTTTGATAATGAAAAGGATCGCTTCTATTTCGAAAATCAAACCTATGTTTTTAACAACTTCCCAGAAGATTATAACTGAATTTCAAAAAATGTGTGACAGATTTCATTGAATAAAAATCATAAGAAGAGAATGACGAAAACAGTGGCAAGAAGAAATTGAAGTGATTGTTTGGAAGATGTTTCAACCGGTTCTGTGATTCTGAAATAAAACAAAAGTTTTCAACAACGAAAGAGTTTTACTCGCGTTTTACAGATCCCAGCGAGGGAACAAAGCTCATCTTTAAAAAATCCAATTGACACATAATGATCATTCGTGCAGCCCGCTTCGAAAGAATACAAAACGGCAACGCCCGTTTCTCGTCCATCTATCTTTTTCACAAGAGTTCCTGCTCTTCCTTCAACACAAGATCCACGTGTCGCACAAACAGATTGAACAAATCTTCCGATGTTGGCTCCGCACTTTTGAATCTGAAAATTCCAGAATTTTAGCTCTACAATTGTGTTTTTTTATACTTTAGCAGGAATCGCAGTGATAAAGGCTTTTCCGTTTTTAACATCCAACGAATCAAAGTGAACGGCGTCTCCGATAAACAATGGTTTCTTTTCGGCTGTAAAAAAACTTTAAATTTCTGAATATGAATTTTTTACTACCTGGAAGGCAGACCGGAACAAAGAATGGCTCATTTTGTGGAACATTTGAACTGATTTCAAGAAGAAGTATTCCAAATGGCACCTCTCCCGGTTGACAGTTTCCCAGATACCATCCCTAATAATTTTTTCAGATATTTTATTTCTTTTCCATAATCCATTTACTAAAAACTAACTTGGATAACAGAACGTGCAATATGCATTCCGCACTGTTCCACGTCTTGACAAATGCTGATCCAAATTTTTAGTTTCTTCAGGGCCTTTTTAGGAATTGCCATTTTACTGTAACTTGTACTTGTTCACTTTTTTCCAATTCAAACCTACTTTTCCTGGCATGCCGCAAAATCTACTGTTGTTTCATCTGCCCATACCCATTGTTTAAATGTATTGTCCGTTTCTCTAATAGCCATAAATCCAGGAGCAATAACATGACGAGCAGAAACCAGAATAGAACTTCCATAATATTCCGTTCCGTTGTCTCTCCCACGGACATAGTTGATGGCCATTCCCCATGGTACTTTATCATCATGAGGGTTGGAACTTGGTTTCTCTGCTAAAATTCAAGAAGTTCCGAAAAAAAAACCTCGGACGCCCTACGAGTCAAAGATTTTCCACACATTTCAGCACGTTCTGCATCGAATTCCGCACTCAATTTACCACAGAAACCCGATGATACGATTGTGAAGAAAATTATCAGTTTTAGCATCGCTCTGGAAAATTTCAGCATTTTTTGTAGTCTAGACTTTGAACCTCACATGAAGATGTGGTTTGTAAAGATGACAGGTATGACTGAGCCAACTGATTGTTTGGAATACTGACTTATTTTTAACTCACCGAGTTTTAAAAAGTAGGAGAAATGTTGACGCGAATATTAAGAATGAGCATGAATAATGTTTCCTATGTAGATCAGTAACTTCTTCCGAGCTTTTTTTTCCAAATTTTTAGCCAACGTTGCCAAACTGACAGTTATCTGAGCCATCTGAATCCACTTGACCGTATCCATTCTGTCTTGATAAATTAACAAATCTTAATGTACCAGTTGGTATATGTCCCCTTCGGAGCTGAACCTTCTATCCTCCGCTTAAAAAAATCTCCGTAATCTCATAAATATTTTTTGTCACATTTATTAAGGATTTGAAAATTGGAAGTTTGATAATCCAAAACTTTCGAAGTTCATGATTCGGACCTTCAGAATTTAATACTTCCGAAAAAAAATTCAGTTCAGAAATACATAAGTGAAACCGAAAATTCAGAATTTCAAAAACTTAAATTTCACAATCTAAAGGTGTTTCTATTTTTCCGATATTCCGAGTGACTGAATTTATAAAATTTAGAAGACTTTTAGAATTTTCAGAATCCACAATTCAATTTTTGACTTTCCAAATTTTGAATTCACAACTTTCTGAACTTTTGGTTTTCCGGATTTCTGACTTTCCGAGTTTTTCTTTGAATATTGGGTAAATGAAATATTCGGAAGTTTCAGAATGGACAACCTCAGAAACTTGAAAGTTCAAAAACTTGAAAATTCAAATATTCAAAGACTCTAAGTTTTGAAGACGTTGGAAAATTGATGAGTAGAGAAAATTCGAATGTAGAGATTCTGAATTCGAAAACTCGACAATTTAAAATGTTGAGTTTTGTGAAGAAAGTCAGAACCTGAATATTTCGATAAGTTTAAGTTATTTGTAGATTATCATTAGTTTTATCCAATGTTGCCGAACCATACTGACAGTTGTCCTAGTCATTTGAAACCACTCTACCGTATCCATTCCATCTCGGAAAATCAACAAATGTTAATGTATACGGTAACATCCAACAACTACTCCCAATCTGATTTTATTTCCATTTGTACACATGTCTCATTTGTCACGAAATCCTGTTACCTTTTCTCTGATTTTTTCGGTTATGTTCCAATCGGCCACCTGTGTCCGTTTTGTTCCAAAAAAGAAGATTGTTTCTTTTTCTTCATAAAGGAGAAGAAGACGTTTCGGGTTTTGCGAAAGAGGCGACAAACCGAGAAGCTTGTAATCCGACAGGCGGCATGAAAAAAGGAAAAGAGAGAATGAAACCACCGATTCTTGCGTAACCGTGTTTGCGCCACATGAGGAAATGAGAGAGAGAGAGAGAGAGAGAGAGAGAGAGAGAGAGAGAGAGAGAGAGAATTCTAATTGAAGAGAATGGAAAAGCTGCAAAAGGTGTATTGACACAGAAGAAGACAGTTCGAAAAGCCAACCGGAACTGCCATCCAGAAGACGGAAGAAGCCACGAAGTCTGAGAGTAGTTATTCATATACATCTTCAGAAGAGACGACGGCTTCTGAATGTGTAACATGTGTCAAGTTGTTTGTCAACTGGACAACAACTCTTCTGTCACTTCCCAGGTTTTTTCTTGTGTAATCCAGCTGTAGTTTTGATTCTGATCTATGTTTCAGGTTGATTTTAATGTTATATCGGATTCTTTGAATTTTCTAAAATTGCAGCAAATTTTTTTTGGAAAAAAATTCAAACCCTTTCTGTAGAGGCGGTTAAATAGTGAATATGCATTTTTCAAGTATTATTCTCATACAAAAATTGAAATTGTGGACGAGAAACGCCGGTGGCACTAGCCGAAGGAAGGCTCCACAACGACAACAACCGTAACCTGAAAATACTTTCACGGCCACTGGCGTTGCTCTTCCACAGCTCCGATTTTTTTTGTACCAGAATAAAAATGTTCTTGTGAGTTTTCTAGCGCTCCACTAGAGAATCGGTTTATAAAAGAATAATTGTTTTAGGTTAGTGAATTTCCATTTTCAGATAAAAATTCTAATTTTCATCTTCCCTCATCAATTGTTCCAGTTACCTGGGACCAGCTACTTTTTGACACTAGGAAATGTTTGTTTGTAAAAATAATACTATGCAAATTTTCCAGTTCTTTTTTCTCATTTTGTTTTCAAAAATCAGTTTTTTTGGACACTCCCTGTGTCCATTTTTCCCGTTGTTTTCCATGCCCTTTTCTATGGAAATTTCAGTTTTTTGAATCTCTAATTCTCAAGTGATATAACATTCCCATCGTTACTTTAACATTACTCTATATCTGGATCACTGATAATAAGTCGTGTTAGTCATTATGAGGGCGTTGAAGGGCGTTTCGAATTCTGGAATTCTATTCTAGCAGACGGATTTCTGAAATGTTCTGGTGAGAAAGAGTTTCAAGAAATTTGTGAAGATTATCTGTCTCTCTAGAACTCTGGGATAAGACTTTTCTAATTTTTGGATGGAACTGCAGTAACCCAATATTGCCCTTCTTTTTAATGAGTGATTGTTGTTGAATGAGATCATTCAAATTTTTTCACTTGCTCGAGACAAGATGACTTAAGATAACTGAAGAGCTAAAAGCTGAAATGTTAAACATTTGATAACATTATTCTTTAGGTTTCTTGGAAACTAATTTTTATGAAACTATCATAACATCGTAAAATCTCCAATAGACGAGCCCCTTGACTGTCAAGTTTGGGCTCAATTATTTCATTCTCTGTAAAAGATATCAAATACGTGTTAATTGACGATTTTTCCTGATATTTTGACATATATATCATCAGTTGACAACTTTATCCTATCTTCTACAGGAATCGAGAAAAATTCGTTCAAAGTTAAAAGTTAGGGGGCCTTCTATTAGAGCTTTAACGATATCTAAAGTACAAACTGAGTTCATCACAGAGAACTTTGCTTCTTGTGTATGTCGTAAGCTTCGGAACTCAACAGTACGAAATGATCAAGGACTTAATTAGTCAAACTCCATTCATTTCTAGCTTCACCACTTCATTACACCCTCTCACGACCTTCCGACTCCTTACTCATTATTCAAGAATTTTGATCAGATGTCTTGAACAAAAAAGAGAGAAAAGGCTACAACAAGATTACAACACAATATAGTACATTCACGAAAGGGGTTTTCGAGGTTCAAACCCTCCTTCTTTTCATGCCTACAAATCTAATACAAATATGTATCGCTTCTTTATTCTACAACCCTTTTTTCCCAAAAAGCTTCTATGTCTACGACGATGCCACCAAAACCGGTATCTCTGACTCTCTGACGAACCCTCTTACTCTCTCGTTTCTTACCAATGCCATCTGGAAAACGAGGCGGAGGAAGGGGGAATCTCAAGTTCACACAGACATCCTCTCTTTCTACAGTCCCCACACAACCGACAAGCTTCTTCTTCTTCTCTCTTCATGTATCCGCCCCGTATAGTTGCCATTTATCCTCTCTTTTTCGTCTGCTTCTGCCAACCGATCGACTCATGATATCAGATATAGAGAGATGCCACCCCGTCGCGCATGTTTGTGTTGCGATATGAAGCAAAAAAGGAGAAAAGAGAAATGTTCGATGTTGCGTAACCGCTGTTTTATGTCATTGTTATCTAACACCCTAACACTTCATACCGATAAGTGATGTCGTATTCCGGTAATGACGTGGCAAATTTTAGGGGTTACTGTAGTCACTGTAGTTTCTGTAGTGTGAGGAGAGTTGTCAGTTGTCCTAAGTTCTGTTGGTCCGAAACTCTTTGCTAACCCTTGGCTTCAGCTCTCCAGAGCGAACTTTTTCTCGGATTTGTCACTTTTAAAACAATTCTTTTCAGTGAAGTCAGCTTTTTACGGTATTCTCTATAGTCACGGTGTTTTCTCCAGTTGAATTTGAAGCTTTCTTGTCGAGACTAACGCTAATGTTACTGTAGTTCACGCTTATTCGCGTTGGAGCGCATTTACACGACGTTTCGAAAATATCGACGTGTTACTGTAATCACTACATTTCACCCTCAAAAAATGTCTGATAAATTCTTCTACTAAATTCTGGAACCACTTTTCGAAAGTTCGAAACAGTTACCTTTGAAAACTCAAAAACGAATTGATATCTTATCACTGATTATAATGTGTTTTTTTATTGTGACTGCATTGTGGTAACATGAAAAACAATATACTATGACTAGGCACCACAACAAAATTTTCAAAATAGATTTTTCCCAGTTTTTATTGTTGGATTGTCTTCTCCTACTTTACAGAAGTCCATTCCCAAAATTTCAGCGAAAAATCTTCATTCAATCCCGAGTTACACACCATTTTGTATCAGACCTCAATGTACTGACTTTCTCCTCATTTTTTTGCGGTGCGCAGAAAAGTGGGCGGTGTTTAGAAGCTTGCAATACTGCGGCGCGGAAAATTCGTGAAGGAAATTAAAGAAAAAGCTATTAGACGCGAGAGAGACCCGAACCTCCGCCTGCGTCAGATCGGCGCGCGCACCCACTATCCAGTCGGCCACGGCTGCACTCGCGGTGGTAGCTTTAGAGGGAAAATATGAATGTGCGACTCTTCGCTGCCTGCTGCCTTCTTCCGGTGTTGCTTTCTTCCTATGTTTTAAAGAAATTGATCTGTGAATGATAAGGAAACAGACGTATAACACATTAAGGGCGTCGATAGAATTTTTTAATTATAATTGCTCTTAGTGGCAAATTTTGCGTAGAATCTTATGGTGAAAAGAAAATCGGTGGCGCTCACCTGTGTCACCTTCAAAACTTCCAAAAACTGAAAATTTTGAAAGTTTGGAATTTTCGGATGAGTATCAAAACTACTTAGATGTATCCAATCTTTCTGAAAATTGGCAGAAGTATACACAAGACTTAGTTTTACCATAATATGCAAAAAAAAATTGGGGTCATCGCTGAAATTTTTTATTTATTTTAGCTGGAACTTTGGCTGAAAATTGTGGAACAAGGGCGTCGTTAGAATTTTGATTTTATTTCAAAATCCAATCCCCCAGTTCATAAACTATCAGAATCCATTAAAAAATCTAATGGCGCGAACTTCCATCCAACACTTTTAGTCCACTTTGTCAGTCCCACTTCTATTTTTCGAAGTTTTCGAATCAAAATAATAAAGTTATCGAAGAACTGATAATTTCATTGGATTCAGCGTAGTCGATTACATAGGGACAAGTTCTCACCAAAAAAATAATGGGTTTCTAACGCCCGGTACAAGCCTTCAAAGATGGATTTCTGAAAAGGGGAGAAAAATTTGGTCGCCCCGCCCCCTTTCATTGCGGTGCCTAACTATGACCTTCCTCTTTTTTCTCTTCTTCTCATTTACTGTTAGTTCCATTTTAGAGAACTACATACTTCCTTTTCATGTTGTTTTCTTGAAAATGTCCAGTAGATTTGTTTTTATGAAACTTACCCAATTGATGTTTCATAGAATTACCAACAAAAATCCCGACTCCATGGCATTCTGCAAGTCTTCCAATTCTTGATAGGAACCCACCCAAATTTTCAACTTTTAGCTCAATTATCTCGATTCCTGTGAAAGATATCAAAAATTTGTCAACAGATAAAACACTTCGGATATTATGATAAACAATTTATCAGTTAAAAACTTTTTTGTATCTTTCACAGAAACAGAGATAAATTTACTCAAAGTTAGGTAGCGTTTTCTATTACTTTACCGTACTTTCTTTCACTTCGGTCTTTAGCTAGAAAAGAAAACTTCTGTCTGGATAAACGATAGCTTTCAAATATCGCATCTCCAGAATCCAATTTACCTTGAACGATAACTACTAGTACATAGTAGATGAAAGCTTAGGTAAACAGACCTTTCTCTTTAAATGCTGGAAAGTGAAAAGAGTCTTCCGGATCGAATATGTGCTGACAGGGAAAACAATTGAATCTCATTTTTCTTCTTTTTCTTCTTCTTCTTCTTCTTCTTGCTTTTTCTTTTCAGTCGTCATTCCTTTACTTTCACTTTGCCGTTCGTCTTCTGATGATCAATCAATTCACTTCTGCCCCCCGCACGCCCCCCTCCCACATCTTTTTGCATTGCGTCATCGTCACAAAATACCTGCTTTTGACGATGCAAAATTGCGGTTTTCTTTTCTTTTTTTTTTTGAGATCAGACTTTTCCAATCTTTTCCTACTTATTTTTCTAGGTGGATTTGTGCCAAACAAGAAGTTTCTGGTAATGGTGAACCTGAAATTATGGATGGTCAAAGTCTGAACCCTGTCTGAAAGGATTTGATCGAAATGGTTCCAATTTTCGGTGCTTTGAAATGAATCATCTGAAAAAGAGATTTAGAAGTTACATGCTTCATTTCGAAAGTTCATAATTTTGTAACTACTGAAAGGCATAACATTGACATTCAGAACATTTGAGTTAGCGGATAGAATGACTCCCATCTCCTAACTTTCAACTTTGAGAAAGTTTATCTCGGTTCCTGTGAAAGATATAAAAAGTGGATCACTGACAAAATATTTCTGTCATTATGATAAGCATTTGATCAGTTTACTACTTTTGGGTATCTTTCACAGAAAATGAGATAATTGATCTCAAAGTTGACGGCTTGCTAGAGTTATATCAAGCTGTTTACGTTTGACTTTTGGTAAATTATACCTTTCTGAACTCCAGGATTCTTTAATCTAAAACCTGATCTACGAGAATCTGCTCAAATCCCTGCATCTGAAAATGTCTATCGCTCCCATTTTAATCCCATTATGCCCTTTTATCTATTTTGGAGTATCGACACTGTTAGGAAAGGTATCTTTGCTGAGGAAATCGGCAGGATGGGGTTCAGTCATAGGTTTCCTGTCATATGAGTTTCGATCATCTGATATACAATTGCTCATCCCAAATTTTTGAGGAGACTATATTAAATTTCCTTGAATTCGCTTCCTGGCACTCTCGAATTTTAATCTCTGCCTCATCAGTTTCACTTCATCTTTCGTCATCGAGTGTTTTTGTTCCATCTTACGTAACAAGCTTCTTCTCTCTTCGTTCTTTTTCTCGAGAATCATCTCCATTGTCCTACTCTCTCCGATAGTACCAGTGACAAGCCGAAGTGGCTGTATGTTCATTTTCCGACTGGTTTTTCATTAAAAAGGAACGATGAAGTTACACACATGGGGCACCCTTTCCAGCCGCTTTGTTCCCCCATTACTGTTTTCGAATTTATCTTGGTCTTACCTTCCTTTTCAAATCATTCATTTCAATCTTCTCGTTTCAGGACTCTCTGGAGGTGCTGGGTTCCATCAGATGTTGAAGATATTATCAGTTTGCCTTTTGATAGGCACCGTCCAATCCGGCGGATATGCTGGAGGATCGAATGGCGGAGGAGGATCAGCAGTCCAATCAGTTCAAGGAGCTGGAGGATCTTTCGCATCTGGGTGAGTTTTTTTGGGATTTAAGGGTTAATCTAAAGAATCGAAATATTTCAGACCCGACTTCAACCCGATTCTTCTTCAAGGTCAACGTGGATACCCGGGAATTCGTGCTCGTTTGAATTCAAGAGCTTTTCAATATGCCAGTACTCTGGTCGCTGGACTCTTGAATACTGAAATCAAGAAAGCTAGAATTCCACCAATCTCTCAATGCATCCCAATGGTAAGTCACTTTTTTCTAGGAATCAAGGCTGTGCGAATCGCGGTCGCGGCCGATCGCGGCTCAGGAGGTTGTCGTAGGCTTATCAGCCCGTTATTTCAAAAATACGTTCAGCGAACCAGACACTGCCAGGGCTGCTAAGCAGCCGTATCCTACCTATCCCAGAAGTACCCTATCCAAAATGCCGGCCGTGGCACAGCTCGTAAAAACCTGAATATTTTCAAAAAAGATTTAATTACGAATTAGTCCATCATCTGGAACATCGCCAGATTTCGCTAGTTCTCCTCTTCAAAAAACTAAAAAAGTAAAACTTCACAAGTAGAATGTGTCCTATGCCCAAAAACTTTCCCCCCAATGAAACTGTAAAAACTGTTCCATTTTGTACCGTAGTACACTACTTTTCCTCTTCGTCCATTCTCTTGTTTTTTGCCTGTTTCTCACATTTCTGTTACTCATTTTACCGTAATAGTCTCTTTCTTCTTCTTCTTCTTCTCTTTTTCGTATACATTTCATGGTTACGTAATAAGACCTCGATACTCATGAAAAACAGGATATTCGGCTAAATTTTATCACCTAATCACCTCGTTTTCATTCATCATTTTCTCAATTAAATTGCATGAATCTACGTGAAATCTTCTCATCTCCTTTTTTTTGCGGCTTTTCGTATCGAACTGTAGTCTACGAAGGGAAAGAAGCTGAAGGGGCAATATAAGATTACGTAACAGGTCGAAGGGGTGGTGGGGAAAAACAAAATATAGAGAAGGGAAAAACTTGTTCCTTATAGGCTTCTCTCTTGATTTTTAATAACATTTTTAACTGGGTGAAGGAGGAGACAAAGAAGGAGATTATGGTTCAATGGCCGTCAAGATCACTGAAATTATTAAGAAGAACAGGGGGATTAAAGGAAGGGGGACAGGATATTTTTCGGATTGATCAATCGGATTCGGATTGATTTCGGATTGATCACAGTCGACTGTATTCATTCTGACGTAACGGTGTACAATGCTTATAAGCTATCGTGCTCGCTTTTATCTATGCTCGCTCTACCTTTGCCTGTGTGGCTCAGTCGGTAGCGGCGCCATTCTTTCAATTCTCGTCCCACGAGTTGGACTCTTCGAGATGAACAAAAATCCTACATAGTTTTTTTTAATGTCCCCCTACCTTTAAGACAAGTGTTTCACTGAAACATTTTGGAAACATACCATAAAACCTGTAAAAGAACGGCCCCCACACTGTCAAGTTTGAGCTCAAATGTCTCACTTCCTATGCAAGATATATTTTTTTTACCAACTGATGAAAGACATGTGATTTCATTATATACAATTCATCAGTAGGCAAATGTTTCATATCTTTTACAGGAACCCAAATTTAGCTCAAATTTAAAAACTAGGGGATCCTTCTGTTACAGGTTCTGCGGTATTTTTATCGAAACAATATCAATGACAAACACTATAAGAAAACTGATCATTACAGGTACAAGGATGTGTAAACATCTACAATTTGTACGTCTCCCGGTATAGATGTCCACAGAGAGTTGTTCTTTATCCAGCTCCACCAAACAGAATCGTCCTTCAAGTTCAGAATGTTGATCTTGGGTATGAACCCTTCTGCTTAAATCCCAACTAAAATTTATTTCAGAGTCACTGGAAACTTGGGTGGACAAGTGGTCGTTCTCCTTCCGATCGCTTTGTCTGGAATCGTTCAATTGAATATTCATCAAGCCACCATTACAGTTCAATTAGCAATTGAAAGAGGACCACGTGGTCCATACGTCCGTCTTCTGTCTTGTGACATGCAAATCGGATATGCTGATGCTTACATTGAGAATGGAGGATTAGTTGGAGATATTGTGAACAGTCAATTCAGAGTACGCTCATTTATTTCGTGCTGCTTGAAAGAAAGTCTTTAATTACAGAGTCAAATCTCAAACCAAGTTCGTCAAATGATCCCAGGACAAGTTTGCGGTCAACTTCCAAACATCATCAACGAGAAACTCAACTCAAAACTTGGAGCTCTTCCACAAACCATTGCTCTTCAGCAAATGATTTCATTGTTCGGAGGAGCTCTCGGGCTCGGAGGAAGCAGCGGAGGAGGTGGAAACGTAAGAGTCTCTTTTTTTAATTTCCAATATACCAATTGCATTTTCAGTGTCCATCAACCTGTCCAAAGCAGCCAGTGTTCATTCCATCAACCAACCCCCAACCAACACAAGTTGCTCCAGCTCAAGTTGCTCCATCGGTCCCAATTGCCGGAGGATCTGCTCCAGCACCACAGATTCCATCGACCGCATACACAGAGGGACAAAGAAAGGCAGCTGCCGTCAGAACTCTTCAACAACTTCAAGCTCTCCGTTATCCAAGAAGTGCCAATATCACTCAAAATTTGGTACTTCCACAAGGAATTGGAAGACAGAGAATGTATGCTGCAACAATCAGAGCTGCTGGTGTTGGACAATACCAATCACAACAGGTTGCCACTTACACTAATGTTGGAGCTAGACCAAGATATCCACCACCACCAACTGTGGCTGCTGGGCCAGTCGCTGTTCAACCACCACCAGATTGCTCTAAATGCTCTGCTGCTGGAGGTTCTTCTGATGATCCAGCTTCATTCCTTCGTCAAATTGCTGGACATCTCGACATGAGCAAACTCAATGATCTGTACCTTTCTCTCCAATACATTCAGTCTTATGCCACTTCAAACGACTACACTGTTGACTTGACTGGAGAATTCTCTCCATACGGACAAGGTGGAACTCCATTTGGACCATTCCCAACTCAATTCCCATATTATGGAGGACAAATGGCTGAATTCATTGTCACCGATTACACTGTGAACTCCCTATTCTACTGGCTTCACCGCAAACAGTTCTTATCATTCCGTATCGGTCCAGAGACTCCAAAGATCGGAGAGCTTTTGAAGACAACTTGCTCGGATGACGATGACGATTTGGAAGCCACATCAGTCGAACTGGATGAGGAAGAAGCAAAAAGAAGACGTCGATTGGCAAAGGAGAAGGCAAAGTACCGTTTGAGAAGAGGAGTTCATACAAACTCGACCATTGTTGTGTCTGTTCGTCCAAGCAGACACGTGGCTACTCACAATTCTGATCCAGAAATTATTGGAGCAACAAATGAAACTACAAGATTGAGATCCAAGAGAATGAGAGATTCCAGAAGAAGACGTCAAGAAGATACTGCTGGTTTGTTGATGATTCTTTCAAAATTATTCAGAAGAAATGTTTTCCAGGACTCGCCGACCTCGGAATCTGCTTCGGAGATATCCTTCCAGCCGTCCGCGAAAAGTATCCAAATAAGAAAATTGCCGTTCAAATCAGAACCGTTCGTGCTCCATCAGTTATTCTTTCTTCTGCTAAAGGAGGTATAAAAATCGTTGTATTGCAATTTGATTAACAAAAATTTTTAAAGGAATGGTCACTCTTGATCTGATCGCTGATGCTGACATTTACATCGATCAAACCAACACCAAGGTCGGAACGATCACAATTGCTGCGACTGTTGTTTTGACTGCCAGAATCGGCGGAGGAAGATTATCTGGAACTGCTGAAATCACACAACTTCATCTTTCTGATAGAACTGGATCGTTGGGTCTTCCACAGGATGCACTCGATAATTTGGGAAATCTTGGAAAGGAATTGTTGCAGAAGGTTTGTGATTAGAAAACAATCAGACAAGAATGAGTCTCTAGCAGAGATATCCGTATTCCGGATTTCGTGTTTTCGTTCCTGCCGGATACCGGAAATCCGTAAAAATATTTTTGTCCGAATTCCGAGAAAATGTATTTATTCTGAATTCCGCATTCTGGATTAGGAGAAAACTGTTTTATTCCGGATTTTCAAAAAATATGACAATCTGTGAAAATTATTTCCGACAAAGAATTGTTGTCTGTACTTCAGTTAAAAACGATACAGAAATAAAGGGCGAAGTGTGTATTTTAGAATTTTTCTGCAAATTGGAAATGTCTGAATTTCAGATTCCGGATTCCGTAAAACTTTTATTTGTCTGGATTCCCAGAAAATGTTTTTATTCCTAAAATCAGTGGTCTCCAGGAAACTGAATTCGTTTAATATTTCAGGTTGCTAACGATGGCCTCCAGAAGGGAATTGCCATTTCTATCCCAACAAATCTTCCTCTTCCAATTGGAATCATCAATCCAGATGTGCACATCGTCGAACACGGACTCCACATTGCCACAGACTTCACGATTTCTCCATCACTTCTCGGAGGTGGAGGTGGATGCTAGATACAATTATAATTCCTAATACTTCCCAATTCATCGTGTTCCTCTTCCCGGCCATTTTTTCTCGCATTCTCATTCTATGTTTTTTTGTTGATGATCCACTGTTCTTTTGCTTTAAAATAGTGTCCCTCACCAACTCATATTTTCTTATATTTCTGTAGCTGTATATAACGAGAAACTAAAATTCGAAAATAAGTTATTTTCTGCCCCTCATTTACTCTCTCTCTCTCTCTCAAATCTTCCTCAAAATTGCTCAATTCTTCTCTCTTTTTTTGTTTCTACTAATAATTGTACTATTAGTCGATTGCTCATTTTGCATTTTGGAATCGAATACCAAGAATCTTTCTACTTTTTTTTTGAATACTCCGACTAGCGATGAAATGACTTTTTGTGTTCTTTAATGATTTTCAAAAAAATAAAAACATTGAAATTATGTGTTACTATAGATGTTTTGTGATTAGAAGGAAGTACTAAAATCCGAAAAGTTCCCGGAATTTTAGTGGGATCTACGTCTTTTTTCGTATTCTCAAAAATTTGCTTGTGTGGCCTATCGGATTTTCGGACATGGAATTTTTGGAGTCTCAACGCCAGGGTTCGATTCCACCAGGCCGTAAACCTTTTTTGCTTTTGTTTAGAGCAAGAACTAGGTGTTCTAGAAGGTTATAGACTCATTTTTAAGCTTTTTTGAATGAATGGCAACTCTAGACTAATTTTAAAACTGTTCTAGTCCAATTTTAGGTTCCAATTTTTTTGCATTTTTTTTGGGTCTCACGAGTCTCTGATTTGTCAGAAAACAAATTCATTGAAAATAAAACGGTTCATTAGCATAAAAACAGTTTATTTTGCTGGCATAAGTCGACGTCTAGCAATTTTCTTCTTTGGACGGAGAACCTGGAATTATGATCAGAAACTGAATAAATGTAATGTTTTGAAAAACTAACCACAAACGAGCAAATCAGATTAGGAGCTACATTCAATACGGCAGCCGCATTGTCAAATTGTCCACAATAAAATGGAGCAGAGAATATGGTCACAAGACGCTTGTTACCGAAAAACTCGTAGCCATCTTGAACAACTTGATGAGCACGGACGACCATATCGATATCAAGAGTTTTGAGAGCTTTCCAGAGAGCACACTTTCCGAAAGTGACAGAAACGCCACGAGTATTTGGACTCCAATAGTTTGAAAAATTGGTTGGATCACTCCAAAGGATGTCGATGGCGAGACTATCCACGTCTGGATTGTAGATGGGACGAATGATGTTTCGGATATCTTGGAGAGAGGTTAGCTACAAAAAATTTCACTTGAGTTGTCAAAGAGCCCTCTCACCTTTTCAGATATTCCTCCATGCATGCAAAGGATCTTTCCACCGACAAGTGCAGCGAGCGGCATATGCGTGAATGCTGACTGAAATGCCTCCCAAACCGCCAAATTATTGTAACGACGTTGAATCTCGTCATAGAATCCGTATATTTTGTTGATATTCGGACATTCGTGATTCCCTCTCAATAAGAAAAAGTGATTTGGGAAAATTGCTTTGTAAGCGAAGAGCAGTAGAATAGTCTCCAGACAATATCTTCCACGATCCACATAGTCTCCGAGGAACAGATAATTGGCACGATGAGGAAATCCATTTTTGTCGAAGAGACGCAGAAGATCACAGAATTGTCCATGAATGTCACCGCAGATGTTGATTGGAGCAGATATCTCGATCAGGGTCGCCTGTTTATTGAAGACTGTTCTGAAAACTGTCAGATATGCAAATATCTTTCGCCTCTGAAGACTGACCCGACTTTCCCAGCAAAGTCAATACATTCTTCAACTGGAATAACCTGTGGTAACTGATAGTCCGGATGCTTGCCACTTTCCAATACACGCATCAAGATACTGTAGGCTTGACGAGTCTGGAAAACTGAAACAGCTTCGCAGTCAGTTGTAATCACTAACCAGTTCCTTCTCCTTCTCCTTATCCTCATCAGTGAGCATTGTCGTGCTTCTGGTTCGAGTAGAAACAAGGTTGGTGTTGCTAGCAGTCTCGGTGCACTCGGTTTTTTCCTTTTCTGAACATCTGATTCTTTGAACTCAAAGTTTTATTCGTGTGCTCACTTGTCGTAGGCATTTGCATTATTCTTTTCACTTGATAGAATATCTTTATGAACTTTTTGTCTCAAGAATGTGTACACTCCGCGGAGAAGATAAAAAAGAGCAGTCCACATGATAAGATCTGTGAATGGCGTTTAGAATTAAGTTGACACGTCATTTGTGGTATCACGGTGGGCTCGAAACGCTGGTGAGGATCTCAAGAATCTAGGTCAAAAGACAACCATAATAATATTGTGAAACCTGTAATAGAAGAGGTCCCATACTGTCAAGTTTGAGCTCATTTTTCTTGGCTTTTATGCCAGATATCAGAAATATGCCAACTGATAAAATATTGGTGATCACCGGTGATATTATGATGAACAATTTATCAGTTGAAGTTGTTTTTATATCTTTGACAAGAATCGAGATATATTGGCTCAAAGTTAAAAGCTAAGAAGCCCTTCTATAACATGTTTTACAGAAAGTCGTCTTCTCATTTGGAAAAAAAATCTAGAGTTGAGTTCTTGAATTCAGAGTTAAAACTTCTTACTGTATTCTTATTTGAAGAGTTTATTCAGAAAAGTTGATAACATCTTTTCAATATTCCTTCAGGTTCTTTCGGAATCTCTCAGAATCTCTGACGCGTTCGTAACCTCCCAGAAACCTCCTGGGATTGAGTTTAAGATTCTCGAGACATTCGAAGTCGTTCAAAAAGCTATATCAGAATTCGGAATCTGGAATTCGGAGCACACATTCCAAGATCCAGTACACATAATTTAGAACATGTAATCCAGATACCAGAATCCGGATTAAAGTTTTGAATTCAGAAATCCAAAATACGAAATCCGGAACTCAGAAGCCGGAATTCAGAATCTGTGTATAAGGGTCAGAATCTTAAAATTTAAAGTTTTAAAAGGGTTATTCATTTTGCGGAGCATTGTAATTATGCATAGTAACTTTTCTTAGGATCCTACTTCTTTTTTATTTCAATTATTTTCCGAACGATTCAAACAGTTTTTTCTACAAATATGTGGAACATTCTGAGTCATAACAACGTCCGCCAGCTACCGTCTGCTTCTATTCTTAGTCATAATGCCTGTCCAAAAAAGGGAAAAAAATTAGGCCGATGTATTGTTGATTTTAGTCATGTTAGTACCTTTGTAAATGACACACTTGAATAGGGCCGAAAAGAAAGGACCAAAAGGATACCGACTAAATATGCGTTTTCTTATTTGTTATCGGTAAAAGTTCAAAAAATAAATGCTCTGGTATTAGGTGATGACCCACAAGCTTATGCAAATAGCGGAGAACCTGCCTGTTCATAATTGGTTTATGAGAATAAAAAAGAAAATGAGAATTACTCAAAAAATGCAAAATTTAACTTTTTATGGGACAATCTTGAAATTCGACATTTTTTCGAAACATTTTTCTAACCGACCTACTTACAATTTCATACACTTTAAATTGACCGTTTCCTACTAAAATAAAGATTGTCCAACTTTTGAGCAGGGATGCTCTGATCGGGGCTTTCGAAACCCTACAACTGATTAACTTTCTGTTGTGTTTCTTATTATTATCAAGCGAACCCTTTATGCTCAAATTCAATGAGCCAATTTTGATTTTTTATTTCTGAGAAATTCCATACGGGTCCATAAGGTCCATAAGCTTCATTCTTCACCATGGCCACGAAAAGGTTTTTTACATTAATATTTTTCTGCTTTCTTGGAATATTTTTTGTGTTTTCTTGGAGCTCTTCTAATAAATAAATAAAATCTTTTCATCCCGTTCACTCCGATTTTTACGACTCTCCATTCTGAGATTCTGAATTTCCTTAGTACCCCATAATGAACATGTGGCTCTCAATATCTCCCTGGTTCCCATTACACACCCCACCAAACGAAGGTCGTTATTCTTCTCTTGGATAGAGAAAAAAGAGCGAATTGGAAAGTGCACCTGTCCCTTCAACGAAAAGTTCAATCGGAAATGAGAGATTGGGAAAAATAGTATACCGGGAGGAGGAAATTTGAATGTGCGGGTCGTGAAATATGAAAAAACGGAAAATGAAACTGGTACAAAAAAGGAGGAGCTGTGAAGAGAAGCGCCGGTGGCCGTGGCCGAAGGTTCCACAACAACAACTACCGTAACCTAAAAATATTAGTATTTTTAGCCTTTATTTTCTGTACAAGCATAATAATCGACTTGATAATATTTTTCAGTTGAACTTCAAGTTACCACTCTTTTTAAAAAATAGTTATAACTCAAACTATTTTGCTCCTAAATAGCGACAGAGCTACAGTACCCTACACATCCTAATTTCGCTCATTGATTCGCATTCACAATATCATTCAGTCATAAGAATCCAACGCGAGGGTTCTGTAACTCCATATGTTTACCGAAATGCCGACATTTCCCATGATATTCCTCAAGAAAACCAACAATTCTTCCAAATCTCAATTCAAACCAGAACCCAAACCCTTTTGCGTCTTCCACCAGAAGCTTCTTCTTCTCTCTCGATCCCGATCGGGGTCATTCCCGAAACTTGTGTGTCTGTACTCTCTTCCGATTCAGTAGTCATTGGTCACGGATTAATTCATGATGATCCATCACAACGAAAGCCAAAAGAAGAAGAAGAAACCAATTGAAAACGAGTGAGAAGTTGGAAGAACGTACGGACAAGAATGGGAGGAAGAGATGAAACGAACAAAAACGAGAAAGTGTCAAGTGTTTCTCGTTTTCTTGTTCTCTTGCCTTCGTTAATTGGGCTCAGATGGTTTTATTCAAAGAATGAAATGTTAAAAATGGTTCAGCTTTTTTTATTCGGTTTCTGAAACTTTTTAGATCATAGCTGTGATTATCGCGAAACTCTAACTCAAATTTCTGAACGGAAAATATATACGTAGCCGCCATTCAAGTGGCGCAAATGTACCCAGACTTAAGTTTGTAATTTTTGTTTATTGATCAGGTGTAATAAAACATTAGAGGGCAAGACATGAAAGACTCAGAAAATCACGAGGCCGATCTGAGTAGGGGAGGGAAAACGGGATAATTTAGATATTTGACACATGAAAAATGTAACCGGTAGAAGAAGAGAAAATATGGGAGCAAATATATCAATAACGAGTAACACTAGAAGAAGGTAAGGATTCAAACTCGGAAGGTAGGAGAAATCGGGTTACTGGGGAAGTGATGGCGTTCCACAGGGGAACATTTGAAGAAAAATAGTCAGAGGAGTAGGGCTGAACATTAATTAAGTTAACCTAGGTTAGGAAAGTAGGCGGAGCCATTTAAAAATTTAAAGAGAAGAAGTAGTGGAGCTTTTAGCCTACGATGTCGAATGGAGAACATATTGAGGATAGAGAGACGATCAAAATAGGAACTGTACTGGATATTACAACGCTGGAAAATACACTTAGAGAAAAATCTTAAGGGAGATTCTAGTTTTAGAGCAAGGCGAGAAGAAGGTGGAGGGGAATAAACTACAGAACAATATTCAATAATCGGGAGAACATAACATTTGAAACATAACATTGTACTGTCATAAAATTTTAGTCAAGCGTTGCACTGGGCTCAAACTTGAAATGCGAAAATTCAAATAATTCATCAGTAAACTGGCCAAGTCTCAAATTACTTGATCAAATTTGAGTTGAGTCATTGCTTGTCTAAGTTGCTTCCTCTTATGAAAATCTCATGTAAAATTATGTCGTTTATCTTTGGACAATCATAACAATACCTAGACTTGAGGAATTGCTTTGAAAACTTCAGTAGCTTTGAATCAAATGTAAAATTACATTTCTACCAAATTTCGTGCTTCCATGATACTTATGTTTAAAGATATACCCGTTTTTATCAGTCCGGGTGATTGTGCGCCACCTTGTAGTGGAATCTTCCGTTTTCACTCCCAGATTCCACGAAGTGAACAGAGAAATCAATGTATCAGGAAATGTTTCCGTGTATGCTCTTTTACCTTTTTTCCCATTCCTTCGTTCTGAATGATCCGCTTTGCTTGTGTCTTTCCTTCCCCTTTCTTTTTTTTTGCTACGCAATGTGTGCTGAGCACCAGTTCCGTCGTCCACTGCCACGTCAGAAAGCTCCTGGTGAGACTTGGACTCCATCCAAGGATCAAATAGTGTTGAACGGGAAGAGACGCAGAGAACAGACATCGGAAAGAACCTATCGGAAAGAAAAAAGAGACAGAAAAAAGAGGGTGGTGGTGATGGTGTAATATTTTACGATGGTCGTGGATATGTGTGCACCAGACGTCCGATGAGGGCAGCCGTCCAAAACTCCTATGCCATATTTTTTGTATCACGAATAAATCACATTCAAAGTTAGTTAGAGGGACTGGGAATGCTCCTGGTTACGACATCTCTCAAAGGTCGAAAAAATTTCTCATTTCGACAGGCTATTAGCCGAATTTCTATTAACATTGATATAGAAATATCGCCAGGTCTTTCATCTTAATACCGTAAACTCTCTGATAGAAAACCACCGTACATTGAGAGTTAATTTATCTCAATTTCTGTAACTGATATGAAAAAAAATGGTCAACTAACAAAATGAAATTTTAATTGTCTCTTTGATGTTCACAAGCAGCTTAAGTTCGAAAGAAACCACGACCGCGGCTGGCGGTGAGTCAGGCCGTGAGTAGGCTGCCGTGGACCAATTCAGCGACCCAGAAACCACTAGGAGAGCTAGGCCGCCGTACCCTACCTATCCCAGAAGTAATCTATCCAAAATGCTGCTACCAGCCATGGCACAGCCTTGCCAAAAAGCGAGCAGTTTCTTTTTAAAACTTCCTGGATCCATTTCGTTCCATCTTGGCATTATTTTTTCATGCTTCTCGAACACTGAAAAATTTAGTTTTACTAACAAACCACTTACCCAATTTCAAAGATAAAAATTTCAAATTTCAAATTTCGCCGTTAGATTCCGTTCTACATACTTCTTTACATTCCATATCCATTCACAGTACAGTATGGGCATGTAAGGAAGTATGCAGCTCGGCACAGCAGGGGTTTTTTGGTTGGAATAATAGCAGAATATCAGATGAATCAGAGAACGGTATAGAAGTCAGTGAAGAAGTTTAAAATTTGGAAGTCGTTTCTGGAATCTCAGATTTTAAGACAACCAAAGAACAAATTTTTGTGGGGAAAAAAGAATACAGTTCAAGCTTCCCTAGGTTCAGAGCGAGCTATCTTGCCAGTCTGGTTTCGATTTTTTGGAATACGGAAGACGTCGAAAAACACTATGCCTATCAGAATGCTTCTTACAGTCTTCAGGTGTAGTAACGAGAGAGATTTGTAAGGGATGGGGTGGGGTTGACCTAAGAAGAAAAGGTGCGCACTGAGCAAATATATGTGCACACACAGGCAAATTCGGTCTCTCTTCCTCTTCTTCTTATTCATGTCATTCCTCCGTCATCGCCGTCTTAACAGGCATTGCAAAAAGAGGGAAAAACATAGGGACGGACGGCACGATATATTTTAAAGAAAGAAAGGGAGAGAGACATAAGGAAAGAGAGGGTGATCGGAAGAAATGCGTCTCTTTCGGGGGTTGGTTTTGATGGGGACTGGCTGTTTCCCCGTCCCTTCTTCCCTTGCTTCTAGTCCCAAGACTCCGCCCCGTTTTTTTGGAAGGAGGCGTACCTTATGTCTTTCTTTCTTTTTTTCTCTTTGCAATGAGGAAGAGGAGGAGGATAGGGTTGTTGTACAGTGGAGTTGGAGCACCAGACGGAACGAGTTAACCGTTAGAGAGTTTGAGAGTCGAAGAGATTCAGACATCTCTGGGGGATTACTGTAATAATTTAAATCGACACTGGAGGTGAAATCTGAGAAGCGATCGCTAGTGTGGGAGGAAGAAAGAATAGGGTCAACTCTTGGTAATTAAGAAGATAGGTACTGAAACATGATATCTTGATAAAAACGGAATTGGAAGGCATTCTATTGGATGAAGAGCTTGCAAACTGTGAATCAGAATAGAAAGTTATCCGACTTTAAGACTTTCAGAATATGTGGAACCAGTCACTAAAACTTCTCCAAAAAATTAAGTGGGCTGAGCCGGGGATCGATCCCGGGACCTCTCGCACCCTAAGCGAGAATCATACCACTAGACCACTCAGCCTCGGTGTTCATGTATTTCTCATTCGCTAAACATTCACGCGGGAAATTCAAAATTCCTTTTTCGCTTTCCCTGAAGATCCTACTGTCAGCTAGCATGTAAAACAATATGAAAAGCAAGATCGGGAATATGGAAATGTAAAGAATGACAATGCTTTTCATCACATAATTACATACATTTGTTACAGTTTCCGGTTTTCAGGACAAAGATATTCAGGAGAAACCGCTTTCACTAAATTCCGATGTGTATAGTTTTGGATGCCGTGAAACCTGTAATAAAAGGACCCTCTAACTTCTAACTTTGAGTCATTTTTTCTTGGTTTCTTGGTAACTGACAAAACTTCAATATATTATAAACATTTCATTAGTTGACAGATTTTTTATATCTCTCATAGGAAACAAGATAACGGAGCTCAAACTTTACAGTGTGGAGTCCTTGTAATACAGGTTTTACGGTAGTTTGAACCAATTGGTACATGAAACAACATTTCTCGAGGGCCCAGTCATTCTTGCACATCTTTCATGCCATCGTTGTAAAAAATAGCTGAAATTTCAGTCGCATCTGAAAGCAATGATTACGGTAAATCCTGTAATGGAAGGGCCCCTAACTTTCAACTTTGAGCCAATTTTTCTCGGTTCCTAATATATTTTAAAAGTTGTCAATTGATAAATTGTTCATCATAATATCAGGAACATTTTGTCAGTTGACACATTTTCAATACCTTGAATATGAATTGAGATAATTGAGCTCAAACAGAGTTGGGGGGGGGGGGGCTTTCTATTGCATGTTTTACGGTAATGCGCTAACTTTAGCTTATCCAGACGCAATGGCCCCTCATGTCATCAAAGTTGCGACTCTGAGGATCCCAAAGCGATCTCTTCTGGTTTTTTTTCTTTCTCCAGGACGTCAATTCTACAGTATCCCACACCAACTCCAACAAGATCTTCCTAGAAAGACCGATCCCAGTTGTTGTTTCAATGAATATCCCCAGACATTCTTTATTTTGTGTTCACCTGACCAGTAGTAATTTATCATCAATCACTGATTTTTGGTGCCGAACACAGTTCCCTATCTCTATATTTCTCACTCCCATTTCCTCCCTCGCAATCGATCTTCTTTCTTTTTATTTCCCTCCGGAGCTTCTTCTTCTTCTTCTTCCGTGTGCACCCGAACGTGTTTTCATCCGTTCTATGTCTTCTATATCCGCCCTCTTTGATTCTCACTCACTATCTCTTAACGTATCTTCTCCGGGGGCGCTTCTCTTCGAAGACCTCCCGCCACTCTTCTTTGAAGGGACAATCTGTGAACTTTGGCAAACTGTCAAAGTGCCTAGAACTCTTGTCTATCAGTACTATCTCGTTTTTCTTGGACTGAGTAGTAGGAGGGTACTCGACTCTAGAGCACCTCTGTCGCAATGTGTAAAAAGAGATCTCAGAGAAAAGGAGCAACTCATATCTCTGTGTCTCTCCGTGTGGGAGGACTGTAAACCGTGAAGAGCGCCGAGTGCACATTTGTCCTCCATATCTTTATGCTCTCTCTGATCCATTTAGTCTCTCGTCGTGCTCACTTTTAGTCTCTCGTCGTGCTCACTTAGAGATCAAGAAAGATCAAGAGACGCAGAGTCAGAGAAAGTCTCCCGTTGCTCGCAAAAGACCGTCAATGGAGAGCCAGTTGAGCAAGAGAAGAATAAGAAGATGAAAAAGTCATTGAAAATACTTTTTTGACAAAGATTTGCAAAATTCTTATGGGTGTGGGAGGAAGAGATGAATCCCCAAATCTTCCAATATTTTGAAGTACAGAAAACATTTTATACAAGAATTTTACTGGAATTATAATGGAATCATACTGGAATTATACTGGAATTCCTCAGTTTCCTAATAGTTTTGAAAAATCAAACATTTGGTTCGATGTTTTCAGAAAAAAATATTACAATATATTTTGATGGATATGGCAAGATACTATGAGAATTAGGATTTTCAAATATCTTGGTGTTGGAAAGGTATTTAACTGAAAAGTATTGCCGGTGGCCGTAGTCCCAAAAGGACAACTACCGTAACCTAAATTTATTTCCGAGTTTTTTTTCTCGATTTCCGTATTTTGTCAGTCAATTTTTTTTTACTGTCAGAAATTTTAATTTTCCCACTTGTATGGGGGAAAAATAACAAAAAAAAATCGGCGAAAATCAGTAACCATCAAGAAAATAAATTCTGAAAGTAAGAATATTTTTAGGTTACGGTAGTTCTCGTTGTGGGACCTTCGGCCACGGCCGCCATCGTTTCACTTCCACAGCTCCGATTTTTTGTACCAGTATAATACAGAAAAGTTGAAATTTTTTGGAATTTGAGAAGAAGTTCAAAATATTGAAAATCTCAACTTCTTACATGCTGAAATGATTCCTGAACCTTACAGTTTCAACTTTTTAAACAACTGAAAATACACATTCTCCACGGTGAATTTTCCGGAACGCATTTTAAATAAAATAAGTTTTGCCGTTTTTTTGGTCGCATTCCACAAAACCGTAAGACTCGCCTGTTCGTTTTAAAGATTTCGCGTCGAGACCAAAGCCTGTGTGTTAGAGAGCATTAACAAGCATTTTACAAGACGTCCCGAAAAAAAACACCGTGTATTCTCTGAAATTGTGATTAAATTTTGATTTTTTCAGCTTAGTTATGGCTACGGAGCCAGTCCTAACTTTATGTGCTTCGAGCACCATAAACTCATAATCCGAGGTGTTCCAAATGTTTTGATTATTTGGGTCCTGAACTCCCAGAACGATGTTTCATTTCAACGCGTGAAAGTGTGGTTGCCGTTTTCGGTTGTCTCTACCTTCCAGATTCCACATTTTATCATCATCTAAAAGGTTCGAGCATCAAAGGGAAACAATGCCAGATGATAAGGAAAATAGGTATCATTCTATTCAAATTATCTGATTCATATTTTCAAAAACCTAGTTCGATTATCAATGATTGTGAATTGTTCGTCGTTGAAGCGGACAGTTTCAGCAGGATTCACGCAAAGAAAGATACAGATTCGGAGCCCAAATCTCTAATATTCGCAGCTGGAACACCCATTAATCGAGATGAATCTCTAGAACAATTGAGAGAATTTGTGACAAATTTAGGAAAGTCTGAAAAAAAGAAGAACGCAGAAAAACCAAAAAAGAAACAGGGTTACTTCATGGGGTTCTTGACACAGGATCAGGCTGAAAAGGTGGGTTTTCTAGTCTTCCTGTAATAGAAGGTCCCCCACACTGTCAAATTTGAGCTCAATTATCTCAATTCCCGCGCAAGATAGCAAAAGTGTGTCAACTAATAGAATGTTCCTATTATTATGGTAAACAATTTATCAGTCGACAACTTTTTGATGTCTTTGACAGGAACCAAGAAAAAATGGCCCAAAGTTAAAAGTTTGGGAGCTTATTACAGGTTTAACGGTGTCACATAGAATACAAAGCTCCAGATCATTTTTCCAATACAGACCGTAACCCGATCTACCTCTTTTTCCTTTTTTTCTCAAGCCCCCTGGGAAGTAATCTTTTACTCTAATTGCGCAATAATAAGCAAATTGATCCAACCAGACACTTCTCTTCATCTTCTTTCTATAAGGGGGAAGTTTGAAGAAGTCATTGCTTGCTCAACAATACAAATTTGCATAGTTGTTGAGAAAGGAAGAAGAGGTCAACAAGTAGATCATCCAAAATGAAGATGACTCTTGTTAAGACCAAATACGGTCATTCACAAATAACATAAAAGGAGAAGACACTGGGTTCCCAAGAAACGGGTCAAAAAAGGCGCCCCAGCGAATTTCACAAAAATTCTAAATTCGCTGCCGAACCTCGTTGGCTGAGTATCAAACTTTTAAACGATGAGCAAGAAACGCGCGCGTTGATAAATAGATCAAATCCGCGTCAACTTTGAAATTATTGAATTTTTTCTGTCCTAGGAGTTCGCTGGGGCGCCTTTTTGACCCATTTCTTGGGAACCCAGTGGAAGAATGATGAATTCAAATTTTTGGTCCACAGATGGTCTTGTAAAATCGATAATTCAATTTTTCAGGAAGTTGTGATCCCTGCTCAATTTGCTACCTACTACCGCATCGACGTTCAACTAGATTCTTCTAAACCACAAAAGGATTCAAATATTTCTTTGAATCTTTTCGTGTGTTATCTGAATTCCCGCAATCGATATCAGTAATTATTATGCATCCATTCCAAATCAACTTTAAGTTTCAATTTTCAGCCACTACCCAATCATCAAAAAAGAAGGACCCACTTCTCGAGCCCTCTTTCAACTCGGGCACTTCTCTATCACGAAAATATCGAATGAGCCGATTTTCTCGTCGATCAAATCCCTTTTGAAGCACTACACTCAATTCGTCTACATCGATTCGATTACTGAAACTGGTGGAATTGAAGTTTCAGTCTTCCCTAAATGAATTCATAGAACTTAATATTCAATTTTAATCGGCAATAAAGAATTTTAAAGAAAGAAAAATGATGAATTAAAGAAAACAGGAAAAGATAGCTGCACCCGTTACGATAACAACAAAACAAGAGGAACAAAATCTAACCTAAAAGAAGAGATAATAAAATGAACTATGAAAAAAAGACATTGAAAAAAAGACATGAAAATAGAAATCACGAAATATCAATTAGCTTTAAACTGCAAGTGGCGTTTCCTGCATGTGCACTTCGAGGAGTTTCCATGCGATAGCTGGATTGTATTCTTCGACGTCGCGGCACAGAACCCAGATGTGGTTGATACGTTTCGGGTTATCCTGAAAGATTTTTCATCAATTTTTATAAGGAAAATAGGAAAAAAAATCAAGGCGAATGAAAGGCCCCCCTAATTGAAGGGCCTTTGTAATAAAAGGGGCCTTCGGAGGTACCTTGGAGCAATAGAAGGGCCGGCCCTTCTAACACATGTTTTACGGTGAACGAAATGCCACTCGATTATTACCGAGATTTTCAACAAAAAAAGGTTCGAAAACATTCAGGACGGAATTGCGAATTCCGTTCCAAACATCGCTGCTTACAAAAATCAATATCTGATTTAAAAAAAAAACTAACCGGATCTCCTTCAACCACTTTTCCCTCGGCATTCTTCGTGACATTGATCATGTAAACTTGGAAGGAAATAATCAAGACAGGTCCTTGTTCCATCATTTTTCCAGTTGCCATTTCGACCTTGTTGATATCAATGATCCGAGAATCCTTCGTGCTCCAATGCATCTTCTGGTACTCTTTCACGACTGTCGACAACTGAGTGAATGCCTAAATGAAAATATAAAATTTATGAGTAATTAAAGAACAGGAACTTACTCGTTCATGGCACCACGACTGCAGAACTTCGAGATCAAAACGAATGAAAGCCTCCAAAATGTTTGGGATAATCTGAATTTAAAATTAGATGTGAAAGAGTTACAGTTAGCTTTCATAAGCTTTTACCTTGGTTTCACAGAATTTCAGCCATTCCTGCTTATCAAAATTAGCATCGATCTTGTGAATTTCCGTAAGAACTTCTGATACTTCATTTTGTCCAGCTAAAATATTTTTTTCAAATAATTTTCTTCAATGGAGACTTACAGAAAACACTTCCAATCCGTTCTGTAACACCTCTCATCATTCGAACGGCGATGTTGTCCGATTCCTCGTATTTGATTTTCCAATCAAGAAGTTCTGAAAACGAAAAGAATGTCCAGAATAACTTTATAAAAAACTCACTGTGGTAATAAGTATTGGATTCTGAGAAATTCTTCCATCCCGAGTACCATTTGGAGTCTTTGTGTAGCTGTACATCTGTTGCTGAGCTAAAATACTCAATTCATTTTTAAAATCAAGATTAAATACGACAGCTTACTCATTAGCTTCCACAACACGATCCTTATCCAATTCAAACCCATCCGTACGCTTTGTGAGAGTTTCTGGAAACTTTTTAGTTGGTACAAAAAAAATCGAAGCTCTGGAAGAGAAACACCTGTGGCCGTGGTCTCACAAAGACAACTACCGTCACCTATAAATATGTTTATTTTTATTATTTATTATTTTGTTTTTCACTGCTTTTCGTCGATTTTTCTCAAAAAAAAAAGTCAGAAAAAATTGGGCGAAAACGCACGAAAATCGAGAAATTAAATCCGGAAAATATGAGTTTTTTAGGTTACTGTAGCTGTCGTTGACGGGTTAATTCAGAAACTGACCTGGTCTGCTGTACATTCGAACATCGGCTATATTGTCAATTTCGTCTTTTACAGTTTTCATCGACTGAAAAATAAAATTATGTTGATGGAGTTCTCAAAACTCAAAACCTACTGTCGAGACGTGCTTATAAACTTCTGTATCTCCGACTTTTTCTGCCACTTTCTCCATCTGTTCAGCCGCTTTTCTTGCTTGTTTTAGCGCTTCTTCTCCTGCTTCAGTCATCTTCTTTCCTGCCTCCGTTTTTTGAATTTCTTGGATCATCTGAAATAAAGAATTTCATTATTTTGTCTAGATGAATAGAAAAATCACCTTTTTCATTTGCTCACTGAGTTCTTCGACTTTTTGTTTCACAATTTCTGAACTTTTCAAAGTCTCTTTCTCGACGAGCTCCTGAAAGTTTTGTAATAAACTGATTATTAAAAACTTTTGCTTTTACGAATTTTTTTCTTGCATCTTTCAAAGCATCTGATTCGTTCAATTCCTGCATTCTGGCTTTTAACTGTTGTTGATGCTCCTAAAATCAAAAGATTAGACTAGGATACCTGCAAGGACCGTACAAACCTGAAGTTCTTTGTTCTTCTGCATCTCATCTCGCACATTCTCAATAAGATTGTTTAGAAAACCACGTTTAGGCGCTGGATTACTGTAGTCTATAACAAAAACTTTCAAATTATTTGATTTGAACCTAAATCATACCTCGAAAGGTGACTATACTGGGCTGAAATTGCAATCGGACTCTATTTAATCGTACCCCATTGCTAAAAATTCTTGAGAGCATCTGTAAGATTCCAAATCAGTAAGAAACATCAAAATTCCCTAGTTTTCATGACTATTCGTTCATAAAACTCAAAAAAGCAGTCTAAATTTCGCAACGACACTCCGCTATCCCGCTTGCAAGTGATGCAATTTCTGTGGAAATGTCCCACTGAATTCAGGTTTTGCACGTAGATAGGGGGTACTGAACCCTCAAACGGTATTTTTTTTTCAGAAGACAGTTATGAAAATCACTTTTATTCAATTTTGAACAATATTTACAAAGAATTGCTAGACGGTATAAAAAAAGCATGTCATAAAATAGAACACAATAAAAAGCACATTCTACCAGAGTTTCAGAAGATGGAATACTAAAGCTAAGAAAATGAATTGGAAACCAGTAAAACAGGAAGGGTACACTTGGAACACATGTCCAAATATTAGAAACTGAAAATATACAAAAAGGATAGAAACAAGCAGGAATGATAAATGAAATTTTTTCAAAGTAGCCCAGAGAAGAGATTGCAGACTTTCAATCCATTGCCCCTGGTTCGTATTTCGCCCATGGATTGTCGTCGAGGAATTTTTCAATAACCTGAAAAACAAATTTCAAAATCATAAATGATTCATCAAAAACCAACCTCTTTGAGCGCATAGTTTGGAATAATCTCATTTTCTGTCAACGGTTTTCTGGTAACCGGGTCAAAGTGTCCTATTCTTCGTAGATGTTGCACAATTTCTTCTCTATCGTATGTGATGCCTGACGGTACAATCACTGGATCTTTCATCAGTTCCAATGTGATTTTTCCGCACATTATTTCAGGAATTTCACGATTTTGGCGTTTTTCCTGTGCCTGGAATCATGTATTGTTATTGAATATTATTATTGAAAATAGAAAACTGTCACTTCGTGCTGGCAGTAGAGAATCCGGATTCCGGATTACGAAAACATTTTTATTCCGAAATCCATTTTTCGAAAAAATTATTTAAGGAGTTTCTGCTTTACAGACTAATGAAGCAAAAGTTTACATACCGCCGAAGTGATTTCTGTAAGCCGCTTTTTCGCCATATCTGCTCTCTGCAACGCTTCCGGATTCTCGGCATTTTCCTGTCGATCTTTATCGATGAGACTCTCTAAATAAGTATGAAACTCGACATCTTGAATGATCCTTTTAGACTCTTCCTCTTCAAACTTTTGATGACGAGCTCTTTTGAGAGCATTCTCGATATCGGCTGCGTTCTTAAAACAGAATTAGATTAATAATCAGTCTTGATTATAAATGACTCACCGTTATCACTGCATTGTGGTATAGAGCTTTCGAGAGGCAGTTGATCGCGTCATTGTATCTTCTTCCTTTCAAGTAAACACTTCCCAGAAAGTACAATGGCTGAATACAATGTTTAAATATACAAATGACTGAAAATCACTTTTCTAACCTTCACTTCATTTGGACTCAACTCCAATGCTCTTTTGCAATCTTCTTCGGTCATTTTCAAATCATTCAACTAAATTAACAGTTTCGAAACAATGAATATACTTTCTCTATATACCTGATAATGGCACATAGCTCTATTTTGATAATATTTAGGTAATGGATTCATTTTTATCGCTTTTGTGTATTGTTCCACAGCATCATCGTACCTGCAATAGAAACACGGCTTTTGCACACTCAAAGAGCAATTTTACCTTTTGTTCATGTAGCACTTTTTTCCACTTGTGTTATACTGTTCGGCAGCAGTGGCCATTGCTGAAAAATGTCTTGAATTTGAGAAGAAACTAACTTTTTGATATCGATTTGAAAAACAAGCTGACTTCCTCATGCGCGTAAGCTTTGCTGCATTCCGTTCCTATGTCGCAGTTTGTGTTTGCAGAAAACTGCAAAAAGTTTCAGAAAAAGAAAACAATTATTTTAGAAAATTGCAGTTTTCCGGTGAATATTCAGACAAATACCCTTTGGGAGAAATATGAGTAATTCTAAACAGCTTATGAATATATTAAAATATTTCAGGGTATGATGCAAACCAGAAAGTCGTTCGGAAACCTGCCAAATGACAAGACTCTTCAACAGAAAAGACGGAGCTTAGAGATTCCGAATGTGCAGAAAATATATCCGGATCTTCAGGAAACGACAAGCTATGCTACCACAATACATACATCAGAAAAACAAGACGAAGAGGACGTTTATGAGACTGAGAATGACTCGAGCTTCGCTAGTTCACAAGCGTCCGAAGATGCTTCTTACTCGTCAGAAACGAAGGACGTGTGGAAATATGCTATGATAATCGGAGTAGTTTCATTAGCGATAGTTATTGGATTGGTGATAACTAATGGAAAACAAGAAAAGGTGTTTTGCCTCTCATTATTAGTTCTTATTCGAAACTTAAATTTTATTACAGACGTCGTACGAAAACTACATTGAATCCATCCGATCCATCCTCAACACACAGTTCTCTTCAGTTTCCAAAGAAAACCGAAACCTTCTGCGACATATCGGACAACGATTGTTTCTAGAACCAGAAAATCAAGCGCCCCTTGTGGTACTTGTTGGAGGAAAATCGGCGAAAGAATTCTCTGAAGCTGTGAATCGCGTTATTCAAGAATCTAAGCATGAAAAGCTTGATTCATCAAAAATTAAATCGATTCGAATCGAAAGCGAAACAAACAGAGCTGATTTTCATGAGAATCTCCGAGAAAGTAAGTTAGCCAAATACATGATAATTTATTTTGTATAAAAACAAATATATATTCGAATATGTCAATATTTATCATAAAATTTGAACCTTAAATTTCAGTTCTGGGTCCTTCTCTTTCGTCTCAATCCTCACCTAGAACAGCTGTTGTCCTCGATGTTGATCTCCTGAGATGGGATGCCGTACTCGTTCTTCATGCTTTTTCTGACCACGAAAAGTATCCTGTACCAAAAACTGTTCTGTTTCTCACTGTTTCCGATGCTAATGTGTCAGCAGAAACGAACACGAAAACGTGTGATGAAGAAATGAATAAGTGAGTCTGCTTACAAATTTTTCTGATCTACCTCCTCCCAACCCGCCAAACTTTTTTTCAGTTTCCTGACGACCCGTTGGATCGAAAACGGCGGCACTTCGGACAACATTCCGCCTATTATTGCACGAATTTCTTATTTTCTTTGTGTTTGAATTTTTTAAATAGTCTCTCCGGTATTTTCATCTTCCTCCGAAAAAAACGGGTGTGCTGATTTCTACTTGTAAATGTAAACAGTTTTTGGCTCTTTATGATTATAATAGTATTTCGAGAAAACAGAGGTATTTTGAGAATAAGATGGTATTTTGAGAATTGAATAGTGTTTTGCCTAATTTGCAGAGTTTTGATCATTTTTCACAGAATTAAGATCGTACTTTCGAAAATTATATTTTGATAAACCGACAACTGCCGAGATGTTTCCATGACTATATTTACAGACCGTATTCGTCAAGTGATGAAGAGAAAATTCAAAAATAGGTAAAAACATTGTAAAAAAGAAAGGCGAAATTGTCTTGAACTATAGCTAACAGATCAGATTTCGAAAGTACAAGCTTAATTCTGTGAAAAATGATCAAAACTCAGCAAATTAGGCAAAACACTATTCAATTCTCAAAATATCATCTTATTCTCAAAATACCACGATTTTCTCAAAATACCATTGTAATCATACAGAGCCCAGTTTTTTCTACGAGTAAACTACACTGAGTAAATTGTTCGAGTCTATTGAAATTTGGTTTGCATTTATCCAAAATTACTGATATAGAAGACAGATTTTCCTTCTTTTTTTGTTCAATCTCTTTTTTGCTTCCTCCTTTGATTTATAATATCTGTAGCAGGATGCCTCGGCATACGCATACGGTCAAAAGGGGGGAAAACCGAGCGGTAGCGGAAGAGGAAATCACCGAGCTGGAGTTACAAATGGTCACATACGAAGGTAATTGTGCTAAATGCTTATTCGTTCAAAGGTTCTGTTTTCAGAAAAAGCTCTCGAGAACAATGAATACACTGGCTTCAAATTTCCACAGATTCTGCATTTTCCAGTACCTAACAAAGTCGTTGAGGTATTTTGTTTCCTGAAAATCAAAAAAATGTATCAATTCAGATGGAGGCAATAGACGAGAATCCGTTTTCCTCGAAAAAATCTGCCTTCTTTATGAAACGTCGTATCGGGAGGCCAGAACCGGAAGACGAAGAAGAAGAACGTCAAGATGAGTCTAGTGACGATTCGGAGTCTGGAACCGAAGAAGAGAAACGGGACCAGCAAGATTGGCATTTCTGGGAATGCTTCTACTTCGCTTTTAGGCAGTTGCTTTTCTCACGAACTTGGATTCTACTTCTTCAGTTTGCGGCAGCAAATTATTTCGGTGACCGACTGAGAACAGACGGATTCAATTTGGCTGACAGAATTATTGGTTAGTTTTGAATATATTTCATCTCAAGTCAAAAAAACTTTAACGACTCTCAAATTCCAGAGCCGGGCAAGTCCGTTCTTGGTGATCTTGTCGTTCGTCGTGCGCTACTTGGTCTACGTCGCTGGGATGCCCAACAGTTCCTTTTCGTTGCGGATAACCACTACATCTTTGAACATTCTCTTGCGTTCTTTCCTGGTTATCCAGAAGTAATCAAGTACGATTTAACATAGTATTTTTTTTCTTACAACTCGTTTTAAGCATTTTTCGCATCGGAATCCATGAGTATATGAAGGGATCTCTCGGTTGGTCATTTCCGCCTTGGGTGATCACTGGAATCTTGTCAGTCGCGGTCAATTTGTTCTTTTTCCACGCAGCTGGTTTGGCTTTGTTCATGGCGGTTACTATGATGACCAGGAATGTAAAACAAGCTCTTCTCGCGGTTTCCATCTTCGCTTACAATCCTGCTTCAATCTTCTTCACGTCCGCATATTCTGAATCCGTGGGTGTTGTATATTTCAAACCTTTGACAATTCTGTTTCAGCTGTTCTTTGCTCTAACGATTACTGGCTTCAACTTCATGTTGTACGCGGTTCGCGCAACATCATACTCTCAACGTGTGATCGGAACATTGAGTGGAACAGTGATCTTTGGGTTATCAGCTGTCGTTCGTTCCAATGGATTACTCAATGTTATATTCGTCGTTTGGTATTGGGCGGCGATTCTTCTGTGGGAGCCTGAAAAGCCTGTTCCTGACTGTCATTTAATGATTGAGTCGCTGGCAGGATCCAAAAATGACCGCTACCGCCGTGAAGGACAAGCAAGACTTCGGGCATTCGAGAGAAAACGAAAGCAAACACGGAAAGTGTTCAGATGGACGGATCCTAGATTTTCTCGATGTTCTCTCGTTTTCATCACTCTTGTATTCATCGTTATTGTTTCTATTGCCTCCTTTGGTCCATACGTTTTCATGTCAAATTCAGCGGCCGAGGAGTTTTGTGAAGCGACTCCACGTCAGAAAGAACTTGTTGCGACTGTTAAGAAACAGATTCGTATGTCTCCGAAAATTATCACGATAGCGGATGCTTGGGAAAAAGCGGCCTGGTGCAGGTGCGACATCATAATCTCTGCGAAACATTTTTAAGAAATTCCTTCTTTTTTTCAGAAAACCAAAGCTGTTCGGAATTGTTCGACAATACTACGGAGAAATTCAAGCAAAGTATTGGAATGTCGGACTATTTGGATATTGGAGAATCAAAAAAATTCCCTGCTTCTTGATGATGCTTCCTGCTGCAATTCTCACAGTTCTAGCCATCATATCGGCATGGGTCCATGTGTTCGAAACAAAACGGTAAACCTCTCACTATCAGTACTGTCAAAAAATATAAATCAATTTCAGATGGAATAACATCTGGGTTCTACTAATTCGTAGTGATCATTTGCTCCACCTCGCCCCGCAGGCTATTATCATGTTATGCACAGCGGTTTTCGTCATCAACGCTGAAGTTTTCACTAGGCTGATTTTCTCTTCCAGTCCTTTGCTCTACATCTTCATTGCACAATATATTGACAAACTGACTCAAGGAGTGAGGCAAATGAATGAAGAACTGCATGAATCTATAATCATTTCAGAATACTATGGGTAACCGTCTCTGGCACTATACTTCCTCTCCGGGCATTCTTCCCTTCTTTGTATTTCGACGAGTCTGGGAAGAAGGATGGAAAGGGAAAGCTCTCTACATCTACATTCTCGGGTACTTCATTTTCGGAACAATGGCACATGCCGCATGGTTACCATTCACCTAATCAATAATCAATCTTATCTGTACATTGTTGTTCTTGTGCCTTTCTTTCTCTCATATCATTCAAGAGTTTCATATTTTATCTAGTCTATAACTGGTCTATAATAACTCCAACTCCTTTATTATTGGTTGTTCTCGAAAGTATTTAGCTTTACTTATGTTTGATTCATAACCTGATTCATTGTGATACTAATTTTTCTATGTCAAACTTCCACTAATTTAACCGGTTTATTTCAATGAGCTTTAAACAGAATAAATTGATTGATTGAAAAAAAAATCGTAGAGTATCTATTGCTGATTAGCTCAAAATCGTATCTCTCGAAGTGTTATCTCCAAATGAATTCTCAGAAAACTTGAAAGGCATAATGAAAAATCTTCAGGTAAATCGAAAATGACGGAGGAAGCTAATCTGTTCCTTTCCAAACTTGTTCTCCAGGGTGAATCGATTTTAGCTGAAATATTTCGATTGTCCAGTTTCGTCCCAAAAGATTTCCGAGATCCAACAAAATCCACCAAATTTCGAAGCATCGTTCAACTCGATTTCAAATATTTGAGCAAAAAGGAACAAATCGAAAAGGATTTAGAAAAGAATCTGCGTCTTCAATCTCATTTTTATTCAAGTTTCCAACCCGTTCTAATCGCTTTTGAGCAATTGTTTTCTTCAATTGCTGAGTTTGTACAGACATTCACTAAATATGCAAAAGATTTTTATAATGTAGAAAAAACGGATGTCAATAGAACTGCCGAACTAGAGGTAACCATATGTGGAAGTGAAATAATACTAACTGTTATTTTTCAGGCTTATTGTTTGTATATATCTGGCCTTCTCCTAATCTACCTCGATATGTATCTACCTGGGCCAATCCGAGAACGAATTTATATCGCAATATATCGAAAAAGCGATGTAAGAGAAAACGCAGAGTTCTTAGTGGATTTTCTAAAAGAAGTTTCTGCAAGCAACGATTCAATGATATCGTTAGTTAGAGCTTCTGAAAAATCAAAACGACCCAGGCTATCTTCCAGAAGGATTCCACTTCCCGAGAAATTCATTCGCTCCACTTTTCATACTATCGAAGTGATGGAAGAGTCATCTTTACCAACACCTAAGACTCATTTGATGTATGTGGCCCTCCAGTTTGACCGTCAAACTCTATCGAATGATTCAGCAAGAATGACTAAAATCGTTAACTCGATTTTTAGAGAGACATGGGTTTGTTTTAGAAAAAAAACACAATTAAATTGTTTTCTGAGGTTTCAGGTTCTAAACTTAGGTTTTGGAGCAATATGTAACGTTTTCGATGGTTGGTACAACTACAAGTCAGCTTGGAATGCACTCAACGCCACGATTACCCAGCAAGAAGCGTATCGACTACTGGAGAAACACCAGAAAGTGGTAGTAGACACTCATTTTCCAAAGGTATGCCTTATTTATCAAAACCATAAATTAACATTGAACATTAGTAACCGAGTAAAACCGAGTATCAATCAACTTGAATCCTGCGCTTCGGAAAGTATTTCTTGGGTCGGAGAATCTGTTCAAAAAATATGATTTCTGATTTCTGAACATTTGAAATAGCTGAAACGAGCAAACTAAATCTTCGTTAACTGTCATGACAGCAGCAGCATTGTCGAATTGTCCACAGTAAAAAGGAGCAGAAAATACAGTAACCAGGCGACGTTGCCCGAAAAACTCATATCCGTCTTGCACGACCTGTAATATTGGTTCAAGAATCAAACCAGCTGTATGATCAGATGATTACCTGATGGGCTCTAACGACCAAGTCGATATTCAATGAGTTCAATACTTTCCTCAATGCATCAGTTCCAAATGTATATGAAACTTCTCTCTGGTTTGGATTCCATCCTTTTGCATTGTTTGAAGGGTCACTCCATAATATATCTATCTCGGTTTGATCATGACTCGGCTGGTAATTAGGACGACGAAATGCTCTGAGTTTATCCAGAGAGGAAAGCTAAACAAAACTTCATGTAGAAATATGTGAAAGGAATTTTACCCTTGGAGAAATGCCACCGTGCATACAGAGAATTCTTTGTCCAATAACTGCGGTCATAGGCATAGTTGAGAAAGTATCTTGAAAATCCTCCCACATTTTACTCCCTTTTTTATCGTATCGCTTCGAACATTCTTCATAGAATCCGTAGACTTTATTGATAGATGGACATTCGTGATTTCCTCGGAGAAGGAAGAAGTGGTTGGGGAAAATCAGTTTATAACAAAAAAGAAGAAGAATATTCTCAAGACTATGACGACCTCTATCCACATAATCTCCCAAGAATAGGTAGTTAGCACGATGTGGATAACCTGCTTTGTCGAACATTCTAAGAACATCTGAAACCACACACGGATCTTTTAGATAGTTTCGAATAGATTACCAGAAAATTGTCCATGAGTATCTCCACAAATGTTGATTGGCCCGTCGATCTCGACACATGACGGTTGCGACATGAAAACTAACCTGAAAAGAGTTTCGGTACCGTATTCTTGTGGCTACGCGTAGCTACACACTTTATACAATCCAACAGAGTAGTAATCTCAGCCGGCTGAACCACCGATGTCAAGGTTTTGTCTCCACCTCGGCCGCATTCCAAAAGCTTGAATAGCAAGTTATAAGCCAAACGAGCTTGTATTTCATCGATAATTGAGTTGTCGTATGCCATATTACTACGGCAGCTTTTCAATGAAACCACTGAAAAAAAGCAGAGTCATGAATATACTTTTTTCGAAATTTACATTCTGACGCTTCTGCCGAAAGTTTCGTTTTCTTCTTCCCATCTGATAGGGAAGCATTTACCAGATCTGAAACATTGTACCGAGTAGCCATTAGTAGACAAAACAATTAGGCTAATTTTGGTTAGGCTAAGATTTATACAGTAGTAAACTATAGGATTCACTCACTCTCATTATTGCTAGGCATTTTTTGATCCAATCTGTAATTCTCGATACAAAGTTTTACTTTGATTTACATACATTTGGATGTCTGCTCGATTCTGGCTGTACTGGTTAACTAGAGGTGACCGGGCTCGAACGAGGAATCATCACGTACTTTGTTAAACATGTCAGCATTAAGGCACCAATCGTATCAAACAATCAAATTTATCATTTTTAGGTCATCAATGAAATGGTCCAGTTCAACCATCACCTTCAACAGATAACTGCGTATAATCGGTCTTTGAAATGGCTCTATCTTCATTCTCGTCCATCGCAAAAAACGACTCGCCCTCTAAAAAATCGTCCAATCACTGATGATCAGCTGTTCAAATGGCTTCTGGATGTCTCTAGATTCGAGCTCTTGGCTCTAAACCTTTACAAGACCACTATTGAGAATCGAGAGACAGAAGGGAATCGAAGAAAACAAAAAATAAGAACAAGTTTGAATCAGCTGGCGGAATTTTTCGAGCATGGTTTTGTGAAAATGGGAGAAACCCAAAAGAATAATTTTGTAAAATGGGTTCGCAGTTTGAGCGAAACAGTTGAGAAGATTGATTTGAATGATGCTAGAGAAGGTGTGGAAACAGTTCAACAGATCACACGAAGAGTTAAACAAGTAAGGGAAAATAGGGAATTTGTAGTTCAATTCTTAAAAATTGCAGGTTGGAGAACTACTGGGTCTTTCTATAAATATGACATTGAAGGAATGTCTCTCAACTCTGGATTCAGATCTACGATCTCTTCTCTCTGTTCTTTCCCTCTCTGATTCGATTGTTCCTGATTTATATGCCAAAATGGAAGGGACATATTTATGGCCATTGATATCTCAGCTAACTCCACGTATCCAGAAAAATCTTGTTGATACCTCAAACACTGACGTTGTTCGGCAAATCTTCACAAAGCTATCCATTTCGTGTTGGATTCTGAAATTGAAGCTCTCCGAGTTCTCCGATCGAGACAACGTGGCGAATCGAATTGCAAATACTTACTCGTATTCGCTTGAAAAACATCTGAAAACAGTTCTCCAATCAGTTCCTCAGCACATGTTTGAGATTATGTACAAAGTGATAATGCCGGGGTTGGGCAAGAAGTTTGAGCCTTATATTGACAAAACAGAGGTAAGCTTATGATGCTTCTGGCACTGAAAACATCATTGTTTTCAGCTTCGAGAGATTGGCGATTTCATATCAAGTTCAAAATTGGTGGAAACGACGAGTCTAATTGCAAGCACAAGTATGGGAATATCAAGGATGATGTTAACTAGAGTCGGAACGATTGAAATTAATCCGAAGGTTTCCTATTCTATTTTTGTTTTATATTTGAAAACAAATTTACTAGTTTAGGAATTGTTAGAAGAAGGGATGATTCGACAACTGTATAAGGAATTGAAGAAATTATTGTCAAACTCATCAGCAACAGCGTCAATCGGTTCGTTTCGGGAGCTAGATTGAACTTCCAAAATTGAAAACACTGAAAATTACTCTTTTTTCAGAAAGTCTTCTCAAAACCTGCGAGAGTGTGGAAACTCTGCGATCTTCGTTCTTTTACATCTGCGATTATATGAATTTGAATGGAGAACGTATTTGGAGCGTGGCCATGGATGACTACTTCAGTCGGATATCCGAAGAACGAGCATTTGCGAAAAGTTCTGGAGAGCTTGATAAAAATGAGATTGCTGCTCTGTTTATTCGATTGACAAATCCAAAGTAAGACTTTGTTTTCTTCCATTTCGGATCAAAAATTTCAAATTTTTTCAGAGTTTCGCGGTACTGTGAAAGCACATTGAGCTGGATGGATTTGAAACTGAGCAAGAACATTTTGCACTTTGATATTTTTTATCAAATTGAGAACATAATTCCATTCCATGTTCTCACAAGTATCGAGACTAATGTTACAGTAGAACTGGAGAAATTGCTCAATGGTAAGATAAAAACAACATTAAGTGCAATATGTTTTGAATTTAGAATACATATCATCGGCTCGCCAGCTTGGTGTCAGTTACAATCTACAAAATGCTGTATCTCATCAAAATTCGTATCAATTTTTCTCGGGTGCCACTTATGAACAGCTTGTGAAAACTATCCAACCACAGTCTCCAGCGCTAGGATCGATTTTGGCACAGGTTTGGAGTTTTCTTCTTCTTAAATTTTTTTTTCTAATATTGTGCAATTTCAGATCGGCCAATATGTTCTCATTCTTCGAACCATTTGCAATGCAAAACAACTTGCAAATCGTCACCGAGATGATGTTGTTCAAAGAGATTTGTTAGAAATTAACAAGTTGGAATAGACTACTGCTAGAGAAATCAAAAGAATTTTATTTTCAGATCGTTAACTCAGGGTCCTAAAGATCTACCAGCGGAAATGGGAACCATTCTGAAATTGATGATGCAGTATTCGATATATAATCCAGAACGTATGGTTTTCCGACTGAAGGATGAGCCGTCGCCAATTTTCCTTATTGCTCTTATCCAATGTCTGTTACCTAAAATTGGAGGTAAATCTCATTTTAGAAAATAGTTGTGTCCAATCCTCATTGATTTAAGATCACTACTTCGTGTGCCCAGTGCAATTGGAGTTTGGCATTCGTCTAGTTCTACGCCAATCTCGTCTTCTCCCCTACTTCCTTCCTATAATCCATGAGCAACTTCCAGCATGCACTCGCCCCAAAAAGAGAATCGAGGACGTTGATCGTTTCCTTAAGAGGATTGTTGAGAATCTTTGAAGATTGACTTATATCTTGCCTGCTGTGATATTCGAATGTTCCATAGTTCACATTTCAGGTTTAATGCATGTATTTAATTACTTTTTGAAATACCGTAAAACCTCTAATAGAACGACACCCGGATCGTCCACTTTGAGCCTATATATCTCATTTACTGTGAAAGATATCAAAAAGTGGCTAACTAGTAAAATGTTGCTGATATCCTGATAAACATTTTACTAAACCACTTTTTGATATCTTTCAAAAGAAGTAAGATATATAGGCTCAAAGTGGACGATCCGGGTGTCGTTCTATTAGAGGTTTTACGGTAAAATAAAATATTGATATTTATTTGAGCTCTAAAAAGTAATAAAATCGCTTCCGAGGTTGGGATATTTACAATGGCAAGAAACACACATAATAGGTTTAGGAACATGTAGTTCGATAAGGGAAATTCGATCTGAAAAGAGTTGGAAGTCTATGCAGAAGAAGCACGTCTAGATGCGGAATAATTGTTGGGACTTGGAAAATCGGGATCTGAAAATGATCCAGTTAAAAAAGTCACAAATAAATTGAACTTACCAATCATCCCTGCTTGAATCAGCGAGCTTCTTCTTTCCTTTAACCTCGCATATGACTGTTCAAAATGGATCAATCGAACAACCAAATAGGAACAATAGAAGATTGCAATAATGAGAAAGAGCATGCAAAAGACGAACAAAACGAGTTGCAATGCAATATTCGGTTCATCGTCATCGATTTTAGCTCCTTCATCTCTCCATGCTTGATGTTCGGATGGAGAATGTGGAGATTTGGATGACGCGAAAACTGTCGAAACACCGAAAACGGCGAGGAACAATACAGTAAGACCACGAGCCAGTAGAGAAGGGTATATCAGAGTGTGGGCGTGTTTTTGAACTCCAATTATCAGCATTACACATGTGAGACCGAAAAAGAGCATCAGTCCAACGAGGCATATTTCGAATGCGGTCAATTCCTGAAATTTTTCAAAATTGTGTGAAGTGAAAGCATAGATTTCTTTGATACTGTTTGATTCTTTTAAGCACTATTCACTATACAGGGTGGCTAAGAATTACCCGGACTGAAGTTTGTAATAGCAAAAAGTTTGACTAGGGAAGGTTGTAATCGGGGAGTGGAACTTCGGTATGAGACCTATATCATTCGAAAGCTGAGAATGAGAAATTTTCAAACATGTATTCAGATTTTGCTGAGGAGCTACCAGTTTCGAGAAAATCAAGTTTCAAATTTGGCTCAAATTTGACTCTTAAGGGCGCCGCGCCTCCCCTCTTTCTTATATAGATGGGGGAAGGGAAAGAACCAGACAGCAGTGGTGTAGTGGCGAGGAGGGATGATGAACCAGACAGCAGTGGTGTAGTGGCGAGGAGGGATGAGAATATGGAATAATAAAGGAAAAGTACGAAATTGGAAGACCTGAACAAAATCACATCACGATAGAACTTATCTGATACTTCTAGGAACCCCCAACCAACGTTTTAGTTCATTTCATCGAGTGCCAGCAAGCCACGCGAGGAGATGCTTTGCGGCGGCGGTGTGCCCCATATGCCCCGTATATGCCCCATACCGGCGTCCTTTCCCTGTACCCAATTCATCGGCGCGTCCTCCGTCGCCCATCCATTATGCGTATGCGCGCCCAGGACCTGTGTCAGCAAAATCAAAATACATATTTGAAAATGTCTCATTCTCAGCTTTCGAATGTTATAGCTCTCATACCGAAGTTCCACCCCCCGATTAGAACCTTCCCTAGTGAGTAAATCCTTGCACTGGGCTCTAATTCGAAGTGCGAAAATTCAAATAATTCATTAGTAAACTGGCAAAGTTTCAAATTATTTCATAAGCTTTAAGCTGAGTTATCGCTTGCCAAATTTTCTTTATCTCATGAAAATCACAAGAAAAATTACGCCTTTCATATTTGGACAATCATAACAGTTACCTGAACTTGTGGAATCGCTTTGAAAATTTTAAAAGCTTTGAATCAAACTCGAAATTATATTTCTACCCATTTTAGTGCTTCCAACGTACTTATGTCTAAAGATATAACCGTTTAATTGTGCTCCACCTTGTATAATATCAGTGATAACATTTTTTTTCATTTTTGTAAACTACAGTAATCCTCAAACTAAAGTTATCAAATATCACTTCGAAAAGTTTCTAGTTTCTCTCTGATAAGCAACATTCCAATGTCGTTTCTCTGATCTCTGATTAGTAATTTTTCTTCTTTTTCTTTCTTGAGCCACCTGATCTTTTCTGAACTTTTCCTTTATATTCTTTTGAGATCATACATTATGATACTTGTGAGTTCAATGATGAATATGTACCTCAGGTTTTTGATGAACTATGTTGTACATTGCGATTGTTCCAATGAGGGTACAGAAGGCCAATTCTATAGAGGCGAGAAGTCTCATTCCTGAAAAAGATTAATGGAACTAGAAAACTTTAAGATTAGAAACATATCATATTCTGACATGTCTAGTGGAAAATAGTCAACTTTGGAGTCCTAAAAAAGTAATCCCGAATTATTCGTCTTGTCTGAAAATTTCAGGCTGTACTCCACAACAATTAAACATAGTTTCCAAAATTAATTTCTTACAATTTCCAAAAAGGAAGCTCTATTTTAGTTTCTTTTTTTTTAAGTGTTGGGTACAATTTATTTATTTTTTGATTTATTGTCCGGTACTATTTTTTGCATTAAATGACTCAAAATTACACTATTCGAATATTCAACAAATTAAATTGTTCAAGTTTCGGAGAAAAAATCGTTGTTTTTAAAACTCACCGGATGGTAATGAGCAGCAACAACATCTCCATTTGACTGAGTCTGGATTGAAATCCATTTCTGAAAAAATAGTTAGTTTTTTTTTTTTTTGAAAAGAGCAAAGTTTGGGACGAAGGAAAATAAACCGAGAAGAGAATGAATTAAAATTTGAGATGCCCTGAAGGGAAGTACTTCTTTTCTATGAATCATTTATCGAAATAATAAAAAATGAAATGAAAAGAAAGCGGAAAGAAGAGTATGGGGAGAAACATTGGAAAACAAAAACCTAGGAGCAGAGACTGAAACTGGAAAAGAAACTGGAAAAGAATATGAACCTTCCTTGTTTTTTGAATCGACAATGGAATATTTTCGAAAATTTGTTGGGTTTTCTCTTGCATTCCTGTTTTTTCTTGTTTTTTGTGCTGTTCACGGAGCATAAAACCACAAAAAGGAGCACCTCCTTGGGCTTTTTGTTCACTCTGAAAAATAATTAGAGACAAGCAAAAAAAATAGATGTTTTTCTCCTCTTTTTTATGTTTTTGTCTGGTATTTTTCAAATGACGGGAACACAAACAAGGATAAGGAAACAGATTTTAAGAGATAAAAGATAATGGGGATATAATGATGAAGGCGATTAAAATGTTATGAAGCAGGATATAAAAGAAGTAGTATGGAAAATATTCAAGCGTTTTATATGAATTATTTTGGTTCAAAGGAAATAGGTTCAAAGGAATAAAAGGAAGAACGACCTAATGGTGTTGCCTTGAATTTTTACTAAAATTTCAGAGATAATCTAACTAGGGGAAGCTACAGTGAATAGGCGGAGCTTAGGTCTGGTAGCGAATTCCTTAAAGGTGCATTCAAAGGAGCACGTATTTTCATAATTATTTCCTGGCTTATTTTTTTCGATGAACTATTCTGATTTTTCAATATATATCATTGTATTAATGCATTTTTTACTGACTTTTTTTCCGAATTTTCGTTTTAAAAAGTTCAAAATAGATCAAATTTATCGAAAAAATTCAATTCCTGCAAATTGCGATTTGACTGATTTCTGTGAAAAAAAAACAGTTCAAAATCGATGAAATGCATCGAAAAATAGGAACAAATAAGGCCAGAGAATAATTATGAAAATGCATGCTCCTTTAAATGCGCCTTCAAGGATTTCGCTACCGGATCTAAGCTCCGCCCACTTTCAATTCTTCTGCTGCGCCTTAGAATTAGGCCAAAGTAATACAAACTAATGTCTGTATCCTAGTTTTTGCACAACCCAATGCTCTCCCGGGTCTCCTTCAGAAGCATATCCATTCAAGATAATTGACCAACGGAAGACGTGGGAGGAAAAAAGAAAACCATAAAACTTTTTGGCTCTAGTCCAACTTCTATTTTTTTCTTTTTTCTTTTTTCTTTTTTTTTGAAAAAAAGCGAAGAGAAGTTCAGTGCAAAAATTGAAAGAACTATAGAGAAAAAGGTGAGAGAAACTCTGAATGAATATTTTATAAAAAAAAGGGTGGGAAACGGGAGAATGAAGGTCCGGAAAACTTTCTTTTTGGTGGGTGGAGAAGAGAAGAAAAGTTGCGAATTGTGAGGTGTGAAGAAGAAGAGATTATTAGTGAAACCAGTTGTTTTCAGGAGACTTGATGGGTTGTTGTAATGAGATAGATAAAGTACTCGTCAATAGAGATTTTCTTTGTCGTTCAGAACAGTTAATTGGGTTGTATTGAGCATTATTCTCCCATTTGAAGTGTTAAGACTTCCTAGGTGTTGTAGAATGTTATATATGTTCTCCCTGAGGGAAGAGACCAAAAAGCTATCATAACAGAGTGGGATATTTTGATGAATTGAAAACCGAAGAAAAAGTGACAGAATATGCCCACGAACTCATGTTGGTCAGGAGTTCTGAAGGTGATGATCATTTGTTTCTTCTCGAAAATTGAAAAATATACGAAATTTGAGATGTCCAGAAAAGAAGTGTCAACTTTGAAACCGATGCTTCAACTTTCAAAGACCGAACTTAGAATATCAAGAATTGAGGTTTATTTTCTATTTTTGACATACATCAACAGTAAAAAGCTGTATTTTCGTTTAATGAATTACAGACAACAATTCAGAAAAAAATTTCTTGGATCCTTTATGGAAAAGTTGAATAAGCTGGCTGAAACTGCGGAGGAATAGTTTTGGACAACGAATACAAATATGATTTTTTGAGATTTAAAGGATTTGGAAATGGTTGTTTTGTGGTGTACGAGTTATAACAAGTAGCAGTTTTTTCAGAAATATTTCAAAAATTCAAGAGTCGGAGATTCTGTGATGCTGGGATTTTGATTTTCTGAGATTCTGAAGTTCCTAGTTTCCTAATCAATACTCTTGGAACTTAAGACTAAATATATATTGAAAAAAGTTGTTTTGCAACGGACCATGTTTCAAACAGACATATTAGAACCGATCTTTGACAATTTGCAAGCGTAGAGACCTAATAGAAAGACTTTGGTTGAAATATGTTGTTTGTAATGAAACATTTATGTACTTTTACAGAAAAAGTATCACAGAAATTTGTTGGAACTCAATATTTTTCTTTAAAAATCGCTGACTTGCCCTTTTAATATAGGTTTTCCAGTACTTAAAAAGTAAAACTAACTGTAGTGACCACTGGAAAAATGTCTCAATGCGGCGACCAATGAAAAACGTAATGAAACTTTTGGCTCTATCTCTCCTTTTCTCTGTCGAAGGTTCTCAGTCAGTCCAGACGATGAAAAGATAAATTGATTGGGAAATGAGTCGAGTCATCCGACATGTAATAACAGGTGTGTGTCCAGTGAAGATAAAAACGAAGAAGAACGAGGGTGTTGAAAATCTAGAGAAATGGAGAAAATGAGTGGGAGCTTTTTGAAATGTATGAAAGAAAAAAAAGAATGACAGAGAAACAACCACCAAGTCAGTTGGTTAGAATGTGATGTGCTCTTTGAGTTTTGGGTTTCGATCTTAATCAAATTTTATTGGATTTTTGAAAATTTTGAATTTAGTTCGAAGGCTGCCAGATCGACCTTTTTTTTCCTTTGAAAAAACTGGAAGTGTTGAATAATAACAGGCAACCACGAACATCCCGAATAACAATTTCCAAGCAATATTACATTTCATTCAAAGTCATGGGACTTTTCAGCTCAATTAAAAATAGATCATAACAAGGAAGAAAAAAATTCCACGAAGTAGAAATCAAAAAGACGACTTCTATTCTTTTCCTTTTAAAGAAGGAAAATGTGCAAGTGTAATTCAATTTGACGGGTACAAAAAAGGAGGGAAGATTTGAGAATCTGGCTCCCTGAACAAAGAAAAAAGGGGAAAGAGCCAAGAAAGGAAAAAGAAAAGATAGATTAGGTAGGTATATCCCAAAGAAGAAGAGAAGAAAGACACCGGAAACGGACCTTATGCGAATAGTCCAACTGAATTATTCAGAAGACATGGGGGAGTATGAGAAGACGTCAGAATGCTAGGAGAACGGTGGAAGGTGTAACATATGAGTTCGAGATTGGGTAAAGATTATGACGTCTTCGTATAGACATTTTTGAGCAATCGGTATAATTTGTAACAACTTCCGTCCTTAATTTGTTTTTCTCCCAATTTCTGATCCCTGAATTTATGATTTGGAAAATACAAAACCGGAAGAAATTTTGGAACTTTATAAATTCTATAATATAAAATTTCGGAAATGGAAAGTTAATAGAAACTCGGAATGTTATTAATTCAAGAATTCAGGCAACCGAAATTTCAGAAATCGAGAGGTTGATAAATTCGGGATTCCCAAAAATTAGAAAACCGGCAAAGCCAATTTGAGAAAAAATCCCCAATTTCTCAATTTCTGACTTTTTAAACTTTTGAATTTCTGGATTTCCCAATTTCCAATGTTCTGAAACTCTCAGCTTTTTGAGTTAAGACATTTTCGACATTTCCGGATTTTCGAAAGTTGCTAGATTTTTTATTTTCCGAACTTCCGAATTTCTGAATTTCGGAAAATCGGATTTTGAGAATTTCAGAATTTTTGATATTTGGAATATCGGAAGTTCGGAATTTTCGATTTGTCAAATTTGTGAAATTTCGATTTCTTATCCGAATCTCCGAATTTCGTAGTTTTAGAATTCACGAATTTAAAAATTTTTCGAATGTTAGAATTTTGAAAATAAGAAATTCAGAAGTTCTGGTTTCATAGATTATGTTGCAAAGCTCAAAAAGATGATTGGTCTAAAACTGCATGCAGAACTATAGACATGTTCTACCTTCTTCGCTCAGCCACATATGATCCACGTTTGAGCCTCCGGCCCTAACTCAATATATTCAATGTATCCGGATAGTTCGAAAACGCCACACATGACGCACTTTGTCCATGTTGCACAAGCTAGCTGGACATGCAAGCCGCCCATGACGCCTACGCTTTCTGATAGTACTTGTATATTTCTACAGTTGGAAACAAGGAGACGTCTTTAATAAATAATTATTTTATTGAATCATTAAAACAAGTAAGAAAGTGCAGTGATAGTTGCAAACACTCCTCCAAAGACGATTCCTCCACTTGTCACCGAAGTTGCCTCTTCCGATGGATTTCCACCTTCCTTTCCTGGTAGAATTTCCGATTCCATCTCTCTAGGGCGATCCTGTCCTTCTTCCGGCATTTCCTGTCGGTTCTCCATATCAGTTCCATTTCGACGAGGACCTTCTTCCATGTGCTTTCCAGTAGTGGGGCGAGGATGAGGGACACCCGTAGTTCCCTCAGCAGCCGAAGTAGCAGCGACAAGCAGGAGCACGACGAATACCACCAGAGTTCTCATGATCGGTTGATGTGATCAAGTGATTCCAACTGAGCACTCTCTCTTCTTTTATGCTGAAAATAACCCGGTCAGCATGCTGAGGCAGTAAAACAGGGTGTCAGATAATCAGAACAACATTTTTTTTCTTTTTTTCAATCAGGAAGGCTGGACACTGGGAAAGAAGAGAAACAGGAGATTGTGAAATTCATTTAACATTATGGAAAAAATATGTCGTTAAATTTCAAAATATGATTTTATTTTTGTGATTTTTTAAGATATCGTAAAACCTGTAACAAAGTTTGAGCTCCGTTATCTCGGTTCATATGAGATATATATATATATTTATTTATTTATTTAAAAAAAATTACGGACCATCTTTTGGGAGATTCAAAAGATTCACGTGGCTCACAAAAATTTTTGAAATTTCAGTACTTTGATGTGAAAATTAAAACTTTTGAAATTCACTACTTGTTATATATCTAAATTGGTCAGCTAATGAAATATATTTGATATTTTTATAAACACATTATCAGTGACCAACTTTTTTGTCTTTGACAGGAACCGAGCAAAAATGGCTCAAAGTTAAAAGTTAGAGAGTCCCAGGTACTACGGTAGTTTATGATCAACAGTGTTTGAATGATAAGGATTTATTTTGAAAACAAAGAATTTAAGCTGAGACTTTGACAACACGCTTGCGGAAGACCTTGCGGTGTTTACGAACAGCAACTGAGCGAGCTGGGCATGAACAATAAGCAGCATCTCCTCCTGGAGATCCAGCGTTTCCTGGGGCTCCTGGTGTTCCTGGAGCACCGGCTTGTCCTGGCTGTCCTGGGGCTCCTGGGGCTCCTGCTGGTCCTGCTGCTCCTGCTCCACCAGATTCTCCTGGTTGTCCTGGTCCTCCAGCTGGTCCTTGTGGTCCTGTGGTCCAGAAGGTCCTGGAAGTCCATGGCTACGTTGTCCTCCACGTCTTGGGCTTCCTGGTGCTCCTGGTGCTCCTGCACGTCCTGGAGCTCCGGCATCTCCTGCTGGTCCTGGTCCACCTCCATAAGCGTCTTGTCCTGGGGCTCCAGCTGGTCCTGGGGCTTTTCGAGCTCCTGGAGCTCCGGCTGGTCCTGGCGCACCAGCTGGGCAAGTGATGCATGGTCCTGGTCCCGTAACAATTCCGATAGCAACTCCATTGGCTCCTGGTTTTCCAGCAATTCCTTGGTGTCCTGGTTCTTCTTGAGCGCCTGGTTGTCCAGGTGGTCCTGGTGGTCCGGCTGGGCATCCTTGAGATTGAGCTCCGCAGTTGAATTGGGCTTGTCTCTTATTGACTCCACGCTTGATTCTTCCGAAGACATCAGTTGGCTTGATCATTGAATTCCATGCTTGTTGTTCGTTGAACTGAAAAAAAAGTAAAATTAAAAATATGGAATGTATCCCAAACAAACCTTAAACCAAGTCATGGTATCCATAACCTCATCATAGAATGCGTTGATATCATTGAAGATGTATCCAACAGTGAACAGGAATGCAACAACTGCAACTCCACTGCCAACACTGGCGATTGTTACCAAAGTTTTGGCCATTTTGTACCGAATGGTGACTTTTTATTCATTTCAACAGAATTTTATACTCCCTTATTTTTTCTTCCGTCTTCTGTCCAAGTACATCCGATAAGTTTTGCATCCGTTTTACTACAAGGAAACGAAATGAGTAAATGATACGGTGTAATAGAAGAAAAGAATAAGAAGGTTCATTGACCTTCAAGATTAGAAGTATTATCAACAAAAAGGAGGATTCTGGCAACATCGTTCAACTTTTGCGTTTTTGCATTTTGATTACTTTATAGTTCAAACTTGTGACTCTAGTCTCTAAATCATTGTACTTTTTGGTAAACTGCTCGGCGCCAATCGGAGTATGACGTTTTGTTTAACACAACGGACTCCACCTCCCCTTTCAATGATCATAAACATGAATAAATATTCCTGAATAAGAGAAACAATTGGCAACATTCTCTTATCACCAACAACTGATAAAAACCTGTGCTTTCATTTTGTATGCAAAACTTCGATAAGGCGCGCAACTCTTATATTTAATCTGTGCTCCAAACGATCTCTACAGTCTCCAAAAATATGTTGCATGTAGACAAACCGGACAGTCTTCAGGCTGAAAAGATTCATATAACGGCTAGTGGATTGGAAGAATGGAGATGTTATACTTTTATCCTAAGGTGAGCATAATTCTGAGAACATCTGGGTGGCTAGGATACTTAAATCCTCAAAGTCAAGTCATAGGCTAGTACAAAATCGGAGCTGTGGAAGAGAAACGCCGGTGGCCGCCGAAGTTCCCACAACGACAAGTACAGTAACCTAAAAAATTGCGGGATATATTTTCTCGCTTTTCACTGATTTTCTGTGCTGTTATTTTTTCTCAAACAAGTCTGTAGATTATAAATGATTGATTGAAAAAATAATTGACTTAAAACGTACGAAAATCGAGAAAATAAACCCAGAAAACTAATGTTTAGGTTACGGTAGTTGTCGTTGTGGGACTTTCGGCCACTGCCACCGGCGTTTCTATTCCATAGCTCCGATTTTTGTACATATTGGGATCAGGATTTTCACTGAAAGCTCGAAGTGCCTGTTTCCCAAAAAGCTACCAAACGGAAAATATTCTGTTTATCACATGTTTTATTCTGTCTATGCATTAACTTTCTACCATAAAGCGGCAATTTCAGATTACATTATGACCGTGGGACATACGCTTCGTTTTGTGTCATTCAAGCTGATTCTTTGGGAAACATAGACTTTGCAAGAGATGCTCCGATTCGAGGAATGTATCATGGTATAAAAGTTGAGTCAGTTCAACGAATACATTTTTACTTCAGATGTTGACCCAATGGGTTTGTTCCTATCAATTGAACCAACGCAAAAAGTACGACATGGGCACTTTTTCAAGACATACGATCCAAATACTTTCTATTATACGCTACAGTAAGTGTTCTTTTCGTTTCATTTTAACTGTCAGTCACTCTAATTTTCAGACTTTTGAATGATTCAGAAGAAATATTGGATGAAATTCATTTGAAGAAACACTGGAAACATCCTCTTGTTCAACAAATAAATGTAGCTGAAAGTGGTTTATATGGGACCCTTTTCAAACCACCTGGAGATGGACCATTCCCGACTGTTGTCTTTATTCCTGGTTCAAATGGAATGTTAGAAAGTGGATACGCAGCTGTTCTAGCTTCTGAAGGATTTGCGACCTTTACATTTGTGTATTATGCATATAAGAAAGATTTGCCAAGATCTATTCCAGAAGTTGACATTGAATTTTTCGCAGTGAGATTGTTAAATGACACGTTGAGAAATATGCGAATGCTTTTTAGAAACCAATTGAATACGTCCAGAGCTTGCCGTACTGTTCTAAGAAAATAGGACTGGTTGGACAATCATTTGGAGGACTTACAGCTAATTTTCTATCCACCAAATATCATCAAGTGTCTGCAGTTGTCGCTTTGAACTGTTCAGCTGCATATTGTAGAGACATTGCTGTGATGAGAGAAAATGGGAAACCAATGGAAGTTCAGTTATTGGATGAAGGAATGTCAGATTTCATAAATGGAGTACTCCGACAGAAACCTGCATTTAATGATCTTTATAGCAAACTGACACCGACGACAAGCATTCCGTGGTGGAGGGCATCAAAAGATACGGTATATCGAATTGTGGTGAGCTCGGAAGATAGTTACAGTATTGATCAATAAGCTATACAAAAAAAGTATTTTCAGTTGATTTTCGGCCAATTTGACCGTTTTCAGGAGTCTGCAGCTCGGTTGTCAAGCTTCCGATTATTTTGAAAATTTTGAAAATGTAAAACAGACCCAGATTGAAAACTTTGCTTTCACAGAATTTTTTGAAAATCCCTAGTTTTTCATCTATTTGCCGATTTCTGAAAGACTCCTGTTTTTCAAGTTCTCAGTACAAAAATGGGATCCGCGTCACATCGATACCGTAGTAATGCCGGCTAATGGATAGATTTCCGACTACAAACACGATTCCAGGGTTTCCAAATATGATTTTTCTGATACAACATTTTCTGAAAATCGAAGAATTTTTATTCTTTTTAGAGCATCAAATTTAGGATTCTTGCAATTTTCAGAATGTGTTCTATCAGAAAAACATACTTGAAAACTCTAAGATTGCTTTTGTATTCTGAAATTCGTTTATTCGCCTGCATTACCACAGTTTCGAACCGGTTTCGAAATAACTGACATTAAGACTATCTCATTAGGACTAACTCTTGCGGGTTTTTTACCATTTTCTTTTCCCGGTTACCATCACTCCTTATTTCTTCAAATCCTTCGAATGAACGAAATATATGAAAACTGGTTTCAAAGTGACGCGGAGCCTATAAATGGGCCAATATAAAGGAGTGCCATTCAGAAATCGGCAAATATGTAGCTGAAAAACTAGGGATTTTCATGAAATTCTGCGAATGCAAAGTTTCTCATCTCCAAAGTTCCAAGTTTTCAACTCAAAAGTTTTCAAAGTGATAAGAAATTGACAAAATCCGAGCTCCAGACTCCTGAAAATGGTCAAAATGAACCAATAACAACAGAAAAACATGATTTTGTATATCTTATTGACCGGTACTGTATTTAATTGAAGATGTCCTCTATTTTCAGCAATGTTATGATGACATGTTAGTGGATGGAGTACCTTCCAGGGATAACATTTGCAAGAATCTGAAAGAAACTGGACATTCTGTGGAGGTAACCTAAACCACAAAAATCCAGAATAATTGTGATTTCAGTCCGAACTGGTGCCCGGTGGTCATTTTCTCTACTTCCCCTATTTTCCACATCACGGGATCATCTACAATGCTCAAATCAATTTGATGTGGGGATTCGGAGGGGAGTGTTATCAACATTCAAAGTCTCAGGAGACGACATGGGCGAAGAATGTGGAGTTCTTCAGAAAACATCTGGGAAGAGGAACAAAGATTCCCGATTGGAATAGGGAAACCAGAGTCAGTCTTCCCAATTCTGAATCAATTGCACAAAGTAAACTTTGAACCAAATGAACATTTTAAATAAAGAAGATTTACAGAAATACAGGTTATCCAGATATATACAGAATACATAAGGTGCATTGTTAGAACTAAATTGCTTACTATTAGGGAATTATTGGAACAGGAAGGTTCAAACAGAGCTGGGATTATATATTAGATTAGGTATAGTTAGAGGACAGAGAGGGGGGCAGATGGAAGAGATCATTTGTTATCCGATAATCTGGATTTGGCTGGAACTCAATTTTGCATGTCGAGAACCTCCAGAATGAGAGTGTTCCATTCGACGACGTCATCATCTGCCATTCTCATTTTTGCGTACTCCTTTGCCTTTTCGTACATAGCTTCGATTTTCGATGCGATCCAGCCACAGTCCGTACAGTGTTCTCTCTTTCCGTTACTGCTTTGATAATCTGGAAAAAAAACATTTGAAGTTTTTAAGAAACAAAAAATTTTAACTTACGTTGAATTCGTCCAAGGAAGTCCTCGATTTTCATGAGATCCATCTCATCATAGAATGTCATCTTGAAACGGCAAGAAGCTGTTGGTAAGAGAAGATTGGTTATGAAGGGAGCAGAAGACAACTACTTCTGATTTGTTTCGTCTATTGATTTTCGCTAAAGTATGCTCCTGGAAAGAATTTAAACAAGGGGTGCATCTCACACGGGTCTCACCACGGTTAATCTAGATCATTATGTAAGACTCATTCATTATAAGAGGAGGGATAATAGGTGGACACACATGTCATAATGGGATCTAAAGATATCTACCGTAAAAACAATTTATCAGTTTAAAACTTTCTGATGTCTTTCACAGGAACCGAGAAAATTTGGCTCAAACTTAAAAGTTATAGAGCTCAAACTTAAAAGTTATAGAACCCTTCTATTACAGATTTAAGGGGATTGGGGATCAACACGTTTTATCTAGGTTACAATTTAAGATTCAGGACTGTTCATTCACAAAAGTTTGTACGGAGACCGGATTCCAAGAAAATTTTTTTCCGTATTCTGCATTCCGAATTTTGGGAAAAATGGTTTTTTTTTCCAGATTACATTTTCCACATTCTGTTTTTTTTTATTTTTCCGGATTTAGAGAAAATTATTTATTCCGTTTCTGTAATTCCGGACATCTCTGGTAGACCCATGTCGTGATTGGTTCTACCAGATTTCTAGCAGGTGTCCTAGTTCCGGATTCCGGATTCCGATAAATAAAAATTGTCCTGGTTCCGTATACCAGGCTCCGTATTCCGGATTTCTAAAAATTAATTTCGTTGTGGGTTCCGGATTCCGGATTTTATGAAATTTTGTTTTTTTCGAATTCCGAATTCCAAGAAAATCATTTCATTCGGATTCCGTTTTTCTAAAAGCCCATTCTGGGCATCTCGGATTTCTAGGTCATTCGGAGTCATTTGTAGAAAATCTGAGATTCAAAAAAATAAGAGAAAACACAGTTTTCTAAAAACACTTCATTTCAATACAATAAAACATCATCTCTCTGAGCACACGAACTTGTTCAATCATCTAGTGAAGCAAATAGGCAGCTGGTCCTCCGTTCTCCCAATCATATGGAGCACTTTCGTTCGATCCAACAGCACCGTAGGCCTGACGCATCATCTGAAACAAAATCGAAATTAGATTTAAAAAAGTATTAAAGTTAACAGACTCCGTAGATTGCTTGGTAGTTTGGTGCATCATAATATTTCATCTGATCCACCATACGCATAATATCCTGGAATTGATGTGGACATGGTGGCGGGAACAATGTAGCAAGATTGTTGCGGATTCCTTGTTTCGCCTGTCCAACTTGATTCATGTCATTGATGTGTTGCCAGGGGAGAGCTCCGTAGGACAATTCAACCTGCATGTACATCCAGGTTTCCAAGTCATCCTTGCTGAAAGTTTCAGTTTTTTTCAGAAGCAAACAACTATTCACTACCGGCAGAGCTCTCTTTGCAAGTGACAACTGATTGGGGCGTACTTGACAGTACCACGGAATCCAGCAGCTTGACGTGGCTTTCTGATGGTTCCCTGAAATCAAAGTTTCAAACAATTAGACAGCATCACAACTCACATCGTTTCCAGTGAATTTTCTGCACATCCCAAAATCGAGAATGTACACTTTGCGGATTTCGTTCAACTCTGGACGGCCAATCGTGTAGTTGCCAGGTTTCACATCACGATGAAGATATCCAATGTTGTGAAGATCTTCCAAAGCTTCCAGCGATTGGATTCCAATTCCGATCGAACAACCCATTGTCATGTGTCCACCGGGACCCGCCTTGTTCAAGTCTTGCAGCGACTTTCCGACAAGAGTCATGACGACATAGTTGAAGTTTCCAAAGCGTCCCTTGTCCTCAATCTTGCAGAAATGACGATTTCCACGTTTCGACAGCTCGTTGAGCACCGACACTTCCAGTTTGAGCACCTGAATTTGCTCATTGCATCCTTCAACTTTCATAGCATATTTTCCGGTCGCATCGAAGACACGATAGACGGCACCGAACCCTCCTTCTCCCAATTTCTTTTCAATGCTCCATCTCTCGACCTGCAATCCAGGAAATGAGCTCTAAACTTCTTCATCCGAATTTCCATACCTGTTGTCCAGGGTTAAGCTGAATAAGCTCTTGGGCCATTTCGAACGTTCGTGCAGTGCCGATTGGTTTTTCTAAGCAATTCCGAACTTACAAGGATTGAAACGCCTTTATGATTTTGGTAATTAGTTGGAAAATTGGGCGGAGAATAGATCTAGAACATGATAAACGGAAAAAAAATATGCAGGAGGCCACGTTTTCAGGATCCACGGACCAAAATCAATTACGCTTCGTGAACGGGAACGCCATCCATTAAGGACGCCCATGACAATCAGTTCACTTCCTATACTGTATTGGACTTGTTTGTTGTTATGTTTGACATAATATAAAAAAGAGAACTTTATTTGACACCGCATACAAAAATGAGCGGGAGGGAGAAAAAACACGTAAAAATGCTCTACCAATATTTCTACAACGAATAAATAAATAGGGGCAAAAATGTGGGTGATTCTGAAACTACATTCTAAACTGAGAAACAAAAAAGAAAGGGGACGTTCATCTTATAAGGCACAAAGGATACAAATACACATTGTTTATGAGAACATTAAGAGAAACAGTGAAAGGGGAAAAACCATCAGTAAAATATTTTAATTGTAGAATTTCTTTCCACTTTTGGCATGATCCTTGAGAAGTTGGCATGGGGTGAACTGAGCAGACTCATAAGCTCCAGCGAACTTTTCCATAGAAGCAACCAACTTATCAGCTCCGTAGAGATCGACGAAGCGGAATGGACCTCCCCAGAATGGTGGGAATCCAATACCGAATACTGAAGCAATGTCTCCATCAGATGGCGAAGCGAGTACTCCTTCTTCAAGACACAAGAGGGCTTCGTTGACGAATCGGGAGACAAGACGAAGTTGGCGATCTTCTGGTGATGACCTGAAAATAGATTTAATAACGCATGTGCTCTCAAGTTCAAAAACTCACACTGTGGCATTCGGCGTCAACTTGTACTTCTGAAGCAACTTCGTAGCTTCCTCGTTCACCTTCTTGCTTCCCTTCTTTCCATCGCCATAAACGAAGATTCCCTTTCCGGTTTTGCGTCCCTTATGACCAGCATTCACCAGCTCAGACAACAAATCAGCAGATCCTCCACGAACACGTGGGCCCAGAGCCTTTCCGAGGAATTGAGCGACGTGCTCAGCAACATCAAGTCCGACCTCATCGGCCAAGGTGGCTGCTCCAACTGGGAATCCGAATTTAGTGGTAAGTTTGTCGAGTTCAGCTGGATCGACACCTTCTTGTAGGAGTCGAACAACTTCAGACATCATTGGTCCGAGACAACGAACAACGAAGAATCCGGGGCAATCCTTGACGACAACGACAAGTTTTCCTTGCTTAAGACCAAGTTGAGCAGCTGTTGCAAGGGTTTCCTTCGAAGTTCCTTCGTGGGTAATGATTTCCAACAATTGCATCTTTTCCACTGGTGAGAAATAATGCATTCCAATTACCTACAAAAAAGTCTTATAAATTTCGTAATCAAATTCGTAAGATGCACCTTATCTGGTCTCGATGAAGCAGCAGCAATATCCTTAATTGGGAGAGCAGAAGTATTTGAAGCGATGATTGTGTTTGGTCCAACCACGCTCTCGATCTGCTTGATAACCTTGTGCTTGAGTTGAAGATCCTCGAATACGGCTTCGATGACAAGATCAGCGTTCTTCATTGCAGCATAATCGACAGTCGGGACAAGGTGATTGTAGATGCGTTCTTTCTCCAACTTGTTGATCTTTCTTCTTTTGACTTGTCCATTCAAATGTGTAGCAATTTGATTTTGTCCTCGTTCAACTCCTGCTGGATTAGCATCAAGAAGCACGGTACGGACACCTTTGTCAATAGTGACGTTAGCGATACCAGCACCCATAAGTCCGGCTCCAACAACAGCGACCTCATTCACTGGCAGACCTTGGCCATACTTGTTCTTTTTGGCATCTGTTGATCCGTCGAAAAGTCCGATCAACGCTTTGGATTGGAAGGTTTGAGAAAGTTCTCCGAAAGCCTGAATCAATATAAAATTATTTTCTGTCACCCCGGGAAGAAATTTAGCTCACCTTTGCTTCAGCTTCATATCCCTTTCTTGGATCTACATAGGCAGTGCGAACGACATCGAGAATCTTGAGTGGGGCTGGATAGTTTCCAGCGGTCAATTTCATCAGTTTATCCTTAGCCATTTTGAGAACAACATTATCGAGGAACAATGAGTTGGTCATTACAGCTTGGGTGGCCTTATGGATGAATCCTTTGTCTCTGTTAACCTTTAGCTTTCCCTCGGCAAGGTCTTTCGCCGTTTTTACAGCCACTTCTTCCAAATACTTGTGCGTGTTTTCAGCAGCAGGTCCAAGTCCATCTCCAAGTGGTTGGATTACATGATCGACGATTCCGATTTTCTTAGCCTTATCAGCTTTGATTTTCTTTCCAGTTAAAGTCAGGTCGAGCACGTTTTGAACAGTAGTAAGTTTTGGAAGTCTCTGAGTTCCTCCGGCTCCTGGCAACAGACCAAGCATCACTTCTGGAACTGCCAATTGTGTCTTCTTATCGTTAACAGCAATACGGTAGTGGCAAGCGAGAGCCAACTCGAGTCCTCCACCCATACAACTTCCCATGATAGCTGCGACTACTGGCTTCTGGCTCTTCTCGATCCTGAAGAACTGTTCTTGACCATCGCGGGAGAGAGCTTCGATTCCAGCAGCACTCTTCTCAGCCTTCAGCATCTGAATATCAGCTCCAGCAACAAAACTGTTTGGCTTTCCAGACATGACAACAATCGATTTGACGCTTTCATCGGCTTGAAGCTGAAAAATTCGAGAATTATGTTATGAAGAACTTATTCATTTAAAAAAACTTACTTTGTCAAAAGTTGCCTTCATATCGGCAGATAGAGCTTTGTTGAGCACATTCTCTTTCGTGTTCGGCAAATCAATCTTCACAACGGCCACTTCTCCTTGTTTTTCAACGCGAAGAGTACTCTGCATAGCTGGTGATGACTGCGAGAACAGACGGAATGTAACGTGCGTGCGAAGCGTCGACGACGACTGATGGACAAGACGCGACAACATTTCCTATAAAACGAAAGAAAATGACCCTTTTTTATTACCTAGGTGGGGTTCGAGAAAGCAGTTGGTTTCTCTGATAAAGATGAGGTATTTTTTGTTGCACGTACTTTTTATCACTTCTTCTGCTGGATATCGAGAAGTGATTGGGGAAGTGCTTCGAGGCGAACCTGAAGAGAACAACTATTTTTTTGTACATACATTTTTTGATGTCAGCTGTGAAATGTGAGCCACGCAAGCGGAATTGAGGTTAACAAAAGTTTTTCACGGAACGTTGAAAAAAATAATTTGTAATTAGGGTCAACTTCTTTGATAGGCTCTGACCATAATTATGTCTGTTAAAAATGGTGATATCATATCGATATATTTTTCTCATCACAGTTCGAGTTACTAAATTGCTCATTGATGAGTTCTTTCCTAAAAGTATTTTTAAAAGTTAATAAATTTTATGTTGATTCTGATTGTAAAAACTACTACAAAACAAAAATAAAGGAACAGCCGAAGTGATACGGCGATGAAAGGAAGAGAAAAAGAGTAAACAAAGAAGAAAAGTGTAGCGAAAAACGACGAGAGATAGACATGGGCGGGCTGGAAGGTGGCCCAAGTTACTTGGCTTTTTGATAAAGAGGAACATTATTTATCTAGAACTAAAAGAACGGGAGAACAAACTGATCATGAGAACAAACGTAAGTATAAGGTGCCAACAACTAACATGGTAGATCAATGACTGAATTTTGAAATTTGTAATTTTTGAACTACGGTTATTGGACCAACATTTAGCTTTTTTAAACAAACTTCTGAGAGGTTTGAAATGTTCATCCTTGTTTAAATTTCACTGCCATCATCTTTAATGAAAGAAAGGTAAAAGTACATCTAATCAAAAAAAGAAACTACTGATAAAAAATTAAACGAATTGGGGAAGAGAGAACAAAAGCAGTCAAAGAAATCATGGATAGTGAAAGAAAAGGAGACAGAGGTCAGAAAAGGGAGTCGACTACAAGATAAGAAAGAACCTCTTTGGCTACAGACAAGATGATGTAGAGGACAGAGGGGGCAAAGTGCAAAGTACGCGCCTGTCTTGAGAGAATGAGTTAACTGGGTTAGAAGAGAAATATCCATTTTACGTTCCCTTGACGGCACGAATAATAAAACAAAGCAACAAAAATGCAAAACGTTTATCTAAAAAACCAACAGAACAAAAACCTAGAGAAAATTTTTAATGTACAAAAAAGGTCACTGATTTAAGAAATTCGAAGAGAACTAGGCCGCAAGGAACTGTCCAACACGCCGGTTTCTGTTGGCATACTGCTCGTTGAGCTTCTCCTTCAATTCCTCTTGTTGCTTTGTCATCTTCGCTAATTCCACAACTTCTTCTGAAGCGGCGAACATCTGCGGGAACGAAAACGCAAAGTCTTTCGACATAAAGACATATGCAATCTTCTTATCTTCCTCCTTCCACATTGCTTTTTTGTATTGATGATCCAGTTTCGTGTTCCATGTAATGTCTCCCATTTGAACTTCTGTTCGCACATCTCGTACTGGTAGATCGTAGATTTTTGTCAAGTACTCTCGAATATCATGACGAGACATCCGGGGATCGACCTGAACAAGGAAGCTTAAACAGGAATCAAAAACTGAAGGAAGAAAAACGCCTACTTCAAATTTGACACAATTTCTAGGCAATTTATTTCTGCCAACACTTGGTGATTCGATGACAGCCATCCAGAAATCCGGGAGGAAAACACGTCGCTGTGGATTTCCAGGTTGCCAAAGACGTGCTAGCCTGCTTGTCATTCTACAACAACTAGAACAATGAAGTGTGTTTTGCTAGATGATTACAGTAAGGAAAGGAATCAAACCTCATAAATTAGGCACGAAACAGTGTCAAAATTAAACAAGCATTTATTATAAATATTGGCTCTACAACAAGGAAAGAATGAAAAAACCCAACAATGCAAAAAGGAAAAAAGACGTCTTAAAATATACTCGATTACTTGTCAAGCCGGCAAATCGGTGTATTGTAAACGACATCCAAATCGATTTTGCTTCCGAATAGATCACGAATGTTGTTGATTCCGTACTTGATCATTGTTGGACGCTCCAAGGATAGACCATATCCAGCGACGTTGACATCTGCTGGCAGTCCCATCGGAAGAAGCATTTCAGGGCGGAACATTCCAGAGTTTCCAATCTAAAGATTAAATTATTAATTATAACGAAAAGTTACTCGATTTCTCACCTCAACCCATTTCGCAAGACCTTGATGGTATGCAAAAATCTCCATGCTCGGTTCAGTGTATGGGTTATAAGTTGGCTTGAAACGAAGATTGGTGATTCCTAGCTTCTTGAAAAACTCTGTGAAGACACCAATGAGATGGGCCAGACTGAGATTCTTCTCAGCAATCACGCCTTCGACTTGATGGAACTCAGCCAAATGTGTTGCATCTAGTGTCTCGTTACGGAAGACACGATCAATGGAGAACAGTTTCGATGGGCGGAATCCCTTAAAAATGAAAATCAAACATTGTATAGCTGTTTAGTATGTGAAAAATGTATTGTACGTAGACAAGAGACATTCGGAACGTAGTCTGAAATCACCTCTACGTACAAGAATCTATTTTCCCTGGTCGGAAACCGTCATAACTATTCAAGTTGATCCGGGGCAAAGACCGGGCTGATAGTGAGACGCGAACCAGCAACCCCGCGCTTCCAAACGCGAGTGTTCCCAGCTGCGCCACGCGCGCATCAAGAACACGGACAACCAACTGCGTTAAAAAGAGGAGAAGAGAAAGAGGGGAAGAGAAACGCGTTGGGCATGCCGGTTGCATCTATTTGAAAAGTTTTTTTTCTCGCTTACCTCTTGCGCGAGTTGATACAGTTGACGGGCTGAGACCGCTGTGGTGTGAGTACGAAGAACATTTTTCTGGGCTTCTTCGATTTTCCAGTCATAGTTGTACCCAGCTGATCCATACCCTCCCTGCGAATGCACAGTTTTCACACGTTCGAGGTAGTCTTCAGGGAATTTAGTGCTGAGAGCTGGATCTGTAAAAAATCTCCTCAATTGCACAACTTTTAATATTCAACTAACCAGACACAAAGAAGGTATCGTGAGCATCTCTAGCTGGATGTTGTTGCGGCTGGAAAAGTGCATCGAAATTCCAGAATGAAGACTCGACGTATCGGTTTGTAGCCATTTCAGAGAAGCCCATTGAGAAGAAAATTTGACGGAACTCCGATCGGACTTTCATCAATGGATGGAGATGTCCCGAAGATGGAACAACTCCCAGTGATTCGAAATTGTACTTCTTGAATTGCTTGTCTTTCCATGATCCTCTGAAATTCTGATATTGTTTAAATACACAGAACGAAGCTCCTACGATGCGATCATTTCCGGAGTTAAATCTGCTTCTTGTTTCGCAAGATTTGTGGTGAACGATTCGCCTTTTGAAACCAGGAGCCCTTTGATATTGCTGGAAATTAGGAATTAATAGAGCGGCGAGTCGTTAAAAAACCAACACTTCACTGATGAGCTTTCTCTTCTTCAGCTCTTTTTTCTGATTCTCATCCACATCCTCTCCGAGTCTCAACGATTCCAAGAATTTCCTGGTCGAATCGACGACGTCGGTACTTTTCCGTACAACAAGTCCTTTGTCCACAGATACCCATTTGGCCTGCATTGCTTTTGCCATTCCAATTTTTCCAAATGGTTGTTTCTGAAGTAATACGAATTTTCATATTTTGAGATTTAAATAAGTTTACCATGATATCGGCTTGAGCTGCTCCTTCAGTTCCAACAAACTGGAAAACTAGAAACTCGGGTGATCCCTCGTTTGCAAATTGAACTCCTTCGTTTGTCAGCTCTAGGCGCTTCTCAGTGACATCTTTGGTGGCAAGAACTCCTTCATTAGCCAGCAAGCTTTTGATTGCACCAATCAACTTCTGATGATCGACTTTCCATTGCTGAGCGAGTTCGATTGAGTTGAACTCAGTTGAACTTGCGAGGAGATCCAAAATTTGCTGTGGAAAATTATCCGTTGAGCGAGAAACAGTGTCCGCAGTCATTCTGAAACCGATATTTATTTTCAGAGGTAAATACATTTATGAAGTGCAATATGAAGTGATGAAACGCTTGACGTGAAAATGAGTTAGAATATATCTAAGAACTCTTACTCGTAAGAAGACAAATGATGAAACCAGCGCTCCAAGTGCTCTCTCCCTTTTAAATCTTTCTCTTTGACTGCGGATCTTGTTGAGAAATCGACCGAAGACGGTTGCGCGAATCTTTAAATGCTTCTGTTTCAATTCTTGAAATTTTATAAGCTCACAAAACACAAAACACAAAACTCAATATTTAGTTCAAACACTCATGCTAAAGTTCAAAAAAATCACCCTTCTATGTATGGCTGATCTTGAAGAATTTGATTGAGACGATCCAGATCATTCATCCGATGTTAACTGAATACTGTTTTTTATGAGTTAAATTAACGTGAAAGGAGGAAAAAATGAATGTTCAACATTTGAGTCAGCTGTAGAATAGCTATCATGTGGATGTTAACTGTTGTTGCAATTTCTCAGATAGGGTTTTCTTTTCAGTGGCGAGAATATGTAATTCTTATGGGTCGAGACCCGTTTTTTCAAATATAATTCTACTAGAAATCTTTCGATTGCTATCGTGTCCAGGAGCACATCGACACAATTGCCACCGGAGGTGTGGTTTTCGAACGCGAAAAGTGATGTCATATACAGTGTATTAACAGAACAAACTGGGAAACTAATTTTCTATGCTCTCCACTACACAGCAGGAGAGTGTTTAAGAAACGATTTGTAACTAAAATATATTTTCTTATTCCAATTGTTATTATTCAAGGACTCCAGCGGATTGTTCATTCAAGACAATATAAAGTCTTCCTGTTGTCGGGAACCACTGTGCAACAATATTAACTACTTTAGATTATTGGTACGAAGGGGAGTTATGGGGTATTCCCGAGACTCCACCGATTCCGAGGAAGGGGTTGTCTCCGAGGAACCGATTCCGAGGAAATCGGGGCGGAGTTTACTTTGCAACTGCGGCACTGCAAAAATTGAAACTCCGCCCCGATTTCCTCGGAATCGGTTCCTCGGAGACAACCCCTTCCTCGGAATCGGTGGAGTGTCGTATTCCCTTGACCATTGATTTAGATAAGTTTTTCAGAAAAACAAAAAAGGGAATGAGAATAACAATCTCGACCAGCAGTTGATTTCTGACGCAGTTTTTCTCATATTCTGTGTCATTCTAAGCATGATTATCATTATTGCCGAACTACTCTATCGAAAGGTTGTATTTTCTAAACTTTTCTTTCGGGAAAAAACTAAAGCTTATGAAAATTTCAGCCGATGATTGGACGAATCGAAAAGAAGTCTTATAAAAAGAGAAACATCGCCGAGCTGAATAAATTAACTAATTTGAGTAAATAAACTGAAAAAAAAACTCAATCGTGTTGAAATAAAATAATAGTCTCGTAAATCGACACAAGCCAGGCTCTTCCGTGCAGGGTCTCGAGCGCGTTGACTCGCATGCGCCTTTAAACGCAATGTACGCGAAAAACGCTATCCAGCGCTGATGAATCGATCTGTGAATTTTTCTGTAAATTCTGTATTCCTTTGTTGTCTTTCTCTGTTTAAATTTATAAATAAATGATCTGAATGTTTCGTTCTTGCTGAGAATCTTGTCAAAACATTACATTTTATAGAAAAACTCAAGTTCTTCGAAAAATGCTACCGTTTGTGTTCAACGCAGATGACGACGGAAAGAGGGTCCAAAACGAGGAGGTATTTAAAGGGTTGATAGAAACGTTGTTGGAAAACTTCCAATGTGTAAAATTAGGTTTTCTGAAAGACGAGAACAGTATTACAGGCTAACTATGATCCTAACGCCCAGCGACAACAGATGGAGGATTATTACAAGCAATACGAACAACAGAGGGTTTGTAGCTAGAAAATCATCGATATGTAATTTCCAATCTATCTATAAAATTCAAAATCAGGTTGTCAATGCGTATCAAAGCTCTTCCGGGAGACCAGACCTGGCTGCTATGCAAGCCCGTCTAGCAGAAACTGAGCAGGCGATTCAGCGGCTGAATCAGGAGAAAGAGTAAGGATATTGGGAAATATGACTTTATTGTTTTTCGCGGTTTCTGTATCAAAATAAGAACTCGGCTCTGGCTTCTCATGATTTCTCGAATCATTGCTTCAACTTTGAAAAATCTAGGCAGAACATGTACCAACTTGCACCACCAGCCATTCAACATCAAGTGCTTCCTGATTTCAATAGACCTCCACCTGGATTTCCACATTTGGCTCTCCCACCACAATCGGGAGAAAACCAGGGATCATCTCGGTCAAGTAACGATAAAAAACGGTCTCGTTCGCCATCTTGGGCTCGGGAAGCTCGCCGGTCTCGTTCTCGGAGTCGTGAACGTCGTGGTGGACGTAGTAGGAGTCGATCTGGATCGCGCCGTAAGAATAGTCGAGATCGAAGGGACGACCGCAGCAGTCGCCGAAGAAGAGGTCCTATTATGTATCAACTGAGCTGAACTGGCTGAATTTATTCTTCGAAAGTTCTGGAGATTAATTCTCGATGAGATTGTAGATCGAAGTCACTCGCGTAGCCGTTCTCCACCGTCTTCGGCCAATGGTTCGCATTATCGTTCATCGTCCCATCGTCATTCCAGAAGGCGAAGATCCAGAAGCTCCAGTAGAGATAGGGTATGTGATCCAAAAAAAAAAGTGAAAACGAACATCCGCGAATAAAAACTGTATTTCTTGAAATCCCATGAAAGATATAGAAACTGTATTGTTTTTTTAAGCTAGCCGATTAGTTTTGTCGACTTGGCAAGTTTTGTTAGATATACTGATATTAAATTTCCGAATTTCAGATTGGTGCTGATGGTTCCTTCTCTCAAAAGGTTTCCAATGGGTTTTCATATAAGAATCTTTCAAAAAAAAGTTGTGGTCACAACTGAAAATATACTTTTACAGGACTGGAACTCACGGCGCAGTAACACTTCGAACAACGACCGGTATTCGGAATGGAATCCTGGGAATCCATCGAACAAACTTGCAATCATGAATATGCCTAATGACGTTGATAATACAAAAGTAATTGTATTCCCGAAAAACTAGGCATATGAAAAACTGAGTTTCAGATTACACTATCACTTGGGAAATGCGGATATCTACCTCAAGATGTACGCACCATGACGAAATTTGATAAAAACTCCAAACAAATTCGCACTTTTGCATTTGTTGAGTTTTCGAATCTAGAAACGGCAGAACAGTGGATGGCTGATTATCAGGTTTGTGCCTGCTTATTGTCTATATTTCTATTTTCACCATTTAAGGGTTGGTTAACACTGGACGATGGCAGAACTTTGGCTGTAGAATACGCGAAAGGCGATCCAGCCGCTGGTGGTGGAAACAAAGGTGATGATTGGATTTGTGCACATGTATGCTAAAGTTTTCAGACATCCTTCCTATAATTTTTTTTTCAGTGTTCTATGAACAATTTTGTGAAACGTCAGACATGTTTCAAATGTGAAATTTCAAAAGAACAGTCAATGGAACTCGAGAAACTTGGTGCTCATATGGTTGGAATGGCTCCCTGCGATAGTTCGTCACACAGAGTATTTTTGAAATAACTTCAATGTTTACAGCTCTTCTTATACGAGGACTACCCGATGGAATCACAAATAGCCTGATCTTTGATAGTCTTGGAGCATTAGTCTGCCTCAGCTCCATTAGCATGATCAAGTTGTCCGATTCGAAACGATTTGCCTATCTTCAAATGAAAAGCACGGAGGAGGCAAAGATGCTGCTAAATCTGACATACAAGTCACCAATTCGGATCAAAGAAAAAGATGGTAACAAGCAGAATAGAAATGTTTCGTCAATCACGAATTTTCAGTTCAAGTTTCTTGGTGCCGGGATTCGATGTCAAAGCTAATTCAACAACAAATGACGATGTTGACAGCAGGACCCGGGAAGAATGCTGTATACAATGGGGTTGCTCAAGGAAATAGTATGAACTCAATCACAAATCAAAATCTTATTCTCTCTGTTTTCAGTGACAGGCGCTGAAATCGCAGCAGCTGCCCTTTCGAAAGCCCATGCAGTACGACAGGCTAGTCATCAAGTTGGACAGATTGTATTCTATTTTCATTTAAATCGAGTAATTTTATAATTCTTACAGATGACTGGATTTCCTGCAACTGGTGCTGTAGTGATCCCTCCGAACTTCAATGTTCCTCCGCCGAATATGGCACATCCACCTCCTGTACAGCCGTCACAGCCTGAACATCAGAATGGGGTCATTGGAACAGTGCAAACTCCTAAAGGATCGATGCCCAAATATTGTGAGATCTATAAAAACCTTCTGATAGTTTATTAAAAGTTTCAGTGCCTCCGAATCCGTTGACTTTCGTTCATGATCCGAACGTTGGGTACTACGTGGATCCAGTAACTAAGTTCTGTTACGACTCTTCGACTGGATACTATTTCAACAATGCAACTGGCCAATGGTGCACATGGGATCTCACCCTCCAAACGTACTTCCCTGTAGAAACTGCACCAGAAGCAGACTCAACAAAACCACAAGAAGATCCTGCTAAACCTGTAGAGGAAGAAGCTCCTAAAACGGCACAGGATCTCGCAAAAGATATGGCGAAATGGGCGAAGAAACAGGAGAAGGATAAGAAGAAAGTTCAGATTTCTCTTAAAGGAAAAGAATCAAAAGGACTAGAGATCAAAAACGTTTTTGCGCAAGGTAGGAAAGAAAGATTCTATTATAAGTTCGAATAGTTCTATTTCAGAGAAGCGTCGTAAGGTTGAGCAACCATCAGCCTTTAACGACGACTTTGAGGAAGAAGAAGAAGAAGAGGTTCAGAGTCGTAAATCAGAGGAAGCACCATCGTCTTCTTCGTCCAACACTCCATACGCTTTACGAAAGCCAAATCTTCAAGATGTTCGAGACGCAATGGAAAGAGCCCTCTATGATGAAGCGAAGAAGACGTGTCTGCTGTGTAAACGAGCTTTCTCTGATGTGGAAGTTCTCAGAAAGCATGTTGAAAAAAGTGATCTACATCGAGTAAGTTGTCATCAGTTGTTTTTTGGTTCCCCAATATACGGTGTACCTTTCAGGTTAATCTTGAAGCAAAACGGGCAGAATGGGGACGTGAAACTGCTGCAAAGTTGGAACAGGAGGAAGGTGCTCCTGCACTGGATCTACCGAAAATTGTGTATCGGGACAGAGCAAAAGAAAGACGTCGTCAATTCGGAGTGGATTCTACTGGATATGCGTTCGATGTGATGGGTGGTCAGCCTGGATCTTCAACCGGGAAAAATGAAGAAGCTATTCGTCGAGAAAGTGAAGAGGCCTCAAAGCGTCCTCTTGATGATACTAACATAGGAAATCGCTTGTTGAAAAGTATGGGATGGAAAGAAGGACAAGGGGTTGGAAAGCATGGGCAAGGTTTGTATAATTTAGATATTACAGTCAATATTTTTTTCTAGGAATAGTCAATCCGATACAAGCAGAAAGATTTGTTCAAGGAGCTGGACTGGGCGCTGCCGGGTCCAAAATGAAACATGGTGCCGAAGCTAGCCATAAAGAAAAAACGAGACAAGCTCTTTATAGCCGATATCACGATGCCTGATAACCTCCAACTTGGGATCCCAAGCCTTAATATTTAATTGATTACTGTTTATACCGTGAAGCTACCGTGAAGCATTTGTTTTCCGTTACTGCTCGTGAATAAACAATAATTTAATTTCGTAGCCTTAACTTTCTTCCAGGCTTCGATGAGGTTCAGCGAATTCCGAATAAAAGATTTTCCCGGGAAAAGTGGACGAAGCCTAAATTGCGAGCTGCATACGGTTCGCCGGAGTTTTTCTCATTGCCAATATGCAAATGTGAGCTTTTCTCGGAACCCGTGGTTCCACCGACTGGATTCCAATTTTTACACCAATCCCTCTAGTCTCGACAGCAAATTTTCTATACGCGGAAGTTCGATAACACTTTCAAGAAACAAGTAAGCGGGACGGAAGAATTCGGTCCAGGAAACGACAACTATGAACGTTCTGTGTTCTGTTTAGCTTCTTTTATATAATGTAAATGTTCAACAGATTGGTAGAAATTATTTTATTATCCACCTCAACAATAACAATCAAACAGAGAAAATATTTACTTTCCCTTGTTCTTTCCTTGGTCCTCAACGACGACGTTCGGGAGGTTGAATCCCTGAAATAACGAGGATTTGATATACATTTTTTCAGTTCGGTAACGCCTCGACATACCGAACTCGAAAACTCTTTCCAGAGCTTCGGAAACTTTGAAGAAAGCGGAATTCGCTTTCACGAACTCAGACGCTTACAAAGATCCTTCAAAAATTTAAGATAACTCACAGCGGCCTTGAGCATGTCATTGGTGTCAGAGTCGACCTTGATGGAGACAAGTTGGGATGGATCGACAGTAGAGATTTCTGGCATGTAGTTATCTCTGCGCTCACGCTCCTCCTCTTGAAGCTTGATGGAGATACCTCTGACTGGTCCTCTCTCGATACGTCTCATCAAATGGGTGATGTATCTGTAAAATTATAAAAATAGAAATACTTTACACCAAGATTAGATCCAGAGGTTTTTCAGAAAATAGTCTATAAAAATAGGAGCATACCCGGCGATCTTGTTTCTGAGTGGCTTGCTTCCGATGATGGCAACCTCGTCGCAAACGCGCTTGTTGTTGTGGAAGTCATTGGTCATGCGAGTGTAGTACTTCTCGATGAGGACACGGGAAGCCTTCTTGACGGTCTTGGTACGAACGCGAGACATGTTTAACCGAAGTTTCTGAAAAATTGAAATTGAGGAAAAATTCACAGAAATCAAAACGCAAAACGGGGAGCTGAACGGCTTCACTAAAAATATAAGTTTGGATTATTGAAAAATGTTGATTTTCCTCATAACAATAACATTGAGAAAAGCTGAAATCGTGTGAAAATTCTTTGGGAGAAGTAAAAAAAGACGGCAAAACGAGAGATGAGTACGGTAACACTTGTTTCGTGTGTGTCGCTGTCCACTCGAGACCTACTGCCGGAAAAAGCGTGCGCCTTGAAAAAAGGGTGGGAGAAAAGAACCGAAAAAAACCTAGAAATCAAGAAAATCTTGATGATTTGCGATAAAAATTTAAAATTATTGATGAATTAAATAATCACTGATTGGAATATGCTGCAATATACAGAACGCAATACAAGCGCCAATAGTCAGAATAATTGGCTTCTGAAACAAGAGATGCAAGATAATTTTACATTTTTATTTCAAACGAGAACATTCAGCATTGATGATTTAAATACACCATCTATGAAAAACAAAGGGCGCTACCTTAGTTGGGGGGGGGGCAGCCAAATTTTTTGAATTTAGCGCCAAAATGCGGGTGTCCCAGAGGAAGGGAAACAAGGGGTTTTGCCTAAGCCTATTATCTTCCTTATTAATAAAACGCTAGAGGCGTCTGTCCGTCCTCGTGTCCGTCTTTTGAAGAAATTGAAAAATACATATATATTTATGTGACCCTTTTATTTAGAAAAAGTGAGAAACGAAGCGACGAACATTTGAAAAAAATAGATTGAATCGCGTCGAAGGTTTTTTCTGAATTTTTGGCTGAATTTTTTTCAAAATGTTTTGTTTTTGTTTTAAATAACATGCTTAGGCAAAAACCCCTTGTTTCCCTTCCTTCGGGACACCCGCATTTTGGCTCCAAATTCAAAAAAATTTGGGTGCCCCCCCAACTAAGGTAGTGCCAAACAAAAAAAAAGATTATTCAAATTTTATTCTCCTTCTGTTTCATATAGACTTCTTATTTCGTTTTGCTTTTTCTGAATCAAACTCATAATAATCATATGCAATTTTCTTATCCGGAGCAGGATCAACCATTTTCTGCATCTCGAAAGATCGATTCGGGCAAGGACAATATGATGCATCGAGACCTGGTTCTCCCTGTGTTCCAATCTGAAAATTGTAACTTTGAAAAGCTATCCAGAACGATGTATTTCTACCCTTCCGATCATTCCTTGGTATCCATTTGGTCCATTTTTACCAGGTTTTCCTCTGATGCCAATAGAACCAGGTGGTGCTGAATGAATCGGTTATAAACACATCATATCCCAACTATCACCTGTAACTATCCGACCAGGCATTCCAGGTTGCCCTGTTAGACCAGGAGGACCGATTGGCCCTTTCGGCCCTTTAGTGTTCATCATTTTCATGACAATAAGACCGGGCTCTCCTGTTATCCCATCATCACCCTGCTCTCCTGGAGAACCATTTCTACCAGCATCACCCACTAATCCCATCATTCCAGATTCCCCATTTTCTCCAGGTAATCCCACTAGTCCAGGTGGTCCTCGAATTCCTTCCGATCCCTCCATTCCTGGTTCACCTGGTGGACCAACTGGACACAGAATACAGTTTTGAGTTAACAATTTCATATAATTAAAATCTTTGCCATGTAGACCATCTATCCCAGGCTCTCCATCCATACCTGGTCTTCCTGGTAAGCCAGGAGGACCTGAAGGGCATTCAGGAGGTTTTATAGATGGATGAGCTGCATAAGGGGATGGAAATGGTGCGAGATACTCCATTTCACTATGTCGTCGGAACTTTTTTGGACTTTTCCTGAAAAATGATATAGAGGTTGGAAAGGAAATGAATAAAAATACCGTTTTTCTCGGGAGCTCATAGAAATCATCAGTGTTTGCATGTCGTTCCATGTTTCTCTTTCATATTCCTGAACAAAGAAAACTATTATTCTGGTATGAAAACTCGGAGCTGCAGAAGAGAAACGCCGGTGGCCGGAGGTCCCACAACGAAAACTACCGTAACCGAAAAATGTTTATTTTCTTCTACCAGCTTGTTTGTCGCGCCTCCGGCGCTTCGGCTGAGAACGCATTAAAATCGAAAACGAAAAACTCTTAAAATAAAAGTATGTTTAATTTACTGTAGTTGTCGTTGTGAGGACTTCGGCCACGACCAGCAGATTCTCTCTTAAACCGAGCCGATTTTTATGTACGAGAATAATATCATAAAACTATTAATAGAGCTACCTCAAAATCTCGAATAGCTTCTTCGGATAATCTCCGAGTTTCCTGTATTTGGATGAAGAAATATAGAAAAACAACAATCAACAAAGAGAATACAGTTAATATTAATGTCTGAATTGACCAGCAGATACTAGAATGTTTCATCATTCTAAAACTGACCAAAAGGTACTGTCGGGGAACACCTGGTAATGTAAGAAGTCTTTTTGGGTGTGTCTAATTGTCGTGTTACTTCTCGCTTCGCGTATTCTTTTGACTGGATTTTCACGGATCTCTTTCGTGTTGAGAAACACTATATTCTTACAAATTACAACTTCTTTTGTAGACCTCTAGACAAATTGACCATTTAGCTGAAAGCAGACATGCGGAAACCTAATCGGGAAAGAAGCTTTTTCTAGGCGGCAGATGTTCAAAAATCATGAAATATTTCTGAGCTCATTTATCTCGATTCCTGTGAAAGATGTGAAAAATTTGTCATCTAATGAAATATTGGTGATTTTACGATAAATGATTTGTCAGTTGACAATTTTTTTGAAAAAAAAAATTTTGTCTTAGGAATCGAGATGATTGAGCTCGAAGTTGACAGTTTGGGAGAGCTACAGTAATCCTGTCATAGTCAGTTGGGTCAAGGATTTGAAACGCAAAGTTATGAGGATAGAAAAAGTACACGTGGAGCTGGAAATCTCTCTAATTTTGGAATCAATTTTCCCTATTTCGGAATCAAACACTTCGAGAGGAAGGCTGATCTATCCGTGTTGCAAAAATAGCTATGGCGGTTAGTCAGAATCTCAGAACCTCAAAAGTCAAACCTTTACTTTCCAGACTAAAAAGAATAAAAAGGAGTCGTCCCAAATGGGAACTGTCGAGAAGTCATCAAACAACGATGCATCGGTTACCGACGACATCAGAGGAGCCGAGTATTATCACGGTATGGTGCCACGTCAAGATGCGGAAGGGTTCTTAAAGCGAGAAGGAGACTTCTTGGTTCGAAAGACAGAGCAGACGCCAGGAAAAGTTGTGTTGGCTCTCTCGGTGCGGGTGAATGATGAATTGTGTCGTCATTTTATGCTCAATATGGATCCAGCAACGAACAAGTTCTATTTTGAGTTCACTCATCAGGAGAGTACTATCCCGGATCTCATAAATTGGCATATGTGAGTTAAAGTTGAGAGCTTTAGTTTATACTATAATTTTTAGGACCACCAAGACTCCTATATCCGCTGCCTCGGGTGCTAAGATCCGTCGTCCGATGGAACGTTCTCCTTGGCTTATCAACCACGACAGTATCGTTGCGAACAAGAAATTGGGAGAAGGTGCGTTTGGTGACGTCTTCATTGCGGAGCTGGATCAAGGAGGTAAACAAGAAGTGGCTGTGAAGACAATGCGTGCAGAAGCTACACGGGAGGCACGTCTTCGTTTCATGAAAGAAGCCCGTCTGATGAGAAAATACCAACATAAACATGTCGTCAAATTGATTGGAGTGGCAATTCATGAGCATCCTCTGATGATTGTCATGGAATACTGTCCAAATGGTTCACTTTTGAGTCATTTGAAGAAAAACAAGGTGTCAGCGGCGGATAAATTGAGATTCACCACGGAGGCTGCAGATGGAATTGCATATCTGGAAAGATCGAAATGCATTCATCGAGATATTGCAGCCAGAAATTGTCTCTTGTCTGCCAAAAATGTTAGTTTGTGAATTCAGTTATTGAAATTCCTATTTTTTCCAGGAGCTCAAAATCTCCGACTTTGGAATGTCTGATAACAAGGATGAAATCAAAGACGAGGCTCTCGAAAAAGTGCCTGTCAAATGGTTGGCACCAGAAACTCTTCAAGAGAAGGTGTTCACTCACAAAACGGACATCTGGACATTTGGAGTTCTCGTTTGGGAGATTTATGCTGATGGAGCTGAACCGTATCCAGGATTGACGAAAATTCAAACTCGCGCCAAATTAGTGGTCAGTGACTACAGGATGAAGATGCCTGATGGAACACCCGCAACAGTTTCCGAGATTGTCACGGGCACTTGTTGGCAGAAGAATCCGGAGAAAAGGTCTACGATGGATGCTATTCATAAGAAGTTGAGAGAGTTTTATGAGAAGAAATAGAACTGAAAACTTTATCTGAATCTTTTTTAGTATAGAATAAAGTCTTTTGACGTACTGAATTTTTGATATGGAAATGATAAACTGCCTTTCTCTAGATTTTCTAGATTTTCTAATTTCTGAATTTTTGAATGTCACAGGTTCAGAATTTCCGAATTTCCATATTTGAGAACTTCTCCATTTTCGACCATCCGAATCCTCGGATCTTTGAACATGAAATTTTGAAAAAGTTAGAATTTTCGAAATTTTGAAGTTCCAAATTTTTGAAGCAGTGGCTTTTGAATTCAACAAATTCTCAATTTCGGGATTTTGGAACTGTCCAATATCGGACTTTTCGAAATATTGAATCATTCTTAATTTCCGAATTTTCGAATTTTTGAATTCCTGAATTTTCGTGGAACGGAAAACTGAAATAACGGAAAAATCATTCAAATTTCTAAACTTCTAAATTTTCGAATCTCCAAATGTCTCAAACACTGAATTCTCAAATATTGAAATTGTAAAGAGGCTGAACGTCGGTAGCGGAAGACGTTCAGCTTCTTCATTTATTGACTCTAACTTCATGAGTAGAATCATTCATTTAGAGAACATAATTAATTAAAACAAAAGATAGGAGAATCACCGACCAAGAATGTTCGGTAGCAGGGGGCTAAATACAGACTCTTATCAGCAGAATCCGGGAGCACATAGAAACTTCTAGAAACGGTTTGACGTCATTAGGGACGATGACGTACGGGCATGACAAAATTCTGAGAACCTGGATTTTTGTTTCGAACTTAAAACATCCAAGTTTTTCAAAATTTTGAATATTCCGAATATCCCAACTTTCGAATTTCTCAAAAACTAATATTCTGAGATTCTGATTCACAAATTTATAAATTTCAGAGTTTTTGAATTTTTGGTTTCCCGAAATTCTGAACTTCCAGGTTTTCGAATTTCTCGATTACTGAACTTCTGAATTTCCATATTTACGAAATTATGAGTTACTGAATTTGAAAATATTCGAACTTGTGAAATATTGAACTTCGGAACTTCCGAATTTGATAATTCTCATTCAAAAAATTTCATAATATTCGAATTTCTGAAACACAGAAATTCTGAAAATCGGGATTTTCGGAACTTGGTATTTCCATGTTTCCGAAATTTAAAATTTTGGAATTTCCTCAAAACTAATTTTCTCAGATTCTGATTCACAAATTTGTAAGCTTCCGAATTTTTGAATTTTTGTTTTCAGGAAACTCGGAAATGGCAAAAGTTCAAATTTCTCGATTACTGAATTTCTGAATTTCCGTATTTCAGAAATCATGAGTTACCGAATTATAAATTTTCTAATTTTCCAAATCATTGAATTTCGGAATTTCCGAATTCAAGAACTCGTGTTCGGATTTTTTCGCATCTTCATTTCCCCTGGTTATGTTTGAAAAAAATTTTCAAAATAATATTACGGGTATTGCGAACGAGAGCCAGAATGTTTAGCCCTGAACGGGCCTAAATCGACTGGTCTCTTTAAAAAGCTGAAAACATTGACATTTAAAGAAAAAATTCGTTATTTTCTTATTCATCTGTGGATTTGCACCTGTTAATAAATCTAATCTTTATCATTATCATTATCATCCGAGTTCCCTTTTCTCTCCTCATTTCTTCCATCATCTTTTCTTTCTTTCGTTCCCCCCAACCAGCTTATGATGTACTATGTGTCAGTTGTTCATTCTTCCTTCTCTCTTCCTTCAGCCTTTGCCTCTAGAAGTGGGCGTGGCTTTGAGCTTCTTTGTGTGTCTGGGACACCAATTCATTCGCTACTCTTTCCTCTGATTCTCGAGTTTCCAGTACAGTTGAGAAAGGGCTTTTTGTCCAAATGTGCCGATGACTTTTCTGGCCCTGATATCACTTATCACCTCGCCACTAACTTTCGACCTTCAAATCAATGGACCATCACAGAATCCCGCTTCTATCATTCTGAGTACACCATCTAAAAATTTGTCACTATCGTTTCATGGTGGACATATTTATGCAGATTCTATTCCTGTTTCGGCTATCACTGAAAATGAAACGACATCTTTCTCCCTAAAATGCATATCCCATATTTCTCTGCATTTTCAAAGTCCGCATGCAAATTCACTGGTATATTCTCCAACTATATGCTCTGCTCCAAATATTGGTAAGTTTTTACATTTTGTAAATATTCTGATGTTTCTATTTTTAAAAAACCAAAAATAACACTAAACCGGAAATGAGTAATAGTAGGTGATACGTTTCGAAACTTTGTTACTCATTGTATGAAATACGAGACCTTAAAAACGTTCGTTTGATCTCAAATTGATACTCCAAACCGGCAATTAGCTCTGTGACTAAAAAACGACTTTTCTTGTCTTTTTTTCTGTAGAAAACCGGCATGTTCATCAGAATGAGTTGACGATGAATTTAAAATGATTCTTCCCTTCATCAATTGTTTATTACTGAACAAACATGAAAATAGAACATGAACAACACGAAAGAAAACAGAGCCCAGAAAAGATGCTCCAAAAGAGTACTCTTTTGCTCATTTCCGGTGGTGCCGACCAAAAAGAGCCAACGAGAATCTAAAGTGCTCTTTTTGTTGATGTGCTTTGAGGCAACGGATGCTCCGACTCTTCTGGAAAACGATTATTTTTTTAGTGGAAAAGAAGAACGAACACAAAAAGACAAAGTTTTTTTCAATTCCAGATTTATGAGATTGCTTTTCCTGGCAGATTGGTTTCTTGAATCTTCCTGAAGATTTTTTTGGAGTTCTTCACTTGAACAACTTTTTGCAGAAAATATGAAAAACGGGGGGAGAGGAAGAGAAGGTGAAAGAAGAAAAAATCATGTTGGTATCGAATTTCTAGGAGTGAAAAGAGCGATAATCAAAAACTTTTGTGTGACCTACCAGGGAGAAAATACCGTATTTGCTCTGATAGAATGCCACCCAAATCGTCAACTTTGAGCCCACATATCTCATTTTCTGTAAATGATATGAACAATATGTCAACCGATATATTATTTATCATAATATCAACATTACATGATCAGTTAACAAAATTTTCTGTCACAGGAGCTGATATAATTGAGCTCAAAATTTACAGTTTGGGTGGGTGGGCTTCTATTGGGTTAAATACGGTAATGGTTATTCAGAAATGCCACATCCGATTCTTCAGAGCCCAAAAGTGAAGTCTAAAGTATTTGCACTTCAAAGTTATTGTCAAACTTCAATAGGTCTGGAGCGAACTTTTATACTTTATAAAGGTTCCCTGAAAATCGTACAAGCTCGACCTGATCTATCGGAATTTCGTACCCATGACATCCTTAAACCTTTCACTGAGACACATAATTTTTTTCCTACTAATTAGCCATGTTGTGAAGTGTCGAGACACATGTCATCTACCCCATCTACCCCCATCATATTTCTGTGTTTATACTTGCACTTGTCTTTGGCGGGGACACATTTTGTAAATTCTGTTCTTTTCATCTTTTACGAGCCATTTGTTAAGTCAGTGAGAAATTTCATGAGCCGAAAGCATAATATTGTTTACAGGACTGACTGTCAATGAGACCGCTCTGAAAGGATGTATGTTCGATATCACTCAATCAAATTCGATCTTAACCCAGAGGATATGCGGGTAAGTCAAGAAAAAAATGACTGAAAAATAAGTGGGCTGAGCCGGGGATCGATCCCGGGACCTCTCGCACCCTAAGCGAGAATCATACCACTAGACCATACTTGTAATCCGGGCCTTTGCCGGGCCTTCGCGGGCCTTGCCATGACTTCTTTCAGAATCAATGTTTTCGAACCAATTCAATCAGGCACGATAGAGCTTCACGAGTACTACAAAACGGTATTATTTAGAATACTGTATCTTGTCTATGAACAGAGTTACAGAGCAAAAGGAGCAAAAAAGGGAGGCCCGCCCCGGGCCTGCCGGGCCCTGCGAGAAAAGCCACTTTATGATCTGTAACTTTGTTCATAGATAAGATACAGTATTCCAAATAATACCGTTTTTTAGTACTCGTGGAACTCTATCTTATCTGATTTAGTTGGTTCGAAAATATTGATTCTGAAAGAAATTATGACAGGGCCCGCGAACGCCCGGCAAAGGCCCGGATTACAAGTATGCACTAGACCACTCATCCACGAATGTTACTCTTGTTAAGTTCCATTTTGTTTTCTGCTTTTCTTAACGTGTAAAATAGCACCAAACAGTACGGGGAAGGTATTCAATTTATCAGAATTGTAACACGTGTGTCTCATCACATAGAAACCATGAATAATGGGCGGTCTCGTTTGCACTCAATCATCGTCTCGTCCAGTCGGCAACTCTTCTTTTCTTCATCTCATTTTTCCTCCCTTCTTCCAACATCTTGAAGCAATTTCTCTGCACTCTCTTCATATCACCCACTATTTCTCCCCATTATTATGATCCCAAAAGCCTGCGCCTTCTCGCTATCACACACTATTTTAATATGCTTTAAAGTCAGTGATGACAAGGGAGAATCAAAAATTGAGAGAGATTTTTCTGGGATAAGAGATTAGTAGGAAAGTTGTAGAGATTTAGACAGAGAATGGGATAGGACCACCAGAGCCAGAATTTGATACTTTGTGGCCGATAAAATTGGCACATTCGGAAAAGAATTTATGGGGTGCCAGTGGTAGAAGAAGCGCGGCAAAAGTTGTTTGTGAAGAGGAAGAAGAAGAAGAAAAATAGGAGGAGGAAAAAATAATGTGGTCAGTGGAAAATAACTTAGAAACGAAACGACGAATACTATAGGTAATAGAGAGAACACTTCATTCAAAAGATGAAAGGAACCTTTCCTTCGAATTTCAAAGAGAACAAATTTAAGAAAGGGAATTTGAAGAATAGTTTAGATGTGCTGACAGCATTTCTAAGAGTCTCAGAACATCAGAGTATAGAATATCGGAACATCTAGAGCCTAAACTCTCCCGATGGATAAAAATTTAAATACCGTAAACCTGTATTAGCTGGGGTCCCTCTCGGAGGGCCTTTCTATCAGAGAGTGTCCTTCTATTGAAGGGGCCCTTCTAATACAGGTTTTACTGTATCTCGGCTATGGGCTCGTAACTTCTGGTCAGAAGTATATCGGTGTTCGGTTTTCGTACGAAGATTGGCCAGTTTCTGATCGAAACTTGCCCAAAAACGGCTGTAAAGCGGGTAACGGTCAGATTTCGCCCGGAAGCTGGAAGTTGAACCAAGATTGGTTGGCAGTAGCTGTCTTATCTGGAATCTGATCAATTTCCGACCAAAAGTTCCTGATAAGCTGTCAGTATTTCTAGAACAGATAATTTTACAGAATCGACTCCAAAAATGCTGCAAAAAACCCAGAAAAGGGGCCAATATACGTTGCGGAGCCAGTTGAAGTATGCTCCTCCAAAACTCCTTTTTCCATGTCAGCTTACTAAATTTTCAGCTAAATGAAGGAGGATCTATGCCTTTACAATGGAAAAATGTCTACTTCATGCCCAGCAATCAGGATGAGAACGTTTCACATACTGACATATTCTTTACGGTTCGAGCTTGAATCTTTTTTTTTGATGAGATTCTATTTTTTGAGATTGTGGAAAGTGCGAAACATGGTGAAATTCGGATAGATGATGTGGTGACAAGTTCCTTCACATATGCTCAATTGTTGGCAAGACGAGTCATTTATAAGCATGATGGAACTGAAAGCAGAGAAGATCGACTGTCGTTTCAGGTTTTTCGATGTTTCCAAATTCACCTTTAAACTGAATTTTTAGATTGAATTCTCTACAAAAAACAAAGAATTTGCATCTGCTGAATCGAAGACGTATACTCTGAGAATACGAATAAATGGAGTGAACGATGCACCAGAACTTGTCAAAAGAACAAACGACGATAAACTTCTGATTGCTTCTCGTGGCAGTCGAGTGATGACGAATGAGATTCTGATACTGACCGATGCGGATGATAGACCGGAGAAAGTGAGAGTACAAGTTGTTGAATCGAATGGAGTTCATATTGAAGTACATGGTCAAAAAGTGAACGAATTTAGTCATAAACAATTGATAGAAGAGATGGTTTCGTTGGTGGACGAAGGGACTGATTTGGGAAGTGGACGGATACGGTAGGATGCTTTAATTGTTTGAGCTCTAGTATGGACGAAAAATGATTTTCAGATTGATTGCAAGAGATGGAGAAGCGAGAAGTGGTGTTGTAATTTTGGAAACACAGAGTACCAAAGTGGACGTCAAATTGGTTCATAATACAGGTCTGAAGCTACTTCACCATTCAAATTCTCTGATAACAAATAGGTTTGTTCTTCTCGCTTCTTTTTTCCCAAAACATAACATCGAAAAAATTCCAGAAATCTCTCATTCGAAGCATCAATCAAAGATATGATAGTTTCGTATCGAATTGTGGATATGCCAGATACAGGAGTTGTTGAATGTCTTCAGGAGAATGAAGACAAGTTCAGTATGTGCACCACGTTCACTCAATCGCAAGTGAACGAGGAGCAAGTCAGATTCAAGCACACAAGTCAGAGCTCATCACCAAGTGATATGTTCAGTTTCCAGGTAATTTTTTGTTGTTGATTAAACAGAATTATACAGAAATAGGTTTTTTCAGGTTGAAGCCGGAGAATTTGCTTCAATGGTGCACGTCTTCCGAATCGATTTTATCCCAATGAACATAAAAGTTTTCACTCGAGAGCCCTTCGTTCTCAATGGAACTCTAACCATGTCAATCAGTCGACAGAACCTTTTTTCGTGGACTTTTCCAAAAAGTTTTTCTGCTCATTACTTGGTATATCATATCGATGAGCCACCGAAACTTGGAACACTTTCAAGAAGACTGTCAGGTGGAAAACAAAGAAGAATCGGAGTTTCTTCGAATTTCACTCAACAAGATATTGATGAAGGATCGATTGGCTACAAACTACACTATCAGCAATATTCCATCGTCAACGATTTCTTCGTTTTTCGAGTTGTCTCTCCAGCTGTTTCATCTCCCCTTCTCAGATTTGATGTGAGTTTTTTTTTTCGAAGAATGCGATTAATTTGAAACAAATTTCAGATTGTCTATGTACCAAAAGAATCGTCAATTCGACTGGTCAATAAAACAATTGTTGTCAAAGAAGGCGAAATTGCATCGGTAATTTTTTCTTCTAGCTATTATTCTGGTGCAAAAAGTACTACAACGACACCTACAGTAACCCAAAACATTGTTATTTTCTCGTTTTCACTTTTCTCGCTAAATCCATTTTCCCCCTTCGAAAAATCCACATGACTGAGGACATTTTTTCCCTTTTCCGGCAAAACTTTTAGACCTTCTTTCAGCTATTTTTGCTTATTCTTTTTCGATTTTCTCATGTTTTTTGTCTGTAAATCAATGAAACGGCGTTCGCGAAGATTACTGATTACTGTAGAAATCTGATTTACTGTAGAAATCTGATCTACTGAAATCTTCACAGCTTTTTTTTACACATGTTGACATCATTTGTATTTTGTAAAGAAACTACAGTAATCTACAGTAATCTTGACGAACATCGTCCTGTCGAATTGCAATTTGCAAACAGAAAAACCGAAAAAAAAAACAAAAAAGAATCCTCAAAAATAGCTGAAAAGGCTAAAAATGCCTAAAAATTTCACCAAAAAAAATCAAAGAGACATAGTTTTTAATAGAAAATATCTGGTAAAAAAGAACCTGGCCACCGCCATTTCTCTTCCACAACTCCAATTTTTTTCGCACCCTGTAATATTTTATATCAATCATGTTCATTATTTTAGATCACATCTGATTTCTTATCACTTTCCACTCCCGATGAATTCGACTTCATTTTCCGAGTCGTTTCTCCTACTCTCCATGGACAAATACGTCTCCAAATCGGTGAAATTCTGAAGAAAGGTTCTAATTTCACCAGTGACGACATCTCAAAACACCGACTGACCTATTCTCATTCTGGAGATGAAACTCGCTCCGATGAATGCCGTCTTCTAGCAATTTCTCGTCACAATCCAATGAGACAAGTCCCTCTGACACTGAGCTTTTCGATCATTCTCTTGAATGACAATGCTCCGAAGTTGTCCCAAAATGTGACCGTTTATGTAAGAATTTTTCAGTTGTAAACATTTTTTCATTCTGACCACTTGCAGATGGTCGAACGAGGCGAACGAGTTCTTCACCCATTCCTTCTTCCTTGGATCGACGAAGATGTTGATGCATCTGCGTTGCTATTCGATTTCACGCAAAACAAAGATGCTGCTATTCTATCTACAGTATCTCCTTATCTCCCACTGACTTCATTCACACAACATGATATTGATGAAGGAAAAGTTATGATAAGACATTTAGGACATCATGGAGAGTTTTATATTGGGTAAGATATCGGTTCACTGAAATTAGGAAAGTACTTTAATTTTCAGATACACAGTAAGCGACGGTGCTCATCGTGTTGAAGGGAAAATGCACGTTCTCGCTGCCAAACCAGATGTCTGGGTGGAAAAATCGGAAGTCGCTTTGATTTGTGGATCACGCTTCCCTCAAACCATCCGACTCTCGTCCAATAATTTGACAGTGTTGACTAATTTGGATGTTCGATTGGAAGATATTGTTTACTCCACTAATTCGTCCCGATTTTCTGTCGGTACGCAAAGAAAGTCAGCGAGAGGATTCAGTCAAAAAGAGATTGACAACGAATCTGTTTGGTATTCTGTACCGAATCAAAATGCTGTTGAGAAACTGAAAGTTGCAGTGGCGGATAGAAATTTAGAAGTCGAAGTGAGTTTTTAAAAAGGGACGCCGACCAAATATTTTATTGCATTGAAAATTTTTTGAGAATTATGTATTTTCCTGATATTATTACGAAAAAATCCAGAATCCCCGAATAGGGACAAGGAATTGAATTTCCACGCAGTGAGAAACCTAGTTGGCGGGCCGGCTCTCTGAACTCAAATCCTCGTCGCAATTCGGAGATTCCGGGTGTTCTCTTAATTAACATATATTGGAAACGGTTTGAAATACAAGTTATGGATCAGAAAAATATATCGTTTCAGCTCCGAGTCCGTTGTGAAAATTCTCGTGATTCGTTTACCTACCAACAACATCGAATGCTCCGTGTACCAGTTGGTGGAGCAGTTCTCATCGACAAAACACTTTTGGAAATTCCAATGATTGATGCAGAGCCACCTATCATTTATCAAGTGGTTAAACATCCTAACTTTGGATATTTGTCTTTGGATTACGGTAGACACTTTTTGGTTTTTGTTATTTTTAACTTTTAACCTTTCAGAGAAAAGTTTCTCGTCTCGAGTATCAAGATTCACAGACAAAGACGTATCATCTGAAAGTGTACAGTATGTTCATAACAATGCAGATCATTCAAACGATTCAATCGATTTTCAAATTCAAGTTCTCGCTAGAAATTTGAGTTTCCACCTCAAACTGGATATCGACGTTTTTCAGAGAAATGTTTGTGGGAATTCTAAACTCAAATGTTAAGTTTTGCATTGCAGATAACAATTTCCACTTCGTTATTCTCTGTACCAGCTGCTGGTCGAGCTCCTATTACTTCCAATTTCTTGAAAGTGACAACAAGTGAAAATGAAGAAGCAGTGATTACTGTAGTGTCTCCTCCAACATCCGGATGGGTTACAACTGACAGTATTCACAATATCACAAGTATTTCTTCAATTGGTAATGTGAATTAAGTAAATTCAATTCAGAACTCTAGTTTCAGCTACATTCACAACCAGAATGATCGAGAATGGGCAAGTTTGGTTTGTATCGGATGGATCACAAGGAAACGATAGTATTGGAGTGCAGGCGTGTGTGCAGGATCAGTGTACTGGAACGCATCTGATGCAGATTGCAGTTACAAGGATCAACGAAAAAGGTTTATTGGATATAGGGTTTTTAGATTAAAAAAAAAAAGTTGCAGGACCTGTGATGGTGAGGAATGAAGTGTTGCGAGTTACTGGAAATAGGGCATTGATTACGAATAGTCACTTGGATGTTGAGGTGAGATACTTCAATTACTGAGAAAAATTGATTCTGAAAAAAGTGAAACTCCTAGGATACGGATACTCCGACAAACTCCATCACCTACATTATCGCCCAGCCATCGAATGGAAGAGTTGTAAAAGTTGGTCAAGTAGAAGAAGTCATTTCAAACTTCACTCAATTCGATGTCGACCAATCGAATGTGGCATTTTTGGCAACTAACCACAGTAATCCTTTTGGAGGGTTCTCGTTTCATGTCACAGATGGGAAACATAAGGTTTATCTTGTCAAATTAGAAATCCACTGAACATTTGTTGTTTAGATTGGTCCTGAATGGTTTTCAACTGAATTATCGTCTAGTTCAAATATCCTCGAAGCAAACGGACGTCTCGTGGCTTCCCCATCATCTGCTACCGTAATCGGCACAGAACTTCTTCGTGCCAATATGCCTGGAACTCGTCCTGATGAAATTGTATTCACTATTATAAAGCCAGCCCGATTTGGAGAAGTACTAGTGGATGGAATTAAAAACACTGTGTTCACTCAACTACAGGTTGTATTATAAAAAGGATGTTGTGGAAAATTTCTTTTTTCTTTTTTCAGATAAACCGAAGACAAGTTGTGTATTCTACTGTTGGATATTCTGATCAGAACGAATGGAGCCGACGAGATTCTTTCTCGTTCAGAGTTCACAAGAACAACTCTGCTCAATTTTTAAACACTAATGAAAAGTAAGTCCATGAAGATACATCGACTTTCCTATAAGCTACATTTTCAGATTCCGAATCACAACAACTTTTGCTGCCATATCAGACAAGGTTCTTTCAAAATACATAACAACGGGTCCTCTGATTGTCTCTCGAGGTGGATCTGCAAGTTTCAATCAATCTCATTTGGATGTTTCTGCATTGGCAGACGCTGTTGATAAAGAGGTCAGTAAGAGAAATTATTCATTTTTTAAGTACAGAAAAGTTTAAGAAATTGTACAGCAACACTCGAACGAATTTCCTTCTTTTTCTGATCCACTTTCCTTTGATGACTGTTTTTCAGTTTTCTTCTTTTCATACTCTTCTCGCTCTTGGAAATATCTCTCTTTTTGCTTTTTCAATAACTTTGTTTCGATGTCCGCTATAAGTTTCTGAGTCATTGATCCCCATTTCAGATTCTCATCCTTCTCAACTCCCAACACCATCAATCCATTTGAATCCAATTCCGCATTTCCTTTTTTCTTCGTATCACAATGAGCAATTGTCAGTTGACCTTCGGGACTTTCTAATCGAATGTTCTCAAAGGAATATGGTTCTGGAAAGATTTCCTTGACACAAGTCGTGAAACTTTTCGTCTCCGATGGATTCAGAATCATGCATAATTGTTCGACCGGGAACAATTCTTTTTGGAAATTTTGTAGAGTGAAAATAGCGGATTCCAGAGTGATGAGCACTTCTTGAGCTTTTCGAGATACATTCTTCAATTCAATATTCAGTGATCCTTTAGTTGGAACGACGAAAAGAGTGGTAGACAGTTGAAGTGTGAACTTATTATGTTTTTTACTTGGTAGACTGCTTTCAGATGAATTTTCTTTGACAGTTAGCATTTTTCTGAAAACCAAGATGTACATGTAGATTGTTCTCCGAAAACACCCCCACCAAAAAACTTTGAAAGTAGCGAAGTTAGCAGATTTCCATGGAAAAATAGCCAATATTTCGACTTCATTTTTTTCAGATAGTTATGATTGAAATCGGAACAGAACCACGTGCGGGAACACTGGAGTGGTTGGATAATGAAAGAAATCGAGTCTCTTGGACCGAGTTACGATCTTCTTTTCATCTTCTCTATAGGCATATTGTATGTTATTTCAAATCTCATTCGCAGAATTCAAGTTCAAACTTCATTCAGGCGACAGATTCTCTCAGCGATTCTCTGATTTTTCATGTTTATGCTGCTCGAGAATCAACGAGACGAGCTAGTCGGATTAGAATTTCTGTAGACATTCAAATCAAGAATCCACCTGATCCAGATGTTCAGGTTTGCATATAAAACTGTTTTTTTTTGCCCACCGAGAATTCAATTTCCAGGTTATTTTATTCCCGGACTCTGTCTCTATTCTGAACAGTGGATCTACTCCACTACTGGCTGATATGCTGATGACACGTCACAAGACAGTTCCACCTCAATCAATCGTCTACAGTACTCAACAACGTGGAGCAAACGGAGTGACTATTCGTCGAGGGGACGATGAGGTTGATCAGTTTTCCCAACAGGAAATCAATGACGGAAAGATCTCACTCTGGCACACAGCCAACAGGCATCAGACAGCTGCCACGTGGCACGATGTCATCGTACTGGACATTGAAGGACATACAAGATCATTGGTGATCGACATAAGACCATTGGATTTGATGTTGAAGAATCATTCGACGATTTGGTATCCACAGGGAAAAACTTATGTTGTATTGAATTCTGAGCATCTGGGAGCATTCTCGATGGGAAATCGGAGCAGTTTGAAGTATAAAATAACTAGTGGACCAGAAAATGGAACATTTTATTGGGTTGCTGGCGAGAAAGAAGCAAGAGAATTTAGTCAGAAAGATATTGATGACGGGAGAGTACTGTATGCACAATTGAATATGCATTCGTATCAAGTGAGTGACCGAGAAAGAAAATGTTGCATTATAATATCTTATAGGACAAGTTCGACTTTGTTGTGGAGAATGATTCGAGAGACGTTCTCCGTAACAGTTCAGAATTGAAAGTTCGCGCTTTGGTTACTGTACAGCCTGTTATTGTCGAGGCAAACACAGCTACTCCTCTGACTACTTCTCAAATCAACGCTTCTACACTTTTGGTTAGTTTCAAACGGGACTGTTCGAAAAGTTTTTCGAACGAGGTTTCGAGTTTTCTAGGCCACAGACTTTTTTGGCCTAAAAATGACCTGATATTCACCTGGTGGGGTTTTCTATGACCGAACTTTCGCAAGTTGGGTTTTCTAGGCCATCCTGGTGAGTGGCCATGAAAGTTGTTGTCCTGGAAAACTCAACTTAAAGAAGTTGGGACACCCTGGTAAATGGCCCAAGAAAACCCACCAGGTAAATATGAGGCCATTTCTAGGCCATAACCTAGAAAACTCCATTTGAAAAGGTTAGGCCACCATGTTTTTAAAAAGGTTTAAAAAAAACACACACTGTTTCTGAATACATAATTTTGCAGAATGCATCACCTCGCTTCTTTTTGACGTCCCCTCTGAAATACGGAAGATTGACTTTCGATCCGAACACCAACTATTCAACGTATTACTTCACATATACTGATATCCAAAAGGGAATTGTGTACTACAAAGCGTTTAGTACAGATGAAGAAGTGCATGAAATTGTACAATTGGAAGTGAGAGCAGATAATGTTCAACCAGCTCGATTCATTCTTCCCATTACGATTCTTCGAGCCGATATGGAATCTTTTGATTCGCCACCTTCAAATGACCTAGGAGTTCCCTTCTCAAATAATGGTCCAGGTCTTCCGAAGTTTTCAATATTTGGAGAGAACAGCCTTCCTGTGGTTATTCTTGGCGCAATCGTAGCAGCTACCATATTTGTGTTAATATGTAGAAGATGTGGAGACGAAAAGAAGAAAAATAAGAATAGAACGCCGCTGAATGCGAAATTGGATACTCCAACAAGATTACCTCCATCGCCATCTGAAAGCATTGATCATGAAAAACCACCGGATTTGTTGGGAACTACTGTATTTGCATCAGTGAGGCAAGCTGAAGATCGAATGACAATGAAGTCATTCAACAAACCACCGAAACCAGAGGTAGAGAGTGTTTAAACACACCCACAGGGTTTCAATAGCCCTGAACAGAAATCGCACTCTACCGAACGTGAGATTAGGAATTCTTTCCTATTTTTTGTCTGCATTAAAAGTTATCTGGGCGCGATTTCTGACCAAGCCTTTTGGAACCCTGTGTACACCCATTAGATGTTATTATAAACTGGAATTTTCAGCCGGCGTCATCTCGAAAACCACCAAATCCACGACGCCAGAATGTTTCGTCTCTGGATTATGCTGGAATCTCTTCAGACACACCTCCACCGATGCGTCTATTCGAGCAAGTTGCACAAACTCAACCAGCGAATCATTATTGGGTCTAACCACATTCAATTTCACTTTTTTTCTCACATTTTAAAATATTTTATTGATTTTCAGTCAAACTTTGTGCCTTTCCGTTCCTACTTTCAATCATTCTTTCTCACTGTGATCTCTCGAATTTATGAATAAAGAAATTCATTTTATGAACGTGATCGTTTATTATAAACACATTTACTTTTCAGTTTCCAAGAAATAATACTTTTTCGGGGTACGGCAAAGGAAGATGTCAGTACAGATCTTCTCAGCGGCTTCGTGATTCTTGAGCTTCTCGATGATGACTTCCAGATTCTTTTCGATCACTTTCTCACACATATCAACCATGAAAGATGGAACATCTTCTTTGCAGAACTTGTCAACAGCCTGGAATTTTATTTTGTTTGAGCATGATGTAGAATGAGCAGCTTAAGATGATGAGTGGTTCATGGTTCCTAGGAGTGATGTCTAATGTCGTTTGAAAAGTGGTTTTATTTTGGATTTAAAACTATGATTTTCAGAAGTTCGCATCATATTTGCAGTTAAAAAATATGCCGTAAAACCTGTACATATCAGAGGGGGCTCACTCTGTCAATTTTAAGCTCAATTATCTCAATTCTTGTCCTAGATATTAAAATTTTTCAACTGATAAAACACTTATGAATTTATGATAAACATTTTATCAGTTAACAACTTTTTTATATCTTTGACAGGAACCAGGAAAATTGTCTCAAAGTTAAACGTTAAGGGGCCCTTCTATTACAGGTTTTACGGGGATCTAAAGGAAAATTACCACTAATTTTGAGTTCTAAATGCAATCTTCTCACCTCTTCAATATCACCTCCGTGCTCTAAAACCTTATCAAGCTGATTCACAATATTGACGCATAGTCCACACAATGGTTTTGATGTATCCGTGTGCAATCTCTTCGAGCTGTCAACAGTCGAAACCACGAAAAAAATCACAACTGTAGCTAGCAAAAAACGATATAGAAGCTTCATTTTGGTGAACAAATGAGACGAATGAGGTTGGGGAGGAATGTGGAAAGGGGCGGAAAAAAGAAGTGTAAAAAGAGTGACCGATCAAGAACAACTGTTGGGTTGTCATAAGAATAGTGTAAAGTGTTTACAAGTTGAGCACAAAAACATGATCGATAAATATTCAAAAACAAACATGTTTTGGGTGGAAGTTGAACATTTACATCAAACCAAAAAGCGGATGTGAATTCCCGTAATACTGAAATGATTTTAGACTACGAGCTCAGGAAATGCCAGAAAAAGGTGCAATCTGGCTAATGATAGCTAGTTGGCAGCCGAAGAAGAACCGACGGGCCGTCGACGGACTATTGGCGGACGCTGGGGTCTGCAAAAGGGAAAAGTACTTTTTTGGCAAGATAGGGCACAGAAGAACGCAGGATTTGGGCCCAAATGGTATCGTCCCCCGTGCTCCTAGCTTACAGATATAGTGTCCTTACCTTGCCGTTGCCGTGCTCCTTCTACGCATCTCGTCTATAGCCAATCAGTTTCAACGAACGGCACACATGAGCACAGTAAAAGCAGAAAATGTATTCCCAAATTAGGGACCAGTGCCCCAAGTAGGGAAATATGTGCCAAACACTTTCTAAGTCCGTAAATATAGTAATTTGAGTAAGCGAAAAATGTAGATTACTGTATCAAAAAATACAAGTTGTTCTTTGGTCCAACCTTTCTGGCAGTCATGAATTCATCAATATCAACAAAGAGTTTCGTGCAAAATGTTTATACAATTCCATCCATTGGAATCAGATTTCATTTGGAATTATGCGAGTTTGCCGCACACCTTCCAACCTCCTAATTTCATTTTAGTACTTTTGTTTGGATAGTCTAGTCTTTTTTCCCTAATGGAGGAAAAGTTACATTACTGTAACTTGACCATCGCCCTCTTGGCGGTTTTGGCATTTTCTCATATTCATTACAGGTGAGAATGAAGTTCCAGATTCTGCTGTAATCTCTCTTGTATGTTCCAGAATCTGGTCCCTCGAAACCGAATGCAAGTCCCTTTCTCATGTTCATGTTCGTGAAAAACGAGACGTTCCCATGTCCAGAGGCAAGAATGCGTCTGACACTCTCTGGTTGACGTCACTCTCTTCGGTTAAGATTGGAGAGCTTATGCACAAATGCACTGAAATCCATGAGTACTGTAGCGAACAAGATGATGTTCGTGGAAAGCCAGGACCAGTGGGACCAATAGGACCACCAGGGAAACTGGGACCACCTGGACCACAAGGAAGAAGAGGATTAATGGGAGTTCCAGGACATCCAGGTCCGATTGGACCTCCAGGTAACATTGGAAAAGATGCCGACTGTTCCACTTGTCCTGTACGAGACGAGCTATTGATGGAACGCGAATTCAAGTGTCCTACGGTAACTCATTCTTTATAACCTTCCGAAGAATCAAATATATATTTAGATTGAAAACTTAGAATGTCCTAATAATAAAGAACCAATTCCAACAACTCCATGGCCTTCGGTGACCCATCAACCAATGCCCGGCCTAGTACAGCAGGTTTAGGATTCTAAACTTTAGAATTTTTTGAATCCATATGACTTTCATACTTTTTAGATTCTAACAAACTACAGTGAAGTCGAAGGATGTGTGAAAATCTGTCTGAAAAACTACACGCTGGATGAAGAAATTGAAGAGACTATCACAACTCCAGTGGCTTATATTCAAGGAGTTACAGCTCGTAAGTGCTACGATTATGATGTCATAAGTAGCCGGAGTAAAGTTTGTACTAGCATAAAATTTGAGTAAAGCGTTGTACTGAGTTGAAATTTGAAGTGCAAAACTTCAACTAGTTTATCAGTAAACTGGCCCAGTTTCAAAATCTTTACAATTAACAATCACCAAATTCTGTGTGTGTGTCCGGTGTTCCCGGTTCTGACACCCTAGCGAAGTCCCCAGTTTACCAAACATTTTCAAATTTTCACAGATGATCCGAAATAGCGGCGAGATGTTGCCCGTCTATTTTTAATTTCGAAAATTTGTTTCTGACGTCTTCTGGAGACGTTCTTCTATTTCTACATAGCAAATCTTTCGAAAATTATTTTCACGTCATTCCCGACCAACCCTTCTATTTTTTTCTTATCCACATTATATCTGACAAAAAAGGAGATTTTGTGGAAATAATTTTCTGTGTCAATTGTGAAAGGAGTGAGAAAGAAAGCATTCAGAAAATTTGAAAATTCTGGCTTTCTGAATCCCCTAACTTCTCAAAAACTGAATTTCGGAGATTCTGATTCACAAAATTTTTTTTTTAGTTTTTCGAAAACGCGAAATTTTAACTATTCCGATGCTTCAAACATTCGATTTTACTCTGAACTTCTAAAATCCTAATTCGGAAATTCGGAAATTCGAAAAATTGGAAATACGGAAACTCGAAAAAACCGAAAAAAAAAATTTCACTCGAAAATTTGAAAATCCAAAGTTTCGAAAGCTGGGGAGTCCAAAAAAATCAAAAAATCAGAAACTCAGAAGTTCAGAATATCAGAAAGCCCAAGTTCAGAATTTAGAAAATTCTTAAATTCATGAACTTTGTGAATCAAAAACTCAGAAATTAAGTTTTAAAGAAATTCGGAAAATCACATTTGTGTTAAAATTTTAAAGTTTGGGAATTCGTGAAGTAGAATCTCAGAAAGTCGGAAATACGGAAACTCGAAATTACAAATTTTCCGAAACTATGAGTTCTGAAAAACCAAATGCTGAGAAACTCAGAAACCCAGAAACTTGAAAATTTGAAAATTGAGAAATCTTCAAGTTCTAGAATCACAGTTTCAAAAATTCAGGACTTCTGAATTTCAAAACTTATGAAAAAAATTATAAGTTAAAATTATAATTCAGAAAAAATTTAATAGTTCAAAAATTCGGAAACTTTGAAGTTCAAAGGTTTTTAATGCTCAATATGAAATTCAACAATTCGTAAATAATAGCTCTTCAAAACCCGAATTAAAAAAGATTATCTGGGTGGTTAGACGGGGATGACCTAAATATTGCTTCAATAATATTACTTAATAAAACAATTCGGGCATCAACTAAGACATACTTCTAATCTACATTTCTGATTTGTCTGTCCAAGTTCAGACTCAATCGGCTAACTCCGAGTGGGTAAAAGAAAAACATTATGCGGTTATTCAATAACCGTTATTGTAAGCAACTAAAAGTTGTAAGCAACTAAAAAGCAACTAAAAATTCCTCTTCTGATCCTCTCCGATTTTGAGATTCAAACATTTTAAGTGAAGCCAGGAGATTGTAGCCGCCGTCAGGCGGCGGAAATCGACTGGTATATTATCAATTTTAAGCTGAAATATTGCTTATCAAAGTTGTTTCATCTCATGAACACCACAATATACTCGTTTTTATCCGTCCTTGTAATTGTGAGACACCATGTAATTTCCAGACTGCCGTCTACAAAATGTGGGGAAACCAGTTTTCCATTCTCACTCAACCACGTACTACGGTAGCTGGATGAGAGATGCCTATCCACCAACCGGAGATGTAATTGGTTCCAACTTTTCAAAAACTACTCTAATTGTTCTTAGGATGCTAGAAAACGTTATGTTATGAACCATTTCCAAGGACACGAGCTAATTGAATTCCGAAACGAAGCCGAAATGAGGAGAGAGCATGTCGGAAAAGTGTAAGTTCTGAGAAAAATATGGAAAAATGAGAATTTTCCAGCCATCGCCTTCCTTACATTTTCGATGGAACGAATCATGTGATATTCAATGCATCTTTATTTTATCAAAGAGCTGGTTATCCAATAATTGCGAAATATGAATTCAACTCAAAACAATATTCACAATTCGAAGTTCCCGGCGCTGCTTATAGAGGGGATCAGGTGATAAATAGTGTTGATAACTTGATGTGATACGAAGTATTTCTACAGTATCTCTACAACAATTCCATGAATTATTTTGATCTGGCTATTGACGAAAATGCTCTTTGGGTCATGTTCCATTATCAAGAGGAGCACTTCTTGTCTGTTGCCAAAGTGAGTTTCTTTGGTTTTTTAATTCAGACCAGATTGTTTTTCTTTTCAATTTTTAGGTTGATATAAATAATTTGACCATCTATGAGACATTCAATTTAACCATTGTCAATCATACGGATGTTGCCAACGGAATCGTCGTGTGTGGAACAATTTATTTGGTTAGTGAAAATCACGGTGATTTTTCCGGAAGGTTTTTTTAGAAACACCTAAATTTGTATTTTGCTTTTTTTGAGCTTTTTCCGATGGAGACTCGGCAGTTAAATTTGAAATTTTCGCGTTGAGACTAATGTTTTTTAATTGGCATTCGAGCGCATTTTCATGGCGTTCCGAAAAAAAATCGCCGTGGGAAATTAACATTGACAGTTCACCAAGAAATCTATTCAGGTTGAAAGTGCATCTGAGCAATCGACATACATCTCTAGCGCTTACGATTTCTACCGTAACACTTACTCTCAACCACTGATAAAATGGATCAACCTGTACAAAAATGCGAATATGATAAGCTACAACGCCTACGACAAGAGAATCTACATATACGATCATGGCTACATGCTTTCTGTCCCTCCCCTATTGCATTGGTTGGCTAAATAGATTTGTTTTTTAAGGTCCGAATGAAGAATGATTCTGGTTGATAAAACAATTTTTATTGAGGAAGCAATACATGAAGCGAGGTTATAATAATCAAAGATTTCAAAAACATTTTCAATGTATGACAAAATAGAAATAGAATCACTAATCAAAGTAGACAGATGAGACAAACACCAATGATGTATTGCCGGAATTGTGAAACTGTAACCTCGTGTTTACTGACTCACTGAGGCTGCAAAAGTGACAATTTCAGATTTCCGGCAATATTTAAACATCAGAAAATATTACAGTTCAATGGAATTGCAAGTGAGGGTAAAGCGGATTGTCTAATTGCCAGCAATCAGGATTTTTTGAAAATTTCAGATAAATATTTAACAGCGGTTATTAAGTTTTTTAGGCACTGGGGATGTATCAAGAACTAGGGAAGGATAGGTAAAACCGGGGTATAAGGAGAATAGAGTTGATGACTAGTGATAGATAGATAAATGGTGGAATTCGAAACAGGGGCAACATATAAACATAGAAGAAGCATCAATTCTAATGACGTCTTGTCTGACGGAAAGAAGGTCCTGGCTGGAAGCGGTTGCTGGGGAGTTCTTCAACCTTTACATCGTGCACTGAATTTCTGAAAAATTTAATATCAAACTTAAAGTGATGTAATGTTGTTTGTTTACTGTTTTTTGATCAGCTCTTCCAGAAGTTTCTCAGATCGTTGTCGAGCTTCACGTTCCGATGCAAGAAGTTGTTCTAACTCAACGATGCGTCCCTTCATTTGTTCAAACTCCTCATCTTTTTTCTTCTGCTGTTCTTGAGCTCGGTTGCGGCATTTACGTACGGCGTCGTTGTTACGAGCTCTTTTAAGCTTGTATGTTGGTTGAGCCTTCTCGTCGGCAGCCTTTGGGTGATACTTACGAGCTTTAGTTTGAGGTTTGAAATTTTGCAAGCTGGTTCTTTTGTTCTTATTGCCATTTGATGATGAGTGGTAGTCATCAGCAGACTCATCCTCCGAAATCTCATCGTCCGAGTAGTCTTGATAGTCCTGGTAGGCAGGTCGCTTGATAGCTCGGCGAGGGTTGTTGGCTGGCACCGGTGGCTTTTCTTCACGCTTAACTTCGCAATTCATTTGGTATTGATCAGCATCATATTGTTCTGGATGGGGGTAAGCGGGTCCGTATGCCAGATGTCTCTCGTATCCATTCATAACCGGAGGTTCGAATGGACGATCCTCATCGTAGAGAATGTTGACTTTTTGGAGTTCTGAATCATTGAAGTCAATGTTGTCGGCGGGAACATCCAGGTCGGTAAAACATTGTAAATAGTTGTCGAGATCTAATTCTGTCTCCATGAAGTCAACGTTGTTCCTTTCTCGGTCACGTTGTTGGTAAGATGATGCCAGTGCGAGGGAATCCTGAAAATTTTACCTATACGACGCTGTCAAATTGTCATATAATTTCAACCAAAGGTTAGAATAAAGACTTACTTGGCGGGCATACATCGATGCAGATGTAGAAGCACCATTGTTCGGGAGATCCGTTAGACCGCGGAGGGGTTCTCCCTGTCGGAATGATTTGGGATTCGTCATAAAAGTTTTTTGCAGATTTGATTGTCAAGTGCTCTTTATTACAATTGAGTTAAATTCTTCTCAGAATTCTGAAAAAAAACGAACGTGTTTCAAGAATTTTCAAATGTTCATCATCAACACGGAAACTTAGTTTAGTAATCAGGTTAAAATTCAGTTGGAATTTCAGGAAAACGCCTGGGGAAGCTCTCGAAACTTCGAAACGCAAAGTTGGAATTTTTAAATAAAACCAAATATGTTTGCTAGGCTATAGCGGTATCGAATTTTGGATAAAGAAAGGAGAGAACTGGGAAAATCAATTGTGAACAGATCGCAGCTGATTCATAAGCCGAATTCGTTGGCCAACGAAATGATGTTTGCATTTCGTTTCTCTGTGTAACTTCCGTCTCCAAGCAAGCGCGTTGTCGCAGCAATTGCAACGACACTCCGGTCGCCCTGGCGCGCATTGTTTAGCGTAAATCTTAATCAGCTCCCAGTCGATTTACTGAAAACTTTTCAGAAATTTTTTTTCGTCCCGTTAATTATGAGTGGAAATCGGAAGCGAAACACGTCTGAACCGCGCGATGACGATGAAGATGACTACACTTCGAAGCGAAAACGTAACAACGAAGCAGTAAATCGGTAAGTTTTCTTTTTCGTTTCTTGGCATGATCAAAAATAAATTCATAGAACTCGGCAAAAAAAGCGGCAGGAAGAAAACGATACCGCAGAGAAAGTTGATGAGTTGAAGAAAGAAAACGAAGCATTAGAGCGAAAGGTTGAACAGCTACAAAAAGAGCTCTCATTTCTTAAAGAAATGTTCATGGCTTATGCAAAAAATGATGGAAACGATGGTCCACCACCACCACCCGCGGCTCCATCTTCTGCTATTTGAATATGATATTGCCTGAACCGATCACACCAAAGATTTCCCTGTAGCTCTTGTACATTTTTCCAGACATTGACTCACATTCCATTTACTCTAATAAAATTTACATTGATTTTTTTTCAAAATCTTATTTCATACACTTTCAAGAGGTCTACACCTATTTTATTTTGAATATAATGCGATCAGCGTAAACACATGTTTTATTTAGATGACGGAAACCGAACAAGAGCGATTCGCTGATCTGGTGATTGAACTGGAAAGTGCGTCGGCTGAAGCTGTCAGAGCTTTCAGTAAAGTAGTAGATCGAATGGAAGACACGAAAGAAGATAAAGAGGTATTTATACATTTAAAGGCAATGAACTTGAGAATCTCTATTTGAAGGGTCTCAGCTTTCTGAAGTTGAAAAACTACGAGATGACCGCATATCTCGGAGAGTTAACTGTTCTGATGTCCAAAATGATGAAAGGAGAATCGATTGCTACAGATAACTCAGTCAAACACGCACTGAAGCATAGAGTGGTATGCCAATTTTTTTCAATAGTTTGAATTTCTAAGAAAAAATTTCAGTACCTCGAGAAAATGAAGCCGATAGAAGAAAAAATGAAACCACAAATGGAGAAGCTCTTGAACAGGTCTTCCAACAGAAATGAAACGGTGAATGGAGCTTCTAAAGGAAACTTGAGAGTGCGTTTGGACAATATGGATGTGGGCGATGGAGAAGAGGAGGAAGAGGAAGAAGATGATGGCGAAAAATCCAAAGAAGTGAAAAAATATGTTGCACCCAGAATCCGAGCAGTTAGATATGAAGGTAAAAATCAATAAATCATCTAAAATTGAGCCGAATTATTTTTTCAGAAGAAGACGAAACTCCGAGCAAACAACAAGAAAAGGCAAAACGACGTGCAATGCAAAGCAGTCTTATTATGGAGCTCAAAAATCAATATAGTGATGCTCCCGAAGAAATTCGCGAGATCAGTGAGAAGAAATATCAATATGACAGAGAACGAGAAAAGTATGAAGAAGAGAATTTCACAAGAATCCGTCAAAACAAGGAGCAGAAACGTCGGAGTGAACAATTGGGCCGAGCTGAAACTCTGGATGATTTGCTCAGTTTTGGAGATTATATGATGCGTGGAGAGGATGGAAGAGCCCTCACCGAAGGGAAAAACAGGTAAGTATAACATTACCTAAATGAAAATTTTCATAGTCTAAATTTTTTCAATTCAGAAAGCGAGCAGCTTCTTCCGGTGCTGGTGGCAACACGAAACGTCACAGGAAGTCTCAGAAAGAGCGAAAAAAGGCGGCGAAAGGAAAGAAGGAAGGTCGAAAGAGAGCAATTCGCAGAAGACAGTAGTCCGATTACTGTTGATATTCTATCATTTTTTGCTGAGTTTTTGGATTTTACCCTAATTTTTGTTGTTGTTGTTGTTGTTGGAGTTGTTTTTGCGTTATAAGGAGTTTTATAAGTCAATTTTTATCAATCTTTATTGGTATTGTCTCCGAAAACAGTATTTCAATTAAAAATTCGTTTAATGATGACATTCAGGATTTTTAGATCTAACATGGGTGGTGGAAAGTATGAGACGCAGATGTGCGTCATCATGGTTGAAGATATATTTGGAAAAGTGGGTAATTTAAAGTGGCTTATTCAAATAGATTTGTTATTTCAGATTGTTGCAAAGGTCTTGGAGACGGTTCTCAAAGAAAGTTGTCATCTCCCTACTCTCCTTCTTAAACTCAAAGGTCAAATGTCAAGTGTTTTGGTGAGCAAGCATCAGAAACAAATTTAAGAATAGGAATTTTAAGGTCAGAAAAGCTCTATCGACTCTCATCAACTTTGGTTTTGTTTCATTCAGTCTGGATACCAACAACCGAACAACATATGTAGCTGACGCTGATCAAATTCAATATGTGATTTCAGCTCCAAGGTCAGTGTGCATCGTATTCCATAAATCAAATTTTCTATTTACAGAGCATGCTTGATTGCTAAAACCCTGCACGGCCCAGCTGCGGAGTCGATTTGCGTAGAACTAATCTCGCAAGGTCGATTGACTGTTTCGGAGACGATTCGTCGAATTCGATCCACGGATGAGAGTGTCGAGTTTAGTGATATCAAGCATTCGTTCGAAGAGCTCGCTCGAGCACAATTTCTGATCCGTGTTCCTGCTGTAGAGTCGAATCTTTATGGATGCCCACAGCTCACTGTTAATTTTAACCAGTTCGAAATGCCCAAAAATATTATGGAAAAGAAGGAACCACAAACTAGAGGTACTTTATTTATGATTCCAGAATGTAATTCAGCTTTTTAAGGATCATCCTTCAACGATGCATCATCTCGAAAGAGAAAAGCGGATGCTTCTCCGGAAGATATGGACGCTGGTCAGTATTGGAGAATCAATTGGGCTCGATTCAACGGTTACCTTCGTGATGAGCTTATCATTGATTACTTGATTGGAGGAGGTTCAACAGCCACGATGACTCATTTGAATGTGAGAAAAAACTCGGAAGAGGATGTACCCCAACAAGACAGAACCCAGTATATCACTCAAAATGTTGCTCATCTCATGTTCAAAAGTAACGAACTGAGAGCTAACCCATTGAGCATGGACAGCATTACAGTCAGTGTAAGTTTGATACTGTAATCTTTTTAAAATTTGGAAAAAATTACGCCCTCTAATTCCTTCAGATCACAGATTTGCAAAAGCTCGTCAGAGAAAATGAATTAGACCTTTCCAAGCCAGACATTGAGTTAGCTTGTCAAATTCTTGTCGACGAATCAGATGGAATTGTTCGAAAGGTTGGAGATTCGAATGGTGGTTTGTATACCGTTGGTGAGTTTTGTCACTGAATAGTTGAATAGTTTCTCTGAATTTATTTCAGACATTCGTCACGGAATCCGCCAAATTTGTCGTCATCACTGTGAATCCTTGATTCGAGAGCAGTTCGAAGGACGAGCCATTCGAGTAATGCGACTTCTCGAAAGCCGTCATTACCTTGACGAAGAGCAAGTTGAGAAACTGAGCATGATGAGTGGGAAAGAAGCTAGAGAGATGTTGTATGCGCTGGTAGAAGAAGGATACGTTTTCAACAAGGTATTCATTCACAATCTGAATTAGCAACAACGTCATCTTTTTCAGCCAGTGGGGCGAAGCAACGACTTTCAACCTGCTCGGACCTTCTACCTGTATTATGTGGATCTTCCACGAACTATTCGTGGACTCGTTGAATACACCTGCAAACTTGTCCGTAATCTAATTCTTCGCCAACGTCATGAAAGAACTGAAAACAAGGCTCTTCTTGATAAGGATGCCAATGTTCAGCCTATCATTGAGAATATCCGTGCATCCGATCAACTGGACGAAGCATCGAAGCTCGCTCAAATCGCCGAAGTAGAGGAAATGTATTTGCCAGGTCCTGACCGTGCTCAACTAAACCGATTTCGAAAGGCTCAGGCTACGCTCCTTGCCGCCCAAGATCAGTCCATTCGAGTTCTTCTCGCTTTTAAATTGTTTTTAGCTTCTGGGCAGAGCTGATTATCTTTATTTGATGACCCCATTCTTGTTGATTTTTTTATTATTATTATTCACCCGTTGTTGATATCATTATGCGAACTCCTTTGTTAATGAACTTCTTACGTTCACAATTCTTTGTTGCATCTCTCAATCAGAAAAGTAAATTGATTCTCTCTTTTTAATAGCCAACGTTTTGATAAGTTTTCTTTGTTCTCCTGATTCTATTCCAGCTTCACAAACACATTTATTACACAACCTGATCGTTACACTTGCTTCTCGCTTTCTTCCGTTCTCATCAGAATTTGTTCTCGGTTTTTTTCATCGAATAGGCACACCTTCTGTAGAATCGGAATCATCCTATGGCAAAAAGTTTATATGTTTCTGCGTTGGAGATATCAGGCAAATGTGATTACTACCAATTTTTGTCGTTCGGAAAAAATTGGTCCAGCAACGACAACTACAGTAACCTAAATAATATTTTTATTCTCAAAATTTATTTGTACATTTTCACTGTTTCTTGACTAGTTTTCCGTTTTCTTTCTTTTTCCCTAAACAAATCGAAACTTAAAGTTAGAGAAACAAATGACGAAAAACGCACGAAAATCCAGCAATTAGATGTTGAAAAAATCATATTTTTAGGTTACGGTAGTTGTCGTTATGGGGACCTTTGGCCCCTGCCACCGGCTTTTATCTTCCAAAGTTCGGATTTATTGGTCAACTGACACAACGTTTTTCAAAAAATAAAATAAACCTAAATGAATCTTTACCTCTTATGGGATACGAGCCACCTGTTCCTTTTACAAATAAAGTTTTCCAATAACTATTTTTAGCATTTCTTGAAACTTTTAGATCAGACCCCAAAGTTGTTGAAGACTTCAAAAGTTAGCTGGTTTCTATTTACGAAAAGAAAAAAAATACCGTAAACACTCTATGAGAATTCCACCCAAAACATCAACTTTCAGCCCGTATATCTCGGTTCGTGTAAAAGATATCAAAAAATGGTCAACTGATAAAATATTTTTGATGTTATGTTAAAGGTTTTGTTAGTTAAACACTTTTGATATCTTTCACAGGAACCGAGATAAATAGGCTCAAAGTTGAAAGCTTGGGTGGCTGTCTATTAGTGTTTACGGTATCCTGCAATTTATTCATCTCTCTCAACATTACAAACTTCTGGAATAATGGAAAGAGATGTCCCTTGATTCGAGAAAAAATCAAATCACAATCACAGCCAAACTGATAATAGTTCATATCATTGAAGCAATTTCCACCAATTCAATCTCTTGCTTCCAATCATCCATTTGATCCGTTGTCATCACCAATTCCCATCATCATTATCATTATATCATTGACATCTCACAATCAACTTCTTCTCCTTTTCAATCACTACTACACATATTTATGATTCCGCTCACGACCATTTCCACTTTTCTCCGATAGATTTCTTCTCCTCTTCTCCACTCCATCTTCTTCTTATTCTTATTGACAAATCACCGATATCAGCGATGAAAATTCGACGAAAATTCCTTTAAACTGATCAGTGAGAGAATGTTTCAAAAGTTCCGCCCGCAAAATTCTATGGGCATATAAATTCTCGACTCCGCCCCCATCTACTTCTTCTGTTATTGTCGTTGTTGTCTGTTGTGTCTCTACGTCTCCCATTCCTCTCCCATTACTACCATTCCTGGTCGACATCTATGTATCTATCTGTGTATGTATCCATTCCGCCATTCTTCCGAAACATTGTCTATCTTTCTTGTTTTCCCCTCAATCCCTCTCGGTCCGCTTCAACACTTCCTCTGGTTCTCGCATACACACCTTTTACTTTTCTGATATCAGCAGTTTTTTTCGAGCTTACAGTATTTCCTATAATGCCGGGAAACCTGTGATGGAAGCCTAACTTTTAACATTGAGCCGATTTATCTTGGTTCCTGTCAAATATATAAAAATATCAACTGACAAATTGTTTATCATGATATCAGAAGTGTTCTGTCAGTTGAAACATTTTTGATATCTTGCATAGGAATTGAGATGATTGAGATCAAACTTGACAGTGTGGCCCCTACTATTACAGGTTTTCCGGTATACAGACCCTCTTATTATTCTCATCATCTCAGTTCATGATTTCCAAACGTTGACAACTAGTAAAACTTTGCGATGATTTTTTTCTTCAGATTCATAACCATTTCTTGTTTTCTAAACTCTGATCCGAGATTTCGAAATTTTTTGAGAATCACTCTGGAAGGTTTCCAAAACTGATGATCTCTTTCTTTTCTCTGCTTTTCTTATATATACATCATCGGGTAATAAAGTATCCTAAGCTATTGTTCAGTTGAATTTTGGCCATAAAGCTCGGCTGTCAAGTTTCCAATCACTTTGAAATTTTTGAAGGGTGTGAAACAGACCAAGACTGAAAACTTTGCGTTCACAGAAATTGTTACGATTTCATATTCTTTCAGATATTTGCTGATTTCTGAAAGACACCACTATTTGACCCGTTTCGGTACTGAAAACATGAAACAATAAGTGTCTTTCAGAAATTGGCAAATAGCTGAAAAACTAGAAACTTTCACAATATTCTGGCAATTCAAAGTTTTCAATCTAGGTCTATTTTACGACCTCCAAAGTATTCAAAGTGATCGGAAACATGAAGCCCGAGTTCTAGACTCCTGAAAATGATCGAAACTTTGACTCAAAATGACCGAAAACCAACCGAAAAATACGTTTCTGTATATCTTATCAACCGGTACTGTATATTCATAAATTCCCATACAAAATAACTTCGATACTGTAGTCCTTTTTGTTCTTTTATTTTCCTTGTGGTTTTCTTTCCCTCTATCAACACAGTATTCTCTGATAGTGATCGATTTGAATTCCCTCTTTTCAATTTCAGCGGTAAGAAAAATGCCATCCACTTCGAAATTTATCATCCTGGCATTCGTTGCGTTGATTGGCGTCGTCTCCAGTCAAGATCAAGCCAAGTGTGCCGTCAATCAACTCTTCAACGGAGAAATTTGCACGTGCGCTCCAGGGTAAGAAATAGTGTGTGATGGACGAGAGACGCAGAGAGAAACAGCTTAATTAAAGACTGTGTCGAAAAATGGATAGACGAAGAAATGATAAATTGAGACGAAGAAGAAGAAGAAGAAGAAGACCACTCCCATTTTTTCATTTGGTCGGTGAAAATTAGTTGGGTTTTCTTCCGAATGAGAATTTTGATAAATTGGTAACAGAGAGAAGAGATGAAGAAAAAAGTACTGAACAAATTGCGCAATTTTAAGATCACATGGAAATCAGTGACTCATTCTTAAAATCAAAATTACTGAAATGTTTTTTTGCAACCTAATTGTTCATCCAATCATTTTTTAGATACTTCTCTTCGGCCAACGATGAGTCGAAGGCACGTTGTGAGGATGAGTGCGAAGAGGTAATGATGAACGGAACATGAAAAGACCGGTTTAATTGGATTCTTCCAGGTCTACTTTTCTCTTTTCACCACAGGAAAATGCGTGGACAACATCTTTGGCAAAGTGCCAAAGGATCAACAACCGGCATGTAATTTGAGATGTGGAGTGAGTTTGTAGAAGATTGATTTGTTTGAGAAAATATACATATTGTTGTATAAATTTTGCAGTGAGAGTTCTATTGGGAAGTGTCCAAAGAACAGAACTCATCATTATCGTTGAACCGGGCCCTGCCGACCCTGCCGGGCCTTCGCAGGCCATGCCATGATTTCTTTTAGAATCCATTTTTTTTTTGGATCAACTAAATGAGAAATGATACTCGACAAGCACTACAAAATGATACTATTTGAAAAACTGTGTCTTGTCTATGAACAAAGTTATGAGTCAAAAAGTCCGTTTCGTCTGTAACTTTGTTCAAAGATACAGTTATCAAATTGGTATTATTCTGTAGTGTTCGTCGAGTTCTATCATATCTAATTTAGTTGGTTCAAAAATAATGGCCCGCCAAGGCTCATTTTTCAAGTATGGGAACCATAATAAAGTCTTGAACTTCAAGAGCATCATTCTTCTTGATAATAGACTAAAATGACTTAATCTGAATTTCTCATTTAAAAATGTATTTTCCAGATCAGAATCCGTCTTTGGGCTACCGTCGCCGCCTTCGCTGTCATTGCTGCTGCTGTTGTCTCCCTTGTTTTGGCTCTTCCAATGTGCATCGCCTCGTGCTCCGCCTGTTTGAATGCTAAGAAGGTCAGTTGGTTTCTTCGGAGGTTGAAAGTCAATTTTACGATCTCGGAGATATATCTGGTGACATAATCTCTCTGCCTCCTCCGCTCATCCATCCGTTTTGAACCTCATTTTCCTTTTTCTAAATGTACAAATGTAGGACGAGAGAAATTATAAGTGGACACTCTCTTGACATTAACAACGTTTTAGGACACAAAAAAGGTATTGTGAGAGAAAAATGTGGCTGGAAAAGGAGAAAATTAATCATGTGAAAGAAACTCATTTTTGATATCTGGATCAAAATTCAGGTCTTCTGAAGTTGGACCTTATTATCATTAGAAACAAAATTAGAATGATTTGTCGGAAAATCCCGATTTTAACAGAAATAGTAAATAAAATTCAGTTTTGAACAAAGGTTCAGGGAAGTTTCTAGATTTCAAACAGTTTTGTGACCCTTCAATTTTTCGCAAGTTTTCAATTGCACTGTTCATGCTCAACTGTTCTCCTTCTTGCTTCCGTACTCATAATAAACCGGTATTCCCCTGTCCGTTAGGCATGATGAAGTAACAAAAATTTCATATTCTCTTCTACCTCATATATCCTCTTCCTCTTTTTTTTGTAACAATATTCTATATGAAATTCTCTATTCAACCTAGACGCATGGAAAAGGTAATAATAGGATTGATAGTTGAATATAGAAAAAAAAATGGAAGAAGAACTGGTTCTTTATGTGAAAGAAAAAAAGTTTTATTTTATTTTTATGCCATTGCAATGCATTGTATTCTTGTTGTTGTGGTTGTTATTTGTGGTAAAAGGAATTGAACAAGACAAGGGACAACTGTAATAGAACGTTTTAGAACCTCAAGGGATACTGTAGTCTTATCTTCTTCAGACTATAAGCCTCATTGGAATTTTCTCGGGATAATTCATATCGTTTTCCGTATCATATAAAGGTCGATTGGAGTATGTATGCGTGCGTCTTTCTCATTGAACCATTTATCAGTTGATAAGAGAGGGACAGTGAAACGGAAGGAGAGAAAGAGAATTACGGGAAATAACCTAGATTTTTGATACATTTTTATTATCGATAACGGGATCAAAACTTGGTCAAGAAACCTATTCAAAAGATAGATACACTACTTCGACCGGAAAAAATGGATGATAGTGGATGTGATAAAATGAGAAAATGTTACCGTAACACCTGTATTAGAAGGGCCCACTGTAATAGAAGGACCCCTTTAAAATGTGTTGTTTGAAATTCAAAATTTCCGTGCATTTTCAGTGAAATAAATTCCGAAAATTTCACAATTCCACAAAATTTTTTTGAATTAGCTCAAAAACTAGCTCAATTTTGATGGAATCGACAGATTTTAATGATTTTAAAGCGACAATGCAACGATTTTTTCGATGAAACTTTTTTGAAAAAATGGCCGGAAACATAGAAGGGCCCCTCTAATTGAAGGGACCCTTTAACAAAACAGCCCTCTGGAGGTACCTTTCTTGGAACAATGAATGGGTCGGCCCTTCTAATACGGGTTTTACGGCAATCGTCTTCTAGGATAAAATATTTAAACAAGGTAAGGTATCAGTAAAAATAAGACAAACATAATGTTTTATTTTCATAGTTACCAACTTTGGGAGAATTTAATCAAAAGTGAACAAAAAAACCAAATTTTAGCATTTTCTGAAGTTTTTAGATCTATCAAAAATGTCTTAACAACTCATGTAGATTCTCAAGAGCATGATTTTCAACAAACTTAAATAAAAAATCACAGTAAAAGTGTTAATTTTCAGGCCAACAAGAACGCCAAGCGAGTTGCTCTTGAAGCTCAAGCCGCTCCATCAAAGGACCAACAAGTGGCTACAATGGGATACAATCCATACGCCTACTGGCCATATTACGGACGTGCTTAAATCCAAGAACCATTATCTTCAAATCCAAAATCTACTCAAACCGCTCACACCCCATTCCCCTAAATCGGGTTTTCCATAATCGCATTTTCCCTTTTTTCGTTATAATAATTTTGCTCCAAATGTTCATTTGACTGCACACCATCCAAAAACTGCCTTTCCCTCTTTTGTTCCGAATAGTACTTTCGCTAATTATTTTGGCATTTTAATAAATCATTTAATTTGACTTCTTCATCGTTGAATTTCAAATAATCGTTTCTCTTTTTTTGTCTTCTTATAAGAACATTTAATCGAATCACACACAATTTCTTTCTCTCTGAATTCGTCTTCTACTTCTTTACACTTTGATTTGTTTTTTTTGCGGTTTCTGAGATTCTAAACGGAAACAAACAAGTCACTTGACAAAAAAAGATTGAAGAAAAAAACTTAGGACGATTGAAAACCTTTTTGGGTTTCAAGTTGAGAACTTGTTGAATGGTTAGACCGCAAATTTTTAAAGAAATGCAAAAATGGAAACGTCCCGCTTTGGAGATTATTAAATGAAACTTGAAGATTTTTCAAACTGACAAGGGAAGTGTTTTCAAAAAGGTTTTGAGAATTTCTTTAAAATTGGTACACATATACTTTTAGACATGGTGAATAATGAGACAACATTTTTTCCTCCCCGGATGTACCTAGAAGCTGGAAAAACGCGTCTGAAATTTCACCTATATTTAAGCGTTATAAGCGTGAGCGCGATCTCCCCCTTTCTTATATAAATTTTGGAAGCAGTGACACAGGTAAAGTGGCAAGTCCCAATAGCGGGCGAAGGGAGTCTGAGCGGCCGCAGGTGTGGCAAAAATGGGCGACTCGCGGCTGAAGACCGCTGAAGGGCCAACGATGGCCCGTCGGCGGGCCACCCAAAAATGGGGAAATTTTTTACTTTTTGAGATTTTTCTCGGAATCGCTAAGAAATCGAATTCTAACGATATTATCCTTGTCAGAGAAAACAAAATGATTGTGAAAAAAATTCTAGATGGTAAAAACTCCGATCAAAAACTTTTCTTTCTAACTATTCTAGGCGATACAACATGTCTCGGCTCTCTTGTCAATATCGGCCAAACAGCTCTCAAATCGTTTTCGAACCACACCGAAACGTTTGGTTCCAATTTTGAGTATAATTGGGCAGTCCGTTTGATTGATGCTCTTCCCACTAAAC